CCCGACGGCAAAATTGGAATGTTGGGTCGACCCAACATCCACTACCGGTGGCGGTCAGACGAAGATCATGGAGCAGATAGGGAAGAAGCTGCAGGAGCAATATGAAACGCTAAGTCTGCGGACGAGGTACAAGCAATATCTGGATCCCTCCGTCGATGAGACGAAAAAGTTCTGCATATCGCTGCGACGAAATGCCAAGGACGAGAGAGTACTGTTTCACTACAACGGTCATGGCGTTCCTCTTCCTACGCAGTCCGGCGAGATCTGGGTGTTCAACAAGAACTACACGCAGTACATTCCCGTGTCATTGTACGATTTGCAATCCTGGCTTGCTGGTCCTAGCCTTTTTGTTTTCGACGTGTCGCATGCAGGAAATATTGTCCAGAACTTCCACACTTTTGTCGAAAAACATGAGAAGGAGAACACGGAAGCCAAGAAGCGAGACCCCAACGTCATTGTTCAAAGCTATGGTGACTGTATAATCCTTGCGGCCTGCCAAAAGAGCGAGTCCTTGCCAACCAACCCAGACCTTCCTGCCGATCTCTTCACCTGCTGCTTGACCACGCCGATTGACATCGCTCTTCGTTTCTTCATCCTTCAAAATCCCTTGCAGACTAACATCTCCATTGACGACTTCAGAGTTCCAGGCCGTCTACAGGATCGTAGAAGTCCTCTTGGCGAGCTCAACTGGATTTTCACCGCAATCACCGACACTATTGCATGGAACACCCTTCCGCGAGCCCTGTTCAAGAAACTGTTCCGCCAGGACCTGATGGTCGCTGCTCTCTTCAGAAATTTCCTGCTCAGCGAACGGATTATGCGTACATACAAGTGTCATCCGATTTCATCTCCAGAACTCCCTGAGACGCACCATCACCCCTTGTGGAAAAGCTGGGATTTAGCTGTCGAGATGGTCTTGTCCCAGCTACCGGCCTTGATTGAACACGAAGAAGGCCGCAGGCACTACGAGTACCAGCATTCTTCTTTCTTCGCCGAACAGCTCACTGCTTTTGAGGTCTATCTCTCGTCCGGACCGACGGAAAAGAACCCACCGGATCAACTGCCTATCGTCCTGCAGGTTCTTCTGAGTCAGGCCCACAGACTGAGAGCATTGATCTTGCTCAGCAAATTCCTCGATCTGGGGCCTTGGGCGGTCCATCTGGCTTTAAGCATTGGCATCTTCCCTTACGTCGTCAAGCTTCTCCAGTCCGCAGCCCAGGAACTCAAGCCTGTGATGGTGTTCATCTGGGCTAGGATCATGGCGGTTGATCACACTGTTCAAAACGACTTGTTGAAGGACAATGGAATTCATTACTTCATTTCTATTCTCAACCCCTCTTCGCCGATTCCAGTTGGCAATGCCAGTGAACACCGGGCAATGTGCGCTTTTATCGTCTCGATCTTCTGTAAGAATTATCCGCAGGGACAGAACGTGTGTCTCTCCGCAGAACTGTTCGATTCTTGCCTGAGGCACTTGATGGACGTTGAGAATCCTTTGCTGCGGCAATGGTCATGTTTATGCATCAGTATGCTTTGGTCCGAATTCCCGGAGGCCAAATGGATGGGAATCCGATGCGCTGCGCCTGCGCGGCTCTGCGAGCTTAACTTCGATCCTGTGCCGGAGGTCCGAGCTGCGATGTTACATGCTGTTACCACGTTTTTGGGCATCCCAGATTTGACGGATCAGGTCGCCCAGATTGAAGAGTCCTTAGCCATGGCGGTTCTTCCCATGTCATCAGATGGCAGCGTACTTGTTCGGAAGGAACTGTTGGTGTTTTTCTCAACCTTTGTCAAACGTTACCAGAACAAGTTCCTGGTTGCTGCATATGAAGAATTCCAGGATGAGAAACAAAACCTAATATCGAAATTGGAGCAAGCAGGGGTCGGGGGATATAACCCAGAGGACACCATTAATGGGTCGACAAATGGCTCGTCGAAATCGAAGTCGAAGTCGCAGACTTTGTCTCGCAACACCACGTTTGGCACAATTTGGAAGCAGTTACTAATATTTTCCGTTGATCCTCACCCAGACATAGCCCAGGATGGCAGCATGATTATTGATCATATTCATTTTGCCCTCTTGCAGTCTCCCATGGCTTCCATTACTGACAAGCTTCGAACCGAGATCATGGAGCTCTCGAGCCGAGTATCTCAGAAGCAGCATGTTCGAGAACGACCTGAGTCGAAGGCCGCACCGCCTCCCACCCCACAGTCTCTTGTTCCTCCCAAGCAGGAAGGCTATCTTTCATTGAGTCTGAAGCGGACAGCTAGCGTTGCTGCCTCGCTCAAGAATCTTGCCTTTGGCGGATCTTCCCAGACCGAATCGCAGTCATCACAACCCTTGACGTCCCCGAAGAGCCGCATGCCCATCACTCCCCGAGGACGGGCACCCCCCGAATGGACCCGACCGCCAGAGGTGAACGACCAGGTTGCGCCCGCTACAGCATATCACCAAGCCCCTACACCCACGTCCCGAGGCTTCGAGCCTAAAGACTTATCGACCCCCCCAATTATTCCCCTGATGAGCAGGTTCCTAGATTGGTCCACAGAGGTAATCCCAGAGCCACTCCATTTGATCAGCGAGCAATACAACGAAGTATATGAGCCCTTTCTCACCCATATCCAGTACTTCCGGGAACCCCAGATGAAACCCAACGAACCCGACGAGCCCGGTAGCGCGGACTACAACGAACGACTCTGGAGACGAAGCCGAAACGAGAAGATTATCACGGAAACCCAGCCTCTCAAGGGCAAAGCAGGAACAAGCCGATGGGATAGCTCGATGGCCCTTCTTACGAATAACAGCCAACCCCTGAAAATGTGTTTCCATCAGTTCGAGGATCATATCGCAGTCGCGGACGATAGGGACACGATTGCGTAAGTGGGACTGGCTTATATAGCCTATTGATGCCTACTAACATGTTTGATCAGAATTTGGGACTGGCAGAGGCATAAGCGACTGAATTGGTTCTCTAATCGCAACCCGCCCGGATCCAAGATCAACGAAGTTCGCTACATTAACGAGGACGACCAAGCACTTCTGATGACAGGTTCTTCCGACGGCGTTCTCAAAGTATTTCGCAACTACGAATCCTCAAGGGATGTTGAAATCGTAACAGCATTCAGAGCGTTGCCCGAACTCATTCCGAGTAATCGAAATGCCGGTCTTGTCCTTGACTGGCAACAGGGTCAAGGCAAAGCGTTGGTTGCGGGCGACGTCAAAGTAATCCGCGTCTGGAATGCCGCCACGGAAGTCTGCACTAATGTACGTCCCCGCATGATACCGTTAGACATTCTCATTCTCTAACAGGACTTTTTAGGATATACCTGCTCGTTCAGGCTCCTGCATCACATCCTTGACATCAGATCAGGTGGCAGGCAATATCTTTGTTGCGGGATTCGGTGACGGTGCCGTTAGAGTGTTCGACCAGCGCCTCAAGCCGACGACTTCCATGGTCAAGGTCTGGCGCGAACACAAGCAGTGGATTACCAATGTCCACATGCAACGGGGTGGCCTAAGGGAGTTGGTGTCCGGCAGTCGTAACGGAGAGATTCGACTCTGGGATCTCCGAATGGACGACCCCATCTCTACCATCTATGCTACTCGAGATACTCTCCGCACCTTAAGCGTCCACGAACATGCCCCGGTCTTCATGGTGTAAGTTATTCCATTTGCCCTCAGCCATATCTCCCTCTTCGGCCTTTTGACTGACCATCCCCGAACCACAGAGGCACAAACCGCCACGAAGTCAAAACATTCAACAATCATGGTTCCCACCTCTCCACCTTCGAGCCTCACTCGAGCTTCCTGCACCATAATCGCTCGTCCCCGATCGCCAGCACCGCATTCCACCCCCACCGCACCATCCTCGCCTGTGCCGCTCTTAATGATAATCACATAAACCTGGTGCATTGTTAGACTGGAGGTGACATTGTTCTTCATTTCTCCCTCCAACCAACTTCTCACCACCCCCTTTTCTCTCTCTTTCTCTTTCCTGCTCTATTCCCTTGATCTCTTAAGACTGAGATATGATCATTCTGGCAGATATCTGCTCCGTACGGCGCTTTGGGTAATTGGACCTGCTCTCGAGTATTTTCTTCTTCATCTTTTTTTTTTTTTTTCTTTTTTTTAATATTCATGTTTTGTCCCCTCGACTTCAACAACCTCTCGGCACGATGTTCTCTTCTTTTGTCCGCTTCTTGATGATATCAATTTATGTTTGCTTTTGTCTTTCTTCTATTCTTCTTTTGGCGAAGGATAATTCCACTTCGTCGTGATTTTGTTAGCACCTTGGCGCTGTGTGTGGCCTTTTTCTGTTCTACTGTTGAGTCGTGGTTTGTATGTACATGGATGGCCAAGTGCGATGTTATCGCGTGCGGTCAGGCAGAACGGATTTAATTGATAGTTTCTTCATCATTGGTCCTTGGTATTCCGCTGAATAATTGTACAAGGCTTCGAAGTAGTAGCGTCGGGACCTGCGGTCATCTGAACAATACGGGTGAAGAGTTTAAATGTCGCGAAATCTGATGTAGGTACTTGACTACCTTAATTTTTTCTTATTGAAATTACTAAACCATGCTAGGTATGCCTACCATCGTTTTTGATGTACCCTAAGTCTCGCGTGCTCTTCCATTGCGTGTGCTATCGGAGCAATCTATTAACTGAAGCTGGAAACATGCTCCCATAAGACCAGGAAACGTATACTTCGGAACCAATATCCCTAAGGTCTGGGATGAAAATTAACACCCTTAATTCCCAGGTCAATATGTGAGTCCCATTGCAGCTTGCTCTCTATGCCTTATGATCCTGAGAAAAAAATCCTGCTGTTTTGTCCGAATATCTGTTCACATCAGACGAGACGTGTCCTAGAGGAAACCTCAGACAGCTGACGGAGGGGTCTCGGTCAAAATAACTGCGTCGCCCGGCAAGTCTAGGTGCGCTTTCAGCAGTGCTTTCTCCCCCCAAGACTGCAAAATTCGTCGTTTGATTCTGATTATACTCAGAAAAGTGTGAATGGAGATTGACAATCACGTTTCCCAAAAGCAGACTCATTTGCTTTGCGGTGGTGCCATCGGTTCCCGTGAGCCGCTCGATTCTCTCGGCATGATTTTGGGCAATGGCGGCGACTTGCTGGCGAAGATGTTTCTCACCGCGAGGGTCTTTGTGAAACCAAGCGTTTGCCTCTTCAAGTCGAGTTTTGGTCTGAGCATAATTTGCCGTACTAAACAACTCCTCGGCCACCATCCGCGGCACGGCGGGCATAGGCAGTCCGGGAGGAGGTCGTAATATCTTTCCCGAGGCTGTGGTTTGAGATCCTGCATCAAGCTGACCACAGTTCTCTTTCAACTTGCCATTCGAATCTTCAATGGCGGGATTTATTCCGAGCGGTGGGACTTCAGTGATTGCCGACTCGCAGAGTGAGCGCAATGTTCCTTGTTCTGACAGGGTGCGATGGTCTGTTGACAACCGCGTATGCGAGTTACTGACATGCTCACCTAGTTTAGCTGCCAGCAAGGATAATTCTTCAGAAGGGTGATGTGGCCCCGAATCTTGGCATGCTGAATATGCCCTTGGTTCGACGAAAGGATCATGGAGAGCCGTTTGTTTGATATGCGATGCAGGGTCTTGGGTAACGTTGTCGAGAAACCGGGTGGCTTCATCTTTTGTTTTATGCGTCGTTGATGATTCCAGGTTACTTGATCCTGAGAGTCTGGTGCCAGATGTAATTGAGGCCAGTGTACGAGTTGGCGGCTGAGCCCGAGCTGTAGACATCTGGAACCGGAACTCTGGGGAGCATTCGTATGTCTCTGAAATAGACTCCCCCTGTGGAACACCAGTCAACATAGTTCCTGACCGTATGATAGCATAGTCCTTGTAACGCTCCTGTGGCGGTTTCTCGGCATATGGCGCCTCGTAAGATTCAGGGTTCTCGTATAGCGAGGGTTGAAGACGCATAGAGCCGTAAGGGGATTGGTCTTCAGGCCGATCGAAACTAGCCCGATAAAGATGAAATGATGATTCTGGAACGTATTCACTCCGGGACATGAGATTCCGACTGACTGACCTAGGCAGCTCTGCAGTTGAAGAAGGTCTTCCGGATATGGCGTGCGCCTCTGTTGACCATACATCCTGTTCTGATAGGTGATAGCTGCTGTTCTTCAGAAATGGACTTTCAGAGATGCAGCTGCGTTCCTGGGAGCGTGATAAGCCATAAGCGCTGATACCGTCAGAATAGCTGAGGGGATTCTGCTGATGATGTCCTTCTGCCCTTCTTTGCCAGACTTGTTCGCCAATCCTTTCTGTAGGGTCACAGCCACGCTCCTGTGAAACGATGCGAGGAGGTATCGGGTCATCCCTGCAGTCCAGGCTATACTCCTCATTGCTTACATGACGAACATCTGGGAATCGAGTGCCGTACTTATCGTGGCTATTTTCGCGGAAGCTTGAGGCTAGCGAGAGAACCTCTGGCTTGCTCTCAGAAGCCATTTTGGCAATAAAAGCCTTCGTGGCTCGGCCAGTTTTGGTTCGCGAGTTTGCTTTGGTGTAGAGTTGGCTCAAGGCGATTGGTCTGGACGAAAGGAGCTCTCCAATGTCTTCTGTTTCCTCCTGTGCCATGGTAGTTGTGAAGGTTTTCGGATTCGCAGAGTGGCTATTATAACCCATCGAATAGAAGTCACGCCTAATCGAGACCGGGAGACTTCGATTTTCGTTCATTGCCGATGCAGACGAAAGGTTTCTTGCGAAGGGTTCCTTTTCGCGTTGATGGTTATTGAGTTTCAGGGGAGTTTGGGCTGGAGTCGTGCAGATTGGGGTATTAACCATCAGAGGAGATGGATGATTTTTGGACTGGACAGCGTGAATGGGTTGGGGAGATAATCTGTTGGCAATAGAACGTGCCGCTGGAGTTGACGAAAGGGACCTGGGAGACGACTGAAAATAAGGACTGGGGGGCTAAGCAAAGAACGATATAAATTAGAGTGCCGCAAAGGAAAACAAAAGGACAAACGAACAAGGCGGAGACAAACAAGGTTTCTTTGAAGGAACAGACCTGAAAGTTACTGGGGGATGCCGTCACAATGGACACATCATGATGAAGCGCAGTAGGGAGACAGGGTGATGGCTGATACCCCAGGGGAGCTCTCCCAGGATGAAGACTCTCAATGGTCACGGCAGTTTTCTTCTTTCGAGTTCTCCTTCCTGGTGAAATTCAAGAATCATGAACCAAGCATTCACTTCCATTTGCTGAAACACTACAAGGGGGGTACTCACGACGGCGATGATGTCTTGTTGACTTCGCCTCCTCCGACATCTCAATGCTGCATAGCTGATAGGAGTACAACCATGGAGATATTTCGATGGAGGCCGATGGAGACAGAGACAGAGACAGGGAGGAAGTGAGAGGGGGAGAAAAGAAGAGGTCGTGAAGATGCGTTGACTTGGACCATCCCGTGACGCACCTTCCCAATCGGTCGCCTCCACCAAACCTCCTACGGAGACCAAAGAATAACGAGGGAGAAGAATTCAGAATTAGATTGGCATACCTAGGGAGAGCACGAAGATGATGGTAATTATACAATCCCCCGAATCATAACAATTTACCCATTCACGAGGCTTCCGTTCATCAAGTCATCACGTCAATAAGTCAATCACGTACAAAATATCAGAGCGAAGAAGAATATGCATGGATAATCACCGGCAGACAGCATTTGGCGATCGTTTACCATTGGCTTCGCTGCTGCTGCTGCTGCTGCGTACCTCCGGTGGCATGGCGAGGATCCGACTCCGGCAGGGATCCTAGTTTGGAGTAGTCTTCGTACCTGCGAGTTCCCTCGGTGTATTGGCCAGAACCCGGTTGGGTGCTATAGCTGCTGCCCCCCGGTGCGCTGCCACCTTCAGGTCTTCCATAATCGCCCGTGCCAGTGCCCGTGCCCGTGCCGTACTGGCCAGCAGCTGGCTGAGACCCATACTCGGTCGGAACCTGACGGCCGGCACCACCAGTTCCGGAGGCATATTCATTTGGGTTGTACTTGCCGGCGCTAGGGCTCGACTCAGAGGGGCCAGTTCCCGAGCTAGCGCCAGGCTGACGCTTGTCTAGAGGATATTATTCAGAATCCAGTGTCGATGACGACACGCAAGGAAGAATCGTACTCGAATCCTTGGACTCCTTGCCGTGATGATGACCGGTCACGACGTCCTTCACCTTGTGCAAGATATTGGACATGATGCAGCGTTAGTCGTATCGAGATGCCGATGGAACAGAATCGATAGGAGATCGATGGGATGGAGCGAAAACACCGGGCAATTGCATGACCGGGCGGACTCTGGGTTTTAAATAGCAACACATCCAGATTCGAGCCCCCCAGACCGAGAGTCTGGCACGAAGGCGCAAGGGGTTGCTCCATTGGGGGAGTCATGACGTGCGTGTGTCATAATGCAGGCCCGGGATGTGCAGGTCGAAAGACTACTCCGTACGATGTCAACCACTCGTTCGCGCGTCGTGCCGGCGGCACCAGCCACATTAGACAGACCGCCACACGCTGCCCCGCCGGGGTCCATCCATGGCTTCTCAAGTCACGATCATCCTGGATCAACAGGCGGTCGGAACAACACCCACCTGCGCCAAGCAGGGTTGGGGGTGGGGTTCACCCCAAGATCGGCTTTGCACCAATTATTGGAGGGAGAATGTCGATGAACTCGCGTCCATTCGAGCCAGAAATGGATTGGAAGCGGGACAATGGTGTCACCAGGGGATCGAGAGGAAATACTAGGTAAAGACGCGTCAGTTATCATTATCGGAAGGTAGAGAAGAGGGGGTTGGTGGCGCCTTTTGACAACAATGAACGGAGGATATGGAGGTCACGGGGTCACCAAAATAGGGGGAGTACAAGACCAGCGAACAGAAAGAAAATCATCTGATAAGGGTGGAACTGATCGTTCTGAGTGAAGCATGATCGGCTGGGCTACGTACTACTCGGTAGAGCTCCATAGTCCCTGACTACGTAGAAAAATCGATAATCCAGTGAATTCTGTCGGCAAGTCGTACAATGCATGCATCTCGCTGTCTATTGTTATCTCTGCAGCCCCGTCACGTAAGCGCCAACCCTGGGATGAAACCAGCCCTACGCGCCTAGACAGTCTCTATTATTCCGTGCCCAGAAGAGGAGGATGAAGAGACACGACACCAGAGAAGTTGACAAAGTTGGACCAAAAAGGGTGGGGCCGATGACAGCATGATCTGCGGGGGTAATATTACGCGTGGATTACCTTCGTTACCCGCCAGTCTGCATTGCGTCTACAGAGGACATTGTCATTCGCACTGTGGTGTATACTCAGTAGAATATCTGGTCTGAACAGGAAGGATAAAGAGTCAAGAATGAACATACTGCGCAGGGAATGTGACGGGGACCCCCTGATGGACAGCCTCAGGCGCCGTTCGTTGCCTGACTGACGGGCGTCTCCCGGCCAATCCCAGCGCCCAGACGGGTCCCGTGACTCCGAGGCTGAGCAAATCGCGAGGAAGCGCCAGGCGGCGGCTTGGCTTGGCTGCTCGTTAACTCATCCTCCTCTCTTCACGTCCTCGCTCGCTCCCTCTCCCTCCCTCTCTTCCTCTCCCCGCTCCATATGACTTTCTTCGACCTCTTTCCCCTCCTTATTCCCCGTCTTGGGCGGTATTCCCACCCCTGGTTTTGATCGGCTTCGTTTTCTTGCCCTCTGTTCTGCGCCCTCTAGATGAGCGCCCGCCCCCCCAATTCCCTCGACTCGGCCGTTTGATTGGTCATAAGACACCGAACTTGAGACTCGCTGGATTGCCTCCCCTCGCTCTGGCAGGGCAACGTCCTGATTCCCAGTGTCGATTCCGCCTCAATAATGCGATTCCCACGCTTGATCCTACTTGTTTTCTGTTTCATCTTTTTCCCCATCTTCGTCACCTTCTTCTCGGCTCTGACATCATCACCGAGCCTGGCTACTCCTAGTTCGTTCGCTGGCCGAGCGACTGGATTACACGCTCTCTTCTCCTTCAACGTTCCCTCCTCCCTGTTCCCGCCCTCCGCCATCATCAGTCTCACCGATGACAACTCCACCTTCTTCCTGGCCAGGCCTGCCGCGTTTGGCCCGTTGCTGCCCGAGAAGGGCCTCAGCGGTCAACTATGGGTCGGCAGTGGTTTCGGTGAGAGGACCGCGGCGGGGGCCGAAGGCGAACTAGGCTGTTCGGATATCCCAGGGTGGGGCGAAGGCGAAACCCATCACAAACAAGATAAGACGATGACGACGACCCCGGATGGCCCGATCGGGAAATCGGTGCCTGCCGCGGGAACCGAACCCGCGACCTCGCAGGACTCTCCGCAAGACTCCGACCTCCAGCACGATCCCCATGACGAAGGCTCTCCGGCGACGAATGACGGCACCGATGATCATCTTCACCATCCTCTGCCGGAGTCCCATGTAGTGGACGCCGGCGCGCCTAGGCAGCACGGGGACAACCATCAGACTCGACAAACCGCACATGCCGACATCCAGTCCCTGCAGGAGAGTGCGGAAATCACCGGAAAGGTCGTTTTGCTGAGTAGGGGTGGATGTGGCTTCTTGGAGAAGGTCAAATGGGTGCAAAGGCGTGGCGGTATCGCTTTGATTGTGGGGGATGACACTCGGGGTGGCAGTCTCGTGACCATGTACGCGCGAGGAGATACGTCGAATGTGACCATCTCGGCCTTGTTCACGTCACACACAACCGCCCAGTTGCTGTCATCTTTGGTTCCTTCTCAGGCTGGAGAAGATTTGGCTCTCGAGGACGGCTCTGGAACTTCCCGCACAAAGCTTACCGGCCATAGCACTGACAAGCAGCGATTACCAACCACTACCGCTACAACGGCTATCACCTCGCCAACATCCACTCCTTATGCCGCACCCCAAGAGTCCCAAAGTCCTGCGGTACACCAAGCAGGTGCCTTCCACCGCCTATTATCTTTGTTTGGTCTCGGCAGCACTCACCACGCTGGCAGCGTATCTGAGGATAGCCGACGTCCACCTAGTAGCGGAAACATTAACTGGATTCTGCTGGACGACTTTGACGATCAGGAGACACCCCAGGATGATGACCATGGCCATAGTCAATCGAGTGTCGCCGATGACCGTAAAAGATCCGAGATGGGCTCCGACGCTGGTGATGGCGACGGGTTTGTCATAGGCGTGCAGGACTGGCGAGACCCCGATCTGATGGCGCCGCGGAGCAGTTCTATCCCGTCACCAAGCAGCATCCCGGAGCCGGAACGCACGAAACTGCAGAGTGCTGGTGATAGAGGCCCCCGATCCGTGGCGGCTACTCTCAAAGGCGGTAGCATCACGCCGGGAAGTGGCGAGTACCGTACCTTCGAACGGTCAACCGTTGACAAGGACAAGTATGTCCCGGAGGACCAGATATCGGGCGCTGGTAAGAACGGGAAATTCGTGCAGAGCAGGGGCTGGTTCGCGAGACACTTTCCTTGGGCGAAGGAGAAGGAGCAGGACTCCCGTCGATCTTCGACACATGACAACCGTGAAGGCCGAAAAGTGCGCGAGCGTGATTCCGGGGTTTCTTCGGATCACCAGGGCGTAATCCCCCTGGAGCACGAGGGTCTGTGGATTACATTAACGCCGACAAGCATGTCTACAAGCCCATTTTTCGATACGCTGCTCGTTCTTGTCGTCAGTCCGTTGCTGACGTTGACGATTGTCTACGCCCTTCTTTTGCTGCGGTCTCGTATTCGACGAAGACGTTGGAGAGCACCTAAGTCTCTTGTCGATCGACTTCCGGTGAGAACCTACCACACCATTAGCACGTCTTCTTCAACGGCCAGCTCCCCTCGATCTTCCAGTCCCGGTCCCGTATCCCCGACTTCCCCCCTATTGGGCACCAAGGCTCGCTCGGAAAGCGCAAGGCCGAGGCCTCAGTCACAACGACTGTCGGGTACGTTTTCGGACACGAACACATCGAACACGGAATCCACTCGCAAAGAAAACCAGGGCACCTCGTCTACCTTGTGGCGCCGCAAGTACACTGGACGACAGGTCGAATGTGTTGTCTGTCTTGAGGAGTACGTCGATGGACAAAGTAGGGTGATGAGCCTGCCCTGCGGGCATGAATTCCATGCCGAGTGCATGTAAGTTGTGATGCCAACTACTTGATGATGAACAGGTTCGCTAACAGTTTGACAGTACCCCCTGGCTCACGACTCGTCGGCGAACATGCCCCATCTGCAAAGGTGACGTTGTTCGGTCTATGTCTCAGAACAAAGGGACCGAGCAGGCGGACGAGCACGATCACCACGAACTAGGATCCCACCCTGGTGCTTCATCCGCCCCCGTTCTGATTTCTGCGATCAGTGAAGATGAAATGTCGGACCCCGAGCGCCACGCCGGGTCAGAGGCCGGGCTTGTCGAAGAACACGCTTCGTCGGCGCCCCCACCTGGCTGGAGAAATTATGCTGCACTGAGTTTTTCCGCCCTCAGTGGCGACACGATCTGGCATCCCAGCCGGACTGACAATGATAGATAAAACTTTCCTTTCTCATCGAATGTGTCTCCTCTGTTTTGTTTGTTTTATGTTATCTTTCTTATACCGTCGCTTTCAGGGCATGGTTTTTTATGTTGCTTCCGGACCTGTGCTTTGATTTGAAATGGCCTGCATTAGCGAACTTTTTGAAGACATCAACATCTCGAATTTGGCTGGCGTTAGGTAGGGATGCGGGAGTGCAGGCGCAGGGCAACCAGAGCAGTGAATTGGCTATGCGAGGGTGGAGTCAATAGGCTCCGTGATCATTTCGAATTGCTGTCGATCTAGCGAGCGCTCATGATGCCCATCACTTTGACTTTGACTCATTTGCTTTACTTCGTTCTATATCTATCTACCTGGAAGATGCTGTATATTAAAACCCACCACTGCCGAATGGAAGCACGGCCAGCACGTGTAGTGACGTCATCGTGCATGGGCCTTATCGAGAAAAAACATGCCGAACAATGTCCGTCCCCTTACCTCTTCAGCTGCATCTCTCCGCGGCCTCCACCCACCATGGCCACCCAACTCCGGAACTTCATCCTCGCAGAGATCCAGAAATTCCGGTCCACCGCCAAAGATGTCGTCACGTCGCGCACCTGGTGGTACCCCATCCAGGGCCTGCTCTACCTATCCACGCACGAACCCCTCCGGCGCCCGTTCCTCTCGCGCCTCGGCCAAACCGTCACCCTAGGCGTCGGCATCACCTCCGGCATGTTCTTCTTCACCTACCTGCCGCAGACGGCCCTGCTGGCACTCACCAACGGCCCCTGGGCCCCTATCTCCGCCGCCTTCCTCGTCGTCTCCGAGTCCGCCTCCCTCACGACCCTCGTCGCGCGCTGCTTCTCCCTCCGTGACTCCCTCACTGATACCTTTGACGCGACACTCCTCGCTAAAAACGCTGATTCGCTGGTCGCGGAGGGCCGCAACATCCAGCCTCCGTCGCGTGGCCACGATGTCGTCGCGCGCCTGGGCAACCTGGTGAAGCAGCCGGTTGAGAGTCTCAGGCCCGAGGCGGCGCTGAGGGCCGCGCTGCTGCTGCCGTTGAATCTGGTCCCGGTCGTCGGCACGGCGGTGTATGTTTGGTTGCAGGGGCAGAGCGCAGGCCCGAGGGCCCATGCGCGCTATTTTCAGCTGAAGGGGTGGGATGAGAAGAGGGCGAAGGAGTGGGTGCGTGGCCATCGCCCGGGGTATACGGGGTATGTGTCTTTCTATCTCTCTGGTTCCTGGGGTTCTTGGGTTCCTGGATGGGGTCGGGGTTGGGTAGATTTGCTAATGAGTGTGCAGGTTTGGTGTCGCCGCTGTGGCGCTCGAGATGGTGCCGTTCTTGTCGTTGGCGTTTGCGTTTAGTAATACCGTTGGGGCGGCGCTTTGGGCGGCGGATTTGGAGAGCGAGGAGAGGTCGGATTCGTGATATGGGTGTAGTTGGTTTAGAAGGGAAGGGTTAGATGGATGGGTGTAAGATTGTTGTATGATGTGGATGTGGATGTTGATGCTGACTGCTAATTTACTAACCTTCAGCTGTATTTTTACTAATTGAGGCTTTTGTGCTGCTCTGTACCAGATTGTTCAGCCCCCTGATGGTTGACACTCGGACATGTCATGATTAAATATGATAGCTAAGTCTATATGCATGAAGTGGTTATCATACAAGATCTAAAACATACAAGTCACAAACCCAGTGAGTCAATATACTGGAAACAAAACATGTTATACCCACGCCAGATGCATCTGTACAGTCACCAATTTCCATGTCGACTACCGCTCTGCACCCACCGATCGAGGGTCCGGTGCGTCTGGTTGGAAATCCTCCGCTGCAGGAACACACAGCGGGCTGCACCCCAATCGGCGGAAGGGGAGAGGGCGGAGTTTCTCGCCCGGACACCGCGGCCCCTTCAGTCCGTTCTCATACGTGCTGCAATCCCACCATTCGATCCATTCTGTGCGGGCGATCACGAAACTCCGGTGACACACTGTGCATGACCGCCCGCCGCCGTCTCGGACAGCCCTCGCCCGCCGGAGTAGCCGCAAGATGAGTTCGGGGTAGTCTTCCATCTCCGAATCTGGGATCTGATCAAAGTACGGCGACTTGTTGAAAGAGACAAGAGACACTTCACGGAGAGATGGCACCCTGGACTCGGACTCCGGCTCGGTCGGTCTATTCATATACATGTTGGTTTGGTCCTCTCCGACGGGCTTCCCCTCCATATTGAATCGACGAACGCACCCGGTAGCAACATGGATTGGGGCCCAAGCTTCTTCCGGGGCGGGTCCTTCATACTCGCAGAGCTTCAGGGCTCCTTCTGGCGAGTCTGGGTCTGTGCCTTCTGGCGAATGCCATTGGGCAATGTCGGCGTCTTCGATCTGCAGGAGGGGATTGGGCCGGACCGTCAGATGCTTCAGATCGCCTTTCTTGATCAGCCAGAGAAATTCCCAGGGAAGACACTGCAGGCGGTTGACCGAAAGGTTGACCTCCTGCAGCATAGTCAATTTCCTGATCGCCGGCGGGATCTCGGTGAGCTTGTTATTGCGCAGGCTGAGTACTCTCAGCGAACCCAGCTCAAACAGCTCGCCGGAGATAGCGGTAAGGGAGTTGCCCGCCAGAAACAGGCGTAGAAAGGGTTCCAGTGAGCTGTACACTTCTTCGGAGATCGGGGGCTCCTTGACCGTCGGCAGCTTCGTAAGATGTTGCAGGGGTCGCAACAAGCCCCAGGGAACTGTGCGCAAATTTCCACTACTACAGAGGCCCGTTAGCAAGACAACAGACGCACTGATTACAGCCCGAGGCGCCTACCTTAGGTCAACACTGTCTTGCCCTTTTTCCAAGCAATCGTTGACAATAGCCCGCGCCAGCTGGTGTTCCCTCGACTCTTCCGACCTTTGGAAGACGGGTCGCTGCTGTGTGATCATGTGCCCCTGAGGTCTGAATCTCACGCCAGAGTTCTTCGTCTCTTTCAACAAATCCTCACCCCAAGTCGAGGCATCCTCCGAGGGCAGCAGCGAATCGGCACCGGACTCGTCACTGCCCATCCACACTCCACTATCAACCATGCGCTTGTCTTTGAAATCCGCCCGCTTTCGCTTCGGATCCTTCACCATCTCCCCCCACCACGTGCCCCGGTATCGTCGTTTCCGACTCCCCGATGGCACGGGAGCATTGTAATTCTCTAGGCCGGAGGCAGGAATATCATCACTTGAGAATAACGCGGGGTCGCTAGAGGGCTGGCTGGAACGGTCGTCGAATCGCGACAGCTGGTACGTCTTGCGAAAAGTGCCGGCGCCAGATGAGGCGTGGGGCGCATTCGCCGGAGAGCGGTGGCGGATGCGAGGCGGGGGAGGTAGAGGGATCTCGTTCTCCATGGTATAGTATAGTTCTAGTATCGCGAGGTCCTTGGCGACCGATACGGGATACTGTCAATGGCGATCGCGAAGGTCAACTAGTTTGGAGGGGGAAGTAGGATGCGGTGGGAAGTGAGAGCGTGTAGGGAGAGAGACGGCGCGTGGTGGGGAAGCGAATTGGTTCGCGGCTGTCAACAGCTGCAAGAGATAGAATCGACGAACGGATCACATCACCGGCCGCTGGTCGGATGCATGACGTCCGAAAGAATGAAGATCGAAAGACCGAGACTGAACTGCATTCTGTTTACCCGAGGCGCGTCGACGCGCCGCGCCAATCAGCGGGCCCGCTGATAACGGAACTGCCCCTTTCGGTGAACCCGCTGATCTTTGTCTAGATTTTATCTGAATCTACGGAAATCCAAGGTATTCTTACACCAGATCGATACGAGATAATGGAATAAAAAAAGAAAAGAAAAGAAAAGAAAAGAAAAAGAAAACGCCGGAGAAAATCAAAAATAAGATTCGAAGGTGCTACCCGGGTTCGAACCGAGGCTCTCAGGATTCGTTTCATCAAAGCCTGATGTCCTAACCACTAGACTATAGCACCCTACATGTGGTGCTGCTTCTCAATTTACTAATCTGATACAGAAGTTCTCCATCATCAATTGTCTTCCCATCCCACTGTTCACTAAGTTTTCCCTTTTTCTTGGCGGGTCCATCTTCCCTGGGTGGGATTATTTCTCCGTTTTCGTCTGTGTATAAAGTACCCCCATTATCCCCAAGATAGCGTTTTACGCTCGGGGGAATATTGGTGACATACTTGTGAAAGTAAACAAATCGCCTTGGCTGTCGGGAAATATCGATTTCGAGGTCACCCTTCATCCAATCGACAAAGGAGTTTGCCCTCATCGGGGCTTCCCCTGATGAACTATTGGGGAAAACGTGCATTTTTGGTCCATCGTGGAGCTCAAAGCACACACGAAATGCTAACCGCACGGCCGGGTCATCCCCCCGCGCTTCGAGCGCCCACATGTGAGGATGCCTATCCCCTATGGGTCGGATCTCAGGGAAAACAGTAAACCTATTCCCGTGTTGGTCTTGTTTGATGTTGTTAAGACAAGGCGAACGGACGCGAAGGACAATATGATGACAGGTAATAATATACTCTTCAGTATATTCTTCGGTATATTTCTCTTTCCTTCGAGTTCTATATACCTTTTCCCCGCTAGAAGCTCGATTTGGGTCTTGCATTCTCGTTTTGATAGATATGATTGAGTCTCTCGCTTAGGCATAATGAGTGGGCGGAATTCCTGTCCAGATAATTCTTGGGAATAAACCTCTTCCTGGGAAAGCCCATCGGACTCTTTCCGTGACAACTCCAAAAGCTCCAAGGCAGCTTCTTCGTCTGCAGAGTGGCCGGAAGCTTCGCTGACAGTCGCAGGGTTCATATTTTCTTGCTTTGCAATGGGCTCATTCCCTTTCTCAAGATTTAACGAGGTATACCATCCCCTCATTTCCTTCATCTTCGATTGATCAAAAACGCCAACAATCTGTTCCCGGGAGGGCTTGATGATGTTTGTCTGCTTCTCATAATCTCATAATCGGAAGGGCATCTCGGTAAGACATGTAAAATTATTAACATGCCCTGAAACAGGGAGCGTCCGATTTTCACAGGCTCTTGGATTTTGGAATTGTCTGAGATTCCCTTGGTTTCCAGCCAAGTGCGGAAAGTTGGGTGATTGTTTGTTATAGTCATAATTGGATACTTGCCATCCCGTTCATCACGATATCTCCGAATAATGGCTAAATGAATCACTGTAGAGTTTGAAAAGTATCCGGTAACCCCATTGGTTCTGGTAAGAATAGCGGCCAAGTTAAGGACCTCTCCCATCCTCACAGAGCTAGACCACTTGTTCTGCCATAGTACATCTATTCCAGGCGCCTCAACATAGATGCGCCTAAGTCTTTCATTTTCAATTTCAACAAGTGCCTGGAAGTTGAGTCCCCGTAGAAAAAAAGATTAATAGGCCTGATATCAGCGGAACAAGAATCTATTAGAAGATCGCAAACATATTGCCCGGCCAGTATTATAACCTTCAAACTTGTGCGTCTGATCGGATCAATATTGGCCTTTCGGATGATTGTTCTCTCGGTGGAACTGGAAGGCTTTCTATCGAGGCAATTCAGATCAAACTCTTGGTCACGAAAGCTTACTGGCCAGACAAGCGAGTTCAATTCTGTGAAGCCACTTTGTCTAATGCCCCATGGCAGCTCACTCAGTTCACTCATGGTTTCTTTCGTTGACCTGGAGAGTGCGTGTTTTCCAAAGCCGGGCTCAATAATTATGCCGATCTTGGCGTCGTTGCTTCCAATTGGCTTGACCAGGCTTAGATCTCGGCCTGTTTGGCGCCTTAAGTCTTCTGCGCATCGGACTAGAACTTGGGAAAAGGTATGTATTTGTAGGTGTTATCAGGGTCAATGATCTTCATGAGTTCCCGGATCAAGTGACCAATGATTGACTTCAAGGAGGAGAAAACCTGGCATAGAGAGAATATTCGACCAGTTAATTGGTAAGTAATAAGGTCAGTGCAGAAAGAAACCTTACCAGAGAAGCCGTCAGGTCTGCTTGAGCAGAACTAGACCTATGGCTTTGGTTGATTGTGCACGCTGATTTCAAGTGGCCTTATTGGTTGCAGGAGTAACACTTTCTGTTCTGGAGGCATCTCGAGGCATGGTGGCCCTTTTCATTGCAGTCTGGGCAGATCTGATCTGGACAGTTGCGTTCCTTATGTCCGAACTTCCAGTAGAGAAAGCATCTTGGAGTCGGACACCTATTTGCTGTGTGGCCAATTAGGCCACAGTTTTCACACACGTTCATTTCCCCGATACGCTTCCGAGGAGCCACCAGTCTGGTAGGATATGTCAGAACCGACGGGTTGGGGGATATCCTAGGAAATACACAGGGGAGACGAAGAAAGGATAGGGTGGATAAGAGAACAAGGCAGACAATTAGGAACAGTGAATTATATGAAGAACCGAGGTTCATGCAAGGCTCCTAATTATGGGATGACAGAGAATGGAAGGAGTCGATGTCCATGGACTGAAATAATCAGTCGACCGTGGTACGTCTGAGGTATATAGGGATGTTCATGTTACAAGTAGTTAGTGGGTTGGGCTATGATCCCGGAATAGGTTTGACATCGAATATTTACATAAGGGACACAGTAATTCCTCGTTGTAGTGAATCAAACGGGGCGCCTAAAAAAATTCGCTATATCGAGGATTCGGTCAAACCAAAATCGCACTTTTTGTAATATTCTACTAAAAATACCAGTTACTTATATATCTATACATACTTCGTGGCTTTTGAATATATTATCTTGTTTATAGAAATACAATGTTAAGTGTTTTTTTCGTTAGTTAGCTATAAAACCAGTAGATCGGATAAGGTTAACTCTAAATATATACATATTTATGTATAGAGGGGTGGGTAGCAGAATCCCCGCAGTATAAACCGCTTGCTAGGAGGATTTCGTTCGGTATAGCGAGGATTTACTGCACTATGTGATAAATTTCAGATAAAGATCTGAGACACAACACTTGATAGATGCGATGCATTCATCACTCGGGTGCTATAGTCTAGTGGTTAGGACATCAGGCTTTGATGAAACGAATCCTGAGAGCCTCGGTTCGAACCCGGGTAGCACCTTCAAATCTTATTTTTTGTTGGATGAGTAGACAACCGGCGGTGAGGGACGGCAGATTGAAATATAAATTCCTTCCTCATTGTTTCTGTATCTAACAACCTACACCGAATGCATTGTTTTCATTAAAATCGTACATTCATTATTCAGTCCATAGGACCACCAGTGTGCTGTGGAGCTTTGATCTCGTTGTGTGAAAACACAACACCCCTGGCCGCTTATGTCCGTACTGCCCTCCCGTACCTACTGCCTTCTTGCTAGACCTAGGTGTAAGGGGCAGCCAAGAGTAAAGTATCATCGTCACCAGTAGCCCACGAAGAGGGCAAAAGACCCAGCGATCAGAGCAGCCGACATGTTGGCATCGGAGATGCTCGCCGCTCCCGTGCTCAAGGGAATGGAGGGAGTTGCCGAAGCGGTTGAGGTGGCAGACGTGGAGCTTGCTGATCGCACTGAAGTGCTCGCGACAGCGCTGGAGACAAATCCGCTGCTGGAGGGGACAGTCACGCTGACGGGGAGGACATGAGAATTGACGGTAGTCGACGCAGCGTCATCCGCAGATGTCACAGTACTGACTCGGACAAGAGTCTTGGTAATGGTGTTGGTCAACGTCGAGGTGGAGGTTTCTGCAGCGACAAACTGGGTCGCGGCCAGGCAGAGAATAGACGAAGTGAGGGCGCCGAATTTCATAGTTGCGGCGAAAGTGAAGTGGTCTTATAAGTTTAAATAATGATATAGTTATCCGGCAGTGCGATAACAGCCCTGTGGGACTAGAAGAGGCCGATGAGTCAATATAGACAGGTAGAATGTCAAGTAAGGATTGAATGAGACGGCGCGATGCCGGACCGGCGCAGTGTGTCGCAAAGGCGAAATGAGTGACTGGCGATTGCAAGGTGTCGGGACAAACTAGGAGGCGCAAAGGAGAGAGCGTCTCGCCGGAGGGGCAGGTCTTGATTATTATAAAGAACGTGGGGGGAGTGCTTTGCTCCAGACCGAAGAAAAAGAATGCGACAGGGCGACAGTAATGCAATGCAGAATGTGCGACAGGGACCGTCGGGCTAAATAGGAACTAAACATAATGCGACAGAAATTGTCAACACGAGAGACGGTGGACACCCCTCGGTCCCAATCCTTCAATCGCATCCCTTCCAACGGGCCGGGAAAAAAATCCTCGTCCAATCGCAAGGGATTTCCCCTGGCCCATGAGTTCGGGGAGCGATTGGACCAGATGGAATGTTCATTGTTATTACTTATTTCTGAGAACTGGCATTTTGCAGCCCCGTCGTGCGTCAACATCGGTGGTCAACTATACGAGGAATGAACAAATCACCGACAGCCCTGCCCAACCATGGATGGATCATTGAAAGGACCGGAACCCTGCCAGGAACCAGCGCAGCGGCAACTGAGCTGGCAATGGGCATTACTGATGGTGTTGATTCTGGATCGCCGATCCTTGTTCTTAGTGGCGGTTGGATCGGGATTTAGGTTCGGTTCCTGAACGACTTGGTCAGGCACGCTTTTTGTTAGGCTGATCCGTCCAGATCCACCAGGGAAATTGGTGTGGTTCAGTCTCATTCATGCCAGATGTTGTGCTACGCTGTCAATAGCAGTCTGATAATGAGACATTCTTCTTCTTCGAGTATTCTTTTGCTGCAGCTGCCCGTGAGGGCGCTTCTTGTCACTTCCGTTGTCTCTCGACTGTTTCACACTACTTTCACAAGGCTCGCCCTGGATAATCCCTGGGAAACTAAGTTAAATTAGTGAAAAGAAAAATTCGGTCTCGACCCTCAACTAGTCGACGCTAAGAAAATATGACGCAGCAGAGGCAAAAAGAAGACGAAAAAGAAAAAGAAAAAAGAGAAGGGAAAAAAACCCACAGACCTCTGAGTGAGACACAACAAAGATCGGCTAATTTCCACCCAGCGAGGCGGACAGTGGGACGAGTCGAGGGTCTTGGCCTGACTCGATTCGATTTGCAATTCGCAACTCGAATGCATTGGGACTCGTTGATTCAATGATGAATCTGCCGGGGTTTCTTGGAGAAATCACGCATTGAGGGGTCCAGTCACCTGACAAAAGGGTCTCGGTCTCTCCGGCCTCTTGTCTGACTCTAGATCCCGGTAGAATTTGAACATCTTGCGCAAGTCGATGGATTATGATAGGCTGCTCGCTCTGCGCTTTGGGCGAGGACTTCGGTGACCTGCTTGAACCCCGCACGCCTGCGATTACGGAAATGGGGTTGTTAAGATGCTCACAAGAGATGCAATTCGTGCCGGCCTACTTGTTGGGAATACGACATCACTACCTGTGTCAACCAAAAGAAAGCTATACATCACTCCTGGCATGCTAACGTGCGCAAGGGAAGGGCAGTTCAACAAATGGAGGATTGACCCAGCGATTAAGCGGCTAAACACGCTGATCACCGGCTTTGATGACCAGTCATTGTCACCTACACCTGCAAGGCTGAAACAACGCCTTCGTTAGCACAACGCCTCGAGACTTTATTCCTTCAACACCAGATATCAAAGAATACCCAAATCGTTCGTGATACTCGAGACGTTTCGTGGGTATCTTCATAAAGAAATACATTTCTCAAATGGTCTAGACTTCTAGAGCTTCCTTGCGACATCATCGGCAATGCAAACGTCAGACAGGGCTGGACCGCTCCAGGCAAAATGCGACGAAGGTTTTCTTTGTCTCCTGGTCAACGGAAGCTTCATCGGATATCCCGTGATTGAAACATGTCTCTATAGTGTTGAGAATATGTACTTTGATACCTGTCGAATAGAGAATCTCCTGGGGTTCTCAACCTCCCCCCCCCTGTGATGATTAGAATGATGAATTGGCTGCAAATATGAAAGGACTAGCCAGCTAATCTTTGCTCGCATGGCTTGAACTCGATACCTCGATACCTCGATCACGAGTCAACGGCAACTGATGGATGGAAGGCCGTGGATTGGGCCTGGCTCCTGGGACACTTGATAAAGCCTAGTCATCGACAGGAAACGGCGGACTCGCTTGTAATGAGTAAACCCCTCAAAAAATATTCATTGTTACACCGATTTCCCTCGTACCCCAAGTGTTGACGCCCTATCCCTACGTCTTATATGAGACGCATTGACCGATCTATATATACTAGCCTAAAAACCTACCAGAGAATCTGTTCAGACCCCTCTATTATCGATTCGCGCGATAAACTTTCGGATATCATTTATTGTGACAGGCACTACGCCTTCTTGATAATCATCATAAAACCAGCTGTTTCGAAGCAAGTGATTCAGCTACTGGAAAGAACCATATATCACAATGAACAGGTTTGTGCGACTTGATGGGTTCAATCGTATCCCAGGCGCGAGTTCAGTGCCGAAATATACTTCCGAAAGTATGACGAAAAATCGTGTTTAGCTCAGTAGGAAAGACATGCTTCTGACAGTTTGATACGCCATGTAGGACGATCGCCATAGCAGTCCAGATCCGTTAACTACAGTTGAGTTTACTCCATACTGTGAGTACTACTGACTGCTCGGATTCCCCTTGACCAAGTCGCCCTCCATCTTTCTGGACTGCGCGTGAACAATCTTCTACGTCCTCACCCGTCGATTCATAGTCATTCTTCATTAAATGATTAGCTTGTTGAAACGCCGAGAGACGTCACATAACCAAGCTCGGCCACCTCCAGCCCATCTCGATGCTTAAATTATATGTACATTATGCAGGGCCTCAAGCGGTCCTAATCCCTCAGCGCCTCCGTGGCTCAGTTACCACCAACCGCATTCTCGCCACCACCTATCACGAAGCTGTATGGAATACAAGCTGAGATAGATACTATTGTACAAATGACCCCCCTCAGTGTATCAACTGCCGATCCCGGCGCGCAAGGGCCATATAATCGATCGTTTAGTCGCGGGCAGGTCGCAGAGGGCTCTGACGGGGAAGCATCATCGGGGGTCCCCGAGCGCGGAGCCAGGCATCGTTGTGAGGTCCTTCGGTACGGATGACACTGCCGATAGACATGAAGAGACTAGTTGGGTCAGTAAGGACTTAAAAGAGTAGGACTAAGCAGAGCAGACTCCAATAGCCAACTCGCCTGGCTAAGTCGAAAGTGATTAAACGTACCCAAAGGTGGCTCCGGATCCAACCATGTATTTACCCAGAGTTCGCATAACTCCGTTAGGTCCAGCGCCATACTGGAAGATGGTGACGGTTCCTGAGATTATGAGTGACTGTCGATGTTTACGCTTTAAGAGTTGCAGTAGCATACCGATGATGAAACCCATGATACCACCGACGGCTAAGAAGGAAAGAGAATTAGGAAATCCTCCATGTTTAGCGGACATGACATAAACTTACTCGATCCCATCATGGCACCCATCTTCACTGCGGAGGAGTTAGTCGCTTCTTTTCATAGCAATAGGAGACAAGGCAGAGTACATGTGCCCATGAGTTGTGCGCAACATGCTCTATTGTTCTCTCCAACAAATCTCAATCAGTCCTGGGATACTCACTCTTCTCGAAGGTCGAGGGACCATGCCCTTGAGGAGGACCCGCAACGACAGGCATATTGGAAAGCTTATAGAGCTAAAAGCCGAAAGAGATGCAGTAGGTATAATTAGAAGCGTTGAAGGGTCGCCAAATGAAAGGGACCTGCAGAAAACTGCTTGTTCGGGACTCCGTTCTTCCACGGGCTCTTGCAGCGAGACAGACAGACAGACAGACAGACAAGAAGCTGCCGCGCTTTTCGGCGCCGTCGAACGATTGGAGGCCCGAGGCCATTCCGAGGCCACGTGACACCGCCTACCCGATGGGGCAGTCGTTAGGTAAGCCGGCACGTGTCCCGCCCCGGGATGGGATTCACGTGACTGGGAGCCTGAGGCGTTAGGGAGCGTGAGCTGATCCTCTTTCCCGCCTGCAGTGGCCACCCATGCGATTGTGTCCTGGAACAGTTGACCCCCGAGTGTCGTGTTATTGCTGTTCTGGCGGCTTACCAAGCCCGTGCAAGGGGGTAAGGCCATTTCTTGCTTCAGTTTCGCTCTGGTTGTCCGACGGACAGCCTGTCGGTCGCTAGTTTCTCAGGCTGAGTCTGCCGACCTCCTTGATTCGAGGACTGCCTGCCACCTATTATCATTTCGTCATCCGTTTGATTTCGATCGTCCCCTTCTGTGCTTCGGAGGTATGTCTACTGCATCGACCCGGGTCTTGCGATGAGAAGCATCTATGCTGTCGCCCTTCTCGCCAACCCTCGGAGGGCCCGCTGTTTATCTGACGCCAACGGGAAAATGCTAACGTGACTCTCGGCTCCAAGTTGCTAGACTTGCGGAAAAGTGTGTTTCGCGCACCAGACGCTGCATTTCGCGCCCCTTTTCGATTCTCCTTCCGATCCCAGCCTCGAGGCGATTTTCCTTGGACTGCCTTATTTTCTTCCTATACCCGAACGCGCTGTTTATTTACGGGGTTCATTCACTTGCGCTTGCGTGGATGAGATAGGATCGCCCCGGAACACTTATCGAACCTACAAACAAACGGTTTCCGGTCCCCCTTCTCCATGACTGCTGTGGCATCACCACCTAGTGTGCAATCGGGGCCTCGCTTGGGATGGTACGACTCTAGCAACGGAGGACAAGGAGCCCTGTCTTCGATGAACGCGGACGAAGTCTCTCGGATGTTTATGCCACGGAAGACCGTTCAGCGATCGAATTCCTCTTCTTCTCTGGGATCTAATTCCTCCACGTCTACAGTAACCACAAACGCCCAGAATACTAATGCCGGACAATCGACGAACCCTGAATCTGCTACCTGGTCGTCGAAGAAGAAATCATCGAGGAACATTTGGCCCAACTCCAAGTCAGAACCTGTCTCTGGAGTGAGCAACGCACGTCCTCAGGTGATGCCGGCCTTCTCATCGGGGCCTGTCGCCGCCTCTACTATGTCTGCGATGCAACAACCTTCCAACATTGTTCCGTCTCAGCATATGATCCAGCCCTCTCAACAAAATGGCGTTCGCGCTGGGAGCGCGCCCTCGGGGGAACCGCCCGCAATATTGACGCTGTTGCCTATGAATGGCACTTTTGAAAAGAAACAGATCAATGTCCCTTATTTCCCTGAAGTTCTGCGAATCGGTCGGCAAACGAATGCGAAAACCGTGCCTACTCCTGTCAACGGTTATTTTGACTCGAAGGTCCTTTCCCGACAGCATGCCGAAATATGGGCCGATAAATCCGGGAAAATCTGGATTAGAGATGTGAAGTCATCGAATGGAACCTTTGTCAATAACCAGCGACTGTCTCCGGAGAACCGCGAGTCAGAGCCCCACGGGCTCCACGAGAATGATACGCTTGAACTGGGTATCGACATCGTCAGCGAAGATCAGAAGACTATTGTTCACCACAAAGTCTCCGCTAAAGTGGAGCATGCCGGAGTTTATGGAACGATACCGAATATCCTTGATCTCACGCTTGGTGACCTAGATCCTGCGTCTGGAAATGGACTTCTGCCTTCTCCGCTCAGCCAGCCACTGTCGCATCTCCGAGGACGCTCGGGGAGTACCATGAGCAATCGGAGTGCGCAGAGTGCTGCTAGTAGTCAGTTCAATGCGCTGCAACAGCAGCGCCAGATGAACTACTGGAACTCTCCGATATCCATTGAACAGGTTGTCAAAAGACTTACAGTATGATGGCCCCACTCCCTTCTGTTAAATGATTACTTGCTAACCTGTTTGCAGAGCGAGATGAAACAAGCCAAACAACAATCTCAGGAACTTCGCCAAACCGACGAATTTTTAAATACAATTATGAAGCCCGGTCATATAGAAAAAGAAAAGGCCAAGCATTCTCCGCCTGAAAGCACCTCTTCTCGTCAGGTGAACGGAAGGCCGAAGATGCCCCGTGTCGACTCCTTTTCGCGATTCTCTGATCCTCCGGCACCTCCCCCTCAGCAGCCTCTACCCGAAAAGCCGGATGCGCTGCCGCGAAACGGCGCTGATTCTCTGTCGCCTCTCAAGCGAACGGAGACTGAGAAACCTAAGCTGGGAGCTGGGAATTCGCCCGTTTCCCGCGATTCGAGCCAGATAATATCTCTTATTGAAACCCTTGCATCTACTAGAAAAGAGCTTGACAGCCAAGGTGCCCGTGTCAAAGAACTCGAGGCATTGCTGCTCCAGGAGCGCAACGCCCGTGAATCTGCAGAGGAGAGGGCGCGGAATCTGGAGATGCAAAGCAAGGAGAATCACGAAGATGGCGTGGCATCGTCTGATGAACAGCCCGATGGCGCCCTGCATGACTCGACAGAAAAGCAAATCTTTGAAGGGCCTAAAGTCGATGAAATGCCCGCTCAACCAAACCCACAGGAATCGGTGGAGGCTGGAGACTTGGAAGATGATCAGGCGACCAAACTGCAACATCGCCTCGAGGCGATGATGGCTGAGATGGAGGAAATGAGAAAGCAAGTCTCCATGTTCAAAGATCGCGCGGAGAAAGCCGAGACCGAGACAGTCGAAACGCGCAAGTCCTTGGGTGAGATGATCGAGACGCTTCGACGAGAGCACGCAGAGTCTCGAGCTGGCAACATCCCTGAGGCCCAGCCAGAGGATTCTCCCGATGTCCTCGAGACTGCACCCATTAGCGAAGATGCGAATGGCCATGAAACCAAGGACTCTGACCTACAACCGGAGAAGTCTGTGCCCGTGTCCCCAGAGAACGGTTCTGGATCTCCTGGTCCAACTTTTGCCACGCAAACGCAGCGACACGATGTCCTGCAACAGTCAAGTCCATACGCATCGATGCTTGGCGTGGTGCTATTAGGTGTAGGCCTAATGGCCTATCTGAATGGGTGGCAGAAGATGGACAAGTGAACTCGCCGTCCTTCAGTCCTTCAGCTCAGGCAGCGTCTTTTTTGACGAGGGACATCCTCCGATGACCACATCCAAATACCTTCGATCCTTCTCGATTTTCATTTTTGACCTTATCTTTTGTATTTTGGTACATGCCCAAACACGGAGTTTTACTGGATTTTCTGGGGTTTTACATTCTGTCTATTATTGCTGCTGACCTGCTTTTTGTTGATTTTCGCAGTTATGCTTGTCCATAACTAGCCCGACTTTCCCTCATCCTTCCCTTTTTTCCTCTTCTGTTTGTGCTCAAATATCATTCTTCGCAGATGGCATGTTGTTCCAGTTACGATTTCCTGGCAGCAGAGGCCCGTTCTTTTTTTTCCTTCTATGTTTATGTCTCTTTCTCGTGGGCAGATCAAAGTCATGTCAGGCTCTCCCCGCCTTTGTGTATTAGTCTTATCATAGCAGCATCACTTCCCTTGGCAGTTCCAAAGCGATGAATGACTATTTCTATGATTTTCTTTTCATCACCGACGATGGTTTTCATTTGGGTTATCCTTCTTTGTTTATGGTCCAACATGGATTGATTGGCCGGTGCTTTTCAGAAATACCCCGGTAGTGGGATATGATTCAGGGGTTAGAAGGGTTGATATTGGTTGAGCAGTTTTTGATACACGCTTCTAGTTCTGATTGTGCTTTATTCTTATTCCCTCATTGGTTTTCTCTTGTTGTATGTGTACATAGTTCAGCTTCCTCACGCAAACGTTTTGCATTTCTGCAATTTGCAAATCATTTTCTCATTCCTTGGTTCAGTTCTAAAATTCCGGGCCTTGCGGTGACGGCCTCAGCTTTGTTCATATGGCATTAGCATATAAAAGATACACTGTTTTGAATGCAACCTAATAGTCCCATTTTGATCAAGATACGGGTTCAACCTCGCTCAATCTGGACGTAATAGATCACGACTGAGGCATCTGATCCTGCGCTGTGGATAGGCGATCTTGGATATTCTTGTAAATATCAAAATGCGGAAGCGTAATGTCTTCTCAAGCACTTTCCTGGAGATGCCGCATGCGCATCAGGGTTTTCGAGTCGGCTGAAGCTCGACTTATCGAGTTGATGGTAACAGAAGCATGGTTCGCGCTCCAAGCCAGAAAAGGGCGTTCGTACGGCCCCATAGAAAGGACCGTGTCGAGGAATTAGCGCAGCAGCAGTGCAGTGTATCAGGTGGATGTTCCATATCGCAAAGCCCGATGCGAATATCATAAGATCATAGATCCGAATTGATATCACCCTGCGATTCGCCTTCCTTTCCTTCATTTCAGAGCCACCGCGACCTCAACCATATTTACCCATCGAGTCCTCGTCTCCGGCAACTCCTCCTCGCCCAACTTCGCCGCCGCATTCGCCGCGCGCTTCCGTTTCTTCGCCGCAGTCTTCGACCGCGATTTCGCCGTCCCCTCCTCATCTCCTGCGCCCTTCTCCTCCCCTTGCTCTTGCTCCTTCACCACAGCCCCCTCCTCAACCTCCTTCCTCGCCTCCTCATCCTCAACCACATCATCCACAACCAACACACTCCCCGTCTTCACCCTGACGCTATACTCGTCCGCCCGCTCCTCAAACCACCTCCCCACACTCAGCGCCTTCTCCATCGCCCGCCCCGTCGCCTTCACGAACACCTCCTCGCGACAGAGCTGCTCCCCGCTGCGCGCGATGTCGCCGAGACGCTGCCGATCGCGCGCCTTGCGGTCCGAGAGGTCCACGGACGCGGTGGCCCGCTTCTCGGCCTGGCGCAGGAGCTTCTGCACGCGCTTCACGGCGCTCATGAATGGGGATTTTGTCGATACGTAGACGGTCTTGGGCACGGTGGGGCCGGCGTAGGGGGATGCGATGGGGGCGTGCGGGATGGGGCGTTTTTGAACGCGCGCGTCTGGGTGGGAGGTTAGTTTGTTTGGGGGTTTGATTGCCGGATTTGCTTTTGGGATTGGAAGGGATGAGGAACAGCTTGGTTGTTTGCTTGCTGGCTTACATTTAGGCAGTTTGATCATGTCTTGGTTCTTTTTTTCGAAGGTGAGGGAGTCGGTGGTTCGCGATTGGGGGTTCTTTTTCGGTGGTTCGGTGGGTGTCATTTTGGGTGGTTGGGCCATAGCGGGAGATGGGTTTTGTTTCTGGAGGAGAGGGAGAGAAATCGTATTCTGTAGGATGTTGAGGTTGGAAAGGTTGGATGTCGTGGAACTTCATTGCAGATTCAACGCGGAGGACTGGAGACGGAGTTGCCTTTTCGGGTATGTTTGCTTGGTTTGCACATGGGCCTGGTGCCCTAAAGACTTCTATGGTTGAGAGTCTGCGGTTACACTTGGTTAATTTCTCGATATGGAAATTATTGAGTTCCTATTACGTTTGCCAAGCTTGGTTTATCTTTCCAGCCGTGAGTCTCGATCCATTATGCTTTATCGGGACTGTTTCGATCGAAGTCCTAGTATAGATGTCTAGTAGATATCATCTTACGAGTACGACTAGTACCTTGTCGCGAATGGATAGGAATACTTCGAACTATGAATATTTTTTGATAATATAAAAATAAGATACATTGATCAAGAATATGCCACAGGGTTCCAAAGATGGAATGTAAATGCAACAAGTCATCGTTTATCGTGAATTCCATCATGTCGTAGAGAGATCGTCAAAAGTGGGTCGTAAAATAAAAGGACGTATTTTCGAGAATGAATATGTAGATGAGAAGTGAAAAGAGTCACATCAACCCGCAGCATTTGGCGGAATCAGTTGGCTCGATTGTGAGAAAGTCTTGCGCCCTGGTAGGAACCAGGGTGTGTTACGACGGGTTCTTTTGGTAACTGTCACCACTCGCGGTGACCCTTGAGCGACTACTGGAATCGCTTGTAGTTTGGCTTCTTGCAGCTTGGCTTCTGGCAGTTTTGGCTGCAGGGTCTCCGAAGTACTGGTGTGATAACGACGCCGAACCATTGCTTTGACCGCATTGGTGATCTGGGCGCGGAAATGAGGCATGGTGTTCTCATCTTTAGATTCGTTTCTGGTGGGTGTATCGCCGGAGACGGCTTCTTCTTCGCCACTCATGGCGTCAATGCTCTGTCGAGCATTCTCCTGGGCGGCCTTCACGGATTTGCGATAGACGTCGTGGTGGCCGAGGCATCGACGGAGGTCAGGCGAGTGGGACATGGATTCTCGCTGGAGTTTGCCATGAGAAATGGCGGCCAACTTGCCAGGACCAGAGGCCTTGGCAATGGGAGGAATGCGAGGGTTTAAGCGAGGCAGTCCGCGGCGGACTATTACCGGAATCTGAGAGGCTTCTGGACCGAGGGACATGGCGAAGAGGAGATGATAGTCATGTGTCTGGGTGGCTTGGACTCTGCACTGCTGAGGAAACAGACATGAGCAAGCCAGGGCCCCCCTGCACGCTATATAGGCGCCGAGAGATCCCCCTCCTGAGGCTATCAGATCGCAGCCTTTTGCCAAAACCGGAAGTACCCAAGGGCTTGGGTCGTCGCAAGGACCAGAACTCTATGCCTCGAGCTTCCAGACCGCGGATTGGCGTCGCTGTCAATCACAGTCCGAGTCCTCTTGCGGGGTCGAACGTGGCAAACCTAGCGGGGTTTGAGTCGCATCCTCGCCGTCTGTTTGGCTGTCGGCTTTGACCGGGCTCTGGGCGGGCTCTGGTGGCGTGCAGAGGGGGTTTCCCAAAGGATTTGGCGTACCGATGCCATGGTATGCATCCACCGGACCCACTCTATACGGCTCTTGAAGATAGAGTGCGACTATCATGTCCCTGGGGAAGCTTAATCTGAGGATGATGATTTGTGGAAAGACCTCCTTGTCCGGCCGTAACTCCTAAGCGAAGCACGGCCACACGACAGAAAAAGGAAACAGGGTCTTCGACAAACCTTGCGTCCCTGTCCTGTACCATGTCTTTCACGTCGGATGCGAGAGGCAGGAGACGCCATGTGAAGCCACGGGTGTCTTTAGGCGCTTTGTTAGAGTCGAGGCGGGTCGAGACCTCTGCGGGAGAATTTCGACAAATTCTAGTAAATGGGCTGATGCGATAACCTCGGGAATTCTAGGGATCGTCAGCAGAATCAGAGCGAAATGGCATAGCCACAAAATATGATACAATATTGGCTCTCTCGTTGACGATGAAACGGGGAGGAAAGATGTCGACGTCATTGACTACGACGACTGCCGTCTGAGTCATTCCCCCGTGAACTCTTCTGGCCCAATAAGAAGTGGAGAGTTTCTTGAGCTCTCTAAGCGACATGAGGAGTCAAAGTCAAAGTTCACCTCAGTTCCTTACAATCACTTTGATTCTTCTCTGGTCGACCCGTGGGCGTGGAGCCTAGGGTCAGTCTGCGCACCGGAAGAACCAGAGTACTAGGTATGATGTGAAAATTCGCTAAGAAGCTTATCATGGTCTCGGCAGGGCCAATTATGGAGATGCTGAATGGTTTGTGCCTGCTAACGATGTCATGACCCCGCAGTGCAGTGCATAGTTTTGCATTCAATCGAAGCTAATACCTCTATCCCATTGGGGCATGAGACGACGGATACCTTTTGCTAAAGGTTCAGCTTGGGAAGCAAAACCTGTGAAGCAAATCCCTGAGGTGCAGGTTCATGCTATACGGACAAGAGCCCAGAGTTCTTGTCCGAGTTCGCTGGTCTGTGCCATTGACGGAAATGCGAGCCTCGGGATGTTGTTGAAGTTGTCCAGACGCCGCCAGTCCAACGAAGCTCCACACTTCCAGCCAAAGAGAAGCCGCTGACAACCACAGCAGAGGAAAACTGCTCTACAGCTTAGGCCGTGTATCTTGATTGGCTGCTCTCTCGCCGCGCCAATGCCCTCATGGGCGTGGCTTGCAGGTGCTGCCTCTTGGGGAAGGACTGGCGTCGGCGTTTGGTGATGAGCGCACTGTGGCTCTTGGAAACGGGATATGCTTGGGAGTTTGATGCTCGATGAAGTTGAGTCGAATGCATGGAGTCTAGAGGTTCTTTTATCTACCTCCAAACCCTCGGTAGCTGTCAAACCCCGTAGTAACAGTTAGTGGACCGTGCAATTTAAGTAGGTTGGATGAATGCCACACTAATTTAGCTGCATTAGGCTTCCCGAGCTATACTCTACTAGTACTCGGATTTGGTCTTCACTATGATCTAGATGCCCATGATCTTTGCCTGTCAGTATAACCGAGGCAGAAGACGAGTGGCGAGCATACAGAATTCATGTCTCCTAGATAGGAATCAGTCCCAAAATTTCGGGGGTGGAAGAAAATTTGGAAAGGCTAAAACTCCATAAAAAACTCCGATTTGAGATTAAATTTGGACTATATCGGCTTCTGTGCCATGCAAATATATCGCTCTATCTTAACTCAAGAGATCCTGGCTGTCTTGTATGGCTTTCTTCGTTTTGGTTTATGAGTCTTCATTTGCCACCATCATTAGCAGCTTGAGAGCTCCATCTGACCCGAACAGTTCCTAGTAGTATTGTACAATGATAATGGTTTAACTACCATAAGTCCAATGTAACTATCTCAACCTCCAGGCTATGTAGCTGGGATATCTTCGTTCCAATTTGGATCAGCACGAGGAACTCTGTGGGAATTTTGGCTTGTAGTATGGAAGATCCCGTTAGAGTCTAAAACAGATTTAACAAAACATACCCCTATAATGTTTCTCAGAAATCATTCGTTACCGGAAGTTTTGCATTTTTTCCTGGGTAATCTAATCATCCATTGTATAGAATGGACAGAAAAGCGACACGGCACCGTATCTGTAGTGTCCTCAGAGCCGTAAATCCCATCCTCTAACGGAGTATTGCTAATATTTATCCTGGCCAATGGAATATTCACTTTCTCTTCTGATACTCACCAGCAAAATATGCAGGCTACCGGATAGTGCCACAGGATGAACATGATGAGTTGCTATATAACAAAGAATCGGAATGCCCTCTGGCGGGCTGGCATTTCTTGCACAACCCTGAGATGACATTTATTACAGGTCCATCTAAAGAACGGTAAGCACAAACTGCACTGCACTGGGCGTTCTCTGAATATCAGGGCGTTCGTGAGAGGATCTCCAAAGCCGCTAGAGTGTGCATCGGGCGCTGATTGGACAGTCGCCAGTTGTATACGGCGTTGGTATTCTCAAAGAACAGAGCGCTGTTTTCACTGTTGTGCTTCCTTTTGACTGTCCTTTCTTCTTGAAATCCCTCCAAAATCATTGAGAAGACTTTCCTCCATCCAATTCTTCCTTCCTTCCTGGTTTCCCTGGATACTATCCCAATTGTTCAGGAAATGCTGCTCATCATGCGGGAGTTTCTGATCCTCTTTCTGTTCATCTGGGTCGCTCTCTTCTTGGGATGCTACTTGTACTACCTTGTCTTTTACCCAAGAAGGAATGACCTGGTTACAGACCCCATGGAATGCCGCACAGTCATTTCTGCCAGGGACTTCAGAAAGAACCACAACCAGCTCACGTCCTATCAGTCCCGAGCAAAGCACAACGAGAGGCTTTGCACCGTGTACGGTATCGAGAACTCTTTCACCACCGTCGATCCAGCCTATTCCAATGAATTTGCCAATTTCGCCAGCGGACTTCTGCTTCTGCAGCCAAATCAGTGGGAGGGCCTGACAGTTACCGTGAGCGACAACATCAGGCGATGGCTTGATGAACCCGTACCATCTAGCTCATACAAGCTTTTCGTGCCTTTGAATACCATGGTGCAATCGTTGACGTTGAAGTTCATCTTCCTGACCCTTTACCAGGATACGCTCGATGCCAAAGACGCCGCCGTTATCGAGCTGGCAGACGCAATCAACTGCACCTGGGTCGCAGCCAAACGAGGATGCAATGTCCCTGCCTTCAAGGACAATCACTACCTGCAGAAAGCTCTGGCCCCCATATTCCCTAACGTCGACCCAGCTGACGAAAGAGGCAACCCTTTAAACCGGATCCTCCCGGGATTCGAAACGATCTGGCGCGTTGTCTTGCGGCTGGTGCTCGAAATCGGCTTCCACCACGACACAAACAGTCTCCTCTGGAAGACGACCCTGATCAATTTCGCGCAGAAGCCAACCAGGACCCAGTTCATGGCTGCAGGCAACAGCTTTCTCGTCTCCGCGGAGCATCTCGTCAACGAAGCATTGCGCCTCTATCCACCCAAGCGACGGATCTACCGGTCGTTCCAGGAGGACGACTCCAGCGAGACAACTACATACGGCGCCGATGTCGAGGGATGTCATCTGGATACTAAGATCTGGGGATCTGATGCCTTCGTCTTTAACCCGATTCGGTGGAAAGGCTTGACGACGGCTCAGGATGCGGCGTTTATTCCATTTGGCACCAGCCCGTTCTTGTGCCCGGCTCAGGCCTCGTTTGGACCAAGGGCTATTGGATTGCTAGCGGGCTTGATCTTCCGTGAGCTCAAAAGCGAATGGATACTCAACCAGGGAAGTGATGGTGTGAAAGTTCCGCTGCTCAAGGGAAGACTGAGCAATGAGGGGAATGCATACAGTGATCTGTTCTTGGTCAAGGATAAGGACTAGAATGTCTGTGCTTAGTTTCCTTGTTTTTCTTTTGTTAGAATGAGTCCAACCTGTGCATAATTTTCAAGGACTAGAGGTTGCATCTTTAATGCTTCCAAGCTTTTGTTACTGTTGAATAAATCTTTTTTTCTTTTTCAATTTTCCTTTTGAACCTATGGATTAAGTTGGTAAGGTGTATTCCATGACTGTCCCCGGTCACTGTAGACAATAATGCGACATAGAAAGACGGTACCCGGATCCATGTGGAAAACCGATTATGTTTCATATCTCATTATTCTTCTATCATTGATAATATTTCTTACAAGTTACTCAATCCCAAGTCTCGTCCGCTGCATACTACATCATTCTACTCCGTAAGAACTTAAAAATCCTTTTCCATGCAGGTCCCAACAACCGAACCCCTTACAACAAGGATGTGCTTGTCTGCATCATCCTTGCATTAGCATTCTTACTTAGGAGTCCTTGCATCGTATGTGAGACAACCACCATACTCCGTAGTAGATCCGAGACATGCTTCGCGGAGAATAATCCGGCTTTTTCTTCCGCCGTTCCTGGCAAGATGGAACTTGTGGTTCTATTTGAAACTCGAGAGAAAACCTTCTAGGTTCGAAGCTTCGATGTAATTGGAACAGGGAAGATTTCTCTTTCAATAATAGATAGAGCACCGTGAATTTCAAATGTAGTCCTTAGGAACCCAACACCCTTAACTAAGTGCCTACGCCGTAGCAGAAGGCTAAACGTAGAAGCCATGAACTGATAAGCGATGTCATCCTACAGAACGTCTTCAGGTCACTTATAACCCCTTACCGGGGTTTATACCACCCAATGTCTCGGCATTCAGAAAGCTTCCGCTCCTGAATCAACTTGGTAAGACGTTCGGTACACGTCTGGAACTGACTACGAGCTTCTCGAAATAACTTCTAAAGATATACCTGACCCCGACAATTGGGTCCCGTCAGTAAGCGAATACTGGGAGTACCATAAGGGGAGCAGTGCACGGGGGGGTTTGGGAGGAAGGGATGGCTCAAGGGGAATAGAACTGGTGCTCATTTGTTGGCGAAGGGGAAAGAAAGGTTCAACGTCATTCGGCTTGACTAGAAATTGATTGATCTACGTATTTACCAAGCAAAGCAACATGCAAAGGTTACTGCACAGTACTTTTTTTCTCTCTCTCGAAATTTGATCGAATTCTTGAGTTGGCACCTATTCCGCAGTTAACCACTCGTCGACCTACCGTGAATGGTCCCTGCAATTTTTGTACGGAGTTTTGTACTTGGTGTTTCAGCTTAACAAGGCATAAGACCCTTAATGGCGGGAAGGAATCCCCGTGGCCTGTCAGACACGCCTGATAATCAACGTGAGACTCACCACGGCATGGAAAAGTTGATTCCAACTTCCAACGTTACGGTCTTCCCGTTTAACTGACAGCCCCTGTCAGTGGCTCTCGATTGCATCATGGCGGAAGGACCGAAAGACCCCCTTGGGATGCAAATCATTTGCGACCGGTCGCGCAGAGAGCTGTCACTTTGTCGTGGAGCCCAGGAAAATACTCCCGTGGCGAGATCATTGATCCAAACCAAGCACTGCGTCGATCGCTGGACTTTTGCCATCCGATTTGTCGAGAGGGCTGCGCATAGTCATGTATGATTTCTCGTCGAGCGCCCGATGTCAGAACGTCATGGTCCGAGACCAGAACCACGGGCTGGCGGTCGAACGCTGTCTGGGCTTCTGGATCTGCGGTTGATCGATATTAGGGGATGGATGTTGCGTCATGGGCCACACTCGGTTCAGGAACGCGGCTCAAGGGTTGACGTTACCCACGATCTCTTGTAGACTATTGGCGTGTGGACTAGATGAATGTCTTATCGTGCCGCGAATACGGCGATAACGACGAGTCTCTCTGTTCGGTGGATCTATTGGAATCTTGGTTCTAATTTTGTCCTGCGTGGGTGACTTCCAACTGGGCCTTTTGGGGCTTGGCTGGACACAACCCCTCGTGGGAATTGTGATATGAACAGTCCTTTTATTTTCTTTTTTTTGTCGTATTTCTTCCCCAAGTGACTCAAGTGTCTTGGGTGGGCTGCCGGGGTCTCACTCTGGCTGCCTGGTGGCAGCGGATGTGGATGAGATTGAGGTAAAATCGACCTGTCATCTCATATACGGAGAACTTGACCCAAGGAATTCCTTGTTCGTCGTGCATAAGCTCGAAAAAATTTTCATTGATATTGGTTTCTGCATTCAGATACATGCAGATAATTGCAGCGAGATCCGACAGGCACTGCGTGTTGATTGGATCCTCAGTGGAGCATTGCAAGAGGTTCCGGGGTGAGACTCGATGCGAGTTATTGATTGGACCATGCTGTGTACCATCGGACCTGGACAACCAGGCACGGAGTCCGATCGAGTCCTTCGCTCGCTAAACCGTTCGTTTAATTCAGCCAGCTTCAAACGGTTCAGAAAAGGTCTCCGTATGGCCGGCAGGAACAAAGGTACCGAAGCCACCGAAGGACCAAAAGGACGAGTCAGGAACGGGCTAGGTAGCTTAGATTGTTTCACTTACAACGGTGGCAGACGGAACCCCTCAGGAAGGACCCATTCAGGATGGAGCCAATGAGTTCATTTCCATGGTTATACGGAGACTGGAGTAGACTGGCTATTCGGGCTTCAGTCGTTCCCAGCTTCGCCCAAAAACAAGAAACCGTCGTGATCCCAGCCTCCGGGGAACAGGAATGCGAATCTATGGCCTTCGACCAGTGTCTACGAGTCCAATTGCCTCGATCAATGTTTCAAAATCGCATGATCAATAGTAACTCGTTAGTGTGTTCCGCAGATGTCAGTCAGGGATTGCGTGTCCCGACCGACCCACCGAGGGTTGACACAAAGTACCCGAATAGTAATCAGTCATGAACCGTGGATTGGAAATCGAAAACCCCATTTGAGAGGATGCATGACGGATCAGATGTGCTCGATCCACCTGCGAGGAGAGAGAGAGGGAGGAAGAACGATGTCGAGCGTGAACTGTATGTAAGTACTTCTGTCGAGCAGCAGCCACATACACCACGATGCATGAGCAGGAACTCTCAGAACGACCTTTTTTTTCGTCGTTTTTTCTTTTTCCTAAAAACCTTCCCTTGCGTCCAGGAAGCGTCGCGCGAAGTCCGGGCTTGGTTTAGTTCGGAGACTAGAGACGGGGCTTGTCTTCCGAACGGTCCAACAGTCTCCAGCCCACTGGGGCGCGGATTTAGTTCGCTTTTACGCGGAGGCCTGGAAGGGCAACGGACTTTCGGCTGATCCATCGTGTGGCAACGGCCTTTGCCATTGGGCACCGAAGGCTTTTGTAACGGGGGTTTTTAGGAAGGTTTATGCACGGGGGAGTTCCAAGCAGCGGGTGCAGCAGATAAACCGAGGCCTTCAGGATGGAGGAACTGAATGACTTGAATTACTTGACAGAGTCGAGAGAAGTACTCTGTCTACTGTAATAATGCATGTCCAACCGGATCGTCTTCCACGGACTCGACACTCCGTAAATATTAAATAAACAAGAAACGAACGGGCGCCGGTGATTGGCAGGGGGCGAAAGACATCCATGGAACCGGAATCGCGGAGTCGATCGATCCTGCGGTGGATTCTTGAGGGCGGCGAGAGTCTGGAATCGCATTAAATCACTCGCTCCAAGACCCTTCTGGTTCCTCTTCTTCTACTCCTCTCGCCCTTTCTTGACTGTGTTTCTCTCTCCTCTCTCTCGTCTCTCTCCCCTCAACTCCCTTGGATAATTCAATCAGTTCATTCCTTCAACCCCTCTTCTCCCTGCCCTTCCCTAGGTTTCACCCCGTCCACACTCGTTCGCGGAGTCCGATCTCGCCAGTCCCCCACTTAGTTCTTTTTGCATTCGACGCATCCAAAGTAAAAAAAGAAATCGCTCCAGTCCCTCGGTCTTTTTGGTGCCACCCTGGATCGGCGGATCTGTTTGCTTTGACAGCAACCCGACGACTCCGAGTACTATTGCTTCCCGTGCAACCCAAATTCCCTACAGATCAGATCCAATCATTCCACTCTTGTCTGTCCATCTTGGTTCCGTGCATTTGGAACTGTCCCAAAAGAATAAAGAAACGTTGTTCCCGTCACTATCGATAATATCGATAACCAAACGAACAAGACGAGGTCCGACCGTTCATACGTTTGCCCTCCCACTCCCACTCCCACTCGAAGACCAAAGGGATAAACGCCTCCTTGTCTCCCTAGTCAAGGAGTCCCGACTCAGCTGCCAGCCAATTGAGCTGTTCTCGAGGTGCAGCTTCGTGCTATGGAGACACACGTTACACGCAAGTGAAGCCAGCCGTCTTTACAAGCATCTCTTATCGACTTGACTGCTCTGCACCTCCCATCACGTCACACACGAAAATCTTCTGGGCCTTTCCCCCTTTCGCTCACTTCCAGCCCTCTGGATCCTGCGGTCTTATATCTCGACGTCGTAGCACTTCTCTCTCTCTCATTCTCACATCTTTGCATTCTTACCTTGTTCTACCTCGATTCTTCCCGCCTCGCTACAATCCTCCCCACCCACACAATGGCACACGCACCGGAAGAAATTCTGGACAACCCAGATGGCTCGTCCTTCCTCTGGATATTCGAACATTGTCTTCGGTACCCCGAGACCTATGAAATGCCTCTTCGCAACATGTATGCATTGAATTGCAACCCCACGAGACAACCGCCAGTCGCACCCGGAGTCCCCGAGACAGCCTTTGCCAATCGCGCCTCCCACTCGTCGAAATCCTCGGAGTCATCGCAGGAGGCCGGGTGGGGCCGTGATTCCGACTTTCGGGCCATGCTAACCCATGAGATCTCCCTCAAATCATCGCAACCCTGCTCGCTGCCTCCTACTTTCCTCACGACGTTTCTACGTCGCTGCTTCGCTCAGGAGCTGGAATCTGTTGATTTCCCTCAGGCCCTGACCGGTCTGGACTACCTCAAAGACCTTGAGGTTCGTCGCAAGAAGGAAGTGGGCGCCGCGTTGCAGCGTTTGGAAGTGCAGCGTGATGATCTCCGCCCGAATTCGGAGTTTCGAAAGAAGTACCCAGGCGTGGTAGCATGGATCGACGGCATGAACGTGAAGAACCGCAAGATGGAAGCGCTCTATACCCAGATCTACATTGGTCTCCGTCGCTGGACTCTCATCAATGAGATGCTTATGGAGCCATTCAACAGAGCCAACTGCATTGCCATGCTGAACACTCTGTTTCCTCCTGTCACCGATGGGACGGTCACTCCCACCTCGCAGTTGACTCCCCAGATTCTCAAGTCTCAAAGAGACGGGTTCTTCCGGTACATCTCGGCCATCAACAACAACAACGCCAAAGTGATCCTTGACAAGGTAATCAGCCAGGGAGCCCCGGAAGGCGCGGACAACGGGTGGCCGCTGGTGCGAGACGCCCTGGACAAATATGTTCGGACAGCCAACGAGGTCATCGACGAATGCGCGACGGTCAGTGGCCCGGCTAGTTTCGATAACCTCGAGAGTTTCGACAGCCCCGAGGTCACCGAAGACTTCTCTTCGACCCGGGGACACAAAGGCCGCAAGGTCGACTCGGGCATTAGCTTTGGGTCGTCCGTGGTGCTACCCTCTCCCTCAACCAACGACAGCAGCAGCAGGGCAGAAGACATCCTGGATAAACCGCTGCCCCCATCACCCACCCTCAACACGCCCTACAAATCGGGCGGCTCTAAACTAGAGCGGCTGGCGCGCGAGATCCGCAAACTCAGCGACAGCGGAAAAGTCAAGGGCCTGAAGAAAATGAGATCCACCAGTGCCCTTGGCGTTCGCCCGGAAAACATCCCGGGCAAGACCGTGGATCATGCGTCCTTCTTTGAAATTGACGAGCAGAAGCGCAAGAGGTTGATTTGGGAGGCGACAAGCCGTAGAAGGCCCCATTCCAAACAACCCAGCGCGGACTCTCTTCAAGAGTGATTTGATTTATTGATTGATTGATTGTATTTTCACCACGACGGTTTTTTTCCTTATTCTTGAAACAAAAGCACGGAAGACAAAAAGCCTTACTTTAGACCGGAATCTCTCGGAGTTGTTGGCTATCTGGGTTCGATCATTACTTTTTTCTTTCTTTCACTTACACTTTGCGGCGTTTATTTGTCAATCGTTTTTCTGTTGAGTCTCGCACGCCAGTCGCAGCGCGAAAGGAAGACGCGGAGTTTCAACAACCACAACTACTCATTACCTCCCGAGAAGGAAGAGTTGCAAAGCCCCCGGGCAAACAGCCTGTGCGGCTTCTGAACGACCTATTTTATGATGATGATGATGTCTAATGAATCGATTTGTGTGATCAAATCAAAATACAATATGCATATTCAAGTTAAAGAAATCCACTTTGTAGTTTTCAAGATTATTAGTGGTGAAATCAGAGCCTTGTAGCAGTCCCTGAGTATAACTCCATAACTGAATCTATAGAATTGCTGCGAGAGCAGGATGTGCTTAGTCAGGATAACCGACCAATTAGGGCGCTCCGAAGAAGACACGGAAGTCTTGCGCGTTTGGCCGCTGCGCCGCCCGTAGCCGCTGGGCCTCGACCAGGTGGCCAGAAGCCTTGCGATGCTCCCCACGCAGTCATCTTGCGCTCTCACGACTCTTCGGCTGGTCGACGGGTTTCCGTTTGTTTCTCAATGTCTATCTGCTGGCTGAATTTTGCATGAATCTCAATTCGTGCCCATTGTTTGTGGACCCTTTCGTCCGGCATGCTTGCTAGCTAGCTCGTCTTCACTTGGAGTAGCTAGCTAGGAAATACTGTCATCTGAACCTATAATCATCGTGCTGTCTGCTGTGGAGTCTCCACTGGCAAGCAGAGATGATTTTCAATTCGAACTCTGTCGCCTCATGGCGGCTCACTGCCATTGTGGCTGTTGTCCTAGCTTGTTTAGTACGAGCAAGTCCGTCGGTCAATGTTGCCCTTCAGGCTTCATTTGATGCGGCACCATATCTCATAGAACTCTTGTAAGCTAGTATTTTTGCTTTCTTTTCCGATTTACTGCTGTGGCTAGTCCGAGTCGCTGATTTAACGTCGTAGAGAAACCGCTGCCGAAGAGAACTCGACTTCCTACTTCCCATTGCTTGACCGTGTCGCCGATGGCGCTTTCGACGATGCCGTGTCCGACAAACAGATCTATGACCGTTTCTTACAAATCGTGGATGAGGACGGACACTTGAAAACACCCGAAAGCCTATCATCCTTCAAATTGTCTCTGGCAATTCGATCGGCGAGTCCTCGCATCACGGCCCATTACCAATACTACAATGCATCTGTGCAGCACTCGTTGATGGTGGCGCAGGATGCCGTCTGTCCAGTTTGGGTGCACTCGGAAGGCAAACAGTACTGCTCTTCTACACTGGAGCGTGCCCAACAGGATGTCTTGGGAGAAATGTGAGCAGATAGTCTTTTCTCTAGGCGGATCGATACATGGCTGACAGATGTCACAGGGACTCAAGAGAGCTTCCGTTTGACCGGGTATTGGGCGACCTATCCTTACCTCCGGCCATTCTGTACGCGGATGTGGCGACTCCTATGTTCAAGGACTTTCACCACACACTGAGCGCACTCGCAAAGGAAGGTCAGATCTCGTACAGAGTCCGATATCGTCCTCCCCAGCATTGGAGTCCACGCCCTCTCTTTGTATCCGGATACGGCGTTGAACTCGCATTGAAACGAACGGACTATATTGTCATCGATGATCGAGCGGCTGACCAACAAGGATCCAACAATGCGGAACCCAGCGACTCCGAGGGTGATGCTCCAGATGATCTTAGACCTCTTTCGTCTTCGGAGGTGGCACGTCTGGGTGTAAACGCTGTTAGCTACGTGATGAACAGCGATGATCCTTTGGACACCCTCGTGAAGCTCTCGCAAGACTTCCCCAAGTACTCTGCTAGAGTTGCGTCTCGGAACGCCTCTACCGAACTTCTAGAAGACATTCGTTCTAGTCGACTGCAAATGCTTCCGGCTGGCATGAACGTCATGTGGATCAATGGTGTTCAGATTGACTCGCGACAGATTGACGCGTTTTCTCTCCTGGACCACTTGCGGCGGGAGCGAAGATTGATCGAGAAGTTCCGCGACATAGGAGTTTCCGCCCAGGAAGCAGTTAGCCTGCTATCGCACGAGTTCCTCGGGGAGGCTCTCGCGCAGGACGCGCCTCAGCGTTATAATTATTTGGATGATATCGAGGGTGGTCGTGTGCTTATATGGCTCAACGACCTTGAGAAGGATTCTAGATACCAGTCTTGGCCGCAAGAGCTGGAAGCAGTGAGCCTTTCCTTGAACATCTTGTATAAACTCGACATGCTGACATGGCTAGTTTCTCCAACGCACTTACCCCGGTCAACTTCCGGCCGTGCGCCGTAACGCGAACAACATTGTTGTCCCAGTTGACTTGAGCAGTCTCGAAGACCTGAACTTTGTGGTCACAACTATGTCAGCATTTGTGAAGAAGGGAATCCCGGCAAGATTTGCCATCGTCCCTATTGCATCTTCCGTTGGCCAGAAATCTCAGGTGAGAGTCGCTCATTACCTGCAGGAGACCTATGGTCTGTCAAGTCTCCTTCAATACTTGGAAGAGGTAAGAAATCATCACTATCCGCTTTATGTACCACTTGCTTAATATCACTAGTCTCTTGATAAGAACAAAGCGGCATCTGCCGATAAGGGCTGCTTTGAGACTGCAACCAAGGAACGAAAGGTCCGTTCTGACAGAAAAGAGCTTTCGTTTGAAGAGGTTCTGAAGAGCGATGACCTTGAGAATGTGGTTTCTCAAGCCGTCCACTACCAATATCGACTTGGCATCACTGCCGACGCTTCTCAAAGTTTCATCAATGGAGCTCCAGTCGCCCGCAAGAGCAACTGGATGCAGGAAGTGAGCATCAGGATCAGTAGAGACCTGCAGCAAATTCAACAGGGAATTGCCGACGGAGAAATTGAAGAGGCCACCTCCTTACCAGGAGTGTTTCTCTCCAAGGCGTTCCCCCGACGCAGTCAATGGGTTATTCCTGAGGATCCTAAGGATATTCGGGTCGTGGATTTGACTAAAGTGTCAGATTCGCAAAAGTCGGCACTGAGCGAAACTCCACTTATTGCCTCGACAAACGGCGATGCCCTGGACAGTGCCTACCTGATTGTTGTCGGTGATTTCGATTCGGAAAGCGGGTTCCAATTGCTCACTGCAGCTCTGGAGCACCGAGAAAAGCACAATGAAGTGGAGGTTCTCTTCATCCATAACGCAGAGAAGCAAACATCTGCGAAAGGTGGATCTACCACCCTTTACCGTTCCATCAAGACAGGAAAACAGATCGAGCCCGCTCAAATTCTAGCCAATATTGGCTCCGCTGCCATTTCTCCTCCATCGGCTGAAGAAGCCGACGAGATTGCTCAGTTCTGGGCAGGTCAGCAATCGTTGGCTCGGGAACTTGGCTTCGCGAGTGGCGTAAACGGAGTGGTGATAAATGGAAGAGCCATTGGGCCAATTCAGCATGACGTGACTTCTGATGATTTGGGTCAACTATTGGTTTACGAGCAGGAAAAACGAATTGGCCCAGTTGCCAGAGCCTGTAAGGATCTTGGATTTGGTTCAAACATCCCTGGCCCTCTCGCCTTCGCTAAATTGACGTCTCTCACCACACTCTCAACTGTATCCGATGTACCTGAGGGGATCTTCGAGTCAACCTCTGACATTCGCATGAATCTGTTCAACAAATGGAACGATTCTCGTTCTGTCTTGACCGTTTCGAACTCGGAGGATCCTGCCATCACCATCTTAGCCTCTATTGACCCAAGCTCGGAGACCGCCCAAAGGTGGCTCCCGATACTGAAGGTTCTTTCAAAACTCGCAAGTGTTCGGGTCAGGCTGTTCTTGAACCCGCGCGAGCAGATCCAAGAGCTCCCCACGAAGCGGTTCTATCGCTATGTTCTGGACTCGGAGCCTTCTTTCAACGATAATGGGTCTATCTCAAGACCTACGGCCTCGTTCAGGGGTGTGCCAGTCGAGGCGCTTCTTACCCTGGGTATGGATGTACCGTCATCCTGGCTCGTAGCACCTCAAGATTCCATCCATGATCTCGATAACATCAAACTCAGCTCTTTGAATTCCGACTCCGACGTTGAAACGGTGTACGCCTTGGAGCATATCTTGATAGAAGGCCATTCCCGGGATCTAACTACCAAGAGCCCTCCAAGGGGAGTTCAGCTGAATATTGGAACGGACAACAACCCCGACTATGCGGACACCATCATTATGGCTAACCTAGGATACTTCCAGTTCAAGACCCAGCCTGGATTGTGGAAGATTAATCTGAAACCCGGCTCTAGCGAGCGCATTTTCAACCTCGATAGCGTTGGTGGTCTAGGCTACAGCCCCCAGCCCGGCGACGACAACAATGAAGTTGCTCTGCTTTCTTTCCAGGGCAAGACCTTGTTCCCTCGCCTATCACGCAAGAAGGGCCACGAAATGGAAGATGTCCTGGAGACAGGTCCGAAAGCGGGCACGGCCATGGACTACGTGTCCAAGGGATTCAGCTTTGCCTCTGGAGTTCTCTCCAGCGTCGGTGTTGGCTCTAAAGGCAGCCTGTCCCAAAAGCAGGCTGACATCAACATCTTCTCCGTTGCGAGCGGCCACCTTTACGAACGAATGCTCAACATCATGATGGTCTCCGTGATGAAAAACACCAAGCACACCGTCAAGTTCTGGTTCATCGAGCAATTCCTCTCCCCCTCCTTCAAATCCTTCCTCCCCCACCTCGCAGCCGAGTACGGCTTCCAGTACGAAATGGTCACCTTCAAATGGCCGCACTGGCTTCGCGCCCAGCGCGAGAAACAGCGCGAGATCTGGGGCTACAAGATTCTCTTCCTGGACGTCCTCTTCCCCCTCAACCTCGACAAGGTGATCTTCGTCGACGCCGACCAAGTCGTCCGCACCGACATGCACGACCTTGTCACCCTCGACCTCGAAGGCGCGCCCTACGCCTTCACCCCCATGTGCGACTCGCGCGAGGAGATCGAAGGCTTCCGCTTCTGGAAACAGGGCTACTGGAAGAGCTTCCTCCGCGGCCAGCCCTACCACATCTCCGCCCTCTACGTCGTCGACCTGAACCAATTCCGGGCCCTCGCCGCCGGTGACCGCCTCCGTGGCCAGTACCAGATGCTCTCCGCCGACCCGAACAGCTTGAGTAACCTGGACCAGGACCTGCCGAACCACATGCAACATCACATCCCCATCAAGAGCTTGCCGCAGGAATGGCTGTGGTGCGAGACCTGGTGCTCCGACGAATCTCTCAGCCAGGCCCGGACCATCGATCTGTGCAATAACCCGCAGACCAAGGAACCGAAGTTGGATCGGGCAAGACGGCAGGTCCCCGAATGGACGGAGTATGATGACGAAATCGCGGCGTTGTCGAATAGAGTGGATGTCGAGCGTCAGCGAGAGGAGGAGCTGCGAGCTGAGTCCCGGCAGGAAGAGGAACAGGAAGAGGATGATAGTGACGATGTAGATGAGGACCCTGCGTGGATCAAGGATGAGCTGTAGTTTAGGGTTGATGCTATATAGAAGTGTCTTTGATGACCATTGTTTATTTAGAAATACGATACTACTGCATCTGTAAGTTTAGTGGAACATCATCTCTCAAAGAGGTGTATCCGTATCTCCATGAAGACTGAGACCCCTGAACATTCTACTGCTAACATTACAAGAAAGAAACCCTCAAATACAGCAAAAGATGGAACCTGCCTCTCACAGCAACAAAAAGAAATCAATCATTATTCGTAGTAAATAAGCAATTCAATAGCAGCCCATGATTACTCCTCTATGAACCCTCCTATATAAGAGCTATCTTAATCGCTATCACTATCGCTTGACCTCTGCTCTTTCTTAATCTTTGTCTTCTTGACTTGCGGTCTGGCATCCGAGTCGCTTGATTCGGGTTCGAATTTGATATTGCGAACGGCGGATGGACGCGCCGAGGTTGACGCCGAGGACGTCGAGGGGCGCTTTCTCTTAGCGGCGTGGTCTGGCCGTTTGGATGGCGATTCAGATTCAGAACCAGAGCCAGAGTTGGATTCGGAATCAGAGTCGGAGGGCCGAGGTTTGATCGTGGGGACTTGTTCTGTGGGCGCCGGTTTCTGCGCACTGGTTGGCTTAGCCTCCTGCTCGCTTTCGCTCTCGTCGGAGGAGGAAGAGCTGCTGCTCTTATCGTCGTCCTCGCTGTCGCTGTCGTCTGAGGCGGGTTTTGGAGCAGGCTTGCTTGGAGGCTTGGGAACCTGGGGTGATGCGAATTGCTCTTTGAGCTGCTTGAGAGAAGACTTCTGGGGTCTTTGTGTCTCCCTGGGGGGTGAATTCTTTTTCACAGGCTTAGCGAGGTCGTCATCGTTTGAGCTGGCGCTATCACTCTCGCTGTCGCTGTCAGACGAGGGTGCCGATTGGGGCATAGAAGAGCTGGTAGGTTTGGCTGTCGTTCCGTTTCCTAAGCCAGGAGCAGGTTTCTTAGGAGGCGCGGTTTGGGGAGGCGCGTTTGTTCGAACAGGAGAAGGCTTCTTGGTAGGCTTCTCTGATTCATCATCGCTAGAGCTGTCACTGGAGCTGTCGCTGTCGCTATCACTCTCGGTGTCCTCAGATGAAGATGAAGAATCCTTTGCCGGCGCTGGGGGCTTGGTGAATGGGCTTGGCTTTTGGGGCTTGATATTTTCTTTCAGCCGCTTCAGTAGGGATAGCTGAGGCTTGGGGTTCGCTTCTTGCTGGGTTGGTGGTTTCGTAGGCTTCGCTGGCTCAGGTTTGGGTGGGAACAGTGAATCCATATCACTATCGTCCTCGCTTTCGCTTTCGCTTTCGTCGCTAGGGGCGTGGTTTGTCTTTTGATCAGCGCTTGCTCCTGTGCCGGTCTTTTGAACAGATGGCTGGGGCTGGGGCTGGGGCTTGGCCTCTGCGCCCTGTGACTTGTTTTGGGCTGGTCCTTGACTGCGAGCAGAAGAATCGGAGTCATCGTCTTCGCTTTCATCGTCCTCGCTTTCAGAAGACGATTTAGAGGAGCTCTTCCTGTCCTGTGGAGCATGATTGTGCTTATTGGGGGCAGTTGCGGCATTAAGATTCTTCCCCGTAGGCTTCTCCTGTTTGTTGTCTCCCTGCGAGTGATTTCCGGCCATTTTGGATTTAATGTCTGCTGAAGGCTTGCTAAGCTGTGTTTTTGGCCCGTCCAATTGTTTATGTTTTGTAGACTGCAGTGTGTTGGGCTCCATGCTTGTATGACTCTCCTCATCCTCATCTGATTCTTCATCTGAATCCGAACTCGAATTGCCGCTTTCCGACTCTGCCCCAGAGCTTGATTCACCAGTCTCGGAGCCCGAGTCCGCATCAGAATCGGCCTTTGACTGTGACTTGGATATATCAGAAGTCACAGGAGTCTTCGTTCCGTTTTGAATGGGAGTTTCGCGTTCATCACTGTCTGAATGGCTCGGTTTAGCCTTGTCGTCACTAGGGCTCTCGTCCATATCATCATCGTCTTCGTCGTCGGAGTTCACGTATGCCTTGCTCAGGTATTTTCGAGAATCCTTGTCATTTGGATCCTGAGACGCATTGCGCTGGATCTCTTTGATAGCTCCATGAGGACCTGCAGGCTCCAGTCCGCGTTCAAGTAGAATCTTGCGCCTGAGTTTGCGCCATTTATCCCCACATTGTTGTCTCGAGCGACGATTTTTGAGTTTGTTACTGACCAATCCCCAGGAGATCATTTTCTCGTTCATCTCATAGATGTCCGAACCAACATCAGTACCCATTTGTTTCAGCGATAGCCAGGATTCTTGTATAGCATCGCGTAATTGGGTGACTTCGTCATCGGTCCAAGATCCTCTGTTCATGGTGCTTCGATGCTGCAGCCGGTTCTTCCACCGCTGCACTACATCGTCGTCATTTCGACCGAGTATGCCTGCGATGTAGGCGAACTTGGGGCCGTGTTCCTCGTAAAGTTCGACGAGCTCGTCATCCTGTTCATGCGTCCATTGATGAGGCTTCTGCATCGACGACTGGAAATGCCGCCTCATGAAGCGGTAAACTGATCGCCGGTCTCTGTTCGGGAGAACCTCATAGATAGACTTCCAGAATTCCAGCTTCGGCACCAGGTGAGCATTTGGGAACGGCTGCTCCTTCTCGCGTACCGCGTGCTGGATCATATCGTCGAATTCCGCCCCGGTGATTCCATAACTGTTGCAGAAGTCTATCTTGTACTTTTCGATCTGCTGAACTTCTTCCGCATGAAAGTGTCCTACCACCCGCCCAGTTTCAGAATAGCGCTTGGGCGCTTTGGATCCTGCTAACCTCGATCGGACGTTTTCCGGGGCTGGTGAGCCAGACGATGCGGTTTTCTCTTGTTCGTCCTCCGAGCTCTCATCAGACTTGGGGGGCATATTCACCTCGTCTTCAGAGGTGCGTGCCACCTGCGGCTTGCCCGCATGTTTCGCGGAGGCATTCGCAGCATTATCGGTCTTGCGACCGTTGGATTTGGGCGTCTCTATTTCCGAACCGTCCTCCTCACGAGTCTTCTTGCGCTTCTGGGGGCGGGAGCTCTGCTCGTCGCGAGATGGTGATGAAGTGGACTCCGGCGCGACAGAATTCTTATCATGATCAAGGGATTTGCGTTTCCGCTTCGCTGACGACTCGTCTGTCGATTTCGCATGGGACTTTTCTTTTTTGGAGCTTTTCGAGGATGTCTTATGGTGTTTCTTTTCCTTGAATCCTGGTTGCGATCAAATGGCGTTAGTAAAATCCGAAGCTCCGGCTTTCCACCTTTCGGGGTAAACAACGTACTGAGATGGTCGGGGGACTCGTCAGGGAGCCCCTCGTCAGAGGAATGAGTCGCTTCTTGACCCATCTGGGTGAAGAATATTTAAATAGACTGTTCGGTTAGTAGATAAAAGAAGAAAAAAAGGCGAGAGGGGTGGGAAATAGCAGGTTGTGATTCTTATGGGGTTGATATGGAGAAGCGCAAAAAAAAAAAAAAAAAAAAAAAAGGCCGCCGCCAGTTGAAGCTTTGGCGCGGGCGGCGCGGTCTTCCGCTCTCATTTTTAACGCAAACTAGAAAAATACTGCACAGGCATCGTGCATGACAAAAGCCATTGCTTGCTGTTAGAATTGGTCTGTCGTATACAATCGTATTTACATTTACTGCATAAATAATAGATAGCCTCAACCAAGACGAAAATACGAAAAAGGGCTCGAGGAGATGGTATCCGCTAGAGATGCTTCAGGTCTCAACCTTCATTTCTCGCAATAGCTTCGAAACCAACTTCCTCTGATCTGCCGGTTGCAAATTGCGCTCGTCAATGGTATTGAGACACCGTCCAATCGCCACCGTCGCCTTGACGGCCGATTCTCCCCCGTTCGCACAGTCCACCCACACCTTGCCATTTCGCCCGACCGCGAGCTCGAATCCTCCGATTTTCTCCAGTTTTCTGCCCAGTTCCTCTAGCACCACCAGTCCTTCCACTCCGTCTTCATTATCCGATGTAGACGAGCCGGCTCGCATCAATCGGGCGGCCATGCCAATAGAAAGATCGAAGACCATGCCGCCGGTCAATGGGCCCAGACCCCCGGGCTCGGCCTTTCCAGTCGCAGGGTTGACGCAGGTGAGCTCGATTTCGGCTCCAGGCCCCAGACCCGTGGACAATACACGCGCGTAGACCAAGTCGCCCTGTTTCAGCATCGGTCGTGTTTTCTTTGACGCGCCTTCAAACGATAGCTGTCCCAGCACTGCTTGCGGGGTCTGGGGTGTGATCATGCAGTGGAAATAATCGGGACTGGAGTGATGGATTTGCGCAATTACTAGGTCATTCGTGGTCGGGACGTAGCGGCGATTCGGGAACGAGAGAATCGATACTGCGTTCCTTTTAGGATCTGTCGAAAGGATACCGGCCTGGGTGGCGGAGAGGACATGGGTGGATGCATCGGTGGGCGCGGGTGATGTAGACGGTTGCGAAAGCAGACGAAGACCGGGGCCCAGTCTCAGCGGCGCGGAATCGTGGGAGGGGAGATGTTCTGACGGGACCTCGTCGCCGGGGAGAAGGATCAATGGGGAGGACATGATGGGCAGTTGTCCAGTCTGTTGGTGTTGGATGTTCTGCAGCTTCTTTTGGCCGGCGAAAAAGCGCAAATCGCCTTATCGGGCTATCGCCACGTGACTGCACCGCCACAGCGCCTATCGATAAGCACCAGCCACCGCCAAACAATCCAAATTTTTTTTTCTTCGTGCTTTTTGGGAGGCGATCAGTCCGCGGCCGATTCTACCTGTTCCACTCCATTTTACTCCTCCCCTCTCTTGCCTCTCGAACCACCCTCTCTTTCTTTTTCTTCTCCCAGATTCCACCCTATCTATATTTCGAAATGAGTGACGGAGTCAACGGCGCCGCCGAGCGATATGCCATCGGTATCTCCTTTGGCAACTCCTCCAGTTCCATTGCCCGCATTAACCCTGTATGTGAGAAATTTCGGCGGCGTTGATATTCGTAGTCTTTTGGGGGATTCGTTCGAGGAAAATGGTCGAGACTAACGGGAATTGCTATATAGGAGGGCAAGGCTGAGGTTATTGCCAACGAAGAAGGAGGTACGTTGCCCACATCCTTATCGGCGTTCAAGTGCGAAATTCTAATTGTTCGATAGACCGTCAGATCCCTACCGTTCTCTCGTACATCGATGGCGAAGAATACCACGGCACCCAGGCCAAGGCCCAGCTCATCCGCAACTCCCAGAACACTGTCGCCTACTTCCGCGACTACCTTGGCAAGAAGTAATTCGCATCATGACCATTAAATTGAAGAGCATCGCTGACAGCGTATACAGCTTCAAGTCGATAGACCCCACGCCGTGCCACAACTCGGCTCACCCCCAGCAGAGCGACTCTACCGTGGCTTTCTCGATCCGTGATTCCGAAAGCGAGAACCCCAGCACTGTCACCGTCTCCGAGATTGCCACCCGTCACCTCCGTCGTCTCAGACAGTCTGCCACTGATTTCCTGGGTAAGGATGTCAATGCCACCGTCATCACCGTCCCTACCGACTTCACCGACGCTCAGCGGGAAGCCCTGACCGCGGCCGCCAAGGATGCCGGTCTTGAGGTCCTGCAGCTGATCCACGAGCCTGTCGCCGCTGCCCTGGCCTACGATGCTCGTCCCGAGGCCACCGTTACCGACAAGCTTGTCGTTGTGGCCGACCTTGGTGGTACCCGCTCCGACGCTGCTGTGCTCGCTTGCCGCGGCGGTATGTACACCATCCTCGCCACTGCTCACGATTACGAGCTCGGAGGAGCTACCCTGGACAAGATCGTCATCGATCACTTCGCCAAGGAATTCCAGAAGAAGCACAAGACCGACCCCCGGGAGAACGCCCGCGGTCTTGCCAAGTTGAAGCTCGAGGGTGAGGCCACCAAGAAGGCCCTCAGCTTGGGTACCAACGCCACCTTGAGCATTGAGTCTCTTGCCGATGGAATCGACTACGGCTCCACCGTCAACCGCACGCGCTACGAGCTGCTGTCCGGCAAGGTGTTCGCTCAGTTCACCGGTCTGATCGAGCAGGTTGTCCAGAAGGCTGGCCTGGACGTTTTGGATGTCGATGAGGTACGTTGACTGCCGTTGTTATCTGTTAGCATGTACGAACCATGTTGTTCTAACTACCGATTTAGGTCATCTTCTCTGGTGGTACCTCGCACACCCCCAAGATCGCTCAGCTCGCCCGCAACATCTTCTCCGAGAAGACCAACATCCTTGCCCCCTCGACTCTCACCAGCGCTATCAACCCCTCCGAGCTGTCCGCCCGAGGTGCCGCCATCCAGGCCTCGTTGATCCAGGAGTTCGAGAAGGACGACATTGAGCAGTCGATCCACCCCATGGTCACTGCCACTGCCCACCTCAAGAACGCCATTGGTGTTGAGTTCGCCTCCGGCGAGACCACCGAGTTCAAGGCTCTCCTGCACGCTGAGACTGCTCTTCCCGCTCGTCGCATTGCGCAGTACTCCGCCCCCAAGGAGGGTGGCGACGTCCTCATCCGTGTCGTTGAGGGTGTTCGTGACATCAAGGTCACCAAGCCCGAGCCCAAGGCCAAGGAGGAGAAGCCCGCCAAGACCGAGGAGGACGACGACTCCGACTTCGACTCCGACTCCGACGAGGAGGAGGAGACCCGCGAGATCGTCTGGAAGACCGAAAAGGCCGTTGCCGAGCTCGCCGTCAAGGGCGTCAAGGCCGGCAGCAAGGTCGAGCTGATGGTCCACGTCAACGCCGACCTGGGTCTGCAGATCACCGCCCGCGAGGTCGGTGGCCAGAGTGCTGTCCGCGGTGCCGTCTCGGCCCCTTAAACAGCTTTTTTGGTGAATGCACAGTTTCTTTTTCTTTTTGATGAAATTTCCCTCTTATCCCTTTGGACCCGCGCCATCATGCTTCATGTCCTGCACCTCTTGTCTATGAACCATTAGAATATCAAATTTCTTTTTTCTGATTAAACTCTGTGCTTTCTGTTCTCCGTCCCTCCGTTGTTTCTGTTTGGCTGGACAACCCGGACTGGTGGTTTTGGCCAGCCGGAACATTGGGGTCACTGATTTTATGATTTTTTTGATGACGAATGTATCGATGAAGGCTCTTCAAAAAGCACATATACAGGTTACTCTTTATAGAATTCTATAGATTTTGAAGTAATTTTTATGCAGTTTCATGTAGGTATCCTGTAATAGATTCTGCAGTTATAAGAAACCATCAATTATAAAATGATAATCCATTACTTCCATTATATTACAATAACTAGATACTCCATCAAAATAACACTCATGACACAAGTCATTTAATCGGAAAACGCACGTACACCATCAACATAACTCGGAAAAAATATTAGGGGTGAGCTTCAGGCAACTTATCGCTGTCCGTCGCATCGATACTGTCAAACAGAAGCGCAACGTAATTAGTACGGGAGGCCAGAGGGGTATCTCTTTGAGCCAGACCAGAAACACGTCCAGCAGACTCGGATGAGATCTGAAATATTGCTTTTGCCAGTTTAAAAAAAAATTCAAGCATGGTCGGAATACAATTGGACCTGGGTGGCTTGAGAGCATGCGAGAGCTTCCACAGCCGATCCATACTTGTCGTGCGAGCAACGTAACGTCGATCGCTCAGGATTGCGCATCGAGTAGATTACGGGTTTGCCTCCTTGTTGCTCCGGACGCTGTGAGATCGCTGGGTAGAGAAGAAACCACGACGTCGGTGCTCGCGACCACTGTATCCTTTCTCTTGCCGGCCCACGGCGCCGCCCATACAGTACAGAACGCACGAGAGAAGAAGACAGGCCACTGCGGTCCACATGAAAGCGAACGACTTGACGCCGAGCTTGGCGACCTGGCCGTTGGCACTGAACCTGTTACGGCCCTGGACGAAAACGGCGCTGGTTGGGGTGTTAGCAAAAGATCGAATGTCTTGTGTTAATCACCGAGGGAGTTTTAACTCACGTCATCAGAGAGGTAGCGATGATCTGGAAGAACAGAGCAACCCAGGCCATGAGGGATGAGAGGTAGCTTCCGATGCGGGTGCACATGGCCAGGAATCCAGTGAAGAGAGACACCACGGCGAAGAACAGCGCAATGAGGAGGAAGGGGAAGATGAACCGAGAAGTCAGGAAATAGTGCTTGGATCTGCAATCGCATCATTAGCCCACGGACATGTACGACAGGATCGTTCAGAAGTGGCCTTACCCAATGAACTCGGGCGGAATATTGGTCGTAGTGTCGAAGTTCCGGTGACTTGGCGGGTCAAAGGGGAAATCGGGGTACGATTTTCCACACTGGCTCTTTCCATCGGCATCGACACGGCAAAGGTTCCAGAAAGTCCATCGAGATAAGTCAGGAGCCCCCGGGATGTTGCTCGTGTCGACCTGAAGAAGATAGATCTGGTTCAACGGGTTCGAGTTCTTTGCGCCACCAAGGATGGTGAGGAACATCAGCAACAGGGCCGAAGCTGTGAAGAATAGGCCTAGAAAGCCCAGCGCCGCTCCTATACAGTTTCATGTCAGCGGGTGGAATTAGAATGCAGGGCACCAAGGGGCCGGGGAGGAAATTACTGCTCAAAGGCATGGTTGCTAGGGCTCGTTTTCTGTGCGGTCGACTTGAAAATGCTTGTATAAACCACTCGATCGACAGCAGAGATGGTGAATCAGGACGATAAAAGTGTGCTCGGTAGGACAGACGAGCAATGAACGGACTTTGAAGTAACGGCGCAAGAAGCGACAGAAAAATCTGGAGGGTCGCAGAGCCAGATGGCGGAGCTAGGACGGTCAACTAATAAGGCGGCTATCCGGAGGTCCCGGTGACGTCCTCTCGGGCCGGCAGGGGAGCAGAGTAGTGATATAATAATGAGAGCGCATCATGCGGTTTTGCGGCGCAGATGGAAGGTTCTGCAGAGCTCATCATCGTTGGGTCGCCCATGTCCAGAGCAGCGGCGGGAGATCTCGACGTCATCGTTGCTGCAACCCCGCTAGCTGTCCTCGGCTAGTCCGAACTTTAAGCGCCCGCTAGTCCGAACCGGGTAAGCGTGGCACGGGGTCCATGACGTTGTCGCAGAATCCCTTCTCGCTCTACTCGACGTTGCACCACCCATGAGCCTGGATTTAGTTGGGTCCTGGCTCTCCTAGGCTGACACTTTCTGGTCCGACTGGGTCGCAGTGGATCGTCGTTGGGGTTATTGCGACCATCTGCTTTCTGGCGGTCTGCAGTGACCTACATCACTGGGCCAGAGCTCCCTATCCAACGTTCCTAAGGGACACTAGGCACATCCGACTGCCCGAAACTCTGGGCTAAAGAAGCCGACTGCGCTGGTATTTGGTCCGATCTGCAAGATGGCCACCTGGGCATATCCTCCCCTGCCTCCGGAGCGATTGGAGCAGGAAGCCGATAGCGCCCTGGTAGGTGCTTTTGCCCATCCCACCCTTGCTTATCAAATCACTGCTCCAGCACTCCTCTCTGACATTCGATATAGGCGAAAGAGCTAGAATGGCTACTGCGCAATTTGCAAGACTCACTGGCATCCCTAAGGGAAGGCCTCCATGAATGTGAAGCGCTTTTGGCTCCCAAAGAGCCCGGTAGCACATTGGTCCTCTCGTCTTTGCGATCCGAGAATGTCAAAGGCTTCGTGACAAGAGTTGGGACCAAAATTGTGAAAGGTGTATGTTTAAACTTTTACCCTTCTAGCACTGTGAAAGTGCTCCAATTCCAGCCCAATTGCATGCACCAAGGCGCTGAATTACGTCAATGCAACAGGATATTCAACTTCGCCTTAGCTCCCTTGCTTCCATGCGTGGCTCGCCCACAACTCGGTTGTGTCTGTCCAGTGGCCCTGATGCTCCCGAGCTCATGCTAAACCAACTCGCCTCGGTGAGGAACTTGGTCAGCCAGAGCCTCGACGTTGTGGATGTTAGCACGTGGACTGGTGACCCGCTCAATGCGAGTTTTATCTTCGGTCAATTGCACCTTTTGCATGAGACCATCTCCGAGGCTCGGCAGATGCTGAAGGGTGAGAATGATAAAGTAAGAGGCAAATGGTGCGAAACCAGCGCAGCTGAGGATGTAAGTCTAATCCCGATGTTGAGACTACAAATTCATTTTCTCGGGTTTTGCTCTGGCGGGTACTAACTTGATACTGTGAAGATGTTTGACCCTCCCTTGCCCCCATCACTTTCTTTCCATCTCTCGATCGCAGATTCGGCTCTGGTGCTGTATCTGAGAACCCTCGAGCCTACCACTCCCAATCACACTCCAACCGCTTTTGCGACTGATATCTCGCTGACCGGGTTTAACCTACGGGACCGAATATTCGGTACCCGCCATCGCCCCCACGATGAAGCTGGCGATGTCTTCACTTGGAAAGGTGAAGAGGTGAGAGTAAAGGAGAAGGTGCGAGTGGAGAGTCAGGATCCCAGCCTGATGGCGGTTATGGCCAAATTGACTGCCTTACAACATGAGGTGATGAAGTGGATATCGGCCTTGAAGGTTCTCATGGGCATTGAGGATTCGGAGAGCGACACTCAGTCTTAGACCCTGTATAAAGTACCCCCTTGTAAATTGATACCATTTGACCTGTGTCTCATCCGCACGTCATGATCTATAAAATTACCAGCGCATATCCGGTTCCTCGATGGATTACCAAAAAGGGCAAGGCGGATTATGTCATGCTCTTAAGATTCTTCCGACCAATCACAGCGCGCCCATTTTTGATGCGCGCATTTCTTGGCGCAGGTTTTCCCTTCTGCTCTGCAGTGGCGTTGCGTTTTCTTCCTCTCTTCCATCCTCCAAATCATTGATTGCTGTGCGGCAGAAGGGCTGAGGATGCTGTCAAGAACTTCGGCAGCACGGGCAAGTCGGCCATGCTCCCATGGGCTTTTGCGCCCGATCGCAAGTCAACCACCGCGAGCCGGCTTGCAACAGCTCCGCCGCGGAGCTGCCAGCTTCGTACCAACTCAACAACGCCGCAGCGCCATCACGCAGAAGGGCTTTCCATCTAACCCTGCGGTTCGAGCCTCGTTGTCAGCGGATGCGAAATCCTCCAACGCCAATCGGGCTCCCGGGACACGATATGCATCCACCACTCCACCTGCGGAGACAAATGCCAATGCCGAACGGAAAGACGCTATTTACGACCTAATTGACCAGATCAACGAAAATGAAATGCAAATGGTTGAGCTTATGGATGATCTGGATCTTTTGGACGACCATGCTGAGGCCCTCGGCATTGACAGACCCGAGCTAGACCATGCATTCAGTCAGACAATCGGTCATCGAGACGCTCAAACCTTGGAAGAGCGCGTGCGAGCGGCGAGACAGCAATTCGGAGACACCCTTCCGGAGGATTACCTGAACGAAACCGAGATTGAATTATACACCCAGTTGTATGGCGAACCTATTATCGAACAAGAACATACGGAACTCCAAATCGAGGATGAGAAGGACCTGAACACACTATATCGTGAAGATGCCGACGGAGAATGGCAAGAGGTGGAAGTTGAAGAGTCCGCGCTTGAAGATGAAGTTCCGGTTGTCTACGATATGGAGATGGGTCCCATTGAAGACGAGACGGCCGCCATGCAGCGAACAAGGGAAATTGCCGAACAGCTTGGGGGAGATGTCATGCTGGAACAATTCGAGGAGGATACAATCCATGATGATGCACCACGGCTCCACCCCCGAACGGTAGAAGGGAAATTCGCCACCGATCCCAGTACGATATTCTTGCCAAAGGATACCGTGACAGGCCCTATCTCTATAATTCTGTCGGACTACTCGAACAAACACATTTCGGAGGTTGCTCGTCGCACATTTGGCGGTTCCAGACTTCCTCATTCCACCTATACTCCACTCCCACGTGCTCAATCACCTCAGATTCCTATTCCGTTATCGGCAACGCAACGACACATGACGGAAATGGAAGCCAATGCCTACATCGCTGCTCTGTACCCCGGACTGTACGCCTCCACATTGAGCGTGTTGACCGAAGTTCGAAAGCGCTTGGGTCCCGAATGGATTCGCGGACTGATGTCGCGGGAGGATGGTCCGCACTTCCTCGATGCTAGCGCAGGAGGTGCTGGTGTTCTAGCATGGAGAGAGGTTCTTCGTGCAGAATGGGACCTTATGGTTCCAGACCATCCCGAAGGCAGCCCTTACCCCGTGGGCAAATCCACGGTAGTTACGGGATCCGAGAGTCTCCAGCTTCGGGCCAGTGCGATGCTTGAAAACACTTCTTTCCTGCCCCGGCTTCCGGATTATGTCCACGTCCGCGAAAAACCGACGCTGAATGATTCGAGAGCTCCCCCAAAGCGCAAACAATACGATGTTATCATTGCACCCCATTCTTTATTGGGCTTGGAGGAGGAATATATGCGCAAAGAGCATGTCCAGAATCTGTGGAACCTACTTAACCCCAATGGTGGTGTCTTGATTCTTCTTGAAAAGGGGCATCAGAAGGGATTCGAGGCGGTTGCTGGAGCTCGTGAAATGCTGCTTAAGCGTCATATTGCAAGCCCCGGCTCTACACACTACGAAAATCTGACTGAATCGCCACACGAAGATACGCACATCCAGAAAGAAACCGGGATGATCGTGGCTCCTTGCACCAACCACGGCAAATGCCCGATGTATCACATGGATGGACATGCCAAGGGCCGCAAGGACTTCTGTCATTTCGAGCAAAGATACATCAGGCCCCAATTCATGCAACGCATTGTAGGGGCTAAGGACCGCAATCATGAAGATGTCCGGTTTAGTTACGTCGCTGTGCAGCGCGGCGTTGACCTCCGTGAGACAGAAAGCATCGTCCAGGGTCCCGAGGCTACTGAAGCTGCCTTTGCAGGCTATGAAGACCTCGATGGCATGCCCGCCGAAGAGGCGCAGGTGGATGAATCGTCGCCAGCGAGCCAGGATGGCACTTCCAGTGACGCACAGAACTTCCACTCCCTATCGCTCCCTCGAATTGTCTATCCCCCTATCAAGCGTCGCGGGCACATCATTTTTGACTCGTGCACGCCCGCAGGGAACATTGAACGCTGGACCGTCCCTCGTTCTTTCAGCCGCCGGGCGTACAAGGACGCTCGCAAAGCACGCTGGGGAGACCTGTGGGCCCTTGGTGCAAAGACTCGCATTCACCGAAACCTAAGGCTCGGAGATAAATTTGGCGAAGGCAGGAGAGAACGAATGGAGAGACGTGCAGCCACTAGAGAAGAGCTCAATGAAGCCGAACAAGAAGAACCTGGAGAAGAAGAGACAGGCTCACCGAGCTGGCCAGAGTTGGCCGTCCCACCAAGGAAGAAGGGCCAAACCATTCCCAGTTGGAAGAAGAATGCAGATAAAAAGTCACTGAGACAGGCGACGAAGCAGTATAGTTCATCCAATTTCGGCAGTGAGGAATTGTCTTGAATTTTGGGTTTTATGGAAAAAGCCCCCAGGAACGAGAGGCGTTAAGTGATTTGATTTTTGGGTAAAAACAGACTCGACCTAGTCTGATTTGTATCATATGTGTACGATATCTGGCTGCATTTTGAGATAGATGTATAAATACTGTATTTAATTGAGCTCCTCACTCAGGTTTAGCATATCCATTTCTCATCTCTTCGTCGTTAATGATTCTATGTACATTGAAAGCTGTCAAACAGCCGATTGGACGCTTCAAAGCCGATGGACGAGCCTTGCTCGAGGCCCTGAGCATCATGCTTTGATATCATCCTTTGAAATAGGAGAATTCGGGTATAAAGTACCGCTGTAGGCATGCTGCAGTAAGACCTTTTCCCTCTTGCTGACCAAAAAGGCCGTCTTCTGGAAGACTACAATCTGAGCCTTTCCGCGCAATAACCTCTGAAGCAAGCAAGGATGGCCAATGTGAGACTTTGCCCCCTTTGTTCAGATCGGCGAGGATCGGGTGAGGCTTGCATATTCCTCTAGTATGCCCCTCTTAAATTTTGCGTCTTTGTCCACGACAGACAGAGTGCAGAGCTCTGCTTTGTCAGGTAGAGACACCGCCCTACTGAATAGCCATACTCTTCCTCAACTGCCTCTCCCGCTGTTTACCCTGCAGCTCCAACCTCTCGACCGCATACTGAAGCCGCTCTTTCTTCTGAACCAAGCGCCTATACTCAGCCGCTTTCGCCGCGGAGGCAGCCTTCGACCGATCGCCAAATGCGCTGCTTCTCTGCGGACGGCTGGGCGGTTGACGGCTCTCACCCGAGTAGAGTCTTCCTTCCTGCAGCTCGCATTTTGCGCGCAGGCCCTGTTCGCGACGGGAGAGCTTCTCGACGTGGTTCGACGCTAGGGAGAGCAGGTGGGCGATGCTGGGGGTGATTTCATCGAGGAGGGACTGCTGGGCTTCGCGGAGGGTTGGTTCGGGGAGAAGTTCAAAGTGCTGTGATGCATTTGTTAGGGACTGGTTATGAATTGATTGCTGGGCGTAGAAGCGAGCTTACTCGGGTGGTTTGTAGGACTTTGGAGAGGCGGGGGAAGTCGCTGATACCGGCGTCGAGAGTGTCGATGGAGGAGTCAAGGATGTTGAGGGAGGACTGCAGGGAGTCGACTGATGCGGCTAGAGATGCGGCCATTGTGTGTAGATGTAGATGTAGGGGTATTGGCAAAAGATGTCGATAAGGGACCTGGTATATCTTGTATGCAATGTTTGTTATGGTTGTTTCCGGGCGGGGCGCATCCGGCAAAAGCGGCAGTGTGCCAAGCCGCAGCCTTAAAGCGGCCGGGCATCGGACCTCCGGACAAACCTCGTTGTACCCGCTTCTCCTCGTCTTCTCTGCATCATCTCCATTCCTCCTCCAAGTCCCGATCTTCTCGTCAAGAAAATCACCTGCCACCATGTCTCTCCTCGGAAAGAAGTTCCCGACTCCCGTCGGTAAGTGCATTTCGCCATAATTCCCTGCTCTGTCGGGTTGGAGCGTGAATATGAACTGACGGACTCCTCGTTACAGCCAAGCCCATGGCTCCCTTCTTCGCTGCCGGTATGTCTGGTTAAACCTTCCCGTGGATATTTCGACGTTGAGCATTTGAATGTCGAGCTCCATCGCGAGTGATGGGCTCGAGCTCGTGTCGCATTATCGACATCCGACGGCAACAGATCCGTCGGTGATGCTTGTTCCGAAACTAACAGCGTCCGTTCCTAGGTGCGGTCATCCTCTACGGCATCAACTCGGCCGCCAACGCCATGATGAACAGTGAGTAACCCGATCACATATCCCGGAGCCCTCTCTGCTCGGAATCATTCTTCGGCTCCAACGCATCCAATTCCACATCGATGTCACAGTGGCTAACCGGACACTTCCTTCCAGCCGCCGAGTTCAAGAACGACCCCCGCAACCCTAACGCCAAGAACGTTAAGCACTAAATTAATCTCAAATATATCTGAGAACGTTGATATGGCGGAGGCAGGAGGATAATGGGTGGCTTGATGACCCGAATGTCTGTTTCGCTTTTGGTTCCGCTTGGCGGGCAGATGCTCTGTACTAGCATATAGAATACACCGTCATCGCACATATTGACGAATTGACAAGTTGTATCACTACTCGAGGATTTTATTCCTGTGTCTTCCGATCCTGGATCTTCCGATTTGAACCCTACCGACGCGCCTACTCTGGTCAGATAGGTGCGGCGATCTGCTGGTCTTATGGTGAGCCCCTGTAGGTAGTATGCGACCCTTCATATGCAACGACAAGCATCTTTCGGTGCTAGAAACTAAGTTCTTTCCGGCGGTTCCTTAACGGTTATAGAGCTGGGTTGTTGCCGAAGGACGCAGCAGCAGCAGCGTGAGGCCGGCAGGAAGCAAAACAGGCATTGTACCTTCACAGCATGACATGCGCCCATAGGACCAAGTAAATGAATACTGCGGATAGCTTAATTCTCAACCTGCAGGTTCCTATGGCCAGACCTTGGTATCAAATTCTGCTCCCAGTATAGGCTCAGAGCCGTCTGAATTGCTACCATCGGGCCACCAACTTTACATGCGAAATAAACACCGCTCTATATTTTTACCATTCGACACTACTGCTTTTTCCAACAATAAACACAGAAAATGCCATATTCTATACTGTAGACCCGAATATAAAATCAAAAGCGCAGGGTCATTCACGCTAAACCCCATACGGCAGCCCCGTGACCCGTGCCAAGAGGTGCGGCGAAGGCATCGAAATCCAGCAATCCCCGTCCAGTTCGGAGACTCGTTGCGCCTCATCCCTCAACTCACCCATCCAGTCACCATGTCGTTCTTCCGATCGAAGAAGCTGGACCTCGGTGGCTTCGTCAACATCCGAGTCATTCGCGACCACACCAAGCGCAAGGCTTTCGAGCAGTACGAGCCCGAACGGTATGAATTCCACCACCGACCTGCCTCAAGTCAATGGCTTTTGTCGCATGGTTTGACCTTTGGGGCCCTGGCTATCGGGCTCTGTTAGAGCGATTTGGCTAATATAATCATCCTACAGTCAAGCTCTGCGCTACGTCATCCGCAACACCTCTCTCCCCGCGCGTACTCGCGCCCAGGCTCAATTGCAGCTCACCCAGATGCACGCCTATACTCGTCCTACGCAGATCAAGAACCGCTGTGTCGGTGGCGGTATTGCTCGGAGTATCATTCGTGATTTCCGACTGGCCCGAGTAAGTGCTCCGAAGGTGGCAGGCAGGATTGCCAGAATGGACCAGGCTAATGCGGTTGCGATCTAGTACCAATTCCGATCCCAGGCGCTGGCGGGTGAACTGCCCGGTGTGAAGAAGGCCAGTTGGTAGAGGAGATACGATGGCAGAAAAAATGGAAAGAATATAGACTGCTGTACACTGCCGGGTGTTGAGATATCCAGCGACCTTTTTTTAGTGGCAGCTGCGGTCACCTGCTTTGGTTTGGTTTGCACGATTGGCGTTTGTTCTCCGTCCTGGTTTGAAAATATGTATTATATGCTGAAATGTATATCGACAACGAATATACTACTGGGTTGATTTGAGCCATTGGTACGAATTTGAGAGTTTGGGCGTGAATCTGCGGGTTTGATATTGACTATTAGTGACGGAGCAGGCGAATACTCGAGCCTATGAACAGTCTTCTTCACTGGCTTGAACTTCTGCTGGTATCTTTGGAGCAGTCTGACAGGCGAATGCCGTTACTACTGGTGTGATTCACTGAGGCAAACGGGCTTCGTTTCTTCACGTCCCACCGGGAACCTGCAGCCTGCTGTCATATTCTCCCCTTCTACTTGCATCCTTTTCTTTCTCTCACGCCTCGATCAATCTACCTACCCTACACTTTCTCTCACGCATCCCATCTCTATCACCCCCTTCAGCCCTCGCAATGTTTGTCTTTCGTCGAGACGATCTCCCAGCTGACCCGGAGTTTCCAGCCCAGCTGGACAAACTGGGGTAAGACGAAGAATCACCTTGATTCTTCCAATAACCAAGAAAACTTACCCCGCGATCTAGATACTTCATCAATGACAAGGACCGGATCCGCAAGATCTCCGACCCTGAGCAGGAATTCCAGTTCAAGATCAACAAGAACCCGCGATGGAATGAGGTGCAGAGAGCCGCGATGAACGGTATGTCCAAGATCTCTTGCATCCTAACCCAGACTTTCCATGTAAGTTCTGAGAACTGCAATCCTGATCCTGTCCCAGCTTGTATTCGCGATATCGTCATGTCTCGCCTGCGTGCTCTAGGCCTGACAACCCTGAAGCTCCCACTCTTTCCCGGCCCTACTGATCCTCACGTCCCGATCCTGGTTTCCTCGAACCTGTCGACCGCGTCCCGCATCATTGTCGTGCTCGGTGAACCTGTGCAGGACCTGGGCATCTGGGCATACCGCAGTGTCGGCACAGATGGCATTGACTTTGGCTCTGCGGTGCGCTTTGCCCGTGCCGTTCTACATCCAGACAGTTCGACTGCCACGAACAAGTCCCCCTCCCACAAGACAGGAGCCAACAACCACCCCGATACAGCGCTCGTCCTGGCAAATACCGGCCAACTGATCTGGCACTGCGGCTCGCAGAGCGCAATGACGATGCAGTCCTGGCTGGCTCTGCCTCGCGAGTCGGCAGTGGATCCGCCACTGACCATGACGCACAGGAACACAATCCGTGGCAATGAGAACTGGCAGGCACATGTGGACTGCGTGTTTGATGAGATCCTGGCCCCTGGTAGTCGTCTTGTTCGAGATGATGTGCAGGTTCAGGTCGTGGGTATCGCGGATGGAGGACTGGGTGCGATTAGGTATTTGGCTAGTCGGTGTATGTATCCCCCCTCTTCCTATTTCCTATATACCTTACTATTTCCCTATTCATCTATCCCCTCTCATTCTCATCCTCAAAATCAACAATCCCACATATCCCCAAATCTAACCAACACAGGGCAAGAATGGCACACCCGCATCAGCTCCATCTGCCTCACCAACCCTTTACACTTCACGCACCTCGAACTCAGCCCCGACATCCACACCATCATCGACTGCGATTCCCCCACCACACCCACCTCCTCTGTCCCCTCCTTCGCATCCTTCATCGCCACCCGCTGCCGCGCCTACGTCCTCTCCCAAGAACCCTTGGGCCTTCCGGTCCCCGGCGCCTCTGCCCACGGCTGCAACTGCTTCTCGTCCGGCGAGGCCCTCAACGTCGAGTGTATCTTCCCGCGCGCCTGCGACGCCATGCTCGATTGGCTGGATCTGACGTATCGGGAGCCGGGGTTCTGTGAGGACAGGCTTCAACTGGTGGAGTTTGATGGGGAGGATAGGTCCGGGGGTGGGGTCGAGGTTGGGTTGTAGATTCTAGGTTGAGATATTCCGGTTTCTGGTTGGGGATCGGGGGGAGGGAGTTCTGGGGCTGAGAGGGAAGTGGCTGGTTAGTTGGTCGGTTTGAATGGGAAAAGAGTGTTGTGGTTTCTTTTCTTTTGGTTCAAGCTGGTCCGGTCGAGGGGGGGTTCATGCGTCTGTTCTACGCTGTCTCGTCCTGTTTTCTTTCCATTCACGGCTGGGCTCTTCAGTGGGGGTTTTCCGTTGGTAGGAATTCATAGTGGAGTAAATGGACTTGAGGATGCTTGTCGAGACTTCAATCTTGCGTTATGTCTGTGAGCGCTCAGGGTAGGCCTGAGGCGTCCATCAAAGGTCTACATTTGCCCTATCCCTGGATATATATCCGAGGAAATCGGACCGGCCAGATACCTTCACCAAAAATTATTTCCGTGGAATCTAGGATGATTTATTGCTAAAATTGCGAGTATAATGCAACTGTATATAATAACGCTAGAATGAATCGACTAATCGAGGAACAAAAATCGGCCGTTAGCATGGACTGATACCTGACGTCTCACCCAAACCTATCATGAACACTCATACTCAACAATAAACATTCTGAAATATACCTAACCATCCAGCTCAACATACATCTTCCTAATCACCCCCTTCCACTCCTCCAACGAGATAGCCCGCTCGCCGTACGGGACATACCCCCTTGGAATTTTCCGCATCTTATCATCATCCCACTTGGGAAGCACCAAGAACTCATGGCTCTTGTCACAGATGTTCAGCGGCAACGTGCCCTTCTGCAGTTTTTCAAAACAGTCCCGGTCGAAGGTCAGGTTGATACAATCCTTGCACCACCACATTTCGCTGGCGGTCTCCCAGTAATGACCACATTCGCCGTCACAGACCGCGAAGATCTGAGGAGGGGAGAAAGATAGATGATCGATGGGGCTAGCAGGGCTGGGGTCTGGCTCAGCGAAGGTTCCTTGCCGTGGTAACTTGCTCACTGTGGTGTCGATGGTAGGCGTGACTTTGCTTTGCGACTTTTCTGTCTCTTGATCAGAGCTTTCGGGTTGGGTGGTCTCTTGCAGATCCTCGACGAGGGCTTCTTCTCGGCCGATGTTCGTGTCTGTGGATGCCTGGCTTGCAAGGGAGGCCATGATGACTGCTGCAGATGCGTTTCGGTCGTCGTCTAGGGGGAGAAAGACGAGTAGGAGTCTCCAGTAGGCGAGGTAGTCATTGTCTTTGTCGTCGTCGGACAGGATCTCCAGGGATATTTCGACCACACTGCGAGCGATTTGTTTCGCCTTGGCTTGGTTTCCCTTTACCTGGTAGTATCTGGATAGATAGAGCTTTGCCGGGAATAAGATCTTGTTCTCGGCCACCTCGTCCGGCAGGATCTCTGAGATCCGGCGAAGATAATCATGAGCCATGTCTGAGTCGTGTTCCGCGGCTCTTGCGCGACGCAGATAGACTGGGGCAAGCTTGATCGTTAAACTGGGGAGAATGTCTTCGACGTCTAAGAAGGAGCGGGGGAGATCATCCTTGAGAGCGATCTCCCAGAGTGCGACCGCGCGCTCTTCATTTTCCACCTCTTGAGAAAGAGCATTAGCAAAGTGATATCGGATGTAGTACAGGCTCGTGTAGGCCTGCCTTTCAGTGGCTAGCTGGATGGCACCAGTATACATGCGTTCCAGGAGACTAAACTGCTCGGTTTCCATGGCTGTTTGTAAGATAATATCGTGCACAGTGTCCTTGCTGGCCAAATTAACGAGCATATCGAAAAGAGGTTGTGTATCCCCAGAGGTGTTTTGAATTGTTTCCAGGAAAGCAACAATATCCGTCCATCGATGTCGACTGTGGTATTGTTCAAGAATCGCCAAAGCACGATCATAGCCGATGTAGTTGGTTTCAATTGATCTGGTATAAGATTGGGTAGCAAGCTCGAACTTGTCGAGGGACCAATATCTCTGCCCTAGGTCGAAGAGCATTTCGGCAAGCGCCTTCCTGTGAGAGCCATCCTTAATCCATTCGCTATCCCCTTGAAGACGTGCCGATACGTCTTCTAGAATCTTGATGGCTTCTTCATCAGATGCAACCGCGCGGGCTAGGTAGAAAGAAGCGCGCCAATTGTCCGCATCAAGTTTCAGGGCATTCCGGCATCGGTTTTGGGCTTCCACCTCGAAGGAGAAGTTCTGTAGAACGGTGGCCACTTGCACTTCCCACAAAGAATCCGTCTCTTTGGATTCTAGTAATGTGCGGCACCAATTCTCTACTCTGCCAATGTTCTCCACTGTAGGCTTTGACGGATCATAAGGTGTTTGATGTTCTTCACACCTCTCGCCGTGCTCCATCTAGAAGCGCATTGGGTTAGAATCGTGCTGGTTAGCGGGAGATTTCTAAGATGACAAACCTTGCGCATCGAGTCAAACAAGAAGGAAAAAGCGCTACAGGCTAGGGGCTGAGGAGAAGCCTCCCGCAACCAGTGGACCGCCATCCTATCCACAAATGACTTCAGCAAGTCCATCTGGGGTGATGTGCTCGAAACAAGGCTGCTAACCCAGGCTCTCGCCCGAGGGTTAGAAATACTCGACACCACGGCAGAGTCTCTAAACCACCGCAAAACTTCCGTGACGCCTCCGTCGCTATCAAGCCATGCAGAACGAGCATGCCACGCAAATGTGGCAGCCTTCTCCAGATCGTTAGTCCACAGCAAGGCGTCTGTCGATGCTTCATCTGTAAAGAGCTTCAGCAGACGAGGCCCGACGGCAGTTTTCCATTCTCGATCTACAAACGCTAGATCCACCGATGATAGATGCTGTAGAACGTAGCTCACTGCGTACGGCCGAAGAATTTCACGTCGCCCATCTCTTTTCTCGGTCAGAATACGCAAGCAGGTAACCGCAAGCTTCACCTCGGCCATATCTTTATCATCTCGATATATGTGGCCACCCTTACCACGGAGTTTCTGCTCGAAGAATGGCTCAAATTCGAATCGGTCATATAGATCTGGCGGGCAGACTGTGTTCAAGAAGTGCCGCACAATCGTGACCTCAGAAGACTTGACTTTCTTGGTAGTGCTGGTGGAGTCTTCTCTATCGCTGTCAAGAGATTGACTCCTTTCCGGGATCAACTCCGCGATCTCATAAGAGCGAAAGTCAATGTCGCCATCACTGTCCACTTCAAACAAGGAGTATTTTATCTGCAGCTTCGTTTCCAAAGGCAGGAGCGATAGGTCGCCACTTCTCTGATAAAGCACAGCTGCCATTTGACGCGGCTTGAACCACTCCCTGCCGTAAAGGATCCAGAGAATGATCTCATTGACCTCTGCAATCTCCTTGGAGTCAAGAGTTTGATTGAGTTTCTCAATCTCACCTTGAATTTGCTCGGACCGCTCCTTTCCAGCATCTTCCAGCACCTGATCAATATCGTGAACATAATCTAGTGTGCTGATGTGCTTGAGGATTGTGTTGATCCTAAAATAGTCACCCGCGGTCTTTTCACACAGAGTGTCACATATCTTTCGCCTGAGCTCTGGGATACCCATGCGGCGCGTGTCTTTGAGCGCTTCGATATGATTCATTCGGGACTGCGTGTACTTTTCCACATCGGACCGGTTTTTCGTGCTTATAGATATTTTCTCAAACGACATACCTTTGACTGACCCGAGTTGTTCAAAAGCCCTCGGGCGGCCAGTGAGAAGAACACGGACGCGCTGATGGTCAGCTGTGAGCGTTGACACTCTACGAAGGAACCTGATCAACGCATCGCCAACAATGTCACCTATGCCGTCGATGACAATAAAGAAGGTCGCGTCAATAACTCGAGCCAGATCTTTGTTGAACAGAAAATAATCTGGAATTTCGTCAGGGTCCAGGTCGCTGGTCTCTTCGCATACATTGGCTGCCAATCTCAAATACGAAGCATCGGCCTGGGTGAACTGCCAAACTAGTGACTTGATAATAAGATCTAGATGGTTCGTCCTCTTGAGCTCTTCCTTCGAGTCGCCCTCGAGAAAGTAAAAGGCTAGCAAGGTCCGCGAGCCACAACTATCCACAGAGCTGCGATTCCGAAGCCGTCGTATTATGGTGGAGGCTAGGTAGCTTTTACCGGAGCCTTCGACGCCTTCGATCCCAAGAATAGGCGGGCTCATTTCTTGGTTCCTTTCCCAAGCCACAAATAGAGGCTCAGAAAAACACCACTGCCCCGTGCCCGGCACGACGAGTCTTCGAATGTTTTGATATGCTCGTTGCCAGAGCGGGTCAGGCTCGTGCCTTCCACGTTCGAGTTTATTCTCATCGAACGCCAATTTCTTGAGAATCAGATCCCGTCTTCGCTGGGTATCAGTCTCCTTCATCTGCTCCGACCGATTTGCGAGGAGCATATCGATTTTACTGTTCACGGCCCTGCTAATAGCCAGGTTCTCCTTGGTGCCCATGGCAGCCTGGGATGCGAAACGGAAGGTTTGCGCCGTAACCAAGCGGCCTTCGCGGTCAACCAGGCTGTCCATCTTGTCCAGCAAATCCTGGATATCGTTGTCATTGAGAAAGAATAGTTTGGAAAAGACCATCAACTTCCTCCTCTTCGAGTGTCGCAGCTTGATGGTGCGATCGCAGATCTCTACGAATAGTTGCAGATGTTGACAGGCCACCTTGGCCAGTCGGGCATCCATGCCACCGCGGATGTAGTACTCTAGACGGCCCAGGTATTGGCTGCATTTGTCGAGCAGGCCCGCCAAGCTCTCGAACACGTCTTGGTAGCCCTGCCATGCATGGATGACTAGGCTCACGGCGTTGAAACATATTTCGGCAGGGCCAAAGACCTCAATTCGCACGCAAACACGGCTATCAGCGGCGTCTTTTTTTAGATCGTTACGTGCTCATGGGCTGGTTCAAACCCCAACACGGTCGGAGCTCGGGGAGAAGGAAGCAAACTCACTTCGGATGCGCCGCCCGCGACCACACCCCCGACCGTGTCGATGAACTTCAAGGTCGTATCGAGGGTGGAGCGGATGGCGCTTTCCTTCGGCGACGAGTCTTCCAGCACCTGGTCGAGATGGGCGAGGACATTCTCAATAGTGAGGTTCTGCCGGATCCGAGTGGCATCTCCCCCGGCCAGCTGGATGACCCGGGCCTGGACCTGGGACCATATGACCGCTATCTCGTCCTTAATGGCGGACGTCTTAGGGTCCACGGGGGATCTGGGGGAGACTGGGGAGATAGTCATGGCCTATGCGGTTCGAGACACGCATGGACCGATAAAAGTATATACAAAAACGGGCACGGGATGTACTCTGCGATGCCAAAAAAAGAGAATCTATCCAGAAGAAACCACGGATCTACTTCGTACAAAGGGACAGATCACAGAAAAGACGGTCTAGGTCCCAAGGGTCGAATCCCCAAACCAATGAGGGGGAGTCACATTTTGGTGCTGTTCAACGAGGCTGTGTTAGTCGGCTTATGCAGCGAAAGGCGCGGTCTAGCGGCAGCAGGATCGTATTTGTCCGGGGGGAGACAGGGTCCAGGCCTCTGACAGGGAGACTGGAAGACATGGTCTGCATTGAGCCCTGTGCCCTGAAGGGATAAGACATTCTGACGGCAATCCGATCTGCCTGCGAAACAGGGGAATCCAGGCTCGGAATGATTAATCCGGATGAAGGACGATGAATGGAGGGATGGAAACAGGAAACGAAGTGGAAACGAGGGACAAAGAGACAGGCGAAGGAGCGATTAGTCAGGCTCTTGGCGACGATCATCTGAGCAGCGCCAGCCCTAGAGACTTCATTCATTTCATTCCCTCGACGGAGTAGACTCTGGTCTCTGGAGTCTCTGGTCCCCGGAGGCTTGAAGTCTTCCCCAATTCACGATCCACCCTCATCATGCGGACGCCGTTCCTGACGGCGGAGTCCGTTCCACCGTCCGCGGAGGGGAAAACCAGCCATGGCCCAAGGGACCATCCAGATCAGCAGGACCAGCACATGCCGCAACTTCCGGTCTGAATGCGTGCTAGTCGAGGGTAGATTAGGCGTGTCACGTCGCGAGGGTCGTCGCAGAGGTCGGGCGAAAGCCTATCCGTGGCCAACGGCAGCAAAGCATCGAGTAACAGGATGTGCGGATGAGCAGTTTCGATCGAGTAAACGCCGATAATTCGCCTCAGGAGACGTCCGATGGCGGATGCCGGAGGCGCCCGATGCAGAACCATGGTTGATGGGGCTGCCGAGCAGGTCTGATTCTTTTGATCGGGAATTCGTTCGTGCTCTTTGTCAGCCGCCGGTTTTCTCCCCACAGGCTCTCGTCGGTGGGTATCGTGGGTATCGTGGGTATCGTATGCCTTGAACCGGCAATAGTGAAGGCATCGTCGGCCCTGTCTTCAATTTTTTCCAGAAGGCAAAACACACAGCAAATCCTGGCAACGCCACCGGAATGATGAAAGAGGTCCAGCATTTTTCATGGTTTTCAGAGCGACACCAACGTCGGCGGTTGATTGCTTATCGCAAATCGATCGAGTAAGAGATTGAAGAAGCCAATTCCGAGTGGCACCGAGTGGAGCCCTTTGTTTTTTCAAGTGGATCCTCGGTCTCTGTTTTTTTTTTTTTCCTTTTCTCCCTCGGGTTTCGCCATGAATCCTGTTGATTTTCATCTTACTCGATCAGAGCCACTCCGTCCGGGGGGACAATTGCGAGGTTATAAAGCCGGGCTTATCGCAACCCCGGACTGGGGCTTATCTTCACTTTTCGTGCACGTTTTGGCCGGTCTTTCTCTCTCACGGTGCCCTTATCAGTCCTTTCGTTTGGCTCCCTTGCCTCCCTTATCAATTGGCCTGTCCTTATCTTTTCTTCTTTTCTTCGTCCTTGGGTTGGAGCTTATAGATTCGACCCATTCTCGCCCTTATCGTGGCGTTCACCGTTCTTCACTCTTTCACGTCTCCTGCCTCTTACCTCTTCTCTCTCCTCCCCTTCTTTTCCTTTTCTCTTCTTACCTTCTCTCATCCCATCTCATATCGTCGTGCTCCTCCTCTCTAACCATGGAGCCCGCTCAAATACCGTCCATTGCGGTCGTTACCTCGTCGCGCGCCGTGATTTCCGGCCGTCTGACATCTGCAACGATCGTTGTATCACGCACCACCGGTAAGATCACCGCTGTATTTGACTCCGTGATCCCGGCGTCGGACTTCCCTGAGGGGACCCCCTACACCGACTATTCGCCCCATGTGCTGCTGCCCGGTCTGGTCGACGCTCACGTCCACCTGAACGAGCCGGGCCGCACCGAATGGGAGGGCTTCTATACCGGAACCCAGGCCGCTGCTTTCGGGGGTGTGACCACGGTCATTGACATGCCCCTGAATGCCATCCCCCCTACCACCACGGTGGCTGGTCTGAAGGAGAAGCTGTCGGCGGCTGACGGCAAGTGCTGGGTCGACGTCGGCTTCTATGGCGGTATCATCCCCGGCAATGCCCATGAACTGAAGGAGCTCGTCAACCAAGGCGTCCGCGGCTTCAAGGGTTTCCTGATCGACAGTGGGGTAAGTATTCAAAAAAACATATCCAGAAGACCCACTCCCCCGTCCACGTATCAGTGCTTACCGTGTCTTTGTAGGTTGATGAATTCCCCGCCGTCTCGTCGGAAGACATTCGCAAGGCCATGGTCGAATTGGCCGACGAACCCACCACGCTCATGTTCCACGCCGAGATGGTGCCCCCCATCACCGCGGCTGATTCGGTTCAGCCCCAGACCCCCGAAGGCCCCGTGGAAGCCTACTCCACCTTCCTGGCCTCGCGGCCCTCGTCGTACGAGACCTCCGCCGTCGAGGAGATCCTCTCCCTGGCGCATCTGGCCCCCAACCTGCCGCTGCACATCGTCCACTTGTCCGCCATGGAGGCCATCCCGCTGCTGCGCAAGGCCCGGGACCAAGGCATCCCCATCACCGCCGAGACCTGCTTCCACTACCTGTCCCTGGCGGCCGAGGAGATCCGCGATGGAGACACCCGACACAAGTGCTGCCCGCCCATCCGCTCGCAGCTGAACCAGGACAGCCTCTGGGACGAGCTGGAACGCCACGCCGACAACGGCGTCATCAAGACCGTCGTGTCCGACCACTCGCCCTGCACGCCCGACCTCAAGCTCCTGCCGTCGCACGTCCCCGGACCCCACGACTGCCAGGCCGAAGCCGCCGCCGTCGACAAAAACCAAGGCAGCTTCTTCTCCGCCTGGGGCGGCATCTCCTCCGTCGGACTGGGCCTCCCCATCCTCTGGACCGAGCTTAGCCGACGCAAGGGCCTGACCGCCTCGCCCGAAGACACCAATACCAAACGGGCCCTGCAGGACATCGTGCAGCTCTGCTGCGCCAACACCGCGGCGCAGGTGGGTCTGGAGCGCCAGAAGGGCGACCTGCTGCCCGGGTTCGACGCGGACATCTGCGTCTTCGACGACACCGCCGAGTGGGTCGTCGAGCCTAGCACCATGCTCTTCCGCAACAAGTGCTCGCCCTACCAGGGTCGGACGCTGCGCGGCCAGGTGCGCGAGACCTGGCTGCGTGGCGAGAAGATCTTCAGTCGGGACGAGGGCTTCGGCAGCAAGACTCCGGCGGGTGCCCTGCTCCTGGAGAAACGGGTGTGAGACCCTAGTTTTCTGTGCTTCTTTCTTCCCTTCCATTGTCTCGAGAGCACTCGAGACTCGTTGACAGGACGGACAGTCAAATCATCCGCACACATCAAACAAACACATAAGAACAAGAACAAGACCAACGACACGACACGACATGATAGATCGCTTCTGATGATCACTAATGACCTTTTTTCATATTAGACAGCAGCCTATTCCCCATGCATCTTGATTACAAAAAGCGACGGTGTAGGCTTTTGCTTTGCTTTTGCTTTTAGCTGCCATCATAGTTTTTGCTTTTCTTATATAGTAGAGGGAATACCATGATAAATCTTATACTTTGCGTTTCCACTTTGAAAACGTAGTCTGATGAAAGTAGTTTCTGTTTTGTTTCGTGCACATTCAAGTTGGATCATAAATCTCATTGTACCGGCATTTCTTAGATTGGTTGAAAACAACATATTGTACACATCTGAGTCGAGAGTTTTGCAAGACTCGACCAAATTTTTGAGAGAGAGGGGGTATCAAGGAGCAAATGGTCCTAGTCATGGTCAAAAGGGGGCAACCTCATCACTTACGGTCATTGTCCATCTTCTTCTTTCTCCTTCTCTTCCCACCGTTCCCGTACTCTCCTCCTTAGTCCACCGTTCGGTCCTCTGCCCCAGATCTCTGCCTTCTCTCCGTCGGGTGGTATGACGGTAGCGTTTCCTTCCCCAGCGGTATTCGCCGTATCCTCACCACTGGGGTTCTGGTCGTCTCCCTCCACCACTACTTTTCGTTCTCGGATTCGTTTCTCACGTGCCCGCGCCTGTTCAACTTTACGTAAGTAGATAGCGTAGATCAGCACTTCCGCGACGCCGACCATTAACGCCACGAGAAGCGAGATCAAGACTCGCACGGGCTCGGACACCCCGCCCTGCGAGCCGGTTCGATTCGACGACCGCCAGACCGTCGCCACCAACGCGACCAGTAAATCGGGTGTTCGAAAGCTGGTCAGCGCCCAGTAAACGCTGAACCCGGTGAGCAGAACGGAGAGGAAGATATTCAGCACGAGTCCGGGCGTCAGCGGATCCGAGTCGTCGACTGACTGGTCGCCTGATGACTTCGATTCGTGGATGGCGGAGAGTGTCGGTGTGGATGACGAGAAGATGGACGCCGGGGATTGCGACGAGGGCAGATGTGGAGAAGTCATGCGTTTGTAGGCGTCTGCTTCGGCGGCGGCGAGGAGACGGGCTTTTAAAGCGAGGTATTCGGGGCTCTGTGGGGGGTTGGGTATCAATACAGGGACTTCGTCGAATGGTGTGAAGTAGCTACCTAGTAGGTCGCTAGCGATGAAGGGAGGGGGATGGTGACATGACGTACGGGCTCGGGCTTCTTCGGCGGCGGTGGAACGTACACCTTGGTCCCGCGGAGGAGCGAATTTAGACTCCGGTCATCACTGCTGATGGAGGTGTCATTCCTGGTTCGAAAATATCGAGCCAACCGGATTATCTGTTCATGGGCGATCGGGCCCTCGAGAGATAAGGTGTCTGGTAGGTCAAGCTCCTGGCGAGACGAGGGCGGGACATCCTCGAGGGCCGAGACGATGCGAGAGGTGGTGACTAGGCGGACCATCGTCGAAGGGAGACAATATTATCGATGACAGTCCATGGTTGATAGAGCGAGGAAAGACAAGGAGATGGGGAAGTAGAGATGTCGAGAAGTAAAGAGACAGAGAGAGGATGATGAAAGCACGGGGCCGCCATGCCCAAACAGGCAACCTGCTTCCCCCCACATCGACTTTCCTCTGCGTCCTTCGTTTGTCCGCTCTTCGGCTTCATCTCTGTCGACTGGTCCCTCTCGGTGCTTGTCTACACCGTTTCACAATGGCTGACAAAAAATCCGGCTCGTATGTTCCCCCTTTCTACAATCAATCCCGCCAGAAAAAACCCAGCCAAAACTCCCCTTCCCCCCAAAAAACCCTTCTACCCTATACCCCTCCTCCGACCACAAACCCACCCACCACATCTAACAACACTCGATATAAAGGTCGGTAACGACGCAAACCAACCCCCGCGGTATCCCCGTCGCCCCCTTTGTCGACAATGTCGGCGACTACGTGTCGACCCGCGCGGAGGTCGAAGCCACGCTGCGCTCGTTCCAAGAGATGATCTCGAAATACCAGTTCATGGAAGTCAACACGCAACGACGAGGCGCCGGCCTGCGTGAGAAGATCCCCGACATCCGCAAGACGCTGGAGATGGTGAAGTTCCTGAAGATGCGCCGGGACGCGCAGTCCAGCGCCCTGGAGACCAACTTCGAGCTGAACGACACCCTCTATGCGCGCGCCACCATCTCCCCCGAGGACACGGAGGAAGTGTATCTCTGGCTCGGAGCCAATGTGATGCTGTCGTATCCGATTGCGGAGGCCGAGACCATGCTGCAGGATAAGCTGTCGGCCGCGGAGAAGAGCCTGTCGTTCTGTGAGGAGGATTTGGAGTTTTTGAGGGAGCAGATTACGGTATGATCATCTTTTCCCCTTTCCTACGTCTCTCTCTTCCTCGCCTTCGATCGATTCTGTCCATTTCGATTCGCTGACGCTTTGAAAAACAGACATTGGAAGTGGCAACTGCTCGTGTTTACAACTGGGACGTGGTACAGCGACGGAAAGAAAAGGCCGAAGGGAAGGGAGGTGACGATGAGAACGAGAAGGGCCGCCCTGGTGGTTAAACTGCTTCCGACGTCTCTGCGCTTCAAACTTGGGTCAACCGTGCGTACTTTCTTTTTACCTCTTTGAAAACTATTTCCCTTTCGTCTCTTATTCGTGTATATCCCCGGTCAGGTTAGATGAGCCAAATAAAAGCGCTGTACAAGGACTATCCATATATTCTGAGAGATTCAATTAAGATGATCATACCACGCATTGTATGTATGGCTTGTGAGTTAACCCCGTAAAAACAGTCTATCATAAGCTAGTAAAGTATAAAATAAGCTTGCCATCTTTGCATCGCTCAACAAACATTAGAAATATTAGCAAACGGCCTATATAGCCACCGTGAGAGGTCATCAATCATCACCCAAACTCTCGCTGTAAAGTGAACCAAGCCAGGAAAAGAACGAAGAAAAAGATAAGGGCAAAGATAAAGGCAAAAGCAAACCCAGGAAGGCAATATAACGCAACACAAGCCATATCCATGCAATCTGTATCAAACATAAGCAAACCCAGAAAGTTATCGGTAAGTTGTAAAATCATCAATCGTAAATCAAGAAACATAGCCTGCCGAGGCAAGTCAAGTGCAGGGGTATCTATAAACCAGGCTCTTCGCTAAGCTCTGGGACCTGGATACTTGGCAATAGGTTCAGGTAGCATATCTGCATCGGACACGGCTCTATCTCGCACGCGTCTGGAGATGTCAATATCCGTGTCATCGCCGACAAATGTCCACTCCTCGGAATCGCCGACTTCATCTTCCTCCTGCTCGGCCATAGTCTTTGCCGATGGCGTCGGAGAGAATGGTGTCGACGAAACGATCGAGCGCTGCCGAGCCAGTGTGGTAGCATATTCGAGATCGCGGTACAGTGCTTGAATAGCAGTCGCCACTCCATCCTCCTGTTTGACGTTAGAAAATTGCTCAGATTATTGAAGAAAATGCCATGTCACTTACACTGCGAATTTGTGCACCCAACTCCCGAGCCTTCACAATCATACGCTCGCTGTGGGTAGCCTCCCACAAAGCTCGTGAAAACACGCTCACGTTCAGTTTCTTCATACAAATTCCAACACCCAAATCTTCAACTCTGGTTCCAAAGAAGAACTGGTCCCCAAAGAACGGCTTGACAATGGTTGGAACGCCTGCCCGCAAACTTGCTCCGGTCGTCCCGGCCCCTCCGTGGTGTGCGGCAGCATCGATCTGCGAAAACAGCCAGTCATGAGGGGCTGCTTGGATCTGAATGATTTCTGGGGGGAGGGGAATCTCCGCCTTCGCACTGGCGGGATCCCCAAGACGGTCTGACCACCCCTTGGAGAGAATGCAGCGGACATCGGCCTTTTGAACGGACTCTACGACAGTCCGTGTGAGAGCAGACGGGTCCGACACGACAATAGAGCCAAAGCCGATGTACACGATCTTCTTGCCATCTTTCCGTGCACGCTGGATAAACCTGGTCAGCTCTACAGGTGGTGTCCAGTCCGTTCCTTCGCTTAGAAACCAATATCCAGTTATCCGGATCCAGTCGGGGTAGTCGAGTGGCGGAGCGACGACCGAAGGAGAGTAGTTGTAAAGAAACGGGACCTTGTTAGGTTGCATCTTATCCAAGGTTGTTGGCTTGAGTCCAAGATCAGTCTTTCTCCACCGATTCACTTGTCCCGCAATTGCCTTCCAGAAGACGTTGTCAAACATGACGTAGGTGATGTAGTTGTAAGCACCGCCCATCTTATGCTCAGGGACGGCGAACGCATGCGGGTATGCTCGTGTCCGGGTCCAGGGCATCGTGAAGGCACGGAAGTATGGGATTCTGAGTGCCTCCGCAATATGGATCCCTGCCATTGCACTGGGAGATTCTATCAGGAGATCGCTTCCTTGGCAGCCTTTCCATGCAGAGGATAGGAGATCGTCAATCCAGCCTCGGAACTTCAAGGATGCCTCCCTCAGGAACGAGTATGTGAACATTCCATTCTCCACACAAATTCTCATTAGTTCTGCAGGGTCTCCATCGACCGGAGCAAAATCAATGCCGTGCTTTCTCACCCAAGGCTCGAATTCTGCATGGGTCGCAATTTTAGGCTTGTGGCCTTCGGCGAGTAACCCTTTGCACAAGGCAATGTACGGCTGTACGTCACCCCGAGAGCCAATAGTAAGACATGTGATCCGCAGAGACTCGGAGGGTTTGAAATTGATGATCGAAGCTCGGGGATCATCGAAAATGGGATGAAGCTCTGAGGACTCTTCCAACGGCGCTTGGGTATCTTCCTCGCCGATGACGCCCATCCTAGCTTCTTGCAGCATTAGATGCTCCGCTTTTGCTGCATCGGATTCGTCTGTCTCTTGTTTGGCGAGCAAGCCCGACTCTGCCAAAAACTTGACCGACTCGAGTCCCTGGTGCAGTGTTACCGCACAATCATCTCGGGCATCGGATGCATTGAACTCGAAGAACAATTCCTCATGGCCTCGAATTATGATGACAAGCCCGTGGTAACCAAACCGAAAGCCCTTTTCCTTCTCAACGTTCTCAACGTCTTTCAACGGAAGGATCATCTTTGTGCGGGTCCCCGGAATCAGGCTTCGGAAGCAGAGCTTTTTCTGGCTGATGTAAATCTTGCCATATAAGGGAAGAACGCGGTGGAGATGGGCGAAATATGTTGCTTGAAGCCTCTCTGTCGGCGGGAGTGCGAAATGGGCCCGGAAACGGTCTCCGTGTTTGCAGCCATCTTCCCTGTCTTCGGGGTCGACATCCTGATCATCTGGTAGTATATCTTCTCCTTCCCCGTAATGCTGGCGGCCCCCTGCCCACATTCCTGATACTTTCTCGAAGTAGCCCATCGATTCGCTGGCCAAAAGAGTGCTCATCTGTTTTGACCGGTTCTTCAAATATTCTGCGATTCCCGCGGCACGCTGAAGAGGATAGGCACCGGCTCTGACGAGTTCATTCAGAGAAGGAGTCGCAGTATGCGTCTTGGAAGAATCCTGCACTTCTAGGTCAGATTCACTGATCCCATACTGAAATTCTGCTTCGTTCTGTCGGGCAAGCGCCAATGGGTTAACGGCAGCATAAGATGCATCTCGCGCTGTATCGCCAGAATGCCGGCGTCCCTTCTCTGCGCCAGAACGCCGAGCTCCCAAGGTGTGTATTGTTGGAGACTGGAATACGTCGCTTCGGTTGAGAATTTGACTGGCCGACTCTGTTGTATCCGTCATGGACTGTAAAACAGCGGAGGATTCGGCCGCATGTTCAAAGGAGTTACAGAAGGAGTCCGATGGGTCTGCTTGCTTTGTTGGAGGGGACGTCCCCACTACGTCGTGACCGAAGCTGACATGGCTTGCACTTGCGCTTCTGCGCCGATGCGAGTTAACGTTTGCTATCCCTCGCGACTGGCTCAACGCGCTACTCAATGACCACCTATTCTGGGATCCTCGGGATCGTCTCGACTGGGCGACCTGGTCTCGCTTGGGTGATAAGGTCTGGGACTGTTTTGTAGTTCCGTGCGTCAGGCTTTTCAAGAAGTTGAAGGCGTCTTGACCGGCATTGAAGAATGAGAAATAATACTGCCAGCGACATTAGTGATAAATACCGCCATACCAATCAGCGGAGACAAACCTCATCAATGGCATAGGTCTCTCGGTCAACAACGCGTATCTTAAATGTCTCGGCGAATTCAACCATGGGGCTTTCCTCTATATCTATAATATTATCAATCGGAAAAGAGATTTTGACACTGTCGCCGTCGTTGTGAGTTCGAAAGATGACTTTCTGCAACGATTTCACCCATTCTTTGGCACTGGCCTGGCTATCGGCTCTGAAATAATATGTTCGCTGGTCGGTGGTCACCTGGAAATCCTTCGTTTCTTTGCCTTTGTCTTTCTGCTCAACCAAAGAGGCAGATATCCCGTATCGGAGATCCACATGACCGCTGGGGAAGTAGAAGTTGGAGGGATCCGCATAGAAAGAGAGAACATCCCCCTTCAATGAGAACCAATAACGAGTGTACCGGAGGTTCTTTCGCCCGCGTTTGTGGAGCCAGCCAGATCTGATGGTGAGAGTTGACTTTCGTGGAAGATAAGCGTAGAAGCAGATATGTCCTTCCGTGACATACATGTACCCCTGCAAAAGCATACTTTGCAGTAGAGAGCAAGCATACTCAACGACGACCTTCTCCGGAGACTCGTAGCCAAACATTTCCATCAACCTGTGAGAGAGGGCAGACGAGGCCGGCCGAGGGCCATTGTCGGCCCCATCCATCGCCGAGTGAGGATGCTCAGGCACCGCCTTGGGGTCGAGGAGGGCCTGGGCCTCCACCATCCGGCTCAGAACAGGGGCGGCTCGAGGGGTGGCACTGCGAGGACGCCTTGGGGACGGAGCTCGAGACATCTCATCGCTCGACGGGGGCTCGGTCTGGATCGTCTTTTCTTTCCCATTACGAAAGCTTGAACTTGTCTTAAAGGGCCGCAAAAGCCTGTTCTCCGATATCGTCCTGCGATGACGGCGGCCTCTTTCTTCCGACTGTGCCTTGTTGTCCGTCGACTGAGTGGTGTTCTCGGCTTCCCTGGGAGGTATACCGGCGGCGGCGGTGGGAGGGATCTTCCTACTCGATTTCCGACGATGACCTTCAGCGTCGCCTTCGCTATCACTCGAATCGTCGAAGCGCGTATGGAAGTCGGACTTGGAACCGACGGCGGCGATCATAGAAAAGATGGACTGTTGCATGTAGGGGACGTGGCCGTCGCGAGAGCCGGTGGCGCCAGGCGGAGCGGTGAAATCGACCTGGGCATCGTGGTCGTCCTTTAGGCGCTCGGGCAAGGCACTGGAAAACATTCGACCGTTGGACATGGATTGTCTTCTTGTAGTGAGTTTAGAATCCACACGTTTTTTGGCATCGTCCAGAAAGGGTCGCATCGTCGGCGATGCAAACGAGGGTGGGAGACCAAAGGAGCGGAAGGCCGACAACGGTCAAGGGAGGAAGGGAAGGGATGGCAGCTGTAGAACTGGAAGTGTCGGAGCAGGTGACAGCAACAGCCACAACTGACCCCGTCACTGGAGCGCTGACGTCAGCCACTCTAATAACTATTTAGTTATCACCTTAGTTAACTACCTAGTGAAGTGAGTGGAGTACAAGGGTCTAATAATTAGGCCGGTATCAAGAGTCCATCCAACATTACATTCCAGAACATCGATTCAGAGTATTCAGCTCATTTATCCCCCTATATGTTGGTTCATTGTATCATGTGACCTTTTCTTTCATGCTCCTTTTTGTTACAGCGCAAACAAACCCTCTTACCAAACAACCGCTATAAATGTTTGCTGGTTGTAGGAGTATCTATTATCGTTGGGCAGTGAACAGACTTCGGTAACAACCTTACCTGAGTGTTCTTTATTCCGTAATTGGCAGCCTTTGTCGGCCTCGGCATGCGGGATTCTTATATACCTGAAGCCACCGTGATCTGCCAGGTCTCTTTCCACAGGGTACTCGTACAGACTTGAATAAGGGCCTAACCAATCAGAACACCCCCATGAGACAGCCGGGGCGCTAACTGACTTATGTCATCCGTCAGGGCTGTGGCGAGAAATTATCTACAGGCCTGCGTCTCTATCCATGGAACCGGCGATGGTCCATAAAATGAGCAATTTGGCTGTGCATCGGACTCCTGTAGAGCGCTCGCATGATCTGGCCCAAAGGCTGGTATTTGCCTGCCTCTGGAGGCTGTGCCGACTGACAAGTACATACGAAGTACGGATACACGAGGCTCCATCACCGGGGCTTAGTGGCTGCGCTTTGAAGGCGGTTGATCGACGTCTGGTGGGCCGTCGTCTCGATGTGATATCGACAAGGTATCCGTCCTTTACTCCCAGACTCATCTAGCAGCCCAGTAGCCTCGAAAATGGTTTCTTTCGACGTAGAAAATCACCATAAGCAAACTCTTAATCTCACAATTTTTAGTGGTCCACCTATATACAAGCTCATCCAGGTATCATGCGCCCTGATGCAAAAGAAATGTGTATCCACCCAGTGTCAAACGTCCAACAAAATTTCAGACTCGTCTCATGCGGTCGTTCCGGACTTCTTCCGCTTCTTCTCCTCCTTGCTCTTGCTGGATTTCTTTTTCTCCCCGTCCTCGTGCTTCTTGGACTTCTTCCGAGGCTCGCCGCTGGCCGTGTTCCCCTCGCCCTCGGTAGGGTGTTGTTTCCGCTTTCTCTCCTCCTTGTCGACCTTGGCACCCTTGGGGACCTTGAACGTAGGCGCCTCTCCCTCTGACTCTTCCGAGCTCGACCCGATCGTCTCCGCGGGCGCATTGCGGCTTCCCACGGGACGGAACCGCATCTTCAAGTGCTTGGGCTGTTTCCTCGGAGGAACCACCTGCTCCTGTGCCGCCGCCCGTACTTTTCCTTCCGTCTCAGATCGCTCCGGGAGCTGGGCCAGCTCCTGCACATGGTAGCTCTGGATATTGTCCGCTGTCGTAGATGTATACGTCTGGGTCTTGGGGTCATAAGTGAGGAGCGTTTGCCCAGCCACATCGCCGTTGCTCATGCTTTCAGCCGGGATGCCATACGCCACGCCTTCGTGCTTCATAACCGGCTCGCCCTGCAGGACCTTGGCCAACGAGATCTCCTTGACTTTCGAGAGAGGGAGGAAGGCCGGGGCGGAGACGTGGAAGATTTGCTTCCCGCGGAGATCGGACAAGGCGGAGGCGGTGCTGGAGGAAGGAGGCGATTGTTTCTTCACGGATCGGAAACCGGAGGGGGCCTTGAAGGGCTGCGCGGCGATGGTCTTCACTTTGGACGACCTAAACATGACGGGTTAGATGGCTAGTGGCGAGGCAGACATGATTGCACCTACTCATCAGATGATTCTTCAGACTCGTTGTCTGATTCTTCCTTGGAAGAAGCGGCGCTTTCATTATCGCTCTCGCCTTCGCTGGAGCCGCTTGACGAGTCTTCCTCCGATTCCGAACTCGACGCTTGCGTGGTCTTCTTGGTCACTTCGGGAGAAGAGGATCTGCTCTCACTCTCCGACGAAGAGGACGAGGCTGACTTGGGAGCCATTATGTTTGCGGGTCTTTTTGGAGGAGCGCTTTTGTCGACGCTCGGAGTTCGAGGGAAGAAAAAAGTTCGGCGGGCTTGCGATGGGGAGCGCCAAGCAACGAATTTGCTTGATGAGAGGGTGACCAGCGTAATAAAACAAACCAATCCAAAAGCTCGACTGCGCGATTGGGGATAATTAATTGAGAGTCAATATGATTCCTGGGAGTTGAGCGATTCCAACCGGCGATTGCTGGGAGCGATAACGCGATAACTTTTTTTTTTTTTTCCCTTGACCCTCTTTGCTCCGCGGAGCACGGACCACCATCAAAAGTCCGCGGTCTGAATTATCGACTTTCGAGGGTCCCGCCAACACCACCTCTCGAAAAGTCTGCGCGGCACTGTCGAATGAGCTGGAATTTTGGTGGAAAATCTCGGGTATTTTGGAAATTATGAAGAGAAAGGCTGATAAACAAGCTGCGGCTGGTGTGTGCCCAATCCAGTCTTCCTTGGAATTCAGAGGGAAAAAAATTGTATACTGACATCAACCCTCCTAGCTCCGATGAGCGCCGTTGCGGCGCGCAAAGCTCGCCAGCAGCAGGCGCAGACTGCTGCACCCCCGGCGAAGCCGTCAAAACCTGAAACCTCCGGCGAACCCCCTTCTAAAAAGGCGCGGCGCACCCCCGAAGAAGAGGAAGAGAATTCGGTACAGGCCGCCGGCGTAGACGACCGCCGGCAAACGAGGCGATCAACCCGGCGAAAGACAGAGGACTCGAAGGCACAAAGCACCCCGGAGAAGAAGGCTAAAGCACCAGCCCCGAAACCTACCGAACAAGGACCGCCTCCTAGTGCCTCTCAGGACAATGAGAACGAAGGTGCCTCGGAGGAATCAGATGAGGAGGATGCCATTGTGGGGGAGAACGGGATCGGCTCTGTGCAAAATGATGACGATGAGTGAGTTGGTCTTTAGTGAGGGATCGAGGGATAGGAACTGACATCCCTAGATATGAGTCTCCTGCAGATACCCCGGCTCTCGCACAGGAGGAGTTCCCGTTGTCAAGAACTCGTTTGAACAAAAGCAACATCGTCTACAGCGATGAGGAAAGACTCTGTGTTCGGATAAAAGACAAGATGGTACGTCTCTGTGTGTGCTACGAGGACTGATGGATCATGCTAATCTTTCGTAGAGCTTGGTGTTGCTTGGCCACTACGACCTTTGGGTGAAACGAGGCGTGATCAGTCTGATGGGCGCCAAGTTGCATCCATCGTCTCGAGTCTACAGAGTCTATGCGCCCTCGACTCACTCTCTGCCTGTCATCAAGTGTGTCGCTAGTGTCGACGGAGCGGCAGAAATTGAGGTCAAATCCTGCCACAGCGGTATCTACCGTCTGAGGGACCTGTCTCCTCTATATCAACGTGTGTGGAATGGAAAAAACACCGCCGCCGACAAGCTCACCTTGAAAAAAGAACCGGCATCTACTAGAAGGACATTCTCCGTTGTAAGTGTCGCCCCTTGGCCCTCCGCATACACAATCTAACCTGGCATAGTTGTATACATCCGCCGACGATTCTCTCAAGCGACACTTGCGACCACTGCATCTGGAAAAGCAATGGAGCTCGGCTATCAAGTCTCTCTCTCAACGTGGTGGACGGCTTAAGACACTAATCTGTGGTCCTAAGGCGTCTGGAAAATCCACCTTCAGTCGATATCTCTTGAACCACCTCCTCAGTCCCGCCCCGCAGACCGAGACCAACTACTACAACACCGATGGCGTTGCCTTCCTCGACCTCGACCCCGGCCAGCCCGAGTTCTCCCCTATGGGCCAGGTCTACCTTGCGCATCTGCGGTCTCCTGTCTTTGGTCCCCCGTTCTCTCATCCGTCGCTGGACGGTTCGCAGACCGGCACGATGGTGCGCGCACACCACATCGGAGCAACATCGCCCAAGGACGACCCCGACCACTACATGCTCGCGGCCATGGACCTCATGGACCGCTATCGCGCCCTGCTCGCCACCTACCCCCAATGCTCCCTCATCATCAACTACCCGGGATGGATCTTCGGACTCGGCCTGGAAGTGGCGACCTGGCTGGTGCGCTCGCTCGGGCTGTCTGACGTCGTCTACATGAGCGAGAAGGGGCCTACCGAAGTGATCGAGCCCCTTGGACAGGCGGCGCACGAAGCCATGGTCCCTCTCACCATCCTCCCATCTCAGCCCACCGATTTCGTCAGCCGGTCCAGCGCGCAGCTGCGCACCATGCAGATGCAGTCCTACTTCCATCTGAACCACGCCGACGGCATCAGCAACCCGCTCTGGCTCGACCAGCCCCTCTCCCACACCCGACCGTTCCGAGTCTCCTACGCCGGGCCCAACCAAGGCATCCGCGGCATCATGGTCATGGGCTCCCAGATCGACCCGGACCTTCTGCACGACGTCCTCGACGGCGCCCTGGTCGGCGTCGTCGCCGTTGAATCCCCCCGCGCCATCCTCGGCGAGACCGACCGGGAACAACCAACAAACGGCGCTCCGGACGCAGAGGACGAGGAAATGGAAAACGCGTCCCACGCCGGTTCCGACGTCAACATGGACGACGACGAAGCCGAACCCACCACCCCCAAACCCCAAGACCACCCATCCACCACCACCACCCCCTCCTCCATCGACGCCAACATCACCCGCACGCGCAACGAAGACCTCCCCTACCTCTTCGTCGGCGCCGGCAGCTGCACCCCGCTCGACCCCCGCGCGTCGCATAGTCTCGGGCTGGCGCTCGTGCGCTCCGTCGACGTCCCCTCGCGGCGCCTCGAGCTGGTGACACCCATCGCGGGGTCCAAGATCCGCCAGGCCCTGGAGCACGGGAGCGGCATCGTGCTAGTGCGCGGGCAACTGGACAACCCGAACTGGGCCGTCAGCGAGGAGTACCACGGCGCACGGGCCGCCGAGAAGCGGCATCGCGAGTCGATCGACAAGGCCAGAAAGATCCAAAGTCAAGGAGGCGAGGAGAAGGCAGCAGGAGGAGGCCTGGACCCGGCGACGCGAGCGCGGGTGTCTGCCGCTCTTCGGGACCGCGTCCGCCGCGCAAGCAACGTGCCGTGGATGACGGTCGTCGATGACAGTCGGCGACAGAGGGAGGCGGCCTCGCAGCGCGAGAAGTCGCTGTGGAAGCTCCGGAAGAAGGCATATCCGGGGAGTGAGAGCGAGGGGGATTGGTAGACAATTTTCTTTCTTTATTCTATTTATGCTACAGTCATTCAGTACATGTACCATTGCTATCTAACCAGATACCTCTTGTATAAAAATCGACGATTCAAAGGAACCCACGAAATCATTCCACCGGTAACTAACAAGTAACAACCCACTAAGATCAGCCAACCCACCTACCAACTAATCACACAGAGCCTAGAAGTAGGTAAGTAAGAAACAACCCCTCAATCCAACCCCGCGGCAAACTCACCCACCGACTGCGATCCTAAAAAAAACCCCCCCGATCGGACTGCCAGGATAGGATCTGGAATTAAATCCAGGATACAGCGGAGACTGCGGCCAGCCGAAAAAAGAAAAAGAAATCGAGAACCAGACAGGGAAAAAGTGGACAGCACAAGTCAAGTCCACTGCAGACAAGGATTCTGACATGCAGTGGAAATGTACGTGCTGCGTTGTACGACGAGACTCCGCCGGCTCAATTAACTGACTTACCTGCCTGCTGGCTTAGTACTAGGTAGGTAGGTAGATAGGTAGGTGAGAAGATGAGGGGAGGGGAGAACCGTGAACCGTCTGGTCTGGAATAGAGTCCAAGTCAAAGCAATAGTTCCCTCTTCAGTGTCTAGGCCGTAGGTACATACATTATATACAGCTGCAGTCGAGGTATACAGAGCCCAGAACTACACTCGCACGGCACCGTGACACAGTCATATCCGAGGGCAGTTGGGCCTGCATCTGCCATGGACTATTTACTTCCTTCCTGTTCACTGGGTATGTGACTCGCCTACCTGCGTCTGTACGGGGCATGTACTCCGTATGTACATCAAGCAGGGAGAACCCGGTAGGGACCAGGAAGTAGGCAGGAAGTAAACACTAGGTACATGTACCAAGGAGGAAATACTAACTAACTACTAACTACCTTAGCCCCAAGCACAGAACCACTCGCAGGATCCGTAATAGGTAGTAATGGCCATCCAGAGTCCGTAGTCCGTACACGAAAAAGAAAAGGAATCATTCAATACGGATTAATAAGTAGAAGGGGGCCAGGACTCGAGGCGTAGACGGGAAAAGAAAAAAGAAAAATAAAAATAAAAAAATCAACCACAAAAACAAAGAAAGACAGAACGAAAGAAAGAAAGAAAGAAAGAAAGAAAGAAAGCAGTGACACACCGCACCAACCAGCCTCCAATCAAGGAGCCCAACCAAGCAATGGCCAACCGGCGAGACTAGAAAAAGTGGCGGACATCTCGGGAGAGGGAGGGGAACGGTCTAAGTTAGTGAGAAGCATAAAATCACTCACGGAAGTGGAGAGAGAGAGAGTCGACAGAGTTAACCACGACGAGCTAAGCCCAGCATCATTACATAACGAGGGCGACGACAAAGTCTGTAATACGGGGCGGTCCGGTTAGTCTAGACCGTCTGGGAGAGAGCGTCGAGGAGTGAAGATGATTAACTATTCAGACGGTGGCCGTGGTTGGTGGACGATTCATGTCTCAGTCTGACAAATGCGACGGACGTTGGTGGTTATTTTTATTTTTAATGGCTTTACTGCGTACAGAAAGAGTATTATTGACTAGCTGGTGGAGTTACACGTACATACTCCGTGAAACTGAAGGGTTCAAGAGTACTCCGTAAGGCAACGAGCACGAGGAATCTGGACCTGGTACAAGATTCAGCCGCACCGATCGAACTACTTCGATTTCGACTCCTGAGATTGGACTTAGCGCTCTGCGTGTCTCAGCATGTTTGTTGTGGTCACTTGGGTATACCCCGTAGTTGGCTATGATCCTGGTATCCCGAGGCTGAGGAGGGGCGATTACTCCGTAGTATACCCTCGTTAGTCACGGCAACATTTACTACTCTGTAACTAGTGAACTAGGCTGCACTCCGTAGAGAACCCGTAAATGGGATCAAATACGGAGGACTCCGGACCGTAAGACAGCAGCGCTGTCAAGATCCCAGCACGGGCCAAGAATAAATGAGTACTCCGTAAACAATAATAATAAACACTCGATAGTCAACACTCCCGGGCCCAAGGCGAATGGGACTTCAAACGGTCCACCGCTGGGCGTGGAAGTTGCCTGGGTAATGCTCCATTCGGCCTCGTGGAGTCGCTCCTTCGAGCGTTCCTCCGGAGTCCGCAGACAGCGGTGCATCATTGGCGGCGCCGAAAAAAGGACGGAGGACGCCCTCCCAGGCACCGGGTGGACTAACGGAAATTTTATATCCACAATGAACGCATCGTCCTGTCATCCGGCTTGTGGCTGGGTTCTGCAGGATTTGCGAGCACTACGGAGTATCTCCCGCGTACGGAGTATGTCCTCTGGCGAGAGCTTTTTGATTGCGAGAATTTCCATGGATAGGAAACCCACGTGGAGACGGTCTGCTCGCACTGGAGTGGTCCGGTCTTGGTCCTCTTGGATCCTCGGGTGGGGTTTTAGTCCGTGAAGCTCGTGTGCCTGGTTACCTGACCGAGTATGTTATATTCCGGCTTTCACTATCATTACGAGCGTTGCGAGATGGTTTTCTGCAGGTAACCCAGCTGAATCAGTTTAATTGCTCCGTACCTCTGTATACTGACGGAGTATACCTACTTCGTGGATACTTGTGGAGGCATCGTTCACGGCCCTCGGCTTAGTCCCAAGCCGGTAAGAGTCAACGGACAGATAGCCTGCATGATCTGTCATATCAAGGTCCGGCGAAACGGACAACGCAGGCGAGGCTCGTGCTAACGGACTACACTCGGAGTATACTATCTACTACTCCGTATGTAGTGCAAATAATCAATCTACTCGGTATATGTCAGAACCCCAATACGGAGTACATCAGAACAATACGGACGATGTTTCAACGAAATGAAAGGAGCGGCTCTGATGTCAGAAACTCGGGGAATAATCTGATTGTCCTGTTCTATTCGGCGTTGAATGTCCGACATGTTGCGGTGTGGGTAGATCCGCCAGCCATAAGCCCATCACATATACGGAGGAAATCCCACCTGCAGGAGATAGACAGCCCTTGGTCAATGATATGCAGCGATTCATTTATCCATCACCGACATGCGGGTTAACACTGATAAGACGTCCCGTCCGGCTCCGTTCAAGCCTTCCCATGTCGTTTGTCCAGCGAGGCTGCACTCGAACTATCTATCACATCCGCCCGCGCGGTTCCCGTAAGCAGGAATCGTCCAGACCGGAGAGACATCGCGAACTAGTGGCTGCAGTGTGACGTTGCCTTTTCACCCCCGACAGGGAATCTGGCCGGTCGCATCCCTATCTTCATGCCAATGATCGTTCGACGTTGGTCAATTTGGCCAAGGTCCGAGGAGATGGGTCCTGATAATAATATCATCGTAATATAATCGTAATAATAATATCATCGTGATAATATCATCCTGAAGGCTGGGATCATACGGAGGAGAGTAGAATAATACCGCCGGAATAGTCATGCTTGACGAGAAGGACGGAGTCCCCAAGCGCGACCATCCCAATTCCAATGCTTAATGCTAATTCCAATAAGATCGAACGATCAAATGAATCCCGTCCCCTTACCCATAGCCGATGGAGCAGAGGGCCCTCGCCTCCCAGGATTTGAATCATGCACTCCGCATGCAGCATCCATCTCATCAGGAGATTACAACCGCGTGGGCGTAGATTGGACTGAACGCCTGCGACCGAGTTCGGTGGAGCCGACCAGCCAGGAGGAGCCCCTCTAGCGCCCACCCTGGCCTTTACCCTTCGAGGCAGGGAGTGGCAGAAGGAAACGGATGCGACCCGACCGACGCAGCAAATCGGATGGGTGGGAAATTGGGCGAGATGGAAAGGATGAGAGGTAAGGCGACAGGGGGGATGAATCTTTTGGCCGTGATCCAATTATCGAGGTGTAATATTAATGGACTCCTTCGAACGAAACGGGGGAGAGTAGTCACGACTACTCCGTAGTATCATCAAAAAATGGACACGGGGGTTTCTCACGGACATCACATACTCCGTAACGGGATCGTCAGCGGAAGAATACTTCCATTTGGCATGTACTCCGCCGGCATGATGTCCGTTCAGTATCAGAAATCAGAGATGAACACCATCTGTGACGCCCATTCCCTCGGTACGACCACCAGAGACAGACCGTTGTCCCATTGCCCTCCATGTGATGGAAGTCTACTACGACTAGTAGACTAGCAGTAGAGTTTGGGCGGAACCGTTTGCAGAGCATCGGTCGGTCGTGCCACCTCTTGCCTCCTGGGAATCCATGGAGTACGTAGTCCATCAGCCCGGGAACGTGGAAGAATGCCGAAGGGGTGACCCTGGTAGGCGGTTCGAGATCGGGTCCGCCGGCAGTGGAAAGGCGGCAAATCTTCCAGGTTTGGGTTGGAATCGACCGCGCCTTCATTGGATCGTGGATTTGGATTTGGTACTGGGATCGAGGCGAGCGTTTTATTTTTTTCTGTCCATTCTTCTCAACCCCCGTACTATTGATTTGGTCCCTTTTCTTTTTCCTCCCCGGAGGTCACAAGACGCCGACCGAAATCCATGCTGCCAGCCGACGGGGGAGAATCGGACGAATCGTACGTTGGATCATTCTCTGGTTGAGTTCGTTTCATTGATTTCCCTTGTTTCCATGGCGTTGATGGCCTGCGATCCTTGCTGGCCGAAACCAATAATAGAGGCTCGGCCCAAAGCAGAAAGCCGAGCGACCGCTAAAAAACGCGCGGAAAAATGGATCTGTGATTGACTTCTTCCATTTCCCGTTCTACACGCCTTCCATTGCGTAAAGGGGAAAGGCAAAACGAACAGAAACAGAAAAAGGAAAAAAGAAAAAGACCGGCGATGATTAGCGGCAGACGCCGACCCGCTCCTTTGGTCCCGTCGCCTGTGGTTCGCTCAGCCTTAACTCCGGTCAGTACCTAAGGTAGTTTACCGGTTTCATACGGAGTACACTCCCTCATTTTCCCGGAGAAGGGGAAAATAGAGATATATACATACATCAATATATCCATATCTCGGACCAAAAGGTAGTCCGTCTCACAGCAAGGGGACTCGATCAATCAGAATCGAAAAGGGGGCTGAAATGGGCGACCGAGGAACAAAGGAATGCCTCCAAGAAAGCGAGTCCCTCTAGCATCGCGACCGTTTTCTGTCGGACTCCATCCGGCGCTGCTGACAGGCGGACGAGGGAGGAGGGCTGATGCTGGATACTAAGCGGCGGGCTAGGAATCAGACAGATTAATCGCGAAGTCGCTAGTATACGACGGCGAGCTCGGTTGGGCTGGAGGTCATTGGGCTTCCTGCTCTCTTCGGCCTGATCCCGTCGCTTACCATACCTTACCGTACCGTACCAGTACCGACGGGTAATACCAGGAAACCAGAACGACCCGCTCCCCCTTCAGGCCTGCTTCGTCATACTCCCGTCACCAATGAAATTGTATGAAATATTAAATATTAAATATTCATGAATTAAAAAAAAGAAAAAAGAAATTCAAATTAAAGGTAAATTAAATTAAAATAAAAGAAAATAAAAGAAAATAAAAGCAAAGTAATCCGAGTACTGAATGGCCCAGAAGTCGGAGACCCTTCAATCCCCATATTTTAATTTATTCCCTTCATTATTATATTCTGGCTTCCCCCTCCTCGACATTCACTTTCCCTTCCTTTTCTCTCTCTATCCTCACCTCCCTCCCTCCCCTCTTGTCTGGTCTGCAAGCTGGCCTTTGCAGTTTCCGTGACGATTCCTGCCGGTGACCGTGGTGGAAGTGGGTAGTAGTCGTCAATTCCTCCTCGCCTCTCCTGCCCTCCCCTCCACCCTTCCTCGTCTCTCGTGGCCGCATCGGGTTCAATCCAAAGTCGCCACAATCGCTCTCCTCCGCCTCCTGTCCCGGAAAGCATGCCTTGCAACGATGGTTTAATATGGTTGTTGGATACTGCTAGACGTTAATCCGTGAAGATGGATTTCATTGTGAGTGCGCTCCCTTCTCCCTTGTTTGGCCTCCTTCGATCCTCGACCCCCAGTGGCGCATTGCGACCTGCGTCAGTCTTGCGCATTCGTCCCTGGCAGATCGTCCATCCCCTTGTCCTCGAGTCACGTTTGCGCCGAATCGAAGTCGCCGTCTTGCCACCGTCAAAGGCGCGGGGCTCACGCGACCTCGCCCCATCCCAGTCCCATTGCATTGGATCCGGACTAACCAAGTGCTCTCCCCTGTAGCTCTCTTTGACGCATTTTTGCGAGGTACATGGCCCGACCTCGATCATTTGTTCGCAAGTCCTACCGTTCTCCTGTTCGCAATGCTACCCCGATCATTCCGACTCCTCCCCCGATGATACCCCGGCGACTTCTCACGACACGGTCTCGTCCCATGGCCTGCGCAAGGAATTCAGCCCCTCGAAGCCGTCCGAGAAACCCGCCAATGGGGGTTCCAAGTCACCGAAGATCGAGGACCATCCTTACTTCCTGAAGTCACAACCGAGTGCTTCCGAATTCCAGAAACTAAGCCGTGTCGGAGGCGCTGACGGCGATACTTGCGCCAGCTGCAGCCTGACCTTGCCGGAGGGTGTGAGCAAACAACTTCCCGCAGGCGCCCCGGGGACTCCAAAGGGTGATGGCAAGGGTAAAAACAGCAGCCCCGTTTTGCGGTCGAGGGAACTGGTCTACTCCTGCGGCAGTAATCATTCCGATTACAACGACAGCATGCACGACTCGCATACGCATGCCTCGTTTTCGGAATCCCTCCATTCGTCGTCCGTTTCGTCCGACGCCTCTTGCCACTCGCATATTCTCACCTATCTCTCGTTGCGAGGTCCCCCCAACCCCGCAGACTACGCCCTTCTTCGACGATCGTCCATCCGCACGCTGAGTTGCGAGCTCCTCCCCCGTGGTCTTTCCGCCGGTCCTTTGTGTTTTGGCGACTCGAACGCCGGTTACACGGTTGCCTATATCTTTCGCCTTCCCGACCCCCTGGCTCGCGGCAAACGGCGCAGCTATGCGCTGGTTGCGCTGGCCGGTAAGGATGCGGGTAAAGCGTTCCGTGCCTGTCCAGTGATATGGAGGGCATTCGGTCGCATTGCATCTGGCATCGTCAACTCGGCCGAGAAATTCCAGGAGGAAGAAAAACGGCGCGAGGAACAGAACGGCAGCTCCAATCGGAACGGAACACATCCCTATACTCCCGTTTCCTCTTTCCTCACCGGACGCACCGTCGATCCCGATGGACTTCGGCGTCCCGGCCAGGTTCGCGCACGAAACCTCTCGGAAATCGTGGGCAACCAGTACATTTTCGCGGAAATACACGCACATTTTGTTGCCCTTTTGCAACAGTTAGGTTCAATGTTTGGAGCCGTCCCCATTTCGGAGGAACGATTTGTTTGCAGTACAGTTCGCGAAGACGAAGATACACAACGATCGCTTTTGTCGGGCGGCGAGAAGGGCCATCCCAAAGATCAGAAACTCCAGAAATACGACGATAACGATCTTGGCATGGCCAAGCTGGATATCTCATCGGGACCGAAGCCCATTCCTATCGCCCCCCGTCGATCAGTCATCGCTTAAGATCATAAACCGCCTGTTTACTGCGACTTATCTCTCTACAAGATTCAGATTTTTAGACACGACTACCGATACCCTTTGTTCACCTTTTACATCATCACTGGATTTCAACAATACCCTTACCTTTGATCTCCAGCAGTGACGCCTTCCTATTTTCTGGCCACTGCCTTGTTCTCTTTCTTCCCGTCTGGTTTCTTCTTTCTGTCATGTTCCGTCAAGGAACCGGTTCCAATAGATTTATGGCGTCCTCTCAAGATCGGACACGGAGTTACGGTCTCTTTCATCTTTGTTCTGGGCACCAGCCTCTTCTTGTTTTCTTTAAGCGTGGGTGGACAAATGATCTTTGACCCAGGTTTTCCGTTCTATTCCCCTTTGCTTTGCTGTGTTTTCGTTTCAGCCGGCGAGGACTTATGCCATGGCACTTGCCATAGCTTAACGAGTCCCTCGAGTATCCGCTTTATTATTACCACCCTATTGTCTTTAATAATACCCTTGTATTGCCACGGCAATGCGAGGAGAAGAGAGGATCTGTGTTTGGCAGGACAGCCGTTGCATCATATCATGAGTCTCATGATTTGAATGTCTTTTACGAAGGGCGATGGGAAATGATAAATCACTACGCTTTTTGCCGCTGGCTTTGCCGTGTCCATGTTCCTGGTGTTCTTTTTTTTTTCTCTTCTCTCTTCTTCTGTGACTGTATGTAACTACCTAACTTAACTACCTACCGTATCCATGTATTTTATGCCGATTGCGTTAGACTTGCCTTGGTTCTTGTTTATTAGCCTGTGTAGTGTACTTTTATGTTATGTATAGTATTTGGGTGTTTCAGGTCTTTGTTGTATAATATCATGGTTTTCTAAACTACATCATACCTTATAATATGAAGAGGTAGAGAAAAGCCTACAGCACGTCACCCAGACATGATATATACATATTAACCGGAACCAATACTTCCTAAAAAAGACATCCATAAATTCCATAGTATTCAAGATCGGTATCCCTAGACATGGCACGTGAAAATAAAAAGATTAAGAAAAAGCAAGACGATAGACAATCAATATCAGAAAAATAGACACAGAAGAAAATATAAATATAAACTAAAAGCAGACCCAAAACTCAATTCCCACCCTATTTCCGGTGCCAGCCATGAACAGAAAACGAAAACAACCACGTAAGCGACATGAACCCTGACCCCAACAAGCTAAAAGAAACAGATAGTATGCGGAAGAAAGATGCGATCATCGTCCCGTGATGTAATCTCTGTTCTGGATGGTCACGCTCTTGGTCATGTGGTTGACCTTGTAGACTCCCACGAGTCGCGAGGCGAGTTCGAACTGGAATCGACGCGTTAGGAACCTGACATGATGGAAGATCGGGTCAGGACTTACCATGTTGTTTCGCAGGGAGATGACGATGAACTGCGCGTTCTTGGTTCGCTCCTTGATGTACGAGGCGACGATGGAGACCTGAGGAGGCAGGTTAGTGGGAGGTCTTGTCTAAAAGGGATTGGGATTGGGACATACGTTTCGGAAATCCAGGGCAGCGTCGATTTCGTCCATCACGTACAGCGGAGTGGGCTTGTAGTGATGCAGAGCGAAGACCAGAGCCAGACTGGACAGGGTCTTCTCACCACCGGACAGGTTGCCGATGTTCTTCCAGCTCTTCTTCGGGGGCATGACGGAGAACAGGATACCCTCGGAGAAGGGATCCAAGGAGTCGACCAGCTCCAACTCGGCGTTACCGCCCATGGTGATCATCTGGTACATCTCCTTGAGTCGAAGCGAGATGATGCCGAATCCCTCCATGAATCCGTTCAGTCGCGAGGACCGGAGACCGTCCAGACGTGCCTTGGCACTGTCGCGAGAGGTCAAGGCAGTTGCCAGATCAGCCGAGCGAGCTTGGTGCTCTGCCGTCCGGCGACGGTATTCATCAATGACAGAGAGATCGACCGACGCGTTCTGGCTCTTCTCTTCAAGTGCAGCAATGACCGCCTTAAGAGACTCCTTGTTCATCTCGGACAGCTCGTCCTTGGTGTAGGTCTGAAGCTCGGTGGCCTCCTGTTCCTCGCCCAGATCGCTAACGTTTTGTAACGTCAGCTTGGACAATTTCTCTTGCCAGTATCGTCCACGCTTCTCATTCTCCGATAGAGCCTTCTGGTTCTCCTCGAGCTTGTTGCGCATCTCAATCTCTGTGGCTCTGCTCTCATTCAGCTCGGCCACCTTCTCGTCTAACTGAGATTTCAGAGTTGAGAGCTCTTCCTTCTTGGTCTCAAGGGCCTGCAGAATGTAAGCTGTTGTTCGTCCATCGGCTGCGAAGTACTTACCTCTTGCGCTTCCTCCACCTTTTGCTTCCAGCCGGACGCATCGCTGTCCTGGTTTGCGACATCTTCTGCAAGTTTTTCGAGTTCCTCGGCAATGTGTCCAAGCTCCTCTTCGGCGTCCTTACGAGTTTTCTGGTGTTTCAGGATGGACTTCTCGTTCTTGGACTTGCCAACTTCAGCGTTCGAAATCTCGTCCGAGAGAAGGCTGATTTGCTCCTTAAGCCCGTCAACCTTGGCCTTCTGACTTCGCAGCCGGACACCACCGACTTCCATGATCTTGTTCTGGAGAGTCTGGATTTCTTCCTCGATGACTCCTTTCTGGGAGCGGAGGTCTTCGATCTCCTCTTCCAGTGCGGAAATCTGTTTTTCAAGGCTGGTCGCCTGGCCGGCATCGGTCTTGGATGGCTTGTGGGCGGCGCCCAATTCTTTGACCCGACGTTGAGCATCTGCGAGACTGCGATTGGTACTCTCAATCTCGATCATGATCTTCTGGATCTTGGTCTCGATCCGAGGAATCTCCTCGGACTTCTCCCGAAGCGACGCCTCGATGTGTCGCTGCTTTTCCTGGAAGGCCTGGAATTTCTTCTCCATCTCCTCGAGGTCACCTTCGAGCTTCGACACCTGCTCTCGGCTCGTTTCGGCCACTTGCTTTGACGACATCCCACCTCGGGCAACGCGCGTGCCACCACCACTCATGGTACCGGACGTGTCGATGAGTTGGCCGTCGAGCGTGACCACCCTCCACCGTCGAGCGCCGTAAGCAATGCGGTTGGCCTGTTCCAGGTCCTTTGCGACCAAGGTGTTTTGCATCACACTGTAGAAAGCCGGTGCAAATTTGGGATCCTTGGGCTTGACAAGATCGAAAAGCCGTGGAACATTTTCCGGGGTGGAGACGGCCGACATATCTCGCCGGGGGAGACGATCCAGCAGAATGAAGTTGGCACGGCCGAGATTGTTCTTTCGGAGATAGTCGATACATTGTTGACCAACCTCCACCGTGTCGACGACCATGTTATCCAGGGCAGGACAGGCGGTGGAAATGGCAACATCATATTCCTGGTCAATCGTTCCCAAGTTGCCAAGTCTTCCATGGAACCCATCGATACGACCAGACTCCTTCAGGCGCATCAGACCAGACAACACGCTGCCACGGTTCTGAGTGCTGGCCAAACTAGCTCTTGCCTCCTCGGCCTTCTGTCGAGCGCTGGAGACATGAGTGCGAACTTCGGGCTCCTTGTGGGAATATTTCTTCAAGTCGTGCTTCAATTTCGCGAGCTCTTCTTCAAGGGTGGCCTTTTGAGCCTTGCGCTCCTCAAGATCACCCTCTTTGGTAGCTAGCGTCTCTTCAATCGACGCAACCTTGCCCTGTGCTTCCTCAAGCTGCACGGCACCGGCGTTGCTTCTCTCCCGGATGATGTCAAGCTCACTCTGTGCCACAGCGACGGCGGAAACCTTCTTGTTGATCTTCTCATCCCAGGGTTCCAGCGACTTTTGCTTGGCGGTGATCTTATCGGAAAGACCTTGCGTTTTCCCTTTGAGACTTTCACGAATTTCGGACAATTCAGCTTCCTCAGCCTTCATCTCCTTTTCAAGCTGTGCAGTCTCATCCGTCTTTTTCTCGATATCACTTGTGTGCTTCTCTACCAGGCTTTCACACTCCGATGCGGCCAGACGGGCTGTTTGCATTGACTTTTCCAGCTTTTTCTGTTTACCAGCCAAGAACTTCTTCTTCTCCTCGAATTTGACGGACTCCTTGTCGTACTTGGCCATCTCTTTGGCCAGAGCCTGCGTCTCCTTCTCCATGCTTTCATACGCACGCACGCCGCGTTTGTAGGCTTTTTCCATTTCCTTGATGCCGGACTCGTTGCCTTCGTGTTTCTCAAGTTCCAGGTTCAGAAGCTCCTGCATTTGGAGGATGGCCTCTTCGGTGACCCGGATGTTGTCGGCGCATTCGTCCATGTATATTTGATACAGCGCCGACTGTTTCTGGGACAACTCATTCTCGTCGCGAATGTATGCAAGCGCTTTGTTTTTCTTGTCCTCCAACCCGGTCTTCTCCTTTTCGACATGCTGGACACGGTTGTTCTTCTCCATGCAGACGTCGTTGAGGGTCTCCAGTTCAGCAGCCGCTTCGTCGATGGGTTGCTTATATTTCGAAGTACCGATGATGTCTTCGAGATACTCCAGCAGTCCGTCTTCGTGCTCGTTCATCGCCTTGGCCTTCATCTGAGCGATGGATTCGACTTCACCTTGAAGAATCAGGAAACGTTTGTGGTCGAGATCAATTCCGCGCTCTCGAAGCAAGCCGGTCACCGCGGTGAAGTTGGTCTCTTTGCCGTTCATGTAGTATTTGCTGGTATTGTTTTTGAATGCCTTTCGGGAAATAATCAGTTGGGAATCTGGGACGATGTCGTGGAGGCCGTCTGGCCGGTCGAATATCTCTTGGAAGTGAACCTCAACCTCACAGAAGGGCAGGTTGGGGTGGTTGGCCGAGTTGTGAATCAGCGCGGAGATCTTGCCCTGTCGCATTTTGCTTGCACGAAAACCGAAGACGAACAGCAGCGCATCAATGACGTTCGACTTGCCGGATCCGTTTGGCCCGACAATGGAGGAAAAGGAGGCGTGGAAGGGCCCGACAACTTGTTGTCCTGCGTAACTCTTGAAGTTCATCAGTATCAAGTTTTTCATCATTAGCCGGGATTTGGGTCCCGTGGGTTCTTCGGGCGGCGAAGGGTTCAGCGTTCGCGACTTCAACATGATGTCCATGGGTTTCTCTAAAATGGTGGTATTGGGATTGATGGCGGAAACCTGCGACTTTGGATCCTCTGCGGGCTCCTCTGCAGGCTCCTCTGCGGGTTTTTCGGCGGGCTCTTCGGCGAGTTGCTCGGCGGCATCTGGCGGCGGCGGCTGGTTTACTGCGGTTTCGGTGATATCGGCAAGCGGGGGCACACTGCCTCTCTGGGATCGCATTTGGGATTGGGGCGATTCTGAGGTCTCTGGAGTTGGGAGTAAGGACTGTGCCGGATTTGGCGCCAAAGAGCCTCGACTCTTGCGGGGGTGATAAGGCATACTTTTTCTTCTCTTTGTCGCCGAGGCTTTTTGTGACGGTGTTTCTGGCTCTTCTTCCTCAATCGTTGCGACTGTTTCGCCTTCATCGTTTGCACTGCTGATGTGCGACGTTTCGAGTTCTTCCGTCGTTTGCGATCTTCGGGACGACCTCCGCGAGGTGCGTGCGGTACTGGGGGTGGCGCTCGGCGGGGGCATTTCGGAGGTCACACGTCTTCGTGAAGTTCTCCTCGAATCTGTGGTCTTTTTCTGGGGCACCGGGGTATATTCCTCCTCCTCCTCTTCTTCCTCTTCTTCATCTCCATCGGGGTTGGACTGGGTGGGGGTAACATTTCCGGAATCTTCCTCGGATGAAGACTCCTCCATGACATAACTCGGCCGGGAGGCGGATCGCCGGGATGGCCGGCCCTTTGCAACTGAAGACATTATGTGAGGGGGTGATAGATTGATGAGTGCTTCATAGGGGTGGTGGGGGATGGCGGTGATGTCTTTGTTTGAAAAAGCGACGGACGGAGAAAGACGAAGTGGGTTGTTTACATTGTCTCCCGATCGGGGAAAGCGTCGCTTTCTGCCACAACAGTCCGCGGGATTACTCATCTAGGATCTGACTTCACCGCCTACCTCACTCGTCTGTGGCGACTTAGTCAGCTGTATGTATTGCAGGTACGGCCAGTAACCACCGTATGGGAGGCCTGCATTCATTCATTGCTTGCGACAACCGCCAGAATGGCCCCGTGGGACGAATTTGACTCGATATTCTACTTCAACAAGAACTTCACCTACGATGGCAAGATCATTGAGCAGATTGTCTCCAATCGTCGGGCTCTGGAGAACCAGTTGTTCGCCGACAGACTCTTAAGACTCGCCGGAGTCAAAGCAGGTACTGAACAGAGCTCAGCAGTCAACCAGATGCACCGGAAGAAACTTGCTGATCAGGAATGACACCTCAGTGACAAAGGCCTACCCTCCCAGGTCTAATGCGGACCTCCGATCTCTGGTCGACCAGATCGTCTCTTCGGCACTAGACATCCATCACAAACAAGCGTTGATCTACTACATCTTGAAGGATTGTCGAGCAGCGAGCGAAGCGGCTACGCAGTTTTCGCGACGATGCCATCTGCCCGAAAAGTATAGGCTCTTCATTGAAGGGCTCTGGAACCTCGACAGGCTTGAATTCAGAGTCAGTTGCGCCTATTTGACCTTTTGCGACATTTGCTAACATCAAACCACAACGCAGCGAGCTGTCGAGTACCTGACCGAACCCTCTATCATTCCCACTTTCCCCGACGAGATCCTCTACGTCCTTACGCTGCCGCACCTTCCCAAACACGACGATAGCCTCGTCATGGCCTACTACCTAACCGTCTCTCCTCCGCTAGCCACCGAAGGCGTCCAGCGGGCCTTCTTCCAGACGCTCTGCCGCTCGAGCATCACGGAAGCCTTCTTCTTCACCCGCAATCACCAAGAAATGCTTCGCCAGGCCTATTTTGAGCTACTCATTGAATTCGTCCATAACACCGAGGCGGGGCAGATTCGCAGTCAACGGGCTATGGAACTGATCGGCCTTCCATTTGATGACCAGGAAGAACAATGGCTGGAAGATACCCTGCTTCGTGGCAGCGCAAAGGGTCTGCACGGCTCCAAGGACACGGTTATGATGCGACGACTTGCGACAGGAAAATTGACGGGGCTCTCGCCGGAACTCGAGTCCTTAGGCGGAAAGAAAATTGACGGGGTGAACTGGGATGTTTTGAAGAAGAGCATGAAGCACTCGTAGGGTTTCTTTTTTATTTATCAGTGGTATTCGGCCCTCGCTGCTAGGCTAGGGACCTCATGATTTTAATAGCCATGGAAACGGTCTGGAGAATAGGAGTTTGAGTTAGGAATTGTGTATTTTTATCCGACAAATGTGATATTAGTAATATGGATTTAAAGCACAGGGATTGTATATCCGATTGTCGTGAGGTATCTTTTTCTACGCAATCATGTAGATATTCGACTATGGGTGTGTAATTACCGTACGCGGTGGCAGGTCGGCAAGAGACTCTTTGCCCGGGGCTTGGCGAAATGTATTGTTACCGGCAGAACGCCAGCAACGTTCATCAGTGAATTCATCCCCGTCCATTCTTTTATGGCCGAGTTGTTAGTCCAGCATTAAATTCCGGTTAAACTGCTCTCTAAATATGCTAATTGCTGGGTTATAAGCTCTTCTGGTTGGACTGCACGAGAGGATTGAACCTTAACGAGCGCAAAACACGTGAACACCCTGCGAGAACTGTTGCTTCTTGGACATTAGCACCTAATCAGGACGACGCCATGGTGGTCTGCACTTTTTACCAGCAGAACCGATGTAGATTCGGAGGTATTATATCCCCATTGGTACTTCTTACACAGCTAATTATTTGTTTAGATCGCTGCAAATATGAACATCCGGGGAGACCAGGCTCCGGCAACTCATTTGCTGCCCTCGCGGGAGGTGGTTTTCAACAAGGTACGCCGTGACTTCCCCATAGAGATTGCATGCCTTAGTCCTAGAGTGCATGGTCCCTTGGTTCTTTCCTCAAAGGAATCGCAAAGGAAGGGAAAGCATGTGCTTGCTCTTCTTTCCCCATCTTAAACCCGTCATGTGTATCTCTTTGTGCTCTTTGTACTCTTGGTGCCTGCATGCGGTTCCCCGATCTTTCGTGTCTTGCACTCTGCAGTACAGCACTTGCCCCCCATGCCTCGTTCAAAGCATCTAACTTCTCGTAAAGGTCGTCAGGGTCAAGTTCAAAACCAGGGACAGCAGAATCAACAAACGGCCAAGTAAGTCACCTCTGCATCAGCTCCATCCTGCCTTGGCTAAGAGAATTCCAGGTATGGCTTGACAGTCAGCGACATCAAGATCGACTTGACGGAGGGAAAGGGTCGACCGGAATGGATCTTCTCCTGCTACGGACCGGGGCGGAACGCCCCGAGACAGCTATTTGGAGGTCCTCAGCGGGAGATGAGCTTTGAGGAACTCCGGCTGCATCATTACGAACTTGCTGCCGCTGGAAACGCCCAAGGTGCTATCCAAGAAGCCCAGAACATGTATAGCGAACATGTTAAACAGATGGAGATCATCTTAGGCGATCTGAACGGAGCCATCAAATACATCACTGACGGTGAGAATGAACACCCGAATCGCATTGATATCGCCGAGGGTAAGACGGCCCTTTCCTTTTCGGGCCTTGGGCAGTCGCCGTTTGGAAAGCCTCAAGAGCCCACACCACCCCCAGACCAAATGTCTGGATTTGGCAAACTAGCACAGCCTGGCTTTGGCAAACCATCCGGCTTTGGCCAGCCGTCATTTGGCCAGCCGTCCTTCGGTCAGCCATCATTTGGCCAACCTTCCGCTGCTGGCCAGGCTGCTTTCGAGAAGCCGGCTTTTGGACAACCTTCGTTTGGCCAGCCTGCTCCGATGGGGACGACGGGGTTCGCGGTTCCTCAGAACACCCAAAGTCCATTTGCTCAGATGGCCAATAAGTACCAGGGTCAGAACACTGGCTTCGGCCAATCTGCTTCGAGCGCTTCGCCATTTGCACAGATCAACAACCAACAACCTCAGCCCCAGCCCCAGCCCCAGCCCCAACCTGCTGCGCCGTCTGGCTTTGGCTTCAACAAGCAACCGGAGCAGCCTGCTCAGCCGCCAAATCCTTTTGGGCAACCCGTGACTGCTCCGCCATCATACATCAATCGTCAACAAGAGCAACCACCACCGCAGCAACAGGCTTCAGCCCCGACAATAGGGGCAGACGCCGGAGCTCAGCCGTTTATCAAGGTTGATGATCCTAACGATCTAATGCCCATTCCGCCTTTGAACGGCCAAACAACCCGGAATCCTATGACAAACAAATTGGCATCTTGGAAAGGTCAGCCGGTGAATTACATTGATAGCGTGCCGTGCTATCTACATCCTCAGGATCAGAAAACCTGGGTTCGCATATTCTTTCCTGACGGCCCACCGGACGAGGCTAGCTTGAGGGACGCCTATGGAGAACCAGACGAGTACACGCCGGAGGTGGCCGAGCAGTACGACTTCTTTGCGAAGAACGGATACTTCAAAGACGGCATCGTCCCTAGTGTCCCTCCGAAAAGAGAGAACGTGAGCTTTGACTTTTAGCTATGAGCTTTTCACTGGGAATCTGCTTTCATGATCCATGTATTATAACTATTGAGCGTTTACAGGGGAGGTAAAAAGGCGCTTTCCGGTTGGATACTTATTTAATTAAAACGAAGATGGAAATTATGCCGTCACAGCCTATCTACGGAGGCACGAAGTTACGAAGCTGTCGAAGAGGCAGCGAAGACCAGAAACCAGAAGTTACTCGTTTTTAATATTTTTCATTTTTGTGCCAAGTTCTAGCGGGTATCGATGTTGGCTCTTGCAGAGCCCTGAAGCAATCCATCTACTACATGGCTTGAGGAGCACATCGGCGCCGCCCCGGGGGAGGCATGACCCAACCCCTTCCGTGTACCGGACTAGAACATCCCATTTAAGCGGCAATGGTGACCTCAACCTCAACACCGGCCTCGATGTTGATGATGATCTGCTTGACGGTCTCGGTGGGAGCGAGCAGGCTATGGGGCGAAACGTTAGCATCTCCTCCCGACATGCCCGATCGCATTGGGGTAGAAAGGGAAGGGGAAACATACTCTATGAGACGCTTGTGGATGCGCATCTCGTACTTGTCCCAGGTCTTGGAACCCTCACCGTTGGGGGTCTTACGGGTGGAGATGTGCAGGGTCTTGGTGGGCAGACGGACGGGACCCTTGACCTGCAGAGCCTTGGAGCGGGCACGGTCGATGAGCTCCGAGCACACCTTCTCAAGGGCAGCGACCTTGCGGGAGGTGAGGGTGATACGGATCTTGTGGACCTTCTGTAGGGTGGCAAGCACCGATTAGTATACTGTTCCAAGAGACCAGCGACACGAGTCGAGTGAAGAACGTACGGGGCCCTCGCCGAAATCCTTCTCGGGCTTCTGGAAAGACATCTTGACTGAGGTGGTTGAGACCGGTGGGATTGAGATGGCTGTAGGAAGGAAGGTTGACGGTTAGTTTCTCGCGCGGGGGAAAAGATAAGCGAAAAATCGCAGTTAGGCGGTAAGAGCCATACCACAAACGAGACTAATTGCCAGTCAAGACCTGAACTTCGGGGTTCGGTAAGGTGATGATGGCCGTTGAGGGAGTATATTAGAGATGCGACGACTGTAAATGAATCTTTTTTTTGCAGTGCGTTTAGCGCCGCTTGTGGGCGTGAAAGTCTTGGCGCTCGCCTATCTGGCGCTAACCCGATGGGGAAGCCGACTCGGCCTCGACTCATCGTGACACATCGGAGTAGAGATGCTCCTCCGCAACGATGAGATAATACGGCCTGACTTCTTTTACCTCGTGTTGCCTTGGAATACCTCATTTTCCTGTTCTCTCGTCCTTCCATCCTGAATTCAAGGCTGCAGGGTCATGGCGAATTGGCCTCCTCTTGCTCCAGTTCCACCGCCCGAGGTGCAGAGCGCCATACCCTCGCAGGAATGGGAGCTCTATATAGATGCATGGGTCTTGCTTCTCGGTCTACGCATAGAGGCGTCTGATGCGCAATTCCGCAATCTCGCGCCCAACGATGAATCTGCAGTTTCATTCTTGACATCATTCTACGCTCTATTATCTGCACCGGGTACGCCTGGTCTTCATGCAGGTACCAAGGCGAAGACGTTACGGAAGCTCAGTTTTCTGCTGACGAGGCGATATCTACTGGAGCTGGCGGGCTCGCCTGCCGAGCTTCTTGAGTGGAAGTATCTGGGGAGTCTAAGTTGTTGCTACCCCTCTAGCTCGGCTGCGAAGAAGCTGCTGTCCGATGTATGGAACAAACACGAGCCCACGATATCTTCCAGCCTAGAGAAGGCCAAGTCCACGATCATCAAGCAGCTCTCCATCATGAATGCGGCCAAGTCTTCAGGTATCATGTCGGACATTCGCACATTGACAATCCTGGTGTCTGCACTTCCTCAATCCGGTCCGACACTTATGGCCGGTGCGGATTACCTCGACACATTCTCCGATGCGTATCAAGCGCATCGAAGAGATGATATCCGTCGAGTCCTCGTGGCAAACATATACGTTGGTCTAGTTTCTCTACTGAAAGGCCCCCAGCCCAACCTTTCACTGCTACTCGATCAACTCTTCAGCCTGAAAGCCAGCGCCGGCGCCGGCAACTCACAGACCAAAAAGGAAGCTACTCTTCTCTCCGACGTCATTTGTAGCTCTGATCTGCTAGTCCGACTGGAGAGATACCTACTCTCGCATCCGCAGAAGCGCGGTCAGGATCTTGTTTCCAGTCTGCGCGCATACCAGGCCGACTCGAAAGTCTTCCATCATCGGTATCAAAAGCAGAAGAAGAACGTCGACAAGGGTAAAGGCCGGGCGTCGGATCTCCCTCGCCCTGAAGAGCTTCACATCCACAAGATGTCCCTCGTTACCCAAGTCCAAGACCTCTTCCCCGACTTAGGCTCTGGCTACATTGTGCGCCTTCTCGACCAGTTCGACGACAACCCGGAGACCGTCGTCGCGCATCTCCTCGACGACTCCATACCGTCGCATCTGCAAACCCTCGACAAATCCGAACAACTCCCCACCACCTCCTCTACGATCCCTCACGACCCGCTCCCACCCAAGTCCACGCCCCCCTCAGCCACACCGGAACCCATCCCAACTCGCAAGAACGTCTTCGACTCCGACATCGACCTCGCCGAGCTGGCGCGCTCCGACGGCGGCGGCAAACTGCACTTCGGCGGCCCCGACCCCAACCTGACCACCGAAACCGTGCTCAACGACCGCAGCCAGCACGCGACCAACAAAGCCGCCATCCTCTCCGCTCTGGCGACCTTCGACTCGGATGACGACGAACGCGACGACACCTACGACGTCGCCGACGTCGGCGGCACCGTTGACGCCGCAACTACGAACACCGACGCCGACGCCGACGCCCGGAAGACCGCCGAGGATCTGGACCTGACGCTTTTCCGTGCCTACAAGGCCAACAGCGCCCTGTTCGCCCGAGACTCCGCCACCCGGCGCTCGCAGCCCCGCGCGTCCCTGAAGCGCGAGACCGGAATGACCGACGAGGCCATCGAGGGCTGGGCAGTGATGCTGACCCGAGACCCGAAACGTCTCGCCCGTCTCGAAGACAAAACGTCCTTCGCTGGCGGCGGCGGCGGCGGACCCGGTGGCGCCATCGCGCAGCCAGAACTTCGCCCGACGGCGTACCGCAAGCCAGGACCGAAAGGCGACGACGACGAGAGCGAACCGGACGAACCTTCCGGATCCACATCTAGAGGCAGAGGCGGCTCCACGCGCGGCAGAGGCCGTGGTGGTGGTCGACGAGGTGGCGGCGGAAATCGTCGAGGAGGAGGCGCATCCGGAGACCAGAGCAGTAACAATAACGGTAACACGGCCGCCTCGCGACAAAGAAAAGAAGAGAACAAATCCAGTCGAGCGAATCATAATCGACGACAGCAGAGAGCGAAGAAGGTAGCCAGGGCTGGGGGCATGGTTGGATAATTGATTTGAGTTCCATCCAGTGATGATTGTTAATGCCGTCACGATGCCACATGGGTTACTTATGGAGGTGCTTGCGAGCCATGCATGTACATTCGATCGAGTCTCGCTTTTGAAGCGAGCTTGCCTACTAGTAAATAGGTTATCTACGATGTTGACACTTGATACTCGATACTTGATACTTGATACTTGACCCTTCTGTTGAATCACGACGAGAAATCGTATATAATACCATAAGACCATCAATTGAGATTCAGCTCGACGCCAACAAGCTGGAGATACATCGACAAATAAATACAGGACCATTATATCATAATCAACACTAGGAGCATCGTAAACACATTGACGCGGGAATTGCGGGTGATCTAAATCAGCAGAGAATCCGATACCCAAACAAAAGAGGCCACCAGATAAATACAGAGGCAATGAATATTTACAACACCCAGAGGAGGTTTAGCGTGCGTGGATATACGCCAGGGGATCAATCAAACAGTGCGAGTCGCGGAAAGAGGAAGGTGCAAAATCATTTAGTGATGATCCAGAAGGGTGCCCTGATCGGCGCATGTCTTGCGACATTCTTCAAGAAGACGGAGCTGCTTCGCGACGTCGCCGAGCTTGCCGAGGACTTCTTTGTTGCCGTCGTAGAAGGTAAAGAGGGCGTAGGGGATGCCCGTGTCTTTACAGAACTCCAGGACCAGCTTCTGCGCACGACGCAAGTTGTGGCGGGGCATACGGGGGTAGAGGTGGTGGATCGCCTGGAACTGCAGGCCTCCGTGGAAGAAGTCGAGCCAGGTTGGGCAGTCCACGTCCATAGTGGTGCGAAGCATCTTCTGTGGGAATGATTCGCTGACGCCCATGTCCGCTGTGGACATGGCAAAATGGGACAGCGTGATCTGAATGTGCAGCGGAGAGGTGACGATGTGGGAAACCATGAGGTATGTTAGGCGGGTGCTCCAGTCGGGGAGGGTGCAGTAGAGGACACCATAGCCAAACCAGTACCAGAAGAAGATCTGACCGGCAAACTCGAACCAGCGGTGCCACCAAGCAGGGCCCCTCTTGGGAGCCTGGCCGGTCAGGAGGTATTCCCAGCTCAGACGGTAAAGATTGAACCGTGCAAGCATCAGGATTGGGTAGTAGAGGTAGTCCTGATATTTCAGCATCACCTTAGATACGGCGTCGAACTTCATGACTCGGTCATAGTAAGTGCTTCGAAGGCTGTCGAAGAACCGATGCGAAACCGCGAAGAAAGGCATGTGCTCAATATCAGGGTCATGCTCAGGTTCGTTTGTCACGATGTGATGAACGTTGTGACTGCGCTTCCACCAACCGAGACTAAGACCCCCAATCCAGTCGGCAATGATCATCCCAATCGTCGTGTCCACGTGGAAGTTGTGAGTGATGCCCATATGGCCAGCATCATGGGCGGTGAAGACGAGTTGATGCCAGAGGCATCCCAGAAAGAATGCCGAGCTTGCGTACCATTCCCACTGCAGGAGCACATAGGCCAACGTTCCGAAAAGCGTATAGCGACAGCATTCGATGAAGTACGAGAAGTAGTTGCATTGGTATAGACCTTCCGCGCGAATCTTCTCGTCCAATTCCCGATATTTCGTCCTGATCATATCCTGGCTTTCCATGTCGAGAGAGGGGTATTTGGCCGTATCGAATACGATCTCTTCTCGGGTTCGTGCATCCAGGAAGAAGGGCCTGGACTCAACCTCCTCATTCGGGGGGGTCGAGACCGACGAATCGGTGGTGGCAGAAGTTTTTCGGCGGCGGACCTTTCCATCGACTGCATCAAATATCGGGGAAGGAGGCGTTGACGTTTCCAGGCCTGAGCTCTCTTCGTCGGTCGAGCACGATTCCTCCGCGTAGGGACGGAACTTTCCGCCATGGATCGGAGGGAGGAAGTTCAACCATGGTCCATTGATGCGACCGATCTGATATTTTCGAAACTGCCGGCATGTATCTTCCCCATGTAAACTGCATATGGCGAGACGAGTCAGCAACCCGAGGGGATTCCGATCTATGAGTGTAATCACAAAGTAGAACTCAACAAACGTACGCATTCATCTCATCTGTGGCATCTCTTCCGACCATATGCTTGATAGGCTTTTCACCTCCCGGGTGGAAAGGAAGCAAAGCGTCCACTTTCAGCACGCAGCCTTCGAAGATGATGAGATGCTTGCCCTCCGCAATCTGGCCTTCGATGTAACGTCGCGACAGGACCGTGTCCTTGCGGGCGAGGGACGGCGGAGTGACGGCGGGAGCCATCGTGGGCAGAGAAGGAAAGCAAAAACAAGACGACTGAAAAGGGAATCAACGGTGAGAAAACAGCGGGTAGGACAAGAGCGAAGTCAAACAAGAGAAGGAGAAGGAAGAAGAAGCGGGAGAGACGGAAGAACAACGGTTGCCTGAGGTCGCAAGGCGGAGACGGAAGTGGAAACGGTCAACGCCGACGATCATTCCACTTCCTTTCCACTTTCCACTTTCCTTTCTCCCGCTTGATACTATTCTTATTCGTGATTATTATTCCCCTGCCTTTCACCACGCTCTGGGTTGTCGGATTCCTGCTGGATCCCATCCAATCATGTCTGCCATCGCAACCGAGGTAGCCCCTTGATGACTCTGACCGCCTCGTTCTTGCGTGTTAATTTCCTTGCGTAGGATTCGCTGTCGCCGTTGATCCAAAAATGGCTTGAGTGGGACCAAGTAATATGATTCTATTGACCCATTATTGGTGTTTCATGGGTTTCATAGCCGTGCTAATGCCCGACCCAGGATCCTGCCACGCGTGCGGAAATTGAGCAGCTGCGAGATGCTGGTGCTGTCAAGGACCTAGAACAACGCCTCCAGAACCGTATGTTCGTACCTGAATCCGATTCGTACCCACTTTGGAGTGGAAGCCTACTTTCAGTCCCCTATTCTCTCTGTCTAGCTTTGGGTGGCCAATCAAAGCATCTCTGCTCTTTCTGACCAAATGCCACAGGCATCCAGTTTGGTACGGCTGGTCTCCGGGGCCGGATGGCAGCAGGATTCTCATGCATGAATCCTTTGACGGTCATCCAGGCATCCCAGGGTCTAGCCAAATACCTGAAAGACAAACATTCCGGTATTGCATCCGCCGGTGTGGTCATTGGCCATGATGCTCGGTACAACTCGGCCAGATTCGCTGCTCTGGCAGCAAATGCCTTCATTGCTCTAGAGATCCCTGTTTGGTTCTACCCCCAGCCTTCGGTGACACCATCGGTCCCATTCGGTGTAACCCATCTGCAGGCTGCGGCAGGAATCATGGTCACTGCAAGTCACGTAGGTTTCCTGTAGACACTGAATTTTCAACCTAGTGGCTAATGTTTTGTAGAATCCAGCTCAAGACAATGGTAAGTCTTCATGTCGAGATGCGCTGAGCTGCCACTGACGCTTGGCACGTTTTACAGGCTACAAAGTGTCCGTACCCTTGCCCAAGCCAGCTGGAATCTAACTGACGCCGTCCAGCTACTTCAAAAATGGAGCCCAAATCAATACCCCCATGGATGTAGAAATCGCCCAGTCGATTGAGGAAAACCTGGTCCCTTGGACTGGTGCCTGGAAGGACCAGCAACCCGGCGAATATCTCCACACTGATGCTTATAGGAGGGTCCTGCCGGAATATACGAAGACAGCTTGGCAATATGCTGTGAGTACCTATTGGTCCATCTGTTTCTTGTTGCTGACAACGTAGAAATCCACCGTAACCAAATGGGGACCTCCGAGCCCTTTTGTGTATACTCCGTTACACGGGGTTGGTGGCTTGGTTTTCCCGGACCTGTGCCAGTCCGTGGGAATCAACAACCTATCTCCTGTAGCAGAGCAGATCCAGCCCAATCCAGACTTCCCCACGGTTTCATTCCCAAATCCCGAGGAAGCCGGGGCCTTGGATCTTGCCATGCAAACAGCCGACAAGGAGGGGAAGACCCTTATTGTCGCCCATGATCCAGATGCGGATCGGTTTGCAGCGGCCGAGAAAGTCAAGTAGGTGTCATTATTGGATTTTCTCTTTGATCTGTTGCTGATTGCTTGGGTGGTACCAGTGGTTCTTGGTTTCCTTTTACGGGAAATCATGCCGGCGTGCTCCTAGCATCACATCTCTTTGAGTCTCTACAGGGCCGGGAGGACAAGCCCCGTGTTGCCGTTCTAAACTCCACGGTCTCCTCGGGCATGCTGGACAAAATGGCTTCGGCTAACGGAATACGTTTCCAGGAGGCATTGACAGGGTTCAAATGGATGGGTAATATCTCGCGGAACCTCGAGGACGAAGGATACTACGTGCCCTATGCATTTGAAGAGGCCCTCGGGTACATGTTCCCAGAGGTCTGCTACGACAAGGATGGCATTACTGCCGCACTGGTCTTCTTGTCAGCGGAGGCAAAGTGGAGGTCTCAAGGACTCACACCCTACACGAAACTACAGCAACTCTTCAAGGAGTTTGGCCACTTCGAGACCCTCAATACCTACTTCCGATCCCCCAACCCGGCCACGACAGGGAGCTTGTTTGAAGCCATCAGGGGCGGGCCCTACCAGGCCGAGAAATCTTTGGGATCATTCAAGATTCTGAGATGGCGAGATATGACGGAAGGCTATGATTCCGGAACCCAAAACCACAAACCGACACTGCCCGTGGACAAATCCAGTCATATGCTGACCTTGTGGCTTGATCGGGATGTTCGGTTTACCATCCGAGCCTCAGGAACAGAGCCCAAAGTCAAGGGTAAGCTAGATATCCTGATTAATTTCCACATTTCGCTGACCTTTGCTTCCTGCAGTGTACATTGAAAGTTGTGGTGCATCTCGCGAACAGGCCACGGATGCTGTTTGTGATGCTTTCCTGGCCGTTCTGAAGGAATGGATCCAGCCTTCTGCTCCATCAATGACGTACAGCAAACAGCTGCCCACATCCTCTGGACATGTATACACAGTTCCGGAGTAGGGTTATCCGGTTGGGTAAGGGCTCTTGAATTGGCTTGGTTTACCTATTGGAACGTCTCCAGAGGGAAACTGCAGGCGACTTCTAGACTGTCCCACACTAATCTATCCTATGAGGGAGAGTTCATGGATAAATTTCCTAAGAAATGACCCCGAAATAGAGCAATCTGTCCATATTGACTTCAAATATCAATCAAGGGTGGTGTAGCATCAAGAACAAACAAAATCAATGTCATACAGCATTTATAGCGCATAGCAATGATCAAATCTATTGGCTACCAATATTATGACGATTATCAGCTTCGTGAACAGTTTGCTTGCTGCCTGCAAGTATATAAACCGTAGGATCTCCTCTTTATTGTCTTTTGTTGCGATTCCTCTCAACGTCTGTCTCAGATCTCATTCATCTCTCGCATATCACTCATTCCTACTCGCTATGAGTAGACACACTCACATCCACCACCATTCCAACCCAGCCTACATCCAAACTGCAGCCGTTCATTTCGACTGCTCTTCTGGTCCTGACTACGATGACGGACCATATTATCCTCGGTACTATCACGAGCCTACGTATCCATCCATTTCCAGTTCCATTTCCATTTCCTCCATTCCACATCCCCCTTCCTTCGTCCTCATACTCACTCCCCTACATCATCCATTCTCCCTCATACTAAACAGCAATACCCCCTAGACCACCACACCCACCCACCTACCCCCCTCCATCCAAACCCTACCACGAACCACACCACCACGACCGAGAAGAGCCACCATGTCCCTGCCTCCGCTGCTTCTGGCCTCGAGACCGAGCCTGCACCCACGATCACACCCCGGGCCCTACACGACGCCATCGCAGAAGACCCAGACCCGTAACTAACCCCAACCTCACCCAAGACAGCGACGCGGACAGCGACGGAGACCATACGTTCTGCTGCGCGTGCTGCTGGCAGTGGTCGTCGCAGGGACCGGGGTATCAGACGCAGGGGACGCGGAGAAGATATTGTCATGACCAGAATCAGAGTCAGTCTCAGCATCAGCATCAGCGTCAATGCCAGAGCCAAACGCAGACTCAGACGCAAACTCAGACTCAAACCCAGGTCCAGACCCAGACTCAGGACCAGGACCAAGTCCATGATCAGTGTCGGGATACGCACTGTCGACTTCCTCCTCCTCCTGCTCAGAGACATCATGGTCATGGTCATAGACATCCGTACGGCCCCCCGGTGCCGCTGATCGTGATGGAGCAGGGCTGTGCGAAGAATACTAAATGCTGTTTGTACCACTGATTTGGAATGAGGTTTTATATTTCCGGTTAATCTTGTTTTCTTTTTTCTCACTTTTCTTCAGGGCAGAGAAAAGGAAAATGAGTTGGGTGGGAATGGGAGATTGCACAAATTTACTGTATCTGGGTAGGAAAATTGAATGCACAAAATCTGATGGTACAATTCCTCATTATGCTCTTCCTGAAATGTGAATTATAAGCTATCTTTTATTCATAATTCTCAGTACAGAAAATATCGCAACTAGTAGAGGAAAATATAAGCGGCAAAACATCGAAAATGCTACAGAGGGTGGCTAGCGAGGCTAGACTCAAAGTCGAGAGAGAAGATACAAGTGGTGTCGGAGGGGAAACAGAAAGAGGTGGTAAGGAGCTTAGAAGTGGATGGCCTTGGAGTAGGTGGCCATGGCGGCCTCCTTGAAGGCCTCGGACAGAGTAGGGTGGGCGTGGCACGTCCGGGCGACGTCCTCGCAGGAAGCACCGTACTCAACGGCCAGGGTGGCCTCGGCGATCATCTCACCGGCGTTGGGGCCGATGATGTGCACTCCGAGAATGCGGTCGGTCTCGGCGTCGGCGATGAACTTGACCTGACCCTCGGTGTCGAGGTTGGTCTTAGCACGGGAGTTGGCGCTGAAGGGGAAGGTACCGACGCGGTACTTGACGCCGGCGGCCTTGACCTCGGCCTCGTTCTGGCCAACCCAGGCGACCTCGGGGTGGGTGTACATGACGCTGGGGATGGCGGCGTAGTTGACGTGGCCGTAGCCCTTCTTGATGTACTCGACGGCGGCAACGGCCTCCTCCTCGGCCTTGTGGGCCAGCATGGGTCCGAAGGTGCAGTCTCCGATCACGCGGATGTTGGAGACCTTGGTGCGGTACTCCTGGTCGACGACGAGGCGGCCCCGGTCGTCCTTCTCGATTCCAACGTTCTCCAGGCCCAGACCCTCGGTGAAGGGACGGCGACCGATGGCGACCAGGACGACGTCGGCGTCGAGGGTCTCCTCCTTGCCGCCCTTGGCGGACTCAACGTTGAGCTGGACGGTGGCGCCGCTGTCGTCACCCTTGGTGACCTTGGTGCCGGTCTTGAACTTGATGCCCTGCTTGCCGAGGATCTTCTGGGCCTGCTTGGCGATGTCGGCATCCATACCGGGACCACCGATCTGGCCGAGGAATTCGACGACGGTGACTTCGGATCCGAGACGAGACCAGACGGAAGCCTATATCATTTGATTAGTAAACCTCCTAAGAAGTTGCCGCAGCTATTTTCATAGCACTTTGTCTGAGAAATCTTACCATCTCCAGACCGATGATACCACCACCGATGACGACCATCTTCTTGGGGACCTCCTGCAGGGCGAGAGCGCCGGTGCTGGTGATGATGCGCTTCTCGTCGATGTTCAGGCCGGGGAAAGGAGTGGCCTCACTGCCGGTGGCGATGAGGATGTTCTTTCCGCGGAGGGTCTGCTCACCACCCTCGAGCAGGTTGACCTTGACGGTGTTGGAGTCGACCAGCGCACCGGTACCCTTGACGTAGTCGACGTTGTTCTTCTTGAGCAGGTACTCGATACCCTTGGTGAGGCCGTCGACGGAGGAGTCCTTGGCCTTCATCATCTGCTCGAGGTTCAACTTGACATCACCGACCTCGATACCGCGCTTTTTCGTGTCGTGGAGGACCTGGTGGTAGAGATGCGAGTTGTTGAGCAGAGATTTCGAGGGAATACAGCCGACGTTCAAGCAGGTGCCTCCGAGACGGCCACGCTTCTCGATACAGGCAGTCTATTAGGCGGAAGAGAAAATTGTTAGTCGCTCTGTCAGAGACAGAAAAAAAGACCTCAGAAGGAGAGGAGGGATTGAGAGCGCACCTTCAGGCCTTCCTGGCCAGCCTTGATGGCAGCAACGTAACCAGCGACACCACCACCGATGATAACAACATCGTGCTCACCTATCGCACAAAACCAGCTGTGGGTTAGCCAACGGCTCTTGTTCCGGGAGAGAAGGGCGCGGCGCCTGCGACGTCCAGGGTCATTGGCGACGGGCGAGGATCACACGTACCCGACTCAGAGGCGTAGCCACGTTTCGAGCGTCCGAGGAAAGCGAGAGTAGGGGCAGCGACGAAGTTGGAGGGGGTAGGACGAGCCGTGCGGAGGGCAGCCCGCGGCGTGGCCCGGGGCAGAAGAGTCCGGAACATGGTGAAAAGCAGAGGGAGAAAAAATGAGAAGAAGAGGGAGTGTAATCAGATCAGAAACCAAACCCCCGGGATCGACAAATTAGGGAGGAGAGGGGAGGTAGCAATGGCAGACAGAGGGTATATGGAGAAGAGGACAGTAAAGGGAAAAAGCAGAAGTTGGGACTGGAAGCTTTGAGGTTTGCCAGCAAAAGCTGCCGGCCCGGTATCCTTACCGTATCCCGCGTATGTAAGCGTCTGTCGGGTCAATTCGGTTAACTCTTCCCACTGGCCGATTTTCTCCTACTTCCTAACGCTCGTCTCCGGAGACATCTGGACGCTGCCTGGTCATTGGCGACGAGATAGGTGTCTCTGGCGGGGGAGAGTTCATCGCGACTCACGCAGCCTCTCGCATCTGGCAGGGCTGGTCATCCCCGATCGTGGTGTAAGTATGGGTATTATTGGTATCGGCCATACTGCTGAGTCGGCTTTGTCAGCCGAGTGGATCGTCGCGTTGGAAATACCTCAAAAGGCGGCCTTTCGTCCTCCAAATACCCTCACCTGCCCGACGAAACGGGTAATCCACCACCGCGATGCCAGCACGGGTTCGCCGGGATGGACCTGCAATCTGACCTCTCTCGCAGCCCCTGTATGGATGAATCGCTATCGCTCACCCCTAAACTCAACGTCTTTCGGTATCCGCGGGTAACTCGACGTTGACGTAATACAGCCGTGGCTATCGTCGGAGCTGGTCGCGTCGCCTCCGTCTGGCTGCAGCCAATCCAGGGCGAGACGTGGCGATGAAAAAGACTCCGCATGGAATCACTGCTTCTAGACATGTTGATCAACAGCCACAGAAGATGCCGTGAAACTGCCAAGGATTCCGGGGAGCCTGACGTCTGGATAGCGAGGGGAATTGGAAGGAAAGAGAGAACAGATGGGAAACAGCATTTGCACTAGCAATTGGTCTCGGCAATCCTCTATGAACTGCTCAGATCACCTGCAACGAAGGCTTGCCGTTACTGGTTAGTTGATTGATCACTTCCAGGCTACCCCAATTTGGTTGGCAAAGACAAAGACCATGTGACTACTTTCGAGATGTTTGCTGCAGATACCTTGACCAGCAGAAGATAGGATATTGTACACGAGCTAATGGGCAGACCACTGAAAGATTAATGCAACGGATGCTAACATCTGTTAAAGTGATACCCGCTAAGAATTAGAACATTAATAGTCATAATAATAAATATGCTCTAATTGAGTTGTATTGAATTACTCGCAAATTCTCCAGTTATTAATAGCAATATGATCTTCAACACTTTATGTACCCCAGTTTTGACCGGGTTGGGGAATGGCTATGAAAAGAGTAGTAGAAACCCAACATTAGCCGGGTAAAGTAGGTAAAGTATATCTGAATGTGGTGCGGGTTCCTCTGCCGGTGCTAAAAATATATCCTCATCATTCTGAGTGACCACAATTCACAGGACTTGTGAAGTTCCGTGAATACCTCGGATCTAGCCTCTGAAAACACTGCTTGTAGTTTATATATAATTGCCTAAGCTTCCATGATAATCTTGTCTTCCACAATATATGGCTCCTATATCGGCCCTGCTTTTGACGACCTCCTGCTTTCGTTGCACAAGTACATCTGCCAAGTGTGATATTCGAGTCAGCGTACTCAGCATACTTACTATATGCCAGTGTTTTGAACAATTACCAGATGAGCTCATCGGTGGCAATGGAGCCATCAAGGTTGTATCCTAGAGAAGCATCTAGACCCTTTATGTAAGAGGTCAGAAAGACGGCCATAAATGATAAACAGCAGCCACAAAAATGCAGGGAAAAGACCGTATTCCAAGGAAGGATAGAACCAGACACTAAGACTAAATCAAGTCGGGATCATCCCTGACTAGCAAACCCTCCCACCCGGAATGTAACCAAATCCGACCAACGTGGGGCAGCGATGTGATAACTTCACGATGCCCTCGCAAGCCAGCGTCACCTGCAGACATGCCACCGCCGCCAGATCGGGCCCTGCAAGATGCCGTGTCCAAGTCTTGGAAGCAAATTCGGAGGGAAATCACCCTCCGCGGACCCGGTCCAGACGGCATGCTCACTGCTCAGGATGCAATAACCACGCATGCAGCATCCTCGGTCCACTAAGTCGGCGATGGGCCGATGGGTTACTTCTCCAGTCTCCGATGTCCATCCCACACAGTCACACCCCGCAATGTTCTCCGCGTCTCGGGCCAGAGCTGGTCTCTAGTCCATTTGCGGTCATTTTCTCGACGGCTGTCGGCGTGGGGGAGAATCCGACTATAAGTGAGGAAGGGCCCTGATTGTCGCAGGGTAGTAGCGGTGTTTTCTTTCGCTTTTCCCTCCTGGTTTCTGGCGCATGCCTATTCTACCAAGTGTTTTGACTCGGCCTCAACCCTCCCATCGCCATGTGCGACCAAATCCCCAAATGGAACGTGGTGCACAAACTCGAGAAGAAGAAGCTGCTGATCGGCATCAACAGCGTCGCGGCGCTGTCCATCCTCTTCTTCGGCTATGACCAGGGCATGATGGCCGGAGTGAACAACTCCAAGGACTACATCGACCTGATGGGCTTCGGCTACACCGAGATGGTCGACGGGCACCCGTCTCCCGTGGTGACGGACAGTCTGCTGCAAGGGGGCATCGTGTCGGTGTATTACCTGGGCACGCTGTGTGGCGCCTTCATCGGCGGCTGGATCGGGGACAAGATTGGGAGAATCAAGACGATTGCTGCGGGTGCGGTGTGGGCGACGCTGGGGGCGGCGCTGCAGTGTTCGGCGCAGAACCATAACTGGATGATTTGCTGTGAGCTGAGCCCTTTCGTGGAATTGATGGGATTCTGACTGATCATGCAGCGCGTTTTATTAATGGGATTGGAACCGGGATTCTGAACGCCATTGTGCCCGTGTGGGCGACCGAGACGGCCGAACATACCTCCCGCGGCCAATTCATTGCGATTGAATTCACCCTGAACATTTTCGGCGTGGTGCTGGCCTACTGGTTGGAATTGTAAGTATTCCCAGCACCCCTAAGCCAACCATCTAACATCCGATAGTGGACTATCCTTCATCGACGGCGGCGAATCCGCCTTCCGCTGGCGATTCCCCATCGCCTTCCAGATCATCTTCCTGATCCTGCTCTTCGCCGTCGTCTGGTTCTTCCCCGAGTCCCCGCGATGGCTCGTCAAAGTGGGCCGCGAGCAGGAAGCGCGCTACATTCTGGGTCGACTGCGCGGCAGCAGCGACGAGGACACTGTGCGAGCCGAGGCCGAATTCCGAGACATCCAGAGCGTCGCGGAGATGGAAAAGTCGATGAACCACAGCACATCGTACCTGGCGATGCTGTTCGGGTACAAGACGGGAAAGTTGCATTTGGGACGTCGCGTGCAGCTGGTCGTCTGGCTGCAGATCATGCAGGAGTGGGTTGGGATCGCTGGAGTAACTGTTTGTATGTAGGCCGGGTGTTGACTGTGGCGTGGTGCTGACAGGAAATAGATGCCCCGACGATCTTCAGCATTGCTGGATTTGACTCGATGAAAAGCCAGTGGATCAGCGGGTTGAACAACGTGTTCTACATGGTATGGACTTCTGGTGGACGTGACCACGAATATCGCTGACTAGACAGTTCGCCACGCTCATCTGCGTCTTCACGCTCGACCGCATCGGCCGTCGCTGGACACTGTACTGGGGGTCTACGGCCCAAGGAATTGCCATGTTTCTCGCAGGGGGATTCTCTCGACTGGCCATCAACGCACGGAACGCAGGGGATACTTCCCGTGCGGACTCATTCGGCGCAGCAGCTGCCTCGATGGTGTTCATCTTCACCTCCGTATTCGGAGCCACATGGCTAACAGGTAAGCTCCCTTAAGACAATACACAAGAATACTCTAACAAGAAACAGTCCCATGGATCTACCCCGCCGAAATCTACCCGCTCGCTGTACGAGCGCGCGGAAACGCCTGGGGCGTGGTAGGCTGGAGCATCGGCAACGGATGGCTGGTGCGTATCTTCCTTATCAATCTATCAATCGACAAAACTAACACCTGCTCAAGACCCTCCTCTGCCCCGTCATGTTCGACTCCATCGGCGAGAAAACCCTGTACGTCTTCGCCGCCAGCAACGTGATCACCATCCCGATGGTGTGGGCGCTGTATCCGGAAAGCAACCAGCGAACACTGGAGGATGTGGATCTGCTCTTCGCGGCCGAGACGCCGTGGGTGTGGGATGCCGAGCGCACGTTTGCGCGTCTGAAGGCAGAGAACCCGGGGTATGTGGGCGCGGCGAGTCGCAAGAACAGCGCGTTGGATGCGGAGGTGGGGATGGAGCATGAGGAGGATGCGCGAGGTGATAGGATCCGATTAAGGATGTATAAGACGAGATAAACTCCAGAGATATAAATACAAACTCCTTCCCAAGCACCAAAACACCCCAAAACAAACCCAAATAAATACTTAACTCACCCCACAAAATCAACAAAACACTCCCCCTCCGCCCTAGGCCCCCTCCCCTTCCCCTTCCCCTTCCCCTTCCCTGCATCCCCATCCAAAAACCTCACCCCCTCCCCCTCCAACATCTCCCTCTTGCGCTGCAAATTCCTCCCCCCACTACTCGGCCCGTCACCCATATACCCGCCCAGGGTGCCATCCGCCGCCAACACCCGATGGCAGGGCACGTCCGGGGCGAACGGGTTCGTGCGCATGGCGGTGCCGACGGCGCGTGCGCTTCCTGCCCCGGTGCCTTTACTTTCCTCTTTCCCTTTGCCCGCTTGCTGGATCTTGGCGCTGCTGCTGGAGGAAGAGGTGGAGGACGTGCTGGCGATGTACCTGGCCAGCGCGGCGTAGGTGGTCCAGCGGCCGGGCGGGATGGATAGCAGGGTGAGGTAGATGCGGCGGCGGAAGGGGGACAGGGTGGGGTGGGATTTTATGAGGTGGATGGAGCGGGGGATGGTTTTTTGGTATGTTTGGATAGTGGATTCTTGTTTTTGGTGGTGAGTTGGTTCTGTAGTATGTGGTGGTGATGTTGATGTTGATGTTGATGTTGATGTTGATGTTGATGTTGATGCTGGCATTTTCTGGTATTCGGCGGGTATTATTTCGTGGGAGTGTGGTTTAGATTGGGTTGTTTTTATCGATGGTGATTAATTAAAGGTTGATATTAAGTGGATTGGATTGGACTGGAGAAGAGGAGAAGAGATCAGATCAGATCCGATCCGATCCAGCAGATCATAAATTATAAATCGATGTCAAGGTCTTGTCCCGGAAGTGGCCAATCAGAATGCATCCCGGTCGGGTTCCTGCGATGGAAGTAACAAATCAAAACATTTACCCTCTGTTTATTCCAGATTCAATCCTTCCCTACCTACTCTGTAGGTAGTACACTAGAGAAATCAAATCGCCCGGGGTTCCAACCCCAAGTCCGAATCCCTCCGTCATAATCTGCACCTCCCCACCACTAACCTCAGTTTCTCCACGGAGTCCACCGTCCGACTTTCCTCCGACCGCGGCGATCCTGATCCTTCAGCATGACGTCAGGCCCCAACACCGCCTTGTCCCTAGTATTTTAGTCGCCGTTAGTGGCCTCGACGGGGCCGTTTCTCTCCCGATTACCCGGTGCGTTGTTATTGCATCATCGCTGATAAGCCTCGGTCGGTAGTCTGGTCTGATCGATTAAGTCAATCATAGATTCATAGGAGATAAGAGGTAAAGAAAGATTAGATTAAATCGGAGGTAGAGAAGCGGAACGAAACGCCAGTCCATCTACCAGATCATTGACAATGAAGAGAAAAAAAAAAGAAAATAAATAAAAGAGAATAGCCGTCCTGTACAACCGAGGGAAATCAATCGAATAACCTCAAATCAAATCAAATCATCAATCAACTCCGTCTCGCAAACGCCATCCGTCATTCGTGAGCATGAACATGCACATGCACATAACAAAGAAAAAAACCGTGAAGCATGAGTCGTGGCGCGTAGCATCAATCAACATCAGTCAACATCAACATCAACAAACACATGATACAGCATAAAGAAAAAACATAAGGTACATCCACCGTACAGCAATCATCAAGCCATTAACCAAACCAAACAAACAAACGAAAAAGAAGAACTACCTAAGTAGCCTTCATGCCCCTCCGCACGGCCCTCCGCTTCGGCACATCCCAATGATGATACGATCGCAAATGCTCGATGAGGTGATCCCGTCGCGGAAACCCGTTGCTGTCTTTGCGCAGACACTCCTCGACCGGACAGTCCTGGAAGACGGGGTTGTGGACGCTGGACTGGTGGCGCTTGAGGTCTGCGGGGCGCGTGAAGGCGCGACCGCAGTCGGCGCAGGGGAAGGGCTTGGAGCCGGCGTTGGGGCAGGCGTGCAGGTCGGTGGGGATGGACATGGGGACGGGCATGGAGATGGGGAGGTCGGTCATGGGTCTAGTTAGGGCGAGATGTTAGCTGGGGTTCGATGGAATGGGGAAAGACGGGCGCAGGGACCATGACTTACTTGGGGGACGAGATGGGGTAGGGTTGTTCCATTTCCATTTCCATTTCTGGCTCGAATTCTAGTTGGTCCATGTCGGCCTCCGTGTGTAGGTCGGGGATCATCATCTCGTCCATGGGTGCCATTGGGTTTGCGGCGACGTCGGCGGTCGCAGTAGGATCGGCGGTCCAGGGGCAGTAGGGCTGCAGGGGCGCAAAGTATGTGGCATTGGTGGCCTGCATCTGTTGGGCCGGGTAGGCGAGGGGCGGCGTGAAGTCGCAGGAGCTGAAGGCGGGGGAGCCGTAGGAGGAGGCGCTGAAGCTGGAGGATGCATACGACGGCGCATACGACGGCGAGGAGGTGGGTTGGGAAATCAACTCGAAGTCGGCGGAGGGAGGGTAGTTATAGTAGAGCGGCAGGGAGGATTGCATCGAGTCCTCGCTGCTGGCCGAGTACGAGTGTTCCATGGGAGGGCATGTTGGGAGATTGGGGCTCTAGAAGGAGGGTGTTAGTTTAGGGAGCCGCAGACAATCATTTACGTGGTCTAATTTAATGGGATTTAAATTAGAGTATACGCGAGGGAGTGGGAGGATTGGTTTGTACCATTGTGTATTGCGCGAACATGATGTCCGAAAGAGGGAATGGTGAAGATCCAAAGAAAGACAGATGGAAGATAAGTCCGGTCAAGTAAGTGAAGCACGTCAAGTCAAGGAGGGACAGCCAAGGGATGGTGTTCAAAAGACTGCAAAGGATCGGAGAATGAAGGAAGTCGATAAGTTTCGAGAATAATTCCAGAAAGCATCGCAACGGGGCTGACGGGGTTTTTATAATGATCGCGCCATCGGGAGGAAACACCTTGAGATGCAGCAAAGCCAAGGAGCAACGGGTGCATCTCCACACGAAAGGTCCTGCCGTCAAAGCCCACTCATCCTGGCCACGCTAAACTCGACTAGTCGCCCCAAGTGGGCCGTCAACACGAACTCTTTGCTCGTTTCGCAGGTTCTGCCTCCGTGCCTTTTTGCCCTTCTCCGTTGCGACGGAACTCAGATCTGCGTCACCTGAGCTCACCTGAGGCCTCAAAGCTAGAGCTGCGGATGGGCTCCGATCCAGAGCCAAAACCCACGGCAAAGGGACGGTCGCATCGAGACTCGGACCAGGATGCCAGAGTCACCACACAGCCCCCCCGGTCGGGGCACCGGTGATTGGCGGTGAACCGGCCAGGAAGTGATGCGGATCCTGGCCAGAAAGACGCTAGAAAAGGGATGGAAGTCATCGAAGGTTCTTGTCAGGCTTCTAGCGCCAGTCCACTGCGTCCACTGCAGCGTCCGGCACGCTGATTCGCACGCAAGGCGCTGGGGACCCTGCAAAGACGGCCCGACGAGAAGAAAGAAGATATCATCGTCGTCATAGGGGGATCCCCACAACTTCCCAGTCTTCTCCGGTCCTGTGGAGCGGGCCTGCTTGGCTGTTGCGGCTCGAATGATCGCTCCTCCTGGGCCAATCACCCGCATGGTGTCAGGAGGTCTCTCCGACCAATTTCCCTCCTCGGGTTTTTTGGTGTCGTTCGCCTTATGATCGTGCATGGCGCTCATTCGTCGCCATTCCAGGGGGGATGGTTGGACCCTCGGAGACCTCCGACGGGCAGATAGGGATGGTTCGTATCATCATCAGTCACATTACTTCCTACAGAGTAGAACATACGCAGTTATGCTCTTGGGACTGGACGCCCGAATGATAGGTCATGGATATCTGGGGAAGGGTTCAGGGAGATCCCGTCCGGTTCATCTTCCCCGGTCGGACCATTCTGCTGCTCAGTGCTCAGGTCGGGTCAACTCAGGCACTTACACCGTCGAGGCTTAGCGCCGGCCCTAGAACGCTGGAAAGAACAAAAGAAGACGACGACGACGAAATTGTCCGACCTTGCACGCTTGGCTCGGCACGTTTTCCGGCCGGTTTCGTCAATCCGCGTCGAATGACGGGTGGACAGCCTTGTGGAATGCCACTTGGTGTCCCATCCGCCGGCGCTAAAGCCCAAAAGTACGGTGGAGTCGTGGTCCGTTTCGTGCGCCAAGCAGAGACGGCCTGGGAGAGCCCTTGTTCGCCTGGCTGGCTGGTCGACGGAGTCGCTGGTATCTCCTCGGGTCGGTCGGCCCTTCGGTCGGTCTGGGGAACTGTGCTTGTGTCTGTGTCCACCGCACAGCCTCTCTGCATCGTGCAAACAGACCCAACCCGTTCATCATCATGATGCCGCTGATGATGATTATTACCGAGACGGTAGAATAACGAGGCGATGGTTTACTAGATAGAGAGAGACATTTTTTCCCTCAGAAAATACCGCATCGCATTCCAGGTTTGCCCTCAGTGAGGCGAACGGACTAAATCAACCTGGAGGCAGAAATTAAAAACTAAAATTCAAAAGACGAAAAAGCAAAGACAGTCGATCCAGGAGAAGTAACTAAATGTGCCTCGCAGGAAACCACGCATAATCATCAATTCATCATAGGGAGGAAAATATGTGCGGTCGGGCAACCCGGTGACCTGGTCTTCAGCGTTAGTCTGGTTTGGGGTGACTGCGTCTGAGGGGTGTTCCTTTTGGTCGTTCTGGATGTATGATTCTGATTTGTTCCAGATCCATTTCATCTATTCATCTCTCCGTCTGATCGATCATGTCTTGTCAATTCCCCTTCGGCGGGGCTTGGCGACTTGCCGTGTCATCATCTCGATCGATCTGTACAGCCACACCGCCATTCATCATTGGATGTCAAGAATAAGTAAGATAAAATCAAATCAATTAAATGCATCCAATTCTACACAGCACTCTAAATCTACAGACTTTTACATGTAAAACAAAATAAAGGACAGAAATATCATCCGACAGCCACGCCATTTATTCATTCCGTTTAATAATAAAATCGAAAGAATTTTTCTCGCAGGCCGAAACCCAACGGGTGAGCAATAAGACATGGCTGCATGTCCATCAGCCGCCACGTAAGAACAGCGCAGAAAAAAAAAAGAAAAGAAAAAAAAAAACTCCCCCCCTGTCCCACAAGTCCCATTTCATTTCCTCGTGCCTGAAGCATGCATTCGAACAATCAAACAGGTGAAAATCGGATGGACGAAAAGAAAAAGACGAAAAGGAAAAAACATGCATGGGATAAAACCAGGAAAAAAAAAAGAAAAAAAATACAACTTCCCCTCCTTCTGGTTTGAACAATTCAATCCTCAATGCCATACATGAAGTTGATCGGTCGGTAGGTCGGATTGGGGTCAATTTTGTTTTTGGTTTTTGGCTGGTATTCAATGGATTGATTCCCTCCCGCTACTGGACCTGCTTTTTCGGTGCATGCGAATCGATACATAAAATTGTCCATGAATGGCATTGACTTGGGCCTAGTCTCACATTATAGCTCATCTTCTAGATACTTGTACACAAACTTGAAGTCCGCCTTGCGTCGGTTCATCCTGCGCCGGGTTAGCCTGTCGGTCGTGCAAATCTCCGCAGGATCACTAGAAAACATACCATGTACTCTCGTAGTCGAAGAACCGATACGTCCCCTGCTCGAATTCCTCAGTGATGGTTTTCGGCTCCTCGTGGCGTTGGAACCAGGTCTGGTACTGCTTGTGGAATCGCCAGCTCTGGTTCTTCAGCGCCTTAGCCGCAAGGAACTGCTGATACGAGCCCTGCCGGTAGTAGAACAGGTAGAAGAGCGTATCCGTGTCGATGCGCCCCGTGTCGTATAACCGCGGATCGTCAAAGATGGACAGGGGTTCTTGGGGGTAGTAGAGGGGCGTGTTGTACGGGTTCTGGGGCTTGTAGTGTCGGGGTTTCTCTGCGTCGGCCGGCTCGGGCATCGTCGAGAGTGATGCGGCGAGAAGTCGTTGCACTGACGGCGGCGGATTCGACGATGTTGTCGACGCTCGCTCCTTGGTCACCTCGAAGGAATGGATCAGGTCCTGCAACCCCGGCGGCAGGTGATATACCGACTCGCCGCTTTCCTCTTTGCTGCTCGAATCCCCGTTGACCCCCGTTGACCCCCGAGTGGCTGTGGTTGTTGGAGGGGCCTCTGCCTTGTCCGTCGTCGTCGGTGGCGGAGGGGCCACCGTGGTGCTCGACGGAGGGGCGGCGGCATTTGCGGCGGCGATGTTGGGACTGATGGCAGGGGTTTTCGGCCGTACGCTGGTCTCCTCTGTCGTTGGGGCCGGCGTCGAGGTTGTTCGGATGGCAGGTTGTACCGACGAGACGCTGGGTGAGGCGGTTGACGAAGCTTTCGAGGCGGGAACTGCGACCGGGAAAGCAGGGCTGGCGCCCGGCGGCGGAGGGAGGGGAGCGATACCGACGCCGTTCTTGTCGCTGGCAGCAGCAGCCGCCGCCGCCGAGGCATACTTGAGCGTTTCACCAGGCAGACGTGTTGGTGGTGGCGCAGGTTTCATGCCGGACGTAGCGCTGGTGGAGGTCGACGGGTGCAGCGTAGCGAGCACGGGCAGCGGCGACTTCATCTGTGCTGACGGTCGTCGAGGCCCCGTCGCATCGCTGTTGCTCTTGATCGGCTTGATCTTGGGTTCCGACTCATCTTCCTGCACCGATTGCGTATCTTGTGACGACACCCGGTCGTTGTCGGCATTGGCATACTGTCCATCGGGGTCGTCTCCAAAGATGAGATCGTCGTAGAGAGTCTCGTCCTCCCCGGAGTAGTCCACGTTGTGCCCATCCTCCACGTAGTATTTGATGCTCTCCTTGATGTCGATCACCTGATTGACTTCGATGTTGCCGTTTTGCAAGGACCGCAGCAGCATCTCGAGCTTGTTGACGTGCCACTTGTGCCGCTCGTTGATTCGCGTGAGATCCGCTAATCGATTCGTCTTGGAGACGTCCTTCTTGCCCTTCTTCACTTGCATGTGCAGGGTTTCTTCTTCCGCCTCCATGGCCTCGATCTTCTGCTGCAGCTCGTCCACCATGTTGGACAGGAAGTCACACGTCTCCACCTTCTCTTTCTCTTTCGGATCGAGTCTCGAGGCGGCGGAGAGGCCTTCTTTCGAATACGCCTTGGTCTTCATCTCCTTCTCCACTGCCTTGAATTGCTCCATACACTACACCGCCGTTAGCTTGCTCGCATTCTCCATTGAGAGGTTCCCATCGAGGTGACGGGGGAGGGCCAGGGTTGGTGTCAGGAGGGGAAATCGTTAGCGCACAGTTTCGATGGCTCGACGCTGCTCCAGCAGCGGTCCTTTGTCTTTGACTTCATTGCCCGAAGCCCACGATTTGATTTGATCGCGATACCGTTGAAGCTTCTTGATCTCTCGTTTCAAGTTCTCTTCCAGTTTGTCTCGTTGCGTGGCATTCGTCGTCGACCGGATCTTCTCGTAGATGCCCTCGAATTGTTGGATCCCCTCGGCCACCTTCTTGAAGGTCTTGTCGATCTCTTGTTGCGTTTTTCGGGACGTCATGATTGCTGTTTCATGGGAACCGTCGACCCGGGTTCCTGCGAGGAGGTGGTGTCGTCAAAGTTGTATGTGTGGGGGCAGGTGGTAGCTGTCGGGAGCAATGTAGGGTTGGGTACAGGATGGAATCCTCGGCTCGCTAGGAATCCGGGGAAGGTGAGCGTCGGTTGAGATGCAGGTTGCCGGGCAACTTGCAGCGGACGTAATTGTGGTTCGTTTGGGGTGTGGGAAGGGGGGTGATGACGAGGTGGAATCGGCAGACAACAATGAAGAGAAAGCGAGCGAACCTCCTGATGCGCTTCGATAGATTCGCGGAAGTCCCAAACGGGTTTGCCGCCAAGCCCCGTGACACCGCTTTCTGGACTCGTCGCAAGAGGCGAATCGCTCTTCCCATCGCTCGCATCGCCTCACGCTCCACTCGACCCTCTCATCTTAACGGCTCGCGGTATTATGTACAGTTCCCGCTAGCTTCTCCTCATCCTGGTCCTTATCTGAGATCTTACTCGATCGCTCGTCTGATCTGTATGTTCACCTGGACGGTGTTGCGATTCTTCCGCTTGCGGTGATTCACCCACGGGCCCCAGTCAACTAACAGTTCTTATTATGATAGGTCCTAATCTGAATTATCGATATTATTCACCCCGCCTACATATTCAGACACCAGAACAATTCTCTGCGTTTTTTTTCTTGACAGCATTCTTTGCTACAACTCTTTAGTCCCGCGAACCGTCCAATCATGAAGGGTGCGCAATCACTACTGTCCTATTACAGACAGTCAAACTGATCGTGTGAATAGCGGTTCTTCAGCGCGTCAAATCCGCCTCGGTCACCGTCGACGACCAGCTGGTTTCCTCGATCGGTCGAGGAATATTGGTCTTGGCAGGTGTGGGGAAGGAAGACACGGAAAAGGATGCCGATACGATGGTCGGGCGCATATTGAAGGCCAAACTATGGCCGGCAGAGGAGGGAGGACAAGTGAGTGACTATGAGGTGGAGATGGTGTTCAACCGGGACTGACAGGATGTCTCGACACAGTGGAAGAAGAACGTGCAGGACATTGAGGGAGAGGTGCTCTGTGGTAAGAGCCTGTGTCCCCGAGCGCATATGCTGCGCCTGAACGGACCATTCCACTAACTGCATGTGCAGTGTCACAATTTACACTCTACGGCAATTTGAAAAAGAACAAGCCCGACTTCCATGGCGCTGCCGACGTCGAGACCGCTCGCCGACTATACGACTATTTCTTCCAGAAGCTGCGAGCAGGCTACAAAGCCGAGCGGGTGCACAACGGCGTGTTTCAGGCCATGATGGATGTCGAACTCCGAAACGATGGGCCGGTGGGTGTGAATTACCGCAGTCACGATGCGGCGGTAAAGCAATCTATTGCTTGCTTGTTTTGCTTTTTGGCTGCTCTGAACGTGGAGAGGGATAGACTGGGCTAACGATTTGTTTATGCTACAGGTGACGATCGAAGTCAACACGCAATTGCCGAAGAAGGAGAAAACGGAGGAGGAGAAGAAAAAAGAAAGCGAGGCGAAGGAAGGAGAGAAGAAGTCGTATGAGTTCAAATTGCCGGCTTCGTTGTTGGAGTAGAGGATGCGTGATGCCCTTAATGACAATACCCTGTAAATAGACCTTCGATATAGAGCACCATATACATATCCCTTATAGACAAAATATATTCATTCCAGAATGCAGACACAGAACACGTAGGGATTGCAAGGCGCGGTGTTCAGTGACGGTGCGGAGGTTGCATGAAGGCATGGAAGCTTCGTGAAGCCGCCTCCACCTTTTCTGCCTGCGCGCTTCTTTCCTCTTCGCTCTTTTCTTCCCCGCTCACCCTCTCGTCTTTCCCTCTCCCTTTGCTCTCCAGTCTCGACCCATCTGGGATTCATTGATCGCTCTCCATCTGTCATATCCACTTTTCCCTTCCCTCTCTCACTCCCCCATAAATCTATTCGCCATGGCCGAGTCCCAGCGTGCGTGGTCCTCTTTCTTCCCTCGGTCCTTCCGAAGCTACCCATTTACTGATGCGCTGAGACTTAGGTCGTCCTCGTGTTTTCTTCGACATCCAGATCGGCAAACAAAAGCCCGGTCGCGTTGCCCTTGAGCTGGTTCGTGGTTGCCCTGCATACTCGTTACGTTCATCTTGTCGCTAACTACCCCGCCAGTTCAACGATGGTATGGCTTTGCGCGCCCCTCCGGCTCCGTGATAGCCGATTCTAACCCACGCCGTAGTTGTTCCCGAAACCGCGGAGAATTTCCGTGCTCTCTCGACCGGAGAGAAGGGTGTTGGAAAGCAGGGCAAGCCATTGAGCTTCAAGGGTACGCTGATCTCTCTTCTCTCGCTCTCCCCGCTTCCGTCCCGCATCGTGCAATATGCAGGCAGCCTTGCTTACCCGCTTCCTGCCGCGTAACTAGGCTCCATCTTCCACCGTGTGATCAAACAATTCATGATCCAGGGTGGTGATTTCACCGCATTCAACGGTACCGGTGGTGAATCCATCTACGGCGAGAAATTCCCCGACGAGAACTTCGACCTGAAGCATGATCGCCCCTTCCTCCTCTCCATGGCCAACTCCGGCCCCGGCACCAACGGCAGCCAGTTCTTCATCACCACCGTCCCCACTCCCCACCTGGATGGCAAGCACGTGGTTTTCGGCGAGGTCATCAATGGAAAGAGCGTCGTTCGCAAGGTGGAGAACCTGGACACTCAGGCTGACAAGCCCACCGTTGACGTGACGATCGTGGACTGCGGCGAATTGACCGGCCAGGAGTACGACGATGCCGACAAGCAGGTCCCCGACGTCACCGGTGACCCGTACGAGGACTTCCCCGATGACCACCAGGGCGAGGAGCTGAACGCCCCCGTGTGCTTCAAGATCGCCTCCGAGCTGAAGAACTTCGGAAACGCTGCCTTCAAAAGCGGAAACCTCGCCGTTGGCCTCGAGAAGTACCAGAAGGGTCTGCGCTATCTGAACGAGTTCCCCGGTCCCGACGAGAACGACCCCAAGGAACTGGAGGGCCAGATGAAGGCTCTGCGCTTCACCCTCCACTCCAACTCGTCCCTGCTGGCCAACAAGCTGGGTCAGTTCAAGAACGGTCAGACCTGGGCCACGTACGCGCTCGAGGTGGCGGACGCCGCCAGCGCTAAGGACGCCGACCGGGCCAAGGCCTACTACCGCCGTGCCGTTGCCAGCACCGGCCTGAAGGAGGAGGACGCGTCTCTGAAGGATCTCGAGCAGGCGTCTAAGCTGGCTCCCAACGACGCCGGCATCACCAACGAAGTTGCGCGCGTGAAGAAGGCTGTCAAGGACCGAGAGGCCAAGGAGCGCGCCACTGCCCAAAAATTCTTCTCGTAAAATGCTTGTCTTAACTATACTTACCTATCGCGAGACCAGAAAATCTACGATGGTTCATGATTCATGATTTCATGAATACTTTTTTCCTCTTATCTCTCTCTCTTTTCTTGACCTTTCTTCCATAAACGAGCGAATTCCAGCATACGGCTCTGCATATTTTCGTGATTTCACGTATTGTTCTTCATCTTTCTCACCTTACATCTTTTTCAAAGCCCGATCTCAGATTCCGGCATGAAGAACCAGGTCTATCTTCTTCATTGTATCACGATTCCTTGGTCTACCATGGATATTCTAAACTCGGAAAACGTTCTCGAATCTCGACGTATGCACTCACTATTCCATACAAAGATTCTATCAAGAGATGGAAACAAACTTGAGCAGAAAACGGACAAACAGTAATAAACCCGCAGAACCAACAAATAAAAAAAGAAACAAACAAACAAACAAGCACATCGATATTAAAATGAAAACAAGCATAGTCTTTTCATAATCTTCGTATATGGTGCTCAGCCCGAGCAAACACACCTATACTCATCGTATCTACTCTTTAGAGATAGACAGCCTAAGTATTACCTCCCCGTCTCTGCCAAAAAAGCCTCATACCGACCCTTACATCGTCTCCGCCATGTCTTGCCCCAGATGATCATGGGCACAGCCATGAGCATGGACAAAAGAACGCAGATACCGAAGAAGGTGAATGGCCAGCCGTAGTTCGTGGCGTCGATGAAGTGCTGCACGGAGAAGGAGATGGCGAAGTTGATGACCGAGGAGCAGATTGCAAGAATGATGACGAGTTCGCCAGATATCTGTAGTGTTTATCGTCAGCATGGGGGGTATAGGACGATGAGGAAGTGATTGGGCTGGATCGATGAAACGAAAGAGAGGGACAGACTTGATCAAAACACTCCATCGCATACGCCGTTGCGATACTAGTTGCCGAAACCTGCTGCGCGATCATGCAGCAGAGACCGATGGCGATCGTGATCCAGTGGGAGCCGGCAGTGGCGCCCCAGCCGTAAATGAAGTATCCGACGCCAGCGAGCACGAGAGGCAGGCCCAAGGCCCAAAGACGCATCTCGGGCTCTTTGTACCCTTTGTTGCGACGGGCGAGGAAGAGGACGAGCCAGTCAGAGAGAGAGCCGATTGCCATCCTGGTCTGGGTTAAGTTTCTTGTATAAGGAAAGGGGAAGGTAGAAAAGGCTTACCCGATGAAGTTGCCAACCAAGGCAGCTAGGAAGAGTAGACCGGCCGATCCTGCGCTCCAGTTGTAAGGCGGCTCGGTCATGATCTCGGAGATAGTGTTGAAGGAGACGATACCAGCGGTACATCCGAAGGCGAATTGGATACCGGCGAGGACGATGTTGGGGAAGGCGAAGAGGTAGAATGGCCGACGAAAGTATTGGAACCAGGTTGTTTGGTCGTCTTTGAAGTAATGTATGAGGGCGATCTTCTGTCGATATGTGCGTGGCGGCATGTCGATTTCACCGACACCGTGGCTTGGGATTGGGGATATAGCAGGATCAGCATTTGTTTCTTTCTTATCTTCGGATTGCGTCTCATGGACTTGTTCTGACTTGGTTGTTTCCGAAGAGAGGCTTCCTGTGAATCGGTATCGCGGGAACATGGTATCGTCGAAGGTGAAGATGAATAAGAGGATCAGAATAGCCTGAAGACAGGTTAGTTCTAGTAACAAGAGCCCATTCAGGAAGAACAGAATCATACACATGCAACCGCAACAATTGGCTGGCTCCATCTCCAACCAATGCCATCGGAGATGTATCCACCCAAAATGAGCCCGAGAATCGAGCCCAACTGCTGGAAAAAGATATAGACCGCGACCATCCGACCACGTTCATGAGAAAAGAATAGATCGAAGATCTCCTTAGGTCAGTAAAAGGTCTGCATGGAAGGGAAAGAAACATACAGTGAGCTGGATTAAGGCTTGATACGCAGCTGTACCAATGCCTGTCAGAGCCAGCATAAAGTAGTACTGAACTGTGCCCTCAAAAAAGCCACCCCAGACGCCACCGGCAAGAACGCAGATTAAACTCAGGATGTAGACAATCTTCCGACCGAACTTCATTGCCGACGGGATCCAAATGATATTGAAGAAGCCCAACATAAGATAATTTAGTGCGGAACCTCCGTTCATATCCTGCAGTGTGACGCCGGTCTCTTCTGCGATTGTTGTCCATGAAGCACCCCAGTTATTTTCACCGAAGGAGTTCACGCAGGCGTATGCGGATATAAGAAACAAGGTCCAGTATTTCTTGTACCTGGGCCAGTTCTTAGAGGTTTTAGTAAAAGGATAGATGAGAGATGGTACAAAAGATTAGTCTTCTTACCAGAGGATCAGCCGAGAAATTCGTCGGCTGTGGAATGAGAATAATATCTTGCTGATCTGCATGAGCTGCATCTAGCTGATTCCCAGAAGCTACACTCGATTAGCATGGGCCAAAAGTAGGACAGAGGGAACCGTACTATCTACCAGGTATACAGTGCCTGGGACATCAGTGAGAATATCATCAGCGGGAGACATGGTTGCGTCTGCGGATTAACCCGTTTGATGTCTCCTTCCATTAGGGACCGCAGTCTATTTAAATACTGGTCATGATCAACATCCCCGATAACCCCTCTGAAATGGAACAACCGCATCACCTCGACCATTCCTGGAATAGGTACTCCTATTGCGCCGCACCCTCGATAAGGACGAAGACATGGGAGATGATCCGGGTTTAGTAAAGTGTATCAAGTCTTCTCCGCAGTACATTCCGAGGCTGCAGTCACGCTGGGAGTATGTAACCCGCAAAGCCAGCTGCATATTGGCGATCTGGAGCGATAAGCACCCGATCTACCGAGGGAGAGGGGAAGCATGATAAGTTCAGCGGGGAACAGAAGCCTCAAACGAGCGATCATCCCGAAGCTTGACGATGCTAAAGGATGGCATGCAAGGATGATTGGGGAGAGATAGAAGGAGGGAAGGTCCAGCCGTCGAGCGGGGAACTAATGACTTCGATGCCTGAAAATGCCTTAGTCCCGTCTCTAGTCGATTAGGGCTCGGCGACGTCACTGGATTCTACTAATAGTTTCTAGACTGTGGCCTGATTGCATCTTCACTCTGCTTTCTGTCCTTGGTGAAAACGCAACGCTGTCTACATTGGTTACAACCATGCCGTCCTCTGCTCCTGGCCCTACCTCATCCATCCTCATTGTCGGGGGAGGCACCTGGGGATGCTCGACTGCCTTGCATCTCGCCCGTCGGGGCTATAAGAATGCCACCGTTCTAGATCCATACCCGATTCCCTCGCCCATTGCAGCAGGAAACGACATCAATAAAATCATGGAGCACCATGAGCTCAAGAGTAAACCACCCCCCTGCTCTACCAGTACTACCATTCCCACGCGAGTACTAACGCCAACCAGACGGAGAAGCAGATGCGCGAAGCATCATGTTCGCCACTTGCTCTCGCGCAGCCCTGAAAGGCTGGCGAACGGACCCGGTGTTCCAGCCCTACTTCCATGAAACAGGATCGATTGTATCGGGTCATACACCGGCGCTCATCGAGCACATCAAAGAGAACGAAATCGACCCCACAGAAGGCACCTTCGTCGAGCTGAACTCCGCCGAGGACTTCCGCAACACCATGCCTGCTGGGGTCCTCACGGGCGACTTCCCCGGCTGGAAAGGCTGGCTGAGCAAGTCCGGCGCCGGGTGGATTCACGCCCAAAAGGCCATGCACTCAGCCTACACGGAAGCCAAACGACTAGGGGTGACCTTCATCACCGGCACCCCAGCAGGCGCCACGCAGTCCCTAGAGTACGAAAACGGGGACGTCATCGGCGCCAAAACAGCAGACGGGGTCCTGCACCGAGCAGAGCACACCATTCTCGCCGCAGGAGCCGGCAGCGACCGACTCCTCGACTTCGAGAAACAGCTGCGCCCCACGGCCTGGACGCTCTGCCATATCCGAATGACACCCGACGAGGCAAAGCTCTACCGCAACCTGCCTGTCCTGTTCAACATCGCCAAGGGCTTCTTCATGGAACCCGACGAGGACCGCCACGAGCTGAAGATCTGCGATGAGCACCCGGGTTACTGCAACTTTGTGCGCGACCCCCAGCACGACGGCGAGATCCGCAGTGTCCCGTTCGCGAAGCACCAGATCCCGCTGGAGGCGGAGGCGCGGGCGCGCGACTTCCTGCGCGACACGATGCCGCACCTGGCGGAGCGGCCATTGGCGTTTGCACGTATCTGCTGGGACGCGGATACGCCTGACCGGTCATTCCTGATCGATCGGCACCCGCGGCATCCGTCGTTGTTGGTCGCTGTGGGAGGGTCGGGGAATGGGGCGATGCAGATGCCCACGATTGGGGGGTTTATTGCTGATGCGCTGGAAGGGAGGTTGCAGAAGGAGCTGAAGGATGTGGTGCGCTGGAGGCCTGAGACGGCGGTAGATCGGGATTGGAAGTCGACCCAGAACCGGTTTGGAGGGCCGAATAAGGTGATGGATTTTCAGGAGGTTGGGGATGATGAATGGACTGACGTGGGTGATAAGAGTCGACTGTGAGCAGAAGTAATCTAAAAGTAAATTGTATCCATGAACACCTGTGAACTGGCTCCTATCAGGATAATTGAACCAAAAACAATGTAAGGCGCAATACTGGTGAGCCTGAAGAAATAATAAAACCAGTAATGCCCATTCAGCCTCAGTCACTCGCAAAAGCACAACTCCCCATATCCTTCTTAACCACGTCCGCCTCCGGCCGAATATCAAAATCAAAGATATCCATCGGCACACCCAGCGTCGTACACGCATTCGGAATATCCACCAGCCCGGCAATATGGCCCTGAACCGGAGCGCAACTCAACAACAAATAGATCTGATAATCACTATACCCATAGCGCCGCAGGTACTCGATGACCCGGAGACAAGTCTGGCGGTACGCCACGGTAGCATCTAGATAATGCTGCTTGCCATTCTCGTCGACCGAGAACCCCTCGAAGGTCAGGTATCGACCCGGGCCGAACTGCGGCTCGACAGGGCCAGGGTGGAAGATGGGGGACTTCATACCGAGCTTGGCCATGCCGTCTTTGAGAACGGTGAATTTGAGGGTGATCACGCCGGCCATTTCAATGGCGCCGCAGAAGGAGATCTCGCCGTCGCCCTGGGAGAAGTGCAGGTCGCCGACGGAGAATTTGGCGCCGGGAACGTGCACGGGGAGGTATACTTTCGACCCGCGAGAGAGGTTCTTTATGTCGCAGTTTCCGCCGTGTTCGGGGCGGCCCTGGGGTTGTCAGATGGTGTGATGGTTCACGGGGGCAGTGGATGACGTACCGGGATGGTTCGAGCGCCTTCTCTTCCGATCTTCTCTTTGATAGTCTCACTTGCACTGCCGGCATGGACGCTTTTAGGCTGTGGAGGTTGCGCGACATCTCGTCCGGTGGTGTTGGCTGCGATCAGCTCACCCTCGCGACGATTCCACTCTGCCAGAACTTCTGCAGAAGGTGCACAGCCTAGGATTCCTGGGTGAATGAGGCCTGCGAAGCGAACATGAGGGATATGACGCGACGAGCAGAAGATTCCCTCAAAGTCCCAGATGGCTTTTGCTCTGTCGGATACATGTTAGACAGTGCCGAAGAATTAGTTGTCAAAGACCACGTACGGCTTCGGATAAATCTCATCTAGAAAGCCACCGCCGTTCTGGGGATGGAAGATACCAGTGAACCCCCAAGGCTGGTCTTCAAATGGCTGAACGTCCTGGATTTCGACCAAGAGCACATCGCCGGGCTCGGCGGTTTCGATGTCAAATGGGCCGGACAGATAATGGATCTGAGTTAGATCGACGTTCTTGACGTCGTCGGCGGAGTCATTGTTCTTGATTTGACCGCCAGTCCAGTCGAGGCATTCGATCTTGACGACTTCGTTGTTTGCGATCTTTCCGGTAGATGGGACTATTTATCGTGAGAAGGACATAACAGAGCGACAGTTAGACGCTGACGTACCATCCGGATGCCACCGGTTCTAAGCAATTTGTCAATTAATGTCAGATGGCTAGTTCTATAGAAGAAACTTACATGTAGACCTGGTTGTTCCCAAGCCGGTTTATTGAGATCAACTTTGATAGCTGTACGAATGCCTTTTTGGCCCATGATGTTGTTCTGACGCAGGCGACGACGGCAGAGAGATTCAGACAATGAATACGAGAAAGGACGAAAGTCGCAATGTAGCCTTATAAAGGAAGTTCGCCTCTCCTCACGTGGAGTGGAGGTTATCGCAAGCAACCCCGCATCCTTCAAGTTGCACCAATCTAATCGTGTTCGCGCTTATCAGCGGGACTCCTCGGAGGAAAATGATTTGCATTATTTATAATTGACTTTATCTATAGACGAATGCGATTTGATAAGAGGTTTTGGACAGTCGGGATGAGGCAGGTGGCGCGTGTTCCCCGCATTTTAACCCTGCCTGGAGGAGCTATGAAGCTCTACATCTACTTAGATGAACTTTTCTAGGTGAACTTTTGCCTCGGGAGTTCAGGGTTGGTGGCCTCTTTGCTCTGGTGAACGGCGGTATTGATCTTGTCGATATTGTCCAGGGACAGCTGGAGGAAATCGTGCTTGTTCTTCCAGGTCACCTGGCTCTCGGCAAAGCCTTCGCTGTCTTCAGGGCTTGGGGGAGGGTCGGTGATCTTGGTGACAAGATAGGCTGTGGATGCCTCAGCCACGCCGTACATGAGGACTCCGATGTAGGGTGTCTTCAGGACAACCGTGAAGGCAAAAGCGAATCCAAACAACACGCCCTCACGGTCGGAAAACCAACGACGCTTCTGCTCCTTGGTGAACTTGACACGACAGAAGTAAGGTTCCAACTGATGAATGTTAGAACTAGATAAACATCTTCTACATCGGCAGAAGGAACTCACCAGTTCACGCATCAAGCTGCGGGATGCGAAGTAGGTATGAAGGAAGGTGACGACAATATTCTTCGGAAGCACAAGTCCGGTTCCGAAGATAACGGCAGCCGGCGTGGTTCCAACAAAATCCTGAAAAGACAAGAACGAGACTGCAGGCATCACAAATCGGCCCACAATAGGAAGAAGCGAAAGGACGAAGACCGCCAACAGCATTCCAACCTTTCGGCCGTACCGGACCATGAAGGCGACCAGAGCTTCCGGAATAGGCTTTGACACACCGGCGCTGCCATTGGTCGAGTACTTGATCAGGTTGGGATAGTACATGGCACGCAGGTTCTTGGGGTCGTCCGTCTTGTGCTTATCGACGTATGTATAGTCGACCCACTGCAGAGATTGCATGAAGCTAATTAATTAGTATGCCGTGGAGAGCCGAATGAGAGATGGGAAGAACTTACATCCCATCCAGAGTAGGAGTGACATATCGCATCAACGTCATGAGCAGGAATGGGACTTGAAGAACGGACTTGTTTAGGAAGTCCAGAGAGTCCAGGATGGTGTCATCCCAAGTAACAGATTCCAAGTCAACAAAAAGCGAGGTGATTGCAAGGAGGAATTTAACACCAAGGATCTGGGCGACGTTAGGTGTGTACTTTGGATTTTGAACCGAGTCCAAATAGTGGGCCATACCGGAATTTGAATGATAAATTGGATGACAATTCCCACCACGATGGCCAGGGCTGCCTGTCGGAAGTGCTCGGACTTGAACAATTCAGGGTTGCGTAGTGCCCGAACAGCTGTTTTGAGTTAGCATCTATATCGGGTTCTCGAAGCAAAACGATGCTTATTGGACGTGACCAGAGCCCAACGGCTGCAAGACGAGGTCGATCCTTGCATAGGGTTGGAGTCTTGGCTTCAGATGGATCATGGTTCACGCATGAGTGTGGAGGAGTCCCGCCTGTTCGTCGACTCTGGCCATCTTGAACATCCGAGTTTTCCGGATTGAGAAATGATGGGCAAGGGGCTAGTCGACTTACTTCCCACGACGGTGAGCTGGAAGCCGCGGATGACGGCGTTAGGTTCGAAATTCGGCATGGCGACCAGAGTCCCAAGAAAGTCCTCTGGCAGAGTCGAGTGTTGAAGAGGAACACGTTGAACAACGAAGTGAAAGCAGGAGGCAAACCGCGGCAAACACAGGCAACCGTCAATCTATGGCGCCGGCCTGCCATTGGCCACGCAGCCGCCAAGTGCAGAGCCGCGCGGCCCCACTCGTGACCGGCAGGAGTGCCTGAGGCAGACCTTGCCATTGCCGAATCCCCGCCGAGCGGAAGGCAAATCACGCGGGACGGCGATGATGCGCGCTCCTTGTCTGGTCTCACCCCGTCCTCTCCTTCGCATCGGTCCGTCGTTCATTCTCTCTCCATATCTACTCCCGGTCTCTCTGATGGCCTTGCTCTCCTTCTTATCTGCCCATCCATCTCTCCTGTAATCATCTCTCCTTTCATCTGTTCAATGTAACCCTCTCTTCTATGATATTTTTTCGTTCACCACTAGTTCCTCATGAACCATGTCCGATCCCTCGGATGCGCCACTGCCTCAGATACAGTCTATTCGTCGATCTGCTACTCTACCCACTAAACTAAACCCGCGAAATCGCCGCACCTCGAATTCCTTCAAACCCTCCGAGAACGACCTGTTTTTTCATCCCTCGGCCAAAGTTGTCCACTTTGCCCCGAGGGCCCTTGCGCCAATTCCCTCGAGCACCGCCCCGTCGGACTTTGATTATCCGGTTGATACTGTCGAAACCCTGCCATGGAGATCGCCCACGGAACGGACGGTAGCCTTTGCGCCGCTGCGTCTTGAGAATGTCCACGGGTTGACCGTCTTCCTCAAATGCGGCAGCGTCGTCCATGCGATCCTCAAGAACTCTCAGTGCTGGTGTGTCGACGGTGTGTCGACCTTCGTTTTGCGCATTCGCCCTCTTACCTACTACCGCATCGAGCTGCCGAATGAGACAGATGAGGACAGAGAATTGATCGTAGGGATGAAAGATGCCTTACCCCAAGTCCTGCGGTATGAAGTTACTCCGTGTCCTTTCAAGCGGGGTTTCACAGTCCCGATTCCAGAGGCGGCCAAGGCACCGAGGCGAAAGAAAAAAGCATGGAGCCCTAAAGGACGCAGGGATAGTGCGCCGATTTATTTGGGACTCGCCAAGGAACATAGCCCGGTGAGGGAAGAAATTACGGTTGATTATTTGAGCGCTGGGGAAGAGACAGATGGTAACACAACAGATGGCAGCGGTTTCTTAACACGAGGCAGCAACAGCACCATTCTGGAAACCATTCCAGATGATAACGAGTTTTTGGAAGGGTCTCACCCTCCTGAGCTGCCCGTGGAGAGTGAATCGCGTGCACCATCGCCTGCGCCATCACTTGCACCATCGCTTGCACCGCCTGTCCCCGAGTCTCTGGATATTCCCCGGCGCTCGGTGGCAGAAACACAACGGAGCTTCCAGACCTTGCTGGCAAGGTTTGAGGAGAACCCCGAAACACAGGTTGAACCTGACCCAGCACTCTCTTCGAGTGTCGATTCATTCCACTCCATCGAACATTCGTTATCACCCCTTCCTGAGACGGAGTCGCATTTGGACTCCCAACCAGAAATTCCCGTGGACGAGAGCAAGCAAAACGACAGTCGTGGTTGTGACGAAGAGAAACCGTCGGAGGACTCTATCTTTCAAGAGGTCGATTATGCTGCGGAGACGAAATTGCCAACGATCGTCTGCCGCGATTGCTCGTCTCCCGATCCAAAAGAGCCACCAACTGCTTCTGCCTCCAAGCCTGAGCCACGACCTAGTACTGCTGTCGACGCAAAGAGTAGTGCGGACAATCACGATCTCGCATCAACAACGAGTTCCAACCCGAACCTCAGCAGCATGAGTGCTGAATTCCGCCGGCGGTCGAAGACTTCTCATGATCGCGAGGTATCGCCGATGCCCCCGGCATCTACGCTGGCTCTTGCTCACCCCCCGGAGAAGTACGACGCAGCATCCATAATCCAAAAGACCTGCAAGCTTGTCTTGGTGCCTCCAATCCAATTGTTCGTGGTGCTAATCCACATTGCCGCGCGCATCGTCATCGGGCCGGCTGTAAACTCCGCCATGGGCGATATGGATGGACATACCAGCTCTCAGGAGACGATGGATGATTTCGACCTGCCTCTCGCGCGCGACAACTTCAGGAAGCGGTCCGTGTCGGAGGAACTCCGAAGGTTCGATCCCTGGGAGTTGGACTAATCGACACATTTCCTTTTCGTTATTAATGCCTCTGATCTTCACTCCCATTCATTTGATTTCATTCCCTCATCCCAGTTGGTTCTGCTTGCCATATATTATTTTAATCCCCTCCCTGTACAACCCTTTTTTTTTTTTTTGAATGATGCCTGTTTCGATGATGATGCACTTGTATGAATTTTCTATCTCTCCTTTTGGGTTTTTGTTATACTCGTGGGTGGACTCGGTACTGCGTTGCATATGTATCCCCTAATGTTTCTTTGTATTCTAGCGATACATTCATAATTATATACCCTGTTATCATACCTCAGTATGTGAGACCAGATGAGTAGATTATGTTTATCAGGGATGCACATTCATCATTTCCCCGAGACCTATTCCCAAGATCTAGCTAGTGGGGTCCAAATATCAACAGAGAAAGAAAAGAAAGAAAACCACAGAACGCCCTGAATGCAGAAAGCAAATCATCATCTCTGAGCCGATCCATCTCAAGCCTGAACAATCCCTCCATCATCAACCAAACAGACAGACCAGCCTCTCACCCCTAACCATGAAACCAACGGAGAGAAAAAGAGAAAAACCTAAGCCTTGGTAACCTTCCCCGCGGCCCCCTTCCCCTTCGCCTTCCCACGCTTCCGATCCCTCTTCTTCAGCCCCGTCATCCCCGCCTTACACACCTCCGCATATCTGGCATAGAACGCCTCCAGCTCCTCCGGCGCGACGACCGTCGACAGCTTCACCTTCTGCGACGACGGCTTGTTCGGCTTGCTCTTTGCGTCTGCGGCCTTCGAGGACTTGGGGTTCGGCGCGTTGGTGTTTCCATCTGTGGCGCGGATGAGGATTGAAGGGGAGGAAGATTCGCCGGTGTTGGAGGCGTCCGTGAGGAGAGGCTTTTGGGTGAGGAAGATCGAGCCGCGGGCTTTTTGGGAGGTGGTGGTGAGGAGGGTGGAGAGGGAGGTGAAGAACTGGGGGTTTGTTAGTATTAGCGTGGAGGAAGTTTAGTTGGGTAGGTAGATAGAGTAAGATTGGAGGAATTGGAGGGTTGTGGTAAGGAATGAATGAATGGATGACATACCTCGTCGTGAGCGAGATGTGCGGGCATCTTGACTATGTGGTCTCGTCTCGTGCGGATTGTGTGATTGTGTATCGAGGGAATAGAATTGATGGATTGTGCAGAGAAAGATGATGCTCACTCTACAAACTGAGCAGACGAGAAACAGTAACTGCGAAGAATAAATACGCAAGCTATGCCAACAAGCCAACAACTGATAGACAGACAGATGGAGGGAACTTCCGGGCTCAGATGAAGTCCTCCGCACCCGCGGGCAGCTTTACTCACCGCCTTTATAGCGACTGTCCGCCTTCCGCTCCGCCCACAATTCTCCGACTTTTCCAGCGGCATAAAAAAAAATAAGTTCTTCAGCAGCAGCAACGAAGCCAGTCGCATAGCGCAGCACCCATTCACAATGCCGCGGTTGATGCATAATACGACCTCCTTGCCGAGGAATCTGCGCGGCGAACTGGGTATAAAAGACCACTACGGCGAGAAGAAGAGGAATCAGCGAAACGGACCGGCGTCGCGGAAAGATCGACGACAAGCGGAGCGGAATGAGAAGAAGACGAAACCGAGACAGGGTGGAAATTATGGAGGGAAGCGACAGTTCAATCAGCGAAGGGGTGATGATGACGATGACGATGACGAGGGTGGGTTCGAGGGGATGGACTCGGATGGTGGATCGGACGACGAGGGAGACGTCATGGCGAAATTGAAGGCCGCCAAACAAAAGAAAGAAGCGAAACCTAAGCAAAATGCAGAGGAGGATGTGATGGCACAATTGAAGGCTGCGAAGCAAAAACAAAAGGAGGCGAAGTCCAAACCAAACGCAGAGGAGGATGTCATGGCGAAGCTGAAGGCTGCGAAACAGAAACAGAAGGAAACACAGTCCAAATCGAGCGACACCAAATCGAAGAAAACGAAGAAGGCAGACTCCGAAAGTGATGAGGACATGGACGATGTCGCGCCGGCACCGAAGGTTTCTCGGGCTGTTCAGGAAAAGCTAGACCAGGACGATGCGGAGATCGCTGCCTTGGAGAAAAGGCTTGGTCTCAAAAAAGGAAAGAAACTCCCGAAAGCGTTCGCCGACGATGGTTTGGATGATCTGCTGGGCGACTTGGATGATGGATCGGCGGATGAAGGCCGCAAGCGCAAAAGGGAAGCCGACGACTGGCTGCGGAACAAACGCAGAAAGGCGCAAGGGTTACAAGCCGATAGCGAATCCGAGGACGAAGACAGTGATATGGGGAGTGATATGGGTCTGGGTGATATGGATGAGGATGACTTGGACGAAATGGATGACGATGATGAGGAGGAAGATGATGAAGATGCTTTCGGCGAGTTTGACGAAGATGAGGATGAAGACGAGGGCGACGAGGCCGGCGAAGAGGACGAGCCTGCTCCCAAGAAACGCGAGAACCCCTACGTTGCGCCTGTAGCTCCAGAGCCGACAGAGAACAAACCGCAGAAATACATCCCACCCTCACTGCGCGCCGCCGCCAACTCAGAGTCCGAAACCCTTATTCGCCTCCGAAGACAAGCTCAAGGACAACTCAACAAGCTATCCGAGGCAAATATGGTGTCGATTCTTTCGGAATTCGAGAAACTCTATCGGGACTATCCCCGAGGAGAAGTTACGTCCACTTTGATCAATCTGCTTTTTGGATTGATTTGCGAGAGGTCCGCGCTGCAAGACACCTTCGTCATTCTGCATGCTGGATTTATCGCGGCCGTGTATAAAGTGGTGGGTATCGATTTTGGTGCGCAGCTTGTGCAAAAGATCGTGGAGATGTTTGATGCTGGGGGCGACGAGAAGGGCAAGTTTGAAGGCAAAGAGGCCATCAATTTGATTTCTCTACTCTCGCAGCTCTACAACTTCCACGTCATTGGAAGCACCCTCATCTTCGACTACATCCGATTATTCCTGCAGGAGATCACGGAGGAGAACACCGAATTGCTGCTGAAGATCATTCGAAGTAAGTTTTTGCTGCCCTGTCTTCTCGCCAGAAGCAATGCTAACCAACTCAGACTCCGGACCTCAGCTGCGACAAGATGATCCCTCTTCGCTGAAAGACATTGTCCTCCTGATTCAACCCGCCGTGGCCAAGGCTGGCCAAGCCGCCCTCACAGTCCGAACGAAATTCATGATCGATACGATCACCGACCTGAAGAACAACCGCATGAAGTCCGGTGTCGGTGTCGGCTCGACTACCGTGACATCCGAGCACATCACCAAGATGCGCAAGATCCTCGGCGGCCTGAACAACTCGCGCGTCATCCGCGCCACAGAACCCATCAGCATCTCGCGCGACGACATCCACAATGCTTCGAAGAAAGGCAAATGGTGGCTCGTCGGCGCCAGCTGGAAAGAAGACCCATTGGAGTCTGCGCGCAACGAACTCTCCTCCGCCAACCAAGAGCACGGGCTACCCCAGGATGACGACGACAGCGAGGGAGAACCCGACTTCGGCTCCCTTGCCAAAGCACATCGCATGAACACGGACGTCCGGCGATCCATCTTCGTCGCCATCATGTCCGCTCCCGACTACCAAGACGCACACGTGCGCCTCCTCAAACTCCGTCTCAAACGCACCCAGGAGTACGAGATCCCCCGAGTCCTCACCCATTGCGCCATGGAAGAAGAAGCCTACAACCCCTACTACACGCTCATCGCGCGACGACTCTGCGGCGAGATGGGTCGCCGCATCAAGGTGTCGTTCATGTACACGCTCTGGAACATCTTCAAGCGCATGGGCGAGACAGGCGCCGACGAGGACGACGACGACGACTTCCACGAAGACGACGAGCACTCCAACCTCCCCATGAAATCGATCGTCAATTTGGCCAAGTTCTACGGCACCCTGATTGCCGACGGTACGCTGAACCTGGGAGTTTTGAAAACGCTCAACTTCGCATACCTGCAGCCGAAGACTAGCACATTTGCCGAACTCCTCCTCATCACGGCCATCCAGCAGTCGCAGAAGAGCAAGCGCGGCAAGACGAAAAAGGAGAAGAAGGCTGGCGCGGAAGACGAGGCGCGCGATGAGCAGGCCCTGATGGAGATCTTCCTGCGTACGCGCGACACGCCGCAGGTCATCAAGGGATTGATGTATTTCCTGCGCAAGGTGGTGTCCAAGTCGGATATTGTGTCGGAGAAGGAGCAGAAGGTCGTGCGGTGGGGATGCAAGGTAGCAGTTGATGCGTTGAAGGTTGCTGCGAAGGAGAGTGATTAATTTATTGTTTTGATTTCTAAGGCATGGAGTATGGATATAGGATGACATAGAGGTACATAAAATTGCATGATATCACATTTCGAACATTTAAAAACAGGGTATCATAGTCTATTTAGCTAGGTAGTGTACATATAAGTAGTCAGAATGAATCACAACACATCCCACTCCATACAAACCTGCCACTTCTCCATCTCCCCAGACCTCGACTCCTGCATACTCTCCAGCTCAACATCCCAAACCAGCCCGCGCCCAACACCAACGCGATCCCCAGTCTTAAGGTCCGGAATCTCGGTCTCTTCTCCCTCTTCTAGAGCTGGCAGACTCCGTGACTGAGGCGCACCCATCAACAGCACATTCCTCACCACCCCATCATCACCACCATCTAGACCCTCATCCACATGCACTCCCCGCACAAAGACCAACTCTCCACAACTCCCCATAACAGACCTCTCCGCCTCCTCCACCCGAACAATAAACGCATACTTCTGCCCAGGTCCATGTTCAGAAACATGATTCCCCTTCACCCCCATCTCCAACACCCACCCCCTCACCTGCTCCGCCATCCCCCCAGACACATACCCCTGTCCCGAGGCTCTCGATCCCTTTCCTCGACGCTGCGTTCTCGACGGCGAGAACAGGGACAGGACGTCGTCAACAGCTGCATCAGGCGACGGTGATCGCGGGAGAACAAAACCTGGTTTCCGGCGGGTAGACGGAGGTGGGATAGATGAAGGTGGAGCTGCTGGTCCGGGTTCCGAGTCTGTCGCTATGCGCGCTGCAGCGGGAGTCATGAATTGTGAAGGTGTGGTGTACGTCTGCTTTGTAGAAGACGGTGGGTAGCGATGAGAATGTGATTGCGACGGAGTATGCAACTGTGAGGAGGCGGAGAGGAGAAAGCGCGGACGGTTGGCGTTAGGGGTTGGGGTTGGGAGCTGGGTTTTCGATGGCGATTTGAGTGGTGAGGAGGGGATGTTTTCGTCGGAAGAGAAGGCATGGGTATGGCTATGGGTATGTTCTTGCTGGGGGGTCTCGTTGCCGGTGTCATTCGGGGGCTGGTGGTAGTCCTGGTCGTCCGCTTCGCCATTTTTATTGTCATTGTCATCCTCATCATCTATGCCATTGTGGTCGCCATTTTGCTGGTCTCCATCGTGATCCTCATCTCCAACTCGCCTCCTCTTCGCCGTCGATCCTTCCCTCTCCCCGAACAGCGCCTCGTATTCGGCCTCCATATCCGAGTCCACATCTGCCTGTGACAGGGCACTCTCATCGTCCTCAGAGTCCTGAATCACGTCTCTCGTAGTGGCAGTGCGCGGAGTGTCTGTCAGTCTCGATGCTGGCGTCGCGACGAATGGACGGCCGCGGACACGTTTCGCGAGGGGTGTGTTTTGCGGGGAATCATCCTCGTCGATGGCCTCGGGGCGAGGGCGCCTCGCTGAGAGAGAAGAGGAGGGAGGAGGTCCGCGCTGAGAGAGGAGAAATCGAGGAGTGGATGCGAACTGGGGGGTTCGTGGCATTCTTTGTCGAGTATTGTAGAAAAATTGGCGCATCGATGGATGACGCGACTGCGAGTTGATGAGGGAGCTGATAAGATAATGATAAGAGATAAGAGATAAGCTGATAAGAGAATCTAGGATAGAAGTATAGAACTGGTTGGGAGATGAATGGATTAGATTCTGGACTTGTCAATTGATCGAAGTGGAAGAGTTGTGTATGAAAGATGTCTCTAGATATTAGAGACTTGAAGGGGTATTCTGGAGCATACGCCTCAGCTAAATCTTATGACTACTTTCTAGAATAGCATAAGAAAGCGAGGGAGGGAAATATTCTAAGGTCTTCTTCTATTCAAGTAAGTATTTTATAGAATTAGCACATTCTATATTCTATTGAAGCAGGCATAATGGTTAATACGCCTTCCCGGGAGGTTAGAAGCAGCTGACCGGGCGTTGTCGATTGAATCCAGAAACCCCGCCGCAGTTTTCTTTCCTTTCCACTTTCTCATCTCAAATTACCCCAGTAGCAAAACAGAAGGCAAAAGCGCGCAACATAGTTCAAAGCATTTGTATCTCTTTTACTTTCTCGCTCGGTATGTCTGCTGAATTAAAAGCTGTGTCAACACCTCTCCTCGATGGTCACCAGGATGACAATGCTTTTGAGGGATATCGGTGGTCTTACTTTTCCTCTCTTCAGGAAGGAAGTCCATTGCAACAGAGAGCTCAAAGCTTCTTGGATAGTGTGAATTGGGATCGTCTTCTAACATACGCCGCCTCGCTGAGAAATCACCCGAGCTGCATCCTCCTGCCAGAAATCGGTCTCGGCTACAACCACATGGTTCGCATCGTGGAGTTTCCGGACAAGGTGCGGTGGTTAGCAAGGCTTCGACTGTCATCCGTCTCACCGTCGGCAAATATCTCCGAGCATAGCCAAATGGAATGCGAATACTACACCATCCGACTCGTCCAAGAAGCCAGTGAGATACCGGTACCAAGGATCCACGACTTCATGAACTGTTCTGTTTCACAGATTGGAGCAGACTTAATGCTTATGGACTGTCTTCGAGGGAACGCAGGAATAGATCTGAATATGGATATTCCGTTGCATCACAAAGGTTCTGTTCTATCAAGGATGGCTGAGATCCACGTAAGTTGCAACCGCGCGCTCACATCCTAGTCATGCAGTAGACTAAGGCCTGGAAATACCCAGAGTGAGATTTCGAGAATACTTCTTCCCCAGATAGGAACAATATCCGGCATAAATGACGACGGCACGTATCGACAAGGCCCCATACCAGGTCTGGGAGGTCCGTTCGACACAGCGGCCGATTTCTACAAGGCATGGGCGTCGAAAGTAGAATTTGGCCTGTCAGCGGATCAACTGAAAGAAGCGACCGGTCAATTCGCCGATGAGATATCAGTTGCTATTATTGATTTCAAAAAGATGCTGTACGAAAAATCCGCCAGTCTTTCCATCCGGAATGAAGGGCCCTTCCCACTCTGCCATGGTGACTTTGGCCACAATAACATGATCTTTAGTGATAACTATCACATCCTTGGTGTCATCGATTGGGAAGGCGCCTTCGCAGCGCCATGGGAAATATCGGGTGAATTTCCACTAACCCTGTCCATTGTTCCACCTGCGATGGACGTACCATGGAATTATGATGCCCACGGGCTGCCAAAGGATCCTCAGAGCAGGCAGAAACTTGCTGACCGGGAAGAATATATTGCGCTGGTCGAAGAAAAAGAAAGAGAAGCTGTCTTACCAAGGGGGCATAAGTTATCCTCGGCATTACGAGACTCAGATCGACAGTATCTAGCAACTGCAATGAGTCTTTTCCAAATAGGAAAGCCTGGGTGGTACTCAAAAGTCTTAGGAAGTTGAATGGAGCAATTCACTTGCTTTGACAGGGGGAATAACCCTTCCACCTCAAGCTCCGACCAAGTCCTTATCATCCCTCGTCGCCCAAAACACCCTCGAAGCCGCCCTCGGCAGTATACTCGCAAAATTGACCCTCTCATCAACCGGATCCACCATGGGCAACCACTGCACAACACAGCCCGCCATGCGCGCACACTCCTCATACACCTGCCTCTGCATCTCAAAGCAATTAAACCCAAACGCCGGCTCCACATCCGCTTCGACCCTCAGCTTGACACCCTCCTCCACCTTCCCGACCACCCCAATCTTATACCCCCACTCCAGAGCCCCAGGAAACACCTTGTCACCGTATCCCAACATATCAAAGTTCGGGACGATGCCCAAACACCGCCCACCGGGTTTCAAATGCCGCGCAATATTCATCCACATCGTCACCATCTCGGCCCTCGTGCTCGCGTAGTTCAGCAACCAGACCGCCAGCACGACGTCGAATCGCTGCCCCAAGTCGAACGCTTGACCACAGTCAATCTGGTAGAGCTGGAGCTGAGGATCCCACTCGTCACGGGAGCAGGACAACCGGCGGCTCGCATCGTCGAGCATGACACGCGAGATATCGACACCCGTGACGCTGCGAGCGCCCCACTGCATGGCTTTCTGAGCATAGAATCCGGATCCGCAGGCTAGGTCTAGCACGCTCTGATCGGTGATGTCGCCGAGGCTGGTGCGTAGAGTGTGTAGCTCTAGGAGCGAGCCGGGGGTTTCTTTGATGCAGGTGTAGTGGTCGCCGATGGCGTCGAATTGGACGGACATTTTCTTTCTTTTTGCCGGTTGGACTTCTTAGAGAGAAGAGAGGAGAGAGAAGAGAGGTTCGAAGAGCTAGGCATAACCCTGGGAGATGCCGTTAAGTAACTATCCTCTTAAGGAGTACGAGGGCAGACGTTTCGCACGCTGGAGTCGCCATGGGAAACGTAATCAAACCCAATTGAGGTCACCGGATCGGGTTTCTGGCCTTGTTTTTAGATAGAGTAATCAGATATGGCAATATAATTATATTACAAATCATGAATATTAAATCAAAATTCGCTTATTTTATACTTATACTGTAGAGTAGGAGTCGTTATTTATAATCCCCGTGTAGGTTCTTTGGACGGAAAAGGGGGGAATTCCTAGGTTTATGCATCTGAGGGGTAGTCGGCGAAGAATACGCAGGTTTCTGGATTAACAAGTACCTACATAGAACAGGGTAATAAGGTTATGGAAGAGTGGAGTTTAATATCTAGAATCTTCTAAACGTCAATTACTTTCGTAGTATTCTATGATTTCTATCTCGGCAGGATAGCGAGTAACAGAGTGCCCGATCGCGCCTATGAACTCTTTGCAGTAAAAGAAAGTATAGTAGTATTTGGATGTACTAACTATGCTTGATAGAAATCATTGAACAAACGAAGGTAGAGTCTTTATGAAGTGACGTATAAGTCCTATTTAATCATCAAGAGAACTCCGTTGAACACCAGCCTTTTCCGAAAGAAGATAGAAAACCCCAAAAGAACATAAGAAACACAACCGAGAAGGATATTTACTTGCGACAACAAGACCCGAAACATAAATCCGCAGCTACTCAATCATGATCAGCATACCCTACTTCACCAAAAGAGGAAAAAGAGGAAAACAAAGGAAATGAACATACCATTAAAATCCTCGCGCTCATTAACCGACTTCCTCATTTGAGAGGCGGTACATTCTCTGGTGCCATCGTGTGATTTGCTTCGCCTGAGGAGTGCCCTGATTAGTTGGTCGGGGGTCTTTTTATCTTTTCTGGTTTAGGGCAGAGAGACTTACTCGATCAACGTGATTTCCGATCCCGAGTCAGACGACGGGCTGGAGTTTCGGCTTGTGTCTTTTTTGGATAGGAAGGTGAGGATGGAACTAGGCATGATTGTTTTGTTTTGTTTTGTTTTCTTTTCTTCCTTTTTGTTGTTGTTGCTTTTGCGGATTTGGAAGAGGCGTGATGTATAGCGTCGATGGGGTATGCCGGAAGACTAGGTAGTGTGAACGTAGCCCTAACACAAGACCAAACAACTTCCATCCACAACCCAGACAGCAAGGGTATATATATCAAACCACAAACCAGCAAATCCACGATCAAACCCCTACCTACCCAACACGGCAACAGTTAGAGTGACACGTACCCGACGGCCGACATCCGCCGAGCCCGGGCGAAGTCCGGTCCAGCCGAACTTAACTTCCCGACGCCGACCCGCTCTCCTACTGGAGTAAGGTGAGTGAACTACGTAGTAGGAACTGCCCTGTTCTGGATCACCTCAGCCACATGACCAGGCAGCACGAAGGTCTGCTCGAGCCCCACCCAATGCACGGCGTCGAGTCTTGTCAAGCCGAGTTTCATCATCGGAAAGCTCTGGCTTTGGCAGCGCAGGACGCGCAGCCAGGACTCGACGAGCTGTTTGCCTTTCAGCGCGCGGTCGGCGTTGGGGGCTTGGATTAGGAGAAGGAGGAGGAAGTTCGAGACGGTGGCGAAGGAGATGCGGGACCCTATTTTTTTTGTGTCAGTTTCCCGGTTGAGGTGCGTTGGTGGAGAGGGTTTGAAACGGGTTGGGCTGGGACGTGTTTCAGGAAGACGGAGAAGAGCGGAAGTGCCTGACGCAGGGAAGGGAACTTACACGAATACCAGAATCCTACGAAATCACTGCTCGTTAACCGTCGTGTGAAGCTCACCATGATGGACGCGCACCGCTCCGCCGCGTTCAGGATCGTCTCGCCGGTGCCGTGGTCGGTCAGGTCGACGGCCGGGAAGGATTCGATCTCCGGCATATCGAAGCAGTCGAGCAGCGGCGGATTGTCGCCCTCGGTGTCGACCGCCGCGTCTGCGTTGACGTCCGCCGACGCATCGAGCTCCGGGTTAGCTGCCGGGTCTGGGTCCGGATTCGTCGGCATCTCCTCCAGATCGAAGATGAGAGGGGGGCTGGAGGACCGCGCCATGGGTCTTAGTAGGGCGCGGTAGACGAACAGGACCAGGATCATGTACGCGAAGTGGATGGAGGTAGGGTAGGGAGCGAGTCCGCTGACGGATTTGCTCCAGTTCGGCAGACGGAAGCTCTCGGGGAGAGACGAGTACCAGGCATTCAGGCGTTCGAGTAGCGGACGGCCGATGTCATGCGAGGCGTGGAATCGTTCGGAGAGGTATTGCGATTTGCGCAGGGTGCTGATTACTCGTTAGTTGGCAGACCAACAAGCTAGGTCAAGGACAGGTAGGACGACTTACTAAAACGAGCTATAGATCTGCTCCGCGATGGCCGACAAATCCACCAGATAGCGGAACGGCACCGGGTCCAACGTTCCTGTCACGCCCGCCGAAGCCGCCGACGCCGTGCCTCGGGCATGATACAGGAAATCCGCATCGTCGAGCTCGGCGACGTCCCATTCGCCGGCGTGGATGTACGGCGGCCGACCAAGCAGCAAGCTGCGCCATTTATCCTCGGCGTAGACCGCCCACCAGAGGCGTCGCCGCAGGCGTTTCTCCCAGGCAGGAATCCCCCACATGCGGCATTCGATGTGCAGGCCCAGCGACTCGGCCAGGCCGACGAGACTGCCGACCCAGGACCAGACGAAGGGCGTGTCGGCCCGGCTGGCTTGGGCGTCATCCAGGGGCCGGTGCAGGTAGAGCACGGCGGCCTGCAGGACGGCCAGGTGCGGCGTGTGGATCTCCTCGGCGACGAGCTCGTAGACCAGCCGCCAGAGGCGATGCGCGGGCGGCGCGCTGTAGGTCTGCAGCACACACAAATAGTCGTCGTGGGCGGCGAACGGCAGGGCCGAGGCGTAGATGGCGGCCAAGAGATGCACCGGCGTGCGCTCGAGAACCCAGGGCTGGGGGGTCCAGCAACTCGGGGTCAGGCCCATGTGCGAGCGCGAGAGCAGCGGCAACGCCGGGTACACATACTTGACGAAGAGGGCGACCAATCGCGGGCCGTACTCCGGGGGCACGAGGCGGTTGAGCTCGTCGCGTGAAGAGGTCGAGGACGAGCTCGTGCTGCCATCCGCCGGCAGACGACAGGATGTCTCACGCTTGGCCGAGTCGGCCAACTCGTCGGCGGCGATCATGAAGTGCACGGGGATCTTCTCGGCGGTGGGCACGCCGCCGGCGTTCCGGAAGTGCACCTTGTAGAAACATTTGACACCGGCGTCGTCGAACGAGCAGTGACGTAGAAGCCAGGGATCGGATTCTGCAGAGGCCCCGAACAGCTGGGCCGAGAAGCCCTGGAGCTGGTCGAGCGACTGCACAAACTGAGTGGGTGATCGGCCGAAGACGAGTTGGCCGGAGACTGCCGGGGAGACGCCGTCGACGGGGAGATCATCCAGACTGAAGGTCTGACCGATGGGCGGCGGCTGCTGCTGCTCGAGCGGTTGCGTCGAGGGCTGGAGATCGTCTGGAGTCACCTCATCCCAGAGCCATGACGACTGGGAGGACTCTCGGCGCGGGCGTTTGGGCGGCGGATGGTCGAAAGTACAGGCGATGTCGGCGGAGCGGCAGCGAATGCAGGGCAGGCCGTCGTCGGTCTGACAGCCAAGCTTTCGCTCGCGGCATTGGTCGCAGGGACGATGGCGTTTAGAGCGATAGGGACGGGACATTCCAAGGGGTCTGGAGGTTCTCGAGTCTGCCGAGGGGGACGAGGGAGGCAGATGAAGAGAGCGACGATGGAGATGCAGACGCCGATGACTCAGCTCGGCCGTCGGCGAAGTAAAATTTGACATGAAAAAATGACATGAAATAAACCAATTATCTAATAGTAACATGTGGACGCTGACCGTAAAAATGAATGGATCCGTCTTTCCCTTCCGTTGAAACTGTCGAGAAGAATTCCTGGGGCGGATGTCACCACCCGCTAGCCCTAACTCCCTCTACTAAAGAGTCATTATCCCAGCCATCAGTCATCACTCATGAATTCCTCAAATCTACTCTTCAAACCCCTCCAACTTCCCCTCCAGATCTTCCAACCCCTCCAACATATCCACAGCCCTCACTCCCTCCAACTCATCCGGACTCCGCCCCTCCAGTCCCAGATATCCCCTCCACCCAGCCTGCAAACAACCCCGATAATCCTTCTCCAGATCATCACCCACATGCACCATCGTCCAGTCCAGATCTTCTTGCCCACACCCCACAAGCCTCTCCGCCTGCCGTCTCGCGATATCAAAGATCTTCCGATGCGGCTTCTCCACCCCGGCCTCGTAACTCGTCACCACGAAATCCACATCCTGCTGGCCAGATGATTCCTCCTCTCTCAATCCCCCGTCTATCCCTCCCCCTCGCTCCTCAAACCCCGGCAACCGTGTACTCTCGATATCCTCGTCAGCTCGGACCTTGCCCACCCGTAGCCCCAACGACCTGAGCACGGCAGGGACCCGATCATCCGAGTTCGACAGCACGCCCACGACCACCCTATCGAACGGTCCTGACGCAGTACCTTGCCGTTTCACACGCCGTAGGTACTCAAAGAGCGACTCCGCCCCGGGGTATAGCGCGTATCCGTCCCGACTGGCGAACATCTTCAGGAGACCTTGCACGAGATCTTCTGGTATCTGGACCGCTGTCGTATCTAGGTTTGTCTTTCCATTCGTATGGGCATTGGCATTGGCATTGACCGTGCCTGCGCTTGTGCCTGTCCCCCCAGACTCCGCAAACCCATCACTCAACGCGATCCTAAACGTCCCCCTCACAATCTCCTCCCACCATTGTCTGGCGCCGCCGTACTCGCCACGAATCGCCAGTTCGCGCCCATAATTCGGGTACGCTTTCGTCTGTGCCTTGAAGATCGATTTAAACGCCTTGCCGAGGCTCGTGGGCGTGAGGAGCTGCGCGCGCGGAAGGTTCCGCGCTCGGGCGGCGTGGATGTAGGCGTCTGGGATTGGGACGCGCGGGTGGTAGATCGTGTTGAAGGCGTCGAGGGTGAGGAGGAGGATTCGTTGGCGAGAGGGGGATGGGGATGTGAGGGGCATGTTGGAGTGTTGTTTGGTGTTTGGACTTTGGAGCTGCGATGGGCTGGGGAAAACTTAGGGAGTCCGGGGTATTACTCAGCAGCGATAAGGCTTATCAGATCAGATTGGGGTTTCCTATTTGGGAAGTAGAGCGTGGCGCCTAGGCAAGAACAAGCATAAACAGGATAGAAGAACGCATTGGAAAAGACCGCTGACGGCTTTTGAAAAGAGAAAAAAGCATTCAAAGAAACCAACAAACGCCAGCGAGATGACCAGACCGAACGAAATCAGTCCACATCAAGCCCTAAGACCAGTGTCCTCAAGCCTCCCGTTTCTCCTCAGCCTTCATGGAACGGCCGTTGTCTTTCAACTCTCGATCTTCCTCTTCTGGCACTGCCACAAGATGGTTGCGGCAGTTATGGGTCACATGCTCCGTCACGGGTGCTCTCATCGGGGAGCATCTACCATTGGTACCTCGTCGAGGCCTGCATTGCACGAAAGTCGGATTCTCCCCGTGGCATCCGCAGGTATAAACCCAAATAATATCGTGACACCTAAATTATCAGAATCCGCCGTAGGAGAGAATAGGGATGGCTTTGCTCACATGGTGATAGGCTGGTGGGGTGGAGTCAAGCTGGGGATGGTGGAGGTACTAGTTGTAGACAACTGAGCTGGAGGCATTCGTGTTAGCATCAGCGTTCCATAACTATGGGCAAGATGTCTTTCTTACCTTGAATCGCTATCAAGTGAGGACTGAGCAGGCAAGTGGGTGTTTGTCGGAAGGTGAAAAAGTTCAGTTGCTATTCTTGGGAGGGGTGCAGTCAGGCGTGCCTTCCTGAACCGTCTCCATCCAGGTTCAGCATGAGGATGGTGACAGTAAATCTCAGCAAACCCCAACATGGAAAAAAGAAAGAAAAAAGAAAGAAAAAAGAAAGAAAAAAGAAAGAAAAAAGAAAGAAAAAAGAAAGAAAAAAGAAAGAAAAAAGAAAGAAAAAAGAAAGAAAAAAGAAAGAAAAAAGAAAGAAAAAAGAAAGAAAAAAGAACGAAAAAAGAAAGAAAGAAGAAATCTTCATGGCACAAAAGCAAAGGGGACAAAGACAAGAAGTAGTTGACATGAAAATCCGGAAACATTATGCACTCATGTTTGCTGTTTCTTTAACGCCCGAGTATTCTCTCTTGGCAATTTGCGAAATTGTCCTTCGCTCTTGTGGAAGGTGGCAGATAAAAAGCAGATGTAATATAATAATATAGTTGAGTATCAGATACTGGCGTTGGAACGTCTTTTCCTTCTTCCTGGGTGAGGTCGCGGTCGGAGTAGAATTGCCAGAATTCTCACTCTGATCTGGGGCATCAAACTCTCTCCCAAGTCATCCTGAACGAAAAAACACCTGGAATCCACAAAGCCACCATCACCCTTTCACTTACTACCTTCCAGTATGGCCTCGTAAATATCCTCGATAAACTCCCTCGGCAGTATATCCTGGTCGCGTCTGAGCTGACGTCTCGGCGTATACAGCCTCCATGCACCAACCGTATAGATACGCAACGAGGAGCCCTTCCCGGTCTTATGATAAACGTGGCGAATCATCTCCGAGGTTACCGATCTTGGCGACCTGTTCTCGATCTCCGCTTTGAGGGCCTGGAAAGCGCGGTTCTGTAGGTTCGGGATCTCAAGTCTCTCGGCAAGAGCCCACAGGTCCACGAGAAACTCTCCGTCCCCGGGGAAGGGATAGATTGGAGGGGTTAATTCCCCACGGTAGACCCAGAGGAGCATCCGCCGGAACAAGTCCGGCTCTGTGTCTTTCAGCTCGATGGGTTCATCTGTGGGGGTTTCGCCGGCACGCTCTCCGCAAAGACGGTCGAAGAGGGAAGAGCAGTCGCGGAGCAACTGTTGGTGAACATTGAAGGTGGTTTCTTTGACTTTGGTGCGTACTATCTCGCCGGAGAGAGAGAGAAATAATCTTCGAGCCGGGGTAATGAGTACGGAATCTGAGATGAGAGCTGGGATAAACGTACTCCGGATGTTTCTCAGACATGTTGGGTGATTTAATCAACAAGTCCCGGTATGTGGTATCCAGGAAATGGCGTCGAGACTCAGGACGATGAAAAAAATAGAATAGAATGAGATGAAAGGTGAGAGGTGAGATGTGAGGGATGAGTTGGGAGAGATGGGAGGTGAGAGTAGGAAGTTCGGGGTAGAGAAAGTTTTCAAAACACATTCACTATGAAAAGGAACACTCACACCACAAACACTAGTGTACTGGATCTTTTGCTTTTCTCAGCAAGATGTGGCGTGTTTTGGCACTGCACATACATGGCCACACGACTGGTCGCATCTACCCAGCAAAATTGTGCGCCTATATTTGGTTACAAGATTGCCACAAGTAGGCAACTATATGTAAAGAACAGGCATCACGATAATAAACTTATTAGGAAAATTACTACTAGGAAAAATGGTCAGCAAGATTCAATTTATTCAGCTCCACATGCTCAGCAATACAACATCACCCAGAATATCGAAGTCAATTAGACAAAATAACCCATTTTAGAAGCCCCGCGGGAGTAGACATGTAAACAAACTCATGGAGCATTGGCCACTGGTTTAATGCCCTAGCTCATTCTTCTTCTCTTCCACGTCTCATCGGAATCACGTCTTCTCCACATGCCATCAGAATCACCTCCCTCCCTATGTTCATTCGCAATGAACCTGGCAGGACCAGGAGAAGAATGCAACCGCGACTTGGGAGTGATGATCTTGCGTCTTTGCATTTGGGCCGGAGTCGCGCGCTGCGGAACATTAGACTCAACCTCAACCGATTTCTCGGGTTCATCTTCCAAGAGCCGCTTGTTAGGCTGCTCCCGGACAACCCGATCCGGGACATAGTAGCGTCTTACAAAGTCCTCGAGGCTGATTTCCGCCTCAGTCTTCACATTCCTCTGCTCAAGCAAGGCCCCGCAAAGGTCCCCAAGAAACGCATGCGGCATGGAGTGCAGAAGCTCGGGGAACCCGGCCTGCGATCCGTTGCGCGCCCACATGTCCACGGCCAGCCGACGCAGCGGGGAACCAGGCTGGGTGTTGTCGTACACGTAGTCGATCTTCTCTTTATCGTAGACGCCGCCGGGCTGGGTATTCATGACGACGAGGAAGTGCGAGATCACGTAATTCTGCAACCCGGGCATCTCGAAGCGGGCGCCGAGGATCCAGAGTCGGAAGAGGAAGAAGGCGGAGTCTTGTGCGACGAGGTACTGCGAGAGAGTGCCGCGGTAGAGCCAGCTGATTAGGTCGCCGAACAGGTCGGGGTCCTCGTTAGGAAGGGGGACGGGGTTGGTTTGGATCTCTACGAGAGTGTGGTCTTTGAAGAGACGGTCGAAAAAGGGGGAGCAGGAGCGGAGCAGCTCGATGTGCACGTCGAACGCGGTTTCGGGGGTGCCGACATTGATGCGGGTTATGCCGCTCAGGGTGCTGTGAAGTCACAGGTTAGCATATGATATGGCGAGGAGGGGAAGGGTAGAGGGCATACCTTTTGTCCAGAGGAGTTGACATGTTGATGGACTTTTTTTGTTCTTCATGGCATGCACCACGATCTTGTTGGATGGAAAGCATTGAAGAGGATGGGAGGGAGAGTGGGGGTGTGGGAGATGGAGGTGACATAAGTAAGGAAGAGGAAAGAAGTGAATGTAAACAGGTTGGGATCTGGTCTTGCAGGAAGATTCCGGTTGCTCTAGTAGCAGTCGCCGCAAGACTTGGTTTCTCACTTGACGTGGTCAAATGATGTATTTATGCACTCGAGATGGAAGAATTACACCGTCACTTTCCGCTTATATGTGGAAGGATCCGTCTTTTCCTTTTATCGTCATCTCAAGGCATGTAATTCTTGTATGCTTTCTTGCCTTATCCAGAATCCACAGGGTCTTCAGGTCTCATACTCAGTCTCGGTTGAGCCCAATAAGCAACCATAGCCGAGGACAATATTGCTCCCAATGCAAAGACTTAATCTCTAATTCAATCTATAGACATTTTGCTCTCTTTCTTCTCATTTCCTTTCTTACTTTTTTCTTCTTTCTAGTTGCATTGATTATCAGTATAACTCCAGAGCCACATGGTGAGTTCTCGGGACTCTTAAGGAGAAAAGAATAACATATAGGACTATGTCTAACAGACCTTCATATAGCCAGATATTGGTCCACAAGGTACAATTCCTTTGGCTCTGCTTCCGATCTTACGCTTCTCTTTTCATCCAAAGTTTTAGACGATGATTCTAGAGGTCGGGATTTTGGTATCAGCCGCAGCCAATGGTATGCATGCAACGAAATGCAACAGAAATATGATTGATGTCTAGCCTTTTCATAATTCGTTTCTATAGTAGTCTCCTAGTTACATTAGGAATCCGCCTGATCAATCAGGTCCATTTATACGGAATTAAGTCAAGCGTCACGCCGAGAGATGGCCGAGGAGTAGCCGAGCGTGGAAGCCTCCGGACTTACTTGGAGCCTACAATCTATCTCTCGGCATCCGATGCTAGGAGTAGAGAACCTTGGACTGTCGGCAGTTCCCTCTAGAACAGACCGAAGAACGCGTGGCGACGGCGTGGACTTCAGCTCGGACGGGATTACTCGATGCGGTAACGTCGCCCTCCTCGGTTGCGTTGGCTGCGTCGGTTGTCACGGCAGTTGGTTTGTATCGCATTGAGAAGTTAAAATAGTTAAAATGAGGATGAGAATATCTTAAGAGGCTGGATGGTCAGATATTATTCACTAGGGGTGGCTATTAGATACGGGGAATACTCACAGAACTGGAAGATATATATTTGGGGGTGTCCTAGTATGACAAAAATAACCACTTAAGAAAGACTACTCTGCTCTAGACCGGTCACTTCCATTATTATTACGCCACGCATTACACGCGTCTGCGTACCATCCTGCCGGTCTGACATATCTTATCATTGTTCGCCGATGCCATACTGGATGTGCTGCATCGGCTGTTGATGCGGTGAGCACCACCGGTCATTTCTCCCAAAGCACACCACCACCACCCAACAACCACCCATCGGTCTATTTCAACCATAACGTCCCTTTCCGAACCTCCAAAAATCCTACCGAACATCCAAATACCACCGATCAATCATTCTGCCTACATCCGTGACGCGTCTCGTCCCCACTTGGCGCCCCTGATAGCGCCATCTCACTGATTGATAAGATCTCACTTTTTCCCAACCTTCCCCCTAACCCATCCACACGACTGCGACTCCCTCCAACGGAGCACATACAGACTCAAAAGGACCCCCAAAATGAAGTCCCTCCATCTCCTCTTGCTCTCACCCCTCCTCACCGGCCCCGCCGGCGCAGAGCCCCTCCCCAACGCCAACCACATCTTCAACACGATCCACCACGCCATGCGCCAATGGGGCTCGTCCCTGCACCACAACGGCATGTCATTCTTCATGGCCTCCGTACCCGCCGGAACGCAATTCTACCACGGCAACTCCAAGCCCGGAGAAGTCACCGGCCCAGAATGGCTGGCGTTCGAGCCCGAGCATGCGATGGTCTTCGCGCGTCCGAGACATCGTGGACATCCCCCTCCTCCGCCGCCTCCGGGCTCGGGGATGGATTCCAACGGGGGCCAGATGCCGCTCATGCCTCCTCCCCCTCCAGGCTCAGAACCGAGACCGGGACCAGAACTTCCCATCAACAAAGATCAAGACGATGAAGAAAACGAGGGGAAAACAGGCTACCTGCACACACTCACCGCATCACGCGATCTCCGCCTCCTCTACCTCGACGGCATGTCCGCTGCAAAGACGACCAACGGGACGCTGGACTCTCAGGACCGCGTGCTGTTTCGAGACGAGCTGGAAAGCCCCGGCATGCAGGAGCGCGAACGCGCCGAGTTGCTGTGTCGCATGGCGCGCGAGGACTGGAATGGTAGCTTGGACGGCGTGATTCGGATGGAGGCCGGGTTTGAGGTCATATTGTGTGATTTTGAGGCTGTGGAGACGGTGAGGGTTACGAGAGTAAAGGGGAGAGAGGATAGTGGGAAGCGTGGGTTGGGGAAGAAGGAAGGTAAAAGGGGTGGAAAAGGAAAAGGGAAGGACAATCCGTTGGGGGGTGCAGAGGTATGGTTCAAGGCGATTGCGTCGAGGTATAATGGGATTGGAGGACATCGGGTGCGAGTGGACTATGACTGGTTTGTGACGGCGTATGATGCTGGGTACGCGTTGGACTTGTTCCCTGGGGCCAAGAAGCATCTGCCGCGATTGGATCATCTCTCGAACGAACAGCTGGAGCCGGTGCGGGCCGACTTGGACGAACTGGTTCGCAGACATCAGATGGGCAAGGGCGAGGTCTTCGACTGGCAGGCCATTGCGGACATGGTGGTTCTGCGCTACGGGCATGAACTGCGATACATGGCCTCGGGACAGACGGGGACGCTGGAGGAGCTGCACCGGGAGATCGAGACTCTCCTGGGCCCGTTCATCGACTACGGAGAAGGGGGCCGCGACTCTGTCCAGGAGACAGAGCGCTGTGCGACGCAGTTCATCCCCGCCGAGGCACCGGATGGCAGCGTCGCCGGGGAAGCAGTGCGGTCGGTTGCCCGCAGCATCTGCTCCACGTTGGTGGAGGCGTGGGATAACCACACGGACTACGAGGCGGCGATTGGGCAGCTGCGGCAGCTGATGGAGTACCTGAACTGGACGATGTGGAAGGAATGCAGGGGGTGCGGCGACCATGAGATTTGCGCGGTGCCGATTTGGCCGATGGGAACGGTCGAGGACTACGAGCATCCGCAATGTCGCGACGCGTCGAGCCCGAGTGGCGAGGGGAGGCGATATTGGGGAGAGCCCTGGGGTCCAGGCCCAAAAGCGTCTGGCCCGGATGCTCCTCCGTCGTCGCCCTTTTCCTCCTGGTACCAACACCTGAAGCGTGCTTTCTACGGGTGAATGCGATGGTCTCTGGTGGCGGGTGGAGCTGCTGCAAGGCGAGGCACGGCGTTCAGGGGTATCATTCGAAGTGACAGGTGCAAGTTCACGGAGAGCATGCAAAAGCAAACAAAGACGCAGGGGAAAACGATCGTGTTGGCTCGACAGCTCGACAGGCGCAGGTAAAGTGATGTATCAAACAAGCTCGGGGCGATCATCGGCGCCACATCGATAGTTCATGCAGGAACTCTCTCGGCCCGGCAAACCACCGTTCAGGCTATTTCTCGGCTTCGACACTAGCCGGGTTTCACTTTTCGTTGATTGCCCAACGCCGAGGATTGGCAGATCTCCATGGCGTTCTTTTGCTGGGTGATTCCAAATCGAGATCAGCTAGACGAGCGAGTGCTTTGGGACCATTACACGCCACATCGCGGATACGACTGCATGTCTGAGACAGCCAGGAATGCCGAGTTCCTGTTCGCTGTGCTGGATCGGAGGCATAATAGAGAATAGGGGGATTTCCGGAACGAGAGCGAGACTCCAGTTTAGGGCTGTCTGTCGAGTGTCAGCTGAGTCCATTGGCCGAGACAGTGACAGCCATCAGATCGGGGAGCCGCACCGGCCACTATTGGAGTGATGCCAATAATATCCTTCGCGTATTCTTCGCTGCCTTGCTGCACGTCCACTGATGTGGAAATTGCAGTTCCTCCAAGAGATGCATCGAGGCGCCATGCAAAGATGGATCGGTATAGCCTCTCTTGGCGGATGAGATCCATCGACGGTCTAGTCTACAGTGCACAAGAAGGGCTGACTGGATAATAGGGGATGATACGTCCAAACAAATATAAATACCAGCCTCGAACTGCCCATGTCAGTCCGAATCGTCTTCACTCATTACAGCATCTCCTTTCATTCTCTTCGCTTCTTCCCTTCTTTGGGGCGCCGTCCTTCATTTAGTCTCGGCCACTGCCATTTCGTCTTTCTTTTCAATAACTTACCCCGGTCTCTAATTTAATCTTCGCCATGAAGCTCTCTACTTTGGCGGTCCTCGCCTGGGCAGCCTGCGCTGCTGCCTCCCCCGTTAGCCCGGTCCACCAGCGCGGCTTGGAGCACCACAAGTGCGACTGTGGAAAGGACTTTGAGCCCTCCCACCCCGAGCCTGTCCATGAGCCTGAGCCTGCCCCCGAGCCTGCTCCTGCTCCTGCTCCTGAGCCCGCTCCCGCTCCCGCCCCGGAGCCTGCGCCGGAGCCTGTCCCCGAACCGGTTCCCGAGCAGCCCGCTCCCGCCCCCGAGCCCGCTCCGGAGCCCGCTCCTGCTCCTGAGCCCGCTCCTCAGCCTGCTCCGGAACCTGCCCCCGCCCCCGAACCTGCTCCCGCTCCCCAGCCCGCTCCTGAACCCGCTCCGGAACCCGCTCCTCAGCCCGCCCCCGAGCCCAAGCCCGAGCCCAAGCCCGAGGAGCCCAAGGAAGGCTGCGACAAGGACGGCTGCCGCGGCACCGGCCACCTGATCCAGGATCTCGGCCACCCCACCAACAAGCTGCTGCACGTCGTCGGTCTGCACTCCGAGGAACTCCTGATCAAGCTGAGCCCCGGCATTGAGGGTCTCCTCACCGGCCTCGGCCTCGGCATCCTCGGCAAGCCCGTCGGCTCCATCGTCAAGGAGTCCTCTGAACTCGGCGAGCTCGTCGCTGACCTCGGCAACCCGCTCGAATGCCTGCTCATTGTCCTCGGCCAGGATACCGGCTACCTGCTCATCAAGCTCGAGGGCCCCGTCACCGGTCTCCTCTCGGGTCTCGGCCTGCAAACCCTCTCCAGCCCCGTCGGCCAGATCGTCGGCCAGGTCGGCAAGCACCTCAAGCGCGGCGAGCCCGTCAAGGAGGACGGCCTGCTCGAGGACGCCGCCCCCGTCGTCAAGTGCCTGCTCCAGATCGTCGGCATTGACCTGAAGATCCTCCTCGTCGAGCTGAGCGGCCCCGTCGCTGAGCTGATCAACGGTCTCGGTCTCCAGACCCTCGGCGGCCCCGTCGGCAATGTCATCGAGGCGGCTGGCGAGGTTGGCGAGCTCGTCCACGACCTGGGTGACCCCGTCGCGTGCCTGCTTACCATCGTCGGCCAGGACGGCGGTATCCTCCTGATCGAGCTGTCTGACCCTGTTGCGGAACTCGTGTCGGGTCTTCTGCCCACTGTTGGCGGACCGGTCGGTAAGGTCGTCAAGACGCTGGGTCAGAACCTGTAGTAAGTCCCACCGTTTTATCTTTTACGTACTGCAGCGAGTCTAACAGGAATAGAATGTCCTCTCCCGCACGACCCTGAAATGTCAGTGGCATGGAGATGAAGGATGGATGGATGGCAAGTTGCATTGTACTGTACTGCATGTGTTTAATACTCTAATATAATTCTACATTCTCATGAATATTTGTGGTTTAAGACTGTAAATGTCATTCCCCACGGGGAACTGCCGGTGCTGTGGAGATTTCGGCTCGCCACAACCACTCTAACACTTCCTCTAGAATTCTCTTACCTGTCTGTTAGTACTTTTCAGCATGGTAACCCCCTCCTTTGCCTGTTTCTAGTCTGCTTGTGTGGGACGTGGGGAAGGGAAGAGGAGAAGTGGGAGCCGGCAAAGGTCTTATCCCGCTATCTCCGAGCGCCGGACTTAAGTATATAAAGTCATTTCAAGTCTTCCTACACTGCTCAATTCCATAATTAATACACCTCATACTATATACAGATAACCAACAAGCGAATAACACAATGTCGCAACCCCACTCGCCATATGATCTCAAAATCGCCATCCTCGGCGCTGGTTCGTCTCCCTCTGCCCTCCCTCAACTCATCTACATCCAACAACCCTACCAAAACCTTTCCTCCAAAACCATGCCAAAGCTAACTCTATCAAAGGAATGGGCGGCCTCACCACCGCCCTGGCCCTCGCGCGCGCCGGCTTCAAACACATCGACGTGTACGAATCGGCATCGGACCTCGGGTTCGTGGGCGCCGGCATCCAACTCGCCCCGAACATGGCGCGCGTGCTGGACCGTCTCGATGTCTGGGATGGCATCGCTGCGGAGGCGGTGGATATCAAGGAGACGAGCGTGAGGGGTTTGTATTTCCTTCCCTTCCTACCACATCCTATCCCATCCTATCCTATCATCTGGAAGTGGAGTGAAGTATGGACAATGTGCTAACGATGACAGTCGGCTCCACCAACGACGAACTCGCCCACGTCGATCTGCACGACATCGCGTCCAAATACGCCTACCCGCACATGGTCGGCCACCGCGCGTCGCTGGCCAACGGGCTCTACAAGGGCTGTCTACTACACGAGAGCATCAGGTTCCATTTCGCGACGACAGCGTCGGACATCAACATCTCCTCGACGCCGTCATTCACAGCCACCCCGCGTGACAGCTCTATCCCCGCATACAAAGTGACAGCAGACGTGGTGATCGGCGCCGACGGAATAAAATCCGCTACGCGCAGCGCGATGCTCTCGGCGCTCGGGATCTCGGAGATAGGCGTACAAGACACACAGCAGGCAGCGTACCGGATTATGATCCACGCGGATCAATTGAGGTCGGAGGATTCAGATATCAAGGCTTTGCTGGAGAGTAATAAGGTGGTGCGATGGATCGGGGAGAAGAGACATATTATTGCGTATCCGGTGTCGAACAACAAGATCTACAACCTCTCGACGACGCAGCCGGATACGAACTTCGCCGCCGCGACGAACGCGACGTACACGACGCGCGGGTCGAAGGAGGCGATGATGCGGGTGTTTGGGGACTTCTGCCCCCTGGTGCAGCGGATGCTGGGGTACGTGAGCGAGGGGGAGGTATGTGAGTGGAAGCTGCGGTGTCATGATCGACTGCCGACGTGGGTGTCTGGGAGTGTGGCGCTGGTGGGCGACGCGTGCCATCCGACGCTGCCGCATCTGGCGCAAGGGGCGGCGCAGGCGATTGAGGACGGGGCGGTGCTGGCGGTGGTGTTGGGACGGATGCCGGATGGGAGCGCCGGGAGTGTGCATCGAGCGCTGAAGGCGTATGAGATGGTGAGGAAGGAGAGGGCGTATGCGTTGGTGGACATGGCGGCGGCGTCGGGGAGGGCGTTGCATTTGGGCGACGGCGCGGCCAAGGAGGAGCGCGATAAGCAGTTTGCGGCGCTGAAGCAGGGACGAGGGCCGGTGCCGGATAAGTGGGCGGATGCGGACGTGCAGAAGGAGATCTATGGCTTTGATTGTGTGCAGGAGGCCGAGGAGAGGTTTGGCGAGTATTTCGAGAAGGCGTCGCTATGAGGGTGGTATACATAGATAGAGATGTTATGAAACTCTTGATTAGACAAGCTACCTACTCATTAAAATCATCATGTATGAACTCCAGTTAACTCCACAGGTATGTCCAGTTGCCAAAAAAAGATTGACCGGCAATCTCTACTCCCATTGTCCTGTTCCTCCCAAAGCACCCAGTCGGTTGCCGGCGTGCTTGTTCAGCAACTTCGTGATGTTGGAGCCGCCTGAACGATGCTGCGTGCGCAGCTCCCTCTCGCGCTCTCTCTCGCGAGCAGCCGTATAGTAATTGACCGCTCCCTTCTTGGCCATGGACCCTCCGCCAGACACCGCCGACGCTCGTCGCGAGTCCGACTTGGACGACCCGCCCGTCGAGGAAGAGCCCGTCGTGCTCTTGCGCAGCATGGGAGGTGGTCGGAATCCAATGCCCGAGCCCGGTGCCCCGGATCCAGCGTGGAAGGCAAACCGTGTGCTGGACGCCGACGTAGCCGAATTGGATGACGCTTGTCGAAGGAGTGCAAGACGATCCACCACGGGGCCCTTCGTGCGACGCGGGTGAACGCGTGGAATGGAATCTTCTTGTGGTTCCTCCTCGGCCGGGATGCTATCGAGCTGTTCTTCGCCATGTGCCTCGTCCTCCATGGATGCGTCTTCTTGGAACGAGTCGTATTCGGGTCGCTCCGTGAGGAAAGAGACGCTTTCACGGATCTCCGCAAGCGAGGCAGGTTTCTTGGACATCGCGCTGGCCGGCTTGCGGCGAAGGCTGGGAGGCGGTCGGTTGTAGGTTTCCTCAGCGCTGGCCTCCAGAGGACGCTTTCTCTTGTTGCCGCCCTCGGCCGTCGTGTCTTGTTGCTCGCCGGCATTCACATCCTGCGAGGATGAGTACTCCTGAGATCCGGGGCCCTCCTCGTCCAAGAAATCCAAAACGTCGTCGTCCGAGTCATGATCCTCGATGGTTCGGAAGAATGCCGCTTTCTTGGGGTCGTCGGCGATCTCGCCAACCTTTCCGTCGGCCATGAGGGCGTTCCGCATGCGGGCAAACTCTCGTTGCTTCTGTCGTCGTCGGGCCAAGAGTTCGTCGTCTGAATCATCCAGGTCCATATTATCGTCCTGTCCTCGTCTTCGGCGGAGAGCACCGGTCGTGATGTCCCTCATCAGCTTGGCCACTTGTTTCTCGTCCGTAGTCCTCTGGTGTGCACTGCGATTTGTTAGCATAGAATAGTAGAATGCAAAAGACCAAGACATACGCGTTCAGAGCTGCCAGCTCTTTCTCGTCAACAGTCTCGCCGCTGTTGTCGTTGATCATCTGCCGATCGTACGCATTTTCTTCCTCGTCCTCCTCGTCACTGGCACCTCCCAGACCGGCATATTCGTCTTCGGATTCCTCGGCCGCTTCCTCCACCACGTCCTTGGCTTTGCTCTTCTTCCTATCGAACTCGACGTTGGGCTTCTTCGCCGCTTTCTTCATGACATTGAAGGCGCTGGCATCAATTTCGAACCCACTCTCCTCCTGCTCTTCAATAGCAGAGAGCTCGACTCGGCCGCGTCGCAGGTGCTTCATCTTCCGGTCCGGAACAGGAGAGTTGCTTTGCGACTGTTCCCGTCCGACAAGAACGGTCTCTATGGTTGACGTGGGAGTGCCCATAAATCTCTTCGAAGGGTCGAAAGGAGAGAGGACGAAGCCCTCATCCTGTGTCGGGTCGGGGATCTGAGAGAACTGGGACATCGCTCGTGGCGCAGGAGATTCGGATACTCGGGTGTCGGAGGGAGTGTACCGGGCTAGAAGATCGGTGGTCTGGGCCTGCGGTTCTTGGCTGTCCTTGACAATCATCTGCGAGTCGGACTCTTGCCATTCTCCGCCCCTTTGAGCAGGATCCGGCAAAGAGTGGGGGATCGTTGAAGACGGAGGCTGGCTATCTTGTTGGCTTCCACCCAGGGTGCCTGCAAAGACCTGAGTCAGGCTCATCGTCATATCATTTGAAGGCAGCCCAGGGATCTGGGGTCGTTCCACGGATAATGGTGTGGCATTGATCGGCCTGGCGGGTGTTGTTGGTGCCTGCTCTTCATCCTCGTCGTCTTCGATAACCCGAGTAGGTCGTTTCCGCCGTTGAGTGGGCACCTCAGGTCCCCGGGTGGACATGACTTCACTGCGACCATCTTCCGACTCGTCATCTTCGCCGGCTTCAGAGTCAAACAAGTTATGCTCTTTCTCGCCATCCTCGTCCTCGTCCTCGTCCTCGTCCTCTTGATCCTCTCCATCGCCGTCGGCCTCATCTTCAGAGCCTTCGTAGTCCTCGTCTTCATCGTCATCATCCAGATCACCATCATCTTTCTTAGACGCCGATCTCTCTTGCTTCGCAATGTCCTCTGCTTCCTTTCGAGCTTTTTCCACCAGGTTTTCCAGTTCATCTTCCATCGCGGCGCGCTCAGCCGCTGTTTCGATGATCACGCCTTTCGCTCGGAGTTCGTCGATTTTCTCCTGCCTTTCCTTGGCAGCCTGCTTCTTGGCCTGATATATTAGGGTTGCTGACAGTTCGGCGTTGTTCATGGTGGTGTGACGAGTAGGGGATGTGAGATGAGCCAGAGCTTTGAGTTTGAGCAGAGCAGACGACTCCTGGGTCTTTTTGGCTGGAACATTCTCAAACACGGCGAGACGGCGGGATTTCGCAGGGGACGTAACAACTTCCAGGTCACTGTCCGAGTCGTCCATCTGAGTCTTCGCGACAGCTTGCCGAGAAAGGCGAACATGGACGGAGGGTGCCGTTGCAAGCTTCTTCTTTCCTTTGACGTCCACTGTGTCCGGCGCTGGGTTGGCAGCGTGATCCTCCACTCGTCCTACCACGGGCTCCGGTATTTGCTGAGCCTGCTCGACTAGCTTTTCAAGCGAAGGAATCTGTGGGTTTTGTGCAGCCTCGGTCGAAGCACCGTGAGACGGCTTATCCGAAGGCCCCATGACAGGGGACGTTTGGGGCGTTTCCTTGTTCTTCTGGGCCTCTTCGTCCGAGGAGTTCTGAGAACCATTCGTAGTCGACGAGTTATCCGAAGGTCCCTTCTGCTGCTCCGGCTGCATGAAATTGAATCGAGCCAAGAAACTCTCCTTGGAAATCTTCTTCGATGTCGTCGCCTGATGCGCCAATTGCAGGTTTCGGCTCATCCGCTGCGTTTCGCGATTCATATCCTCCAGAGCCTTGCGACTCGCCTTTCGAGCGGGACGAGCCTGACGCGCTGATCCCCCATCACCCTCCATTTCCATATCCTCGTCCTCGTCCTCGTCATCTGCCGCGGCCAGCTTCGCCGCTTCAGCCCTCTCCTTCTTCTTCTGTCTCTCCTGCTTCTCCTTCTCTTCTCGCTCCGCGCGCTTCTGCGCAATGAGAGCTTCAAACCGCGCGTTCCTCTTCGGCTGCGGTCGATCACTATCGGAGGCATTGTCCTCATTCCGCTCAGAACCAGGCGACATGAACAGCGGCGAGAACGAGCGCGCCCTCGACGGCGTCCGGGCATTATTATCGTCGTCGTCGTCGTCCCGCTCCTCGCTGATCTTCGCCTTCGCCAACCTCCTCCTCGGACCGGCCGTGGGAAGATCATCATCCGACGACCCGGCGGCGTCCTCGTCGCGTTCCTTCTCCTTTAAACTTTTCGAAACCCGCTCCATCGCAGAAACAGGTTCCGTGGACGCGTCGGTCTGATTCTCGGCCTGCAAGCGAGCAGCCATTCGGCCTCTGGGCATGATGATGTCGTCGTCTTCGTCTTCAGCTTCATCTTCGTCGTTCCCTTGGTCGGGTTGCGTCGCGAATGACGGGCGATTGAAGATGCTGGATTTCGTGATCTGGGGTTTCGATTTGGTTTTCGACGTGTTGTCATCGGATTCTGAGTCGCTGTCGAATTGAGCCATCATGGCCTTGATCTTTTGCCCGGGGGTGAGCATGGCGGGCGAATCTGCCGTTCGCGACGCGGAGCGCGTCGATCGGGGTGTAGAGGGGGAGGACATTATGGGAGAGGATTTGGGAATTGGTTTTGATAAATCATTAATTGGGAAGACAGAACATTACTCTTCCATTGAAGAGAAAAAGACAGTAAGTAGAATGGTCGTTGGTCCTCCAGCCCCGTGTGGAAATCAATCAAGGGCGGAGAATCTCCCGTCGTCCCGTCAAGACGCGGCGCGTGTCGGCGCGTCGTATCGCACGTGACCGCGGGGATAAAGCTCCCCGTCAGCTCTTATCACCGGTCATTTGTGATTTGCCTGTCTCTGTTTACACTGGAAATTATACTCTATACTAAATGTTTTGATTCTATTGGAAGATGGAAATGCAAGTAGGCGCTTATCAGTTGTTCACTGTTCAATAGTACAAGCCTCGTTCTTACCTAGAAGTTGAACGCCAACCTAACGCCGCCCTATGTCAAGATACAAGAAAAAGCAACGCTGTATGGAAGTGGCGGTGGATTCTTCCGTCGAGTTCACGCATGATCTCGAGGGATCATCCTGCCCGAAACATTGTTCGTAATCCAACCACATAGGCTGCGTGCGAAATACTGCGGAAGGACTTCTCTTTCGTAATGAAAACATGCAAAGAAAGATGACAGAGAAAAAAGGAAATAAAGTTGACATAAACACGGTGCTTGGGAGTCGAAAAAAACAAGCCGAGCACTAGATTTCAATGTCTATATCTAGATCGAGGGCAGCAATGTTCTCGTCGTCCATGTTCCGATGGCGAATCTTCGCAATGCCTCCCGGGGTGGCCTTCTTCTGGGAGCTAGACGGAGTGGAAGGCTTGCTCGGGGTGTTCGATTTCGGGGCTGCGTCGGAGCCGGTGGCCGGGGTGGCATCGCGGCTGGCATCTCCAGAACCTGGGGTTCCATTGGTGTTCACGTCATAGTGAGTTTTGGCATGGGTGCGGACACGCAAGAAAGGGTTGGCCGTAGCTTCTCCACGAGCCACTGCCGCCGCCGCTTTGCGACTGGCTTTGCGCTCCTCGAGTTGCGCACGACGGACATTCTCGTAGTTGAGTTTCTGGTTGCGCAAGTTCAGCTCCGCAAGACGCTCGTGCTCCGACTGCTTTTTAGCCTGGGGCTTGGCATTGTTGTTGCCATACCCAAGCTTGGGAGTGCCGAGGCTGGCAAGCTCGGCTTGGAGTCGCTCGACTTCGGCATCGTCACCGGCGGCCATAGCAATCTGGAGTTGTTTCTCGTTCTCCAGGCGTCTGATGGTTTTATTTCTGCTGTCCAAGAATCCCTGCTTGCGCAATTTCTCGTTCAATTCCTCGTTGGTGAACTTGTGATTCAGTAGGCGGTTGATGTCGGCCACTTTATCATCAAGCATGGTCTTTGTCGGCATCTTGGCGTCCTCGACAACCAGCGTTTGACGGTATCGATTAAATTCCGCCTACAGAGCGATTAGAGAAGAATGGTCACGCGGGATTGCAAGGCTTACCTCGGTGATTATAGAATCAGAGCAGGCGATGAACGGAAACTCGCGCTCGGATTTACCGTGGGCAACAACGGCATACTGGTTGGTGGTGAAAGTACGGCCATTTGCGGTCTCCATACCGTAAGGTTTGCCTTCGCTGAACCCTGTAGACAGTTAGACGATCATGTCAAAGAGCCTGGTAGATGTATGCATGACTGCGCTGTACGTACTCTTGATCGAGCAGAGTCGATACTCGTTGAGACCGGTATCGCGATTAGGGCCGATATTGACACGAACAAAGCAGCCAGAGATAGCATCGTCAAAGCCGGGGTAGAAGCAGACCTGAGCGAAGTTGGTGCGACCCACGCGAGCCCGGTTCAAGTCACGAAGATCGGCAGGTGGATCGTCCTTGGGAGGCGACGGGGAACGATCGCGATCGGCCCATTCAACTTCGCTCTCGCCTTCCGCATCGTCGTCATCCGAGACTTGGTCGTCCCTCGAGCGAGACTTGGCGTCTTTGACGGCGGGTTCACGACGACGGAGCTCATCACGCTTGCCCTTCTGCTCACGCTGTCGCTTGTAGGCCTGGATGGCATCGGAAGTCTCGCCGACCTTGCGACCACCCAGGGTCGTCTTCTGGCGGGAGCTCTTGCGATTGCCGTCCTCCAGGTTGGCGGCGCTGGCCTTGCGCTTGTTCTTTTTCGCTTGACGGGCTTCTTCACGTTCGCGGGAGGCGAGGAGTCGGCGGAGAGCGAGGTCCTGGTTGTGGCGGTCAACCTGTTGTGCTCTCTCCGAGAGGATCTGCTCGCGCTGGATTTCGGGCATGGCCATGATATCCTCTTTGTCTTTGGACGAGTGGTACAGTTTGTCGTATGCGAAAATGGGGCCGTCGTCTTCAGCACCGTGAGCGGATCCTTCAGAGTCAGAACCAGAGTCGGATTCGGACATGGAAGCAGAGTCAAGAGAGTGGTGGGACTCGTCCCCAGACCTATTGTCCAGCGACAACATGTAAGTCAAGCGCTCATTGGTGCGTGGGCTCTTTTACACAACGGGGACATAATAGGGGAGGCTGGAGACCACAACCATCGTCAAACTTACAATTCACCATCTTCCTCGTCATCCTTTCTCGATTTCCGGCCCCGTCGAACGGGTTTGGCGGTTCCTTTGCGGCCCATGGTCGATGAGGTGGCTGGGGATCGTGGGGAGGATGAAGGAGAAGGTGAGTTCCCCTTCTGGTTGGGGGGAGGAGAGGCCTCCTCATCGGAGGCGTCATCCCCCGCCAGAGCGAGCAGTTCGGCATCCAAGTCGTCGGCCATAGTGAATTTGCTCGAGCGGTTGCCTTATAATTCAGGTACCGTAGACGTCACCAGCCAGGCAGGTGCAACGCCGCCTGCGATCCAGGAAGAGCCCGCTAACCAAGAGGCAAAGAGCGGATTTCCCCTTTCCACTCTCACACAATGCGCAGCCGAGAAAACAGTGTCCTCGCCGGCCAGAATCCTGTTTTTTTCAAATCGCAATATGCTGATATATAGGGTAGATGACTTGTACAGATCCCTTGGCAGGGTATACTCGGCGCAATATAGAACAGATGGCGTATAGATGGCCGGAGAGGGAGGGCAGGACGGGTGGCGGAGAGCAGGAGGTGAGTGAATTGCAAGAGAAAAGAACAATTGATTCGTCTTGATCCGCCATGACGTCCAGTCCAGGGATGGCGTGCCAAGCCGCGCTCCGCTAAGCGCGCGTCTGCGGGATTGATCGGATTGGACCACCTCGGAATGTTCGTGAGAGCTTCCGTCTTTCGTGCTGCTTAAATGCTCTTCTTTTCTTTTTTTGACCTGGTGCTGCAGAGTGTTAACCTGGCAGGGAATACAACAGTCACACACTCACAATGAAATCCTTAATGGCGCTGCGACGCGCGCCACTCACATCTTCCCTGCACCGGTCATCTCCCTTGTTACTGGATTTCCTCGCTCCCTCAGCCCTAAGACAAACCTCTCGCCAGTACAACTCGACAGCCTCGAAGCAGACCGCAGTGGCTGGTCATAACCCCGACCATGCCTCTCATTCCGGCTCCTCAAAGCCGAAATACGTCCTCAGCCCGCAGCAACGCGAATTCATGAACAGCGCCCTCCGAGTCAACCAGGCCGGCGAACTCGCCGCCACCCTAATCTACACCGCGCAAACGCCACAGGTGGTGCGGTCTCACCCCCACCTGCGACCCTTGATGAAGCACATGTACGACCAGGAGGCCGGGCACCTGTCCACCTTCAACAATCTTATCGCCAAGCATCGCGTGCGACCAACGGCGATGTACCCCGTCTGGGAAATGGCGGCCAGCTTTCTCGGCTGGTCCACCGGAGCCATGGGGCGAGAGGCAGCCATGGCCTGCACGGAAGCGGTCGAGACAGAAATTGGCTCGCATTACAATGAACAGGTGCGAGAGATTTTGTCGTGGCAGGACGAGGCGGAGAAACGAGGCGAGGAGCTGGACGACGAGCTGAAGGATATGCTGGCGACATTCCGACGCATCCGGGACGAGGAGTTGGAACACTTGGATCATGCCGTGGAGAATGATGCCAAAGAGGCGCAACCGTACGACCCATTGGTTAATGTCATCCGGTTAGGCTGTCGGGCAGCGATCAAGATCAGCGAGAAGGTATGATCGCGAGTGGTGGGGGTCCAGTCATTTGCGTGTTTCAATATTTAGAAGAGCTCTTTTATGCTGCTATTGTACAGTACGACACTTATGTCTTTCAAATGTATCATATTCATCATTTCTTTCCGTTTCTTCAGCTATGTACTGTATGGGTCGGGATCTTTTCGAAACCCGAATCTGTCTATCATAATCTATCGAACCACAGGGTATAATCTTCAACCACGTCAAACCAGCGTATTTATCATCCTCTAATTCTGAGCCCCGGAGTTCTCCTTCTCCAAGTACTCCACGAATCCCTTCGAGAACCGCACCACCTGTCGGTACACCTCCTCAAACCCATTAACGCCACCATAGTACGGATCCTGCACCACCTCTCCGCCACCCACGCGATCATGCAAGATCCCGCCAGCACCAAAGTCTCCAAACAGGCGCACCTCAGCAACCTTGGCGCCGGCTTCCCCGCTCGCCGCAAGCGCCGCGGCGGTGGCTCCCCGAGTGCCCTTGCCACCGCGCGAGGCCGCGCCGCCGGACTTGTTCATCGACGCGAGGACGGATTCGCGGGTATCCAGGAGGTCACGGAGATTGTGCTTGTCCATGGCGAGCAGGAAGTCGAAGTTCAGGAAGTCCTCCTTGGTCACTTTGCGGGCGGCGTGCTGGTACTCCGTGATGCCGTGCTTGCGCAGAGTCGACATGGTGCGCGAGTCGGGGGGCTCCATAACATGGTATGCGCCTGTCCCGGCGGAGCCGATCTCATCGATCAGAGGGTGGGAGGCGGCCACGTCCCGGAAGACACCTTCGGCCATGGGGGACCGGCCTAGACTGGTCAATCCGGGGCATTTGGTGGGGTGAGAATCGGATAAAGCATTGCGGGGACTTACAGATGTTCCCCAGGCAGACGAAGAGGACATTGACCTTGGGGCTGGAGGAAGCTGAGTTCGTCATCTTGAGTGATCGCGTAGGAGAGCTCAATGGGGGGATGAACAGAGGATGCGAGATGACGGATTGGCGGGGTTTCGCCGCAGAATTCTTTATCGATAGCGATTTGGCCCGTGCGGGCTCTCACGGGCCCTCGGTAGGGCTACGGCAATCGCCACCTGGACTGGCTACGAAGCATGTCTGCTGAGTGTGTGCAATCGGAGAGGGAAGACATTGGTCGCTTTTCCTCAAGCACCGAGTATCTGGGGCTATCTGAGTAATATGGCTCCTTGGTTACGGGGATCTACGAAGTAGGTATACGCAGCACAGTCAACAGTAGTCGAGACACACGCTGACGGGCCGGCCCCGAGTGTGCCTAGGGAATGCAGGTTTGTGGGGGGCATCTGACAGAGTATTGAGAATGTCTCAACGGATGCTCCTCGAGGGGAATTATTTCTAGCCATGATTGGTTTGGCCCAACGTACATGCTGTGCCTTGCCGCATGCTTGTACGACCACTGAGATATATAACCGGGCCTCAGTCAGAAATGTTCGTTCAAGACAGAATGTGGGATTAGCCTACCAAACATTTCTGCTTTGCTAATCGTCTACTTCTGGAAGTACAGTCTAAGTGGTAAGGCACCGGGCAAACCAGGAGTAGAGCGTAAGGCAAGCCCTGTCAGCCGTAGTTCGTACAATTGCCCGATCCCGGTATAGTCTAAGAATAGAACTATGACGTTGCAGCGAAGGCAGCGAGATTATTGCACGGTAATTATTCTCGGATATTTTTGATAATCCTTTCTTCTCGTATTGGCCGACTCTTTCCATCATTAGGCTACCGCAAAGATATAAAAAGAATGACAGTGCAAACCTTTTCTCCCATCCAAGGAACCGCCACAGTCAACTGTGGCAGTGAACAGGGACGGACAGCCGCCGTTGGCCCAGTGATGGTCGGTGGAGACTGCGACGGTCCATGGAGCAACGCAACTCGAACCACGGGCGGTGGGCAAGGCTTTGTTTCAAGAATGTTGTCTGGGATTTTGATCTGGATGGGATGTCTGGGGTTCTAGCTGGGGGGAAGCTGTAACCTTCAACCTTCACCCTGGAGATTATATGCTTGTCAGAGTCAACAAGGATAATAGCCATAACCATAAAACCCCGTAATAATCATAATAATATGGTCACAATCATAACAAAAAGACAAAGGAAGTGGGTCTCACATGACGACGACGTGACCATCTTTCCGTGCCTTTTCCACCTCCACTTCCCTCTGTTGCCCTCGTCATAATTAATCTCTCTTAATCTTTAATCTATCGGAAAACCCACCGTATCTGATCGTCCCCCTCGCCCCGGTTCCTTGGTCAACGAAGCCACTACACTGCCGCTCGTTTTTCGTGTTCTGTCCATGATCACTTTGTAGTCCCAGGCGCCACTTCTCCCAAAAAAAGGGCTCCATCCTAAACATTTGATTGATCCTTTGCTTTTTCTTTTTCTTTCATCCGATTCCCTCCCCATCCCGCGGATATTAATCGCTCCTCATATTTGCGCTCCATCCTCATCTCGTGCCCCCTCCCCTTTTTCCTTCTGTCTGCCTATCACTGTCGCTGAAACTCCTGCCGAGAAAAACGGAGCTTGGGGCTATCGAAGCGACCTGAACGCTTGTTCTCACATTCCACCCGCGCTCCTGGCGCAATCTCCCTCCGCAAGCCGTTTGCCCAGGAATTCTCAAGGGGCCTCCCATTGGAATAACCGTCCAAACCATGTCCTACAATCGCCTGGGTTAGTCTAGCTCCGTATCCCTTTCATTGTCGTCGTGCGCCTTAAGCTTTCTGGGTCTGCGCTGCCGTGGATTGTCGCGCATTAATCCCCCCATTCTCCGCATCAAGTCTGCCTGAAACTCTAGTTGGCGGGGAATTTCTCCTGCTAGGGGTCAATTATTTCTCAGGGTGAACCTCGTTCAAATGCACGCAGATTCTTGTCGCTGCGATTCGTTCTGACTTCTGTTTCACCTGCTGTCGTTTTTTGTTGTCTTTCTTGCCTTGCGTCCCACGCGCTCGGTCCAGCCTCTGTATACTTACGATTGACCTCTAGGAGACCCCTACGGGGAAGACGACGGTCGCTCCCCAATCATGAATCCCAGTCAACTCTCCGCGCGATCGCCCTCGCCGGGTCGGCCGTTGAACGGCTACCAACTGTCCGATAACCCTTACGGACCGCCGGCGCCTCTCCCTATGCCGTCTACTGACCGATTGGCTGAACAACCTACCGTGAGAATCAACCCGAACTTGTGTGTACTGGTCGGATATGGAGAATCGACTGACAGGTGTTGCGTGCTAGTATTCCGTGGAACGACTTCCGAACTCCTACGGCCATAACGAACATTACGACGAGCGGCATCCCGCTGGCACCTATCCGGGCTACGAATATTCCCTGAACCCCGAAGCCCACCACGATGCTTACTATACCCAACCCTACCATCCCGCTGTTACTCCCGAAGATGATTACGACCTGGGCCAGTACCCCGAGCACCAGAATGCTTACAACGATGACCGGGTTCCCATGATCCAGCCTGAAAACCCATTTGGACCCGATCCCTATAGCGATGAGTACCACGATGAGCCACCGATCGAGGCTACCCCCAGCCCAGCTCCACTGCGCCGATGGAAGACGGTGAAGGAAGTGCAGCTGTTCAACGGTAACCTCGTTCTCGACTGTCCCATCGCGCCGAAACTGCTCAACCAGGTTCCGCACGCCGAGCCCCCGGGCCGTGACGAGTTCACGCATATGCGTTACTCGGCAGCGACTTGTGACCCGGCGGACTTCTACGACGAGCGCTTTACGCTGCGACAGAAGCTCTTCGCCAAGCCCCGACACACGGAATTGTTCATTGTGATCACGATGTACAATGAAGATGACTTTCTCTTTGCGCGCACTTTGATTGGTGTGTTCAAGAACATCGAGCACATGTGTTCGAGGACGCAGAGCAAGACCTGGGGCAAGGACGCGTGGAAGAAGATCGTGGTCTGCGTTATCAGCGATGGTCGTGCCAAGATCAACCCGCGCACGCGTGCGCTGCTGGCTGGTTTGGGTGTTTACCAGGACGGAATCGCCAAACAGCAGGTCAACGGCAAGGATGTCACGGCGCATATTTACGAGTACACGACCCAAGTGGGTCTCGAGCTGAAGGGCACCCAGGTCCACATGAAGCAGCGCTCTGGCGTTCCCGTGCAGATGCTCTTCTGTTTGAAGGAAAAGAACCAGAAGAAGATCAACTCGCATCGTTGGTTCTTCCAGGCCTTCGGGCGGGTGCTCGACCCTAACATTTGCGTGCTTCTCGATGCCGGAACGAAGCCTGGAAAGGACTCGATCTACCATCTGTGGAAGGCCTTCGACGTTGAACCGATGTGCGGAGGAGCCTGTGGTGAGATCAAGGTCATGTTGTCGCACGGAAAGAAGCTGCTGAACCCGCTGGTGGCGGGACAGAACTTCGAGTACAAGCTCAGTAACATTTTGGACAAGCCTTTGGAATCGTCGTTCGGGTTCATTACTGTGCTTCCCGGTGCCTTCTCCGCCTACCGATACGTCGCATTGCAAAACGACAAGAACGGCCAGGGTCCCTTGGAGCGGTACTTCATGGGTGAAAAGATGCATGGTGCCAATGCCGGTATTTTCACGGCCAACATGTACCTTGCCGAGGATCGAATTCTGTGTTTCGAGATTGTCACCAAGCGGAACTGCCGCTGGCTTCTCCAATACGTCAAGTCTTCCACGGGTGAGACTGATGTGCCCGACCGCATGGCCGAGTTCATCCTCCAGCGTCGTCGATGGTTGAACGGTAGTTTCTTCGCCGCTGTCTATGCGATTGCCCATTTCTACCAGATCTGGAGAAGCGACCATAGTCATCTGCGCAAGTTCATGCTTCTGATTGAATTCATCTACCAGACCATCAACATGCTGTTTGCTTGGTTTGGAATTGTAAGCGTCCTTGCTTATTTTGTGCGTGTTCGCGTGCTAACTGAAATTTCTCGCAGGGCAACTTCTTCCTGGTTTTCCACATTCTTACAACGTATCTTGGTTCTGAGGATCTTCTCAACACGGTTGGAAAAGTGCTTGGGGTGGTCTTCGAATGGCTCTATCTTGCAACTCTGGTGACATGTTTCGTGCTAGCCTTGGGTAATCGACCGGGTGGTTCCAATAAGTTCTACATGACTATGGTGTACTTCTGGATCGGTATCATGATATACCTGGCATTCGCAGCTGTCTTTGTCACGGTGAAGTCTATCCAGAAAGAGGTGTCAAAGGGCGACTTTACGTTCTCGACACTGTTTACCAACACGACGTTCTTCTCCATCATTGTCTCACTCGGGTCAACCTATGTCATGTGGTTCATCGCGTCGTTCATTTTCCTCGATCCCTGGCACATGTTCACTTCGGTAGGTGCATGTCAGACCCAACTCTGCGACTATTTACTAATTGCAACAGTTCATCCAATACATCCTGCTCACTCCGACCTACATCAACGTGCTGAACATTTACGCCTTCTGTAACACGCACGATATCACCTGGGGTACCAAAGGAGATGACAAGGCAGAGAAATTGCCCTCGGCCAACCTCAAGCCCGGCGGCAAGGTGGATGTCAACATTCCTCAGGATGACGGCGACCTGAACGCGCAGTACGACGCCGAGCTGGCCAAATTCGCCCAGAAGCCTCCCAAGGAAGTGGAGGTTGTTCCGGAAGAGGAAAAACAGGCCGATTATTACAAGGGATTCCGAAGTGCCGTCGTGTTGGCCTGGGTGTTCTGCAACTTCGCCCTGGCCGCCGTTGTGCTGAGCGCGGCGGGACTGGACGAGCTCGACAGCAGCGACGACAGCGAGTCCAACGACAACGAGCGCGCCGAGATCTACATGGCCGTTGTGCTGTGGAGTGTGGCTGGTTTGTCGATCTTCAAGTTCATGGGTGCGATGTGGTACTTGGTCGTCCGAATGGTAAGTCTGTCCTGCTATATTCTAGCGAATCAATGCTGACAATGTCCACAGTTCCGAGGTGTTTGATCCGCACGTGTACTATGATATATGCCAGCATGCGATTTTCTTTTTGTGATAGATAGATGTTTTGTTTGATCTTGATTACCACTGCAGGCTCATGTGGTATTCCGATACGATGTCTCATGATGCTGATGGCATGGCGAACATACCCAGTGCTTACTTATGTTATGTTATAAATATTGATAACGTCAGAACAATGCAATGATGTACACTATGATTGACGGTTAGTCGAGTTTGATTGTTCTCACCCCGTGGATTCGAGAATTGCCAATTGTCTTTTGCTCGTGGTGTCTTGGCTTATAATGTCAAGACCAGCGAAACACTGTATCAACTAGCATCATTGGTCTAGTGGTAGAATTCGTCGTTGCCATCGACGAGGCCCGTGTTCGATTCACGGATGATGCATTCTTTTTGCTTTTCTTCCAGACTTCCCTGGATGAATTACCTGCCCTTTCCCTTCTTCCTTTTGTTGATTCTTCTTCTCTCTCCTGTTCCTTTTTGCTGCCCCGAAAAATACATCCGAATTGTATCTAAACTTCTATAATCCAACGCCAACTCTACATATCCACCTTTCTTACTATCCACCACAACCAAGAGCGAATTAGGCATATCACCTACTAAATAATATAAAACTACACTAGCCAGCTAGCTCCAAATATATACAAACATCTCAACCCTTCTTAACCACCCAAACAGGCCCCCCCCCCCCAAGAGTGTATGATCAAGACCCCTTCGACTTGACACAAATACCAATTCCCCCCAGCACAAGTGCCATGCCCAACCACGTCTCCTTCTCAATGACCTTCCGTTCAACATACCACTCCCCGAGCACGGTGAAGAGGAAGGCACTCGAGTTTGCCAACGGCACGGTCAGAGATAGTTCTACCAATCGCATGTCCATTAGCATCATCATTCATTCGCAACTCACCACCCACCAGTCATTAGATTGACACGATGAGACCGCACAGAAAACACAAGAAACAGAGCAGGGGACAATGCATACCATGTTTCCCAACAAGCAGAAAAAACCACACACTCCCTGTTAGATTAATAACCAGGGGGATGGCATACGCCGGAGTCCGGAGCAGATTGACAACGGTCCAAAAGATAGCGGTCACTTTCGTCTTGATCCAGCTTGATTTCTGCCTCGTAGCCCGGCTCTGGTTCTGGCTTCCCTGGTCCCGATCCATCCACGCCGGACGCGCCTCCGGAGGTGGATGATCTTCCGATTCATCCTCTTCCGATTCCGACGCGGCACCTTCGCGCAGCGGCTCCGTCTCCTGCTCCGAGTGCGCTTCCCCACGATGTCTCTGCTGTCGGGACTGAAGTTCCTGCTCTTCCGTTTCGTCTAGGTCTTGGGTGTTCGAAGAGGAGGGGTCTTGCGACTGCTGATGGAGCTCCTGGCGCGCGTTGAAGTCTGCAGCGGCGCGGCGGATGAAAGGGGTCGTGAAGCCCCATGCGACGCCGACGAGGAGGAAGGAGAGGACGTAGTTGAAGATAGGGGGTTGGTCGGTGGTCGGGGGGGAGGTGTCGGGGTCCATTGTTGATTTTTGTTTCGTTTTCTGGGGGAGGGCTAGAAGGGAGTTGGGGATTGCGGAGAGAGTTGGAGAGGTGTTTGAATGGTTGCGGGAGCTGGTGTAGTTAGTTGATGGGTTGCGATAAGATAGGAGTTGTGCTGGGTGATTAGTCATTATGCATAGAGACGGGTTATGCAGATGTTTATGCAGGAAAGTAAGTAGGACTTTCAACACTGAATTGATTTGAACCGAGGTCTATGTCTGGTACGACAATTATAGCTCTTCAAGGGAATGAAAGTAACTGACTAAGTGCTGTGTGTTTTCTGCGCGACCTGTTCATACGTAGACAATCGTGTCCGTCTGTATATTTCTGGTCGAACAGATAAATTGGGATCTACGGATTCAAATTATATACATGCTTCTTTAATACACTGCAAGTAGTCCTATATGCGAAGAAACATTAATCTTAAGCCGTTGACTCATTGAACTTCATATCCACATGGCACTGGAGAAGCACAAACCAGGGCTTTTCTATATGCCCATTCGCTGATAATCTCCTAGTCTCAATTCCTATATGTCCAGGAAGTTGAGTCGGTTAGTTCAAAACAGACTACAGAAACATGCAACACCCACCTCAGGAGAATATCCATCAAACGGTGCCTTACGGCAGATATGGTGCCAATGATACCATATTTGAGTATTTGAGTTAAGGGTCTTATAAGGCTCACTAGAATTGAGAGGAAACATAGTTAACTAACTGAATATGAGACTAGACATTGAAAACAGAAACACGCCGCACTGAAAACAAAAGAAAGACGGCAAACGGTTCCGCAAAGCAATCTTGAACATGACAAAAATTTAAACAAGAGACAATAAAGAACTGGCTGATCCTACGAGTTGTAGCCCTCGGTACTTGGGTGGTCCATCCTGCTGAAGAGATCGCTGCTTCCTCGAAATTTAAACGGTGGAGATGAGGAGGTCTTCTTGGAAAAGTTAGTGGAGAAGGGTGATTCGGATTTATTCTTCGATTCTGGAGAACCTGTTAGCGTATAGGCTTAAGGTCTTTGGATGCCCACTTACGCTTGAAACCCCTGGACGAAGGCGCAGTAGGAGTTTCCGAATCAGACAAGGGATCCGAGGCTTGATTGTTTGTTAGCTTATGCAATTCAGAGCTCTAGGTGTTCTAATACATACTGGACGACGTTGTACTCGGACTGTTAGACGAGAAGGAAGGCTTCGGTGGAGTTACAGATTCTCGACCTTGGGTCCGTGTTAACGCCTGAATGTGATAAGCTGGGGAGCAAATTACCCGAAGAATTCGATTCCGCAGATTTAGAAGGAGCCTTGGACTTGAAAGCTAGAGAGCAGTCAATATAGTGAGCGAATGCTGCCAGAAGCAGAGAGACTCACCCAAAGGCGGCATGGTTGGTCGAGGAATGTTGAACGGTCCAAAGGCACGCAAACCCGCTAGAAGCTTCGCCAACTCGCCGCTCAGGCGGTCTCGCTCTTCCAGGATGTAGGAAGGCTCCGCAGCCAGGTGTTTGACCTCGTCGTCTTCCATGTTGTTGATCGTCTGGCTGGTGAACAGGCGGTCGAGAGGACGAAGGAGACAGTTCTCGATGGCCAGAGTTGCGACGTTGTCCACGAAGGTCACGATAGCGGTCTACGAGAACGGATTAAGAGTTAGATATGGGTACAGTGACAGCTCAAGAAGGCACTAGACTCACCTCGTAGTACGCTTCCATCTCGTCAATGATCTCGGCCGATGCATGCTCGTCGACGCGAACCCGCAGCTTGGAGAATGCCTGCTCGAGCTCGTGGAGGCCAAGTTCGGTGCGCGAGTCAACAGGCTTCCCGAGTGCAGACCTGAGTCTCTGGTACTCACGATCCCTTCTTGCTTGCTGGATCCGAACGAGAAAGCTCTTCCCAACCGGCAGTGGGTGACCTCGTTTGATGTATGAAGTCAGCTCGTCGAGCTTGTCCAGCAACCCTACTCTGATTTTCTCGAGCTCGGGCTCGATCAAAGTGCCGACTATCAAAGCATAGGTGTGCTCGTCCGCTAAGTGCTGCAGCACGAGGGACACAAAAAACCTCACAGAGTCCCACGCAGTCATCAGATGATTCCTAGCGATTTCCTCCCACGGTTTGGACTGGTCGCGAAACAAAATCCCAACGAGCCGTTGATTGGGACTTCCGGGCAATTCAATTCCACGGTTTTTACGTGCCTGCTCACTGACTTCGGCTTCCAAAGTTTTTCGGTCGATGAAAGTCGGCCACCATGTTTCCAAATAAGGATTCGACGAGCGCTGATTGCTGTAGTCGTTATGATGGTGCTCAACGATCTGTCGACGACATCCCGCAACTTCCATTGCCTCAGCAAAGTATTCATTGAACTCGCGAATGATGGCACGAAGGCGTCGGAGGTCTTGCTCGTTTGATTCCGGATCAAATCCCCCGAAGAAATCATGGTCGTACCCACCATTGAGCGCCTCCCTGGTAATTCGCTCGAAATCGCTGCTAATATTGAGCAAGAACCCTTTTTGCTCTTGGATGGTGGCGCGAGGAGCACCGAGTTTCTGTAGCTTCAGCTGACGCTCCGTGACCTTCTCTTGGATGTCAGAGATGAGCGCAGGGAGATTGCGACGGATGTGCTTGAGGAGGATGTTGCTGAGACGACTGCGCAAGCTACCGATGCCGACAAAATTGCGAGGAACAGAATTCCACCGCCCCGTGCTGAAGAAGGCCTTTTCGTTTTCGTCTCTTTGCTCGTGCGAAATACTGCTCTCCTCGGACTTCCGGTTTCTCAGAACATGCCATCCCAGCTGGAGACGGATCTTTTCGTTCCTGACAAACTGCAGCCAGATCTCTTGCTCATCGGAGCCAGTCTCAAGAGTGTCCGGCTTCGTGATTACTCCGAGAGTTCGCTCACGCTGGGGGTCGTATTTCTCCGCGATGTCCAGAACCTCTTGCAGATGGTAGTCAGTCTTGGCCGAGATAACAGCCAGAATGATGCTTCGAGGATTCTTCATATATCTCTCGGTCAGAGCGCGCACGACCTTCCTCCCCTGGGCGCCCTGATCCTTACTCTTGGAATAGTAGAGACCGGGGAGATCCACGAGAGTCAGTTCAGGCTTATCAGGTCCGAGAATCTCCACCTTGAGGACATCGTCTTTGAAACCGGGGTCAGCCTCATCGTTCATGCCCATGTGCTCTTGGGCCTTTTCAATTAACTTCCCCAAGTCATTGTCGCTCTCAAAAGCGTCGGAGGAAAAGGACTTGAGGTTCTTTCGTTCTTCCTCGTCCGTTCTCGACGGCCCGGGCTCGATGGAGACTTTAATGGTCTCGGTTTGGTGACGTCGCAGGATGACCTCCGTAGCGAAGCGAGTGCAGACGCTGATTTTGGCTGGGAATCGCACGCGCGAGATGGCCTCGAGAACGGAGCTCTTGCCGCTGGACTGATTCCCACACACAATCAGCTGGGGGAGTTCCACGAGACCGCCGACGCCGATCGTGCGGAGCTCGTCCACTCGATCCAGGAGCTTGGATTGCTCCGATTGCAGCTGATTCAGGGCGGCGTCTTGCGCGGAGGAAGCCATGATATGAGTATTTGGGGGAAAAATTGATGTGACGAGAAACGAGGCCACCCCCGCACAGGGGAAATAACCATTTTTATCTCCATTCCGACTCCCAGCGAGACAGATGCCCCGGTGGAAGGCTGGGGGCGCAAGACGAGCGGCGCAGTGTTGATGCATAAGTCGGGTTTCTAACCCCGGTCACATCCCTGCATCACAATCTTGGCGTCACCGCACCCGAGCTCTTTTGGGCTAGACATGGAGCAGCACTAATTTAATCTTAGCACTGCCTCGCACTCGAATTGGCTGACGAGTCAGGCAGATTTGGTTCAGGTCTAGGCATCGGCCAAATCGCAGGCGCTGGTCCCCTGATTCGGGAAAAGGAAGCCGTTTAGGCGATTTTCCGGCGCACGGGGGGTAGCATTACCAATTGATCCTTGCGAGCTACGGCCTGGAGATGTAACGTCTGCAGCGTGGGCTGGGAAGTTGCTCAGCCTGAGAAACCGGTACATGTAGATCAAAAGAGTCGTCCAATGAAGTGAAGATAGAAGGCGCCTTTTCACACGCCTATACAGCATTCCTAGGCCCTCCTCCAATCCCTGCACAGCCCGAATACCGTCCGACAGAACTTCCCGTACTCCACGATCAAGTGAAACTTCCTCCAGCTGCCCAGCGCTTGATGATACAGCCTCGCCGACGGATCTGTGATTGGCTTTCTGCCTTTATTGGGGCGTTTGGGTGGCCCCGGACTATCGTCACACACCATTAGCCCAGATACAACATTTCAGATATACCAATCATAGGAGAACAAAAGGAAAGACAAAGCAACAAAAACGAGAAAATTCTCTTACCTGAACCCCGTAATCGGCAACACAACCACATCCCCAACCCTCTTACTTCTCCCTCCATCAACCAACCCAGTCAACGAATTCCAATACAATCCCTCCCTCTCCTCCAACCACCCCTTCACGGTCCCCGTAATCGCCGCCGGCCCTGTCAACACCAACGGATCAACAGCCATCAGCTCCTGCCTTGCCTCATCGGAACGTAGATTGCCTTGGTTCCGGACCGAAACGGCATGGAGAACTTTTGATGTTTGGGATATGAAGAGCGAGAGGACGGGATGACCCGGCCCAGCGGCAAACGCCCACTGCGTTAGTTGGATAGGAAAGTAGTAGCCGCTGCGCCAGAAGGTGTCTTCGTTGGGGTTGCAGTCTGCTTCAAGACCGAAGATGGCGCGGATGGGGTGGTGATTCATGTCTTTGCCGGCGACGGAAGGGTGCGTTTTGTTCGTGGAGGGTTCAGTCCAGGGGGTCAGGTCTGATGCTTCGAGCCAGGAGATTGGAGGACGGAGGAGCTGCGTGTCTATATCTGCGTACTATTGATTGATGAACATAGGTGAGTAGGAGAGGGACGAGCGACTTACAATACCGCCGAACCACTTAACGGCTAAAACCCGAAAGACATCACTGCGCTCTATATCCCTCGGCAGAGACTCGAAGTGATACTTGAACGACGGCTCATACAAATCCAAGAGCAACTGTTTCCCGTCACCAGTCCACAGGAAATACGCCATGTTGTCTGCCATAGATGCTTTCAGCCAGGTCTCTGCGCCTTGGCGGATGCTATCTGGCCAGTTTGAGATGTTGGTATCGGACCATTGCTGATGCACAAGGAGCGGGATATTTGAGTAAGCTATGGTGCTGTTATTCGAGATCGCATAATCGGAGGCTAGACGCGCTGCATCGACGATCGTGGTAGGGACCGAGGACGAAGATTGGAGCCATTGCGGTGGGATGTACCATGCTTGACAATGTATTTTGTTAGCTGCAGTCGAATACATACAAAGAATGGGTATGTATATGAATGACTTACCTCCCCCTACCCCATTGGATAAATGCACATGATTCCATAGAAGCGGATATTTCTCTTTGAGCTCATGCACGTTAGGTTGGACTTGTTGTCTTGGAAACAGTAAAAAGGCGATAAGAATTAGAAGTGCACCAACAACCACCAACCGGGCAAAGCGACGCCTGAAGATAGGAATAAACATTGATAGTAAATGGCCACGCTAGTCAAGGATGTCTCATGCCAACTAAGATATGTCTAGAAAATCAAAAATGCGACAGACACAGAGGGGGGAGATGGATGCTGATGCCTGAAGCTATGGATTCAGAAACTGAATATTGTGCTACAAAGACGCGACTCATCCAATCAATAGGATCTTACCTGATGATTAAGCATCGGCGAGTGCAATTCGGAGACTTTGCGAGACAATTGGGCAGCAGTGAAGGTGATACAGGCTATTCCGTCCGCGGCATCAAAATTAGTTTGTACGACTTCCAACGGGAACGGCTCCCCAATCAACAACCACAAATTCGAGCAGCTGCCTGAAATTGTGGAGATATTTTGTTATGGACCATAGTGTAACTGGCTCGGAGATTTGAGCAAGTGAGATGCGAGGTTTCCCTTGTATGCAATAGGAGGTGCCGCCTAGTTCTATACTTTGAATCATAATTTGAGCCGTACATGTGCAATCGTAATGCTTCTGGACAGACCTTTCTGTTGCTCTGCTAATGTAGACCAATGGAAAAAGAAACACGTTCAAATGCTGCAAATGAAAATGCCGTGCTGGTGCTTGATGAGCATGATTTGAACATCTTAAACCCACTTTCGAAATCTCAACCGCTTCCTCAATAACACATAGATATGCTGCATAATAGATAGTCAAACCGAAAGAAATCTCATAATTCGTTAAAGCATGTTGGGGATAGACCTGCATAGCGACATTACATTGGCTGAGAACCACAATATTTTGATTCCCACAAAGACTCGAGGCCTGGCTCCTACTTCACGGAGAAAGTATCTTCATTCCATCCATACACACTCTTCAGTCGTCGAGACAGCAGAAGAATGCGATACCCTTCGATGGCGGACTTATGGGGACGGTGTATCGTGAAAGGCCTCTTCACAGGCATCGAACTAGGCGGATAGAAAGTGTAGACAGACCCGTACTTGGGAAAGACGGAGAACCCCAATTTCCCCATAGCTGCTTCGAACGCCGCCCAGCTGACAGGGCTGCGGATTTGCGATCGGTTGAACAACCTCAGAAAGATTTCTGCTGTCGACGGGTCGACCTTGAAGTTCTGCGGCGGAGCTTGCTCTTCGGTACCGGACGTCTCCGCGGGGGTTGCGATATCGTAGATCGAAGAATGCGGGGGACGTGTCTTTTCCTTTTGTCTTCGCTGTTGCACTCGGTCCTCCGCGGACTGCGATGTTTCCGCCGAAGGAGTTGGCTTTTCGGCCTTTAGTTCCTGCTCCGATTTGGTCTTGATCTTCTCATACTGCTCTGCCAAATCAGATAGGCAGTCTTCGATCAGGTCTTGATAAAGATATCCCATCGTGGAACCGGTCTTTTCGCTGGTGAACTGATCCAACGATTTCAAAGCGCCTTCAGCCATACCTGGCTCCAGGAGATTATCGATGGGAACCACGAAATCGCGCAGATCGATCTGGTCTTTGACTCCGTTAAGCTCAGTCTCCAGCTGCTCCCACTTAGAAACGAACGTCTGCTCTTTTGCCTTGGAGAAAGGGGGCAACGGAAACACAGACGATACGTCTTGGATGAACCCAATGATGATAGCAAGTTCACCCAGCGAATCCACCTCTTGGGGCGTCAGATCCTCTCGCTGCATAGGCTTAGCGTCCAGAATTTCGCTCAGCTTCTTGATCCAGTTGGTAGCGTTGGAAACACTGAGCTTGGGCTGGCAGAGACGCAGCATGTAATAAAGCCGAGGATCGGTTGTGAGGAGGTTTTCCAGGTTGCCTTTTATGGTGGCCTGGGGAGGTTTACCGCTATTGGAGGAGTTCGAATTTCGCTTGAACCACTTCGATCCTGTGCCAATCTGAACATAGCGCTTAAAAAGAGCTTGCGCACGGGTGAGCTCCAGCTGGCAGATGTTGGACAGCTCTTGAAGAACAAGAGTTCTGTGCGTCTTATCGGCAGTCGAAATGTTTAGCAGCCCGAGAAGACGAGCGAGATATTTCCAAATTGCAGCATCCTTGATCGAACTGTGGACTGCCTCAAAAGTGGATGCGCTGGTGTATTTGTCGGTGTGAACGGGCAGTCGGCGGCCCTTTTCATCCGGAAGCAGTTCTGGGCGGCTGAAGAACCAGATGTTCACAGCATGAGCGAGCACTGTCGGCTCATTGGTGAGCAGATTTAGAAATTCTCGCTGCGATTCCTGTTGATCCTGAGCGCTGGCGATCAGGTCCGGAAGCGTAGGCTTCGGCGGAGAGCCTCGGATGTTGAGTTTAGACAGGGCTTCGGTTGCCACATTATCCGATCGCTTTGGTTTCTGTTTGCGATCCCGAGTCTTCGAGCCTTGGTCCAGGATGTCATCGATAAGAATTGTAAGACCCTGCATCATGTACATCTGCCGTTCCAACACCAGCTCCCCGACGGACTGAGGAAGACAGAGACGGGCTCGGATTGCGGGTTGGAAAGGGGCCATGACTTCGTCCTTATTCCCCGTGACTTCGAATGACCAGCCATATTGCGGCCCATCCATGAACATAGTATAACAGTCTTTAAACGGGTGCGTGTGGCGAAGCCCTTCTTTATGGACCATCTCTTCGATGAGAAGATGGTCTCCAAGGCCCCCATTGACTCCGCCGCAGTACTGCTCGAAGGGGGACTTAGTGGCTCGATGCTTGAGGAGATCCAGGCAGAAGTCCGGCCCAGACTCTGTCATTTCTCGTAAATTGTATTCCGGGATGACCATGCAAACATTGCCCATGGACTGGTCACGGCGGTGCTTCAGCACCACGCCGCCCGCTGCCCCGGCCTTTGCACATTTGGCGCGTTGACTGCTGTCGAAAGACCGCCATATATTCTCGATTGCTGCAGCATGTCTTTTGTACTTCCGAGCAAGATCGCTGTGGAGTTCTCTCACCACATCTGCCTTCGAAGGCTGTGACATGTTGTTCCGCGGCGTTGGGAGTGAAGATTGAGATGACAGATGTAGGTGGATTGCGAACCAGCGGAAGGAAAAGGGAATCGAGCCCAGTGGGGTTTAGACTATGACCTCAGCGCTTTTTTTGTGCGCGCGAAGGAGTGGCTGAGTGGCTGGTAGTACCAATTTGACCCACCGCAAGTGGAGTCTGATTCTGCCACTAACCACTCCGAGATAATGTTGATATTGTTGGATGGGCACACAGCTATGCTGGAGACAGCTGAATCCATATTTAACCAGCCAAGATACAACTGCGGGTTGGGCTTTATCTCGCAATTTGGCTGGAAGAGTACGGGAGGCTTGGGGTTTGATGCGTCGAGGACTCCGACAACAGCCGCACTAGATACCGTAAATCCATATTGAACCTTGAAAGCAGAAAAGTAGGGGAACAACCATCGTGATGGTTTTTACAAAATGTTAAATCGTTTCAATATAGAATTCCTTAGAACCGAATACTGCCAGTGATTAGAGGTTATCGATACTCGGAATCAACAGACTAAAGAGCGGAAAATATGCCGAGTTGGAAAGAGGTGAGAATGTGTGACCGAGGGAGGAGCAAATTGCATGCTCGGGAATCGATACTGCTTCATGATTTCGAGCTTCGGGCAGTGCTTAGGCATTCAAATGCCTGAGGAGTAAGCTGCTGAAATTTCGCCATTCGTAGCCCTCTGTGGCCGTTTCATGTATAGAATTCCAGAGAAGACAAATTTCTTTTCTAGATAAGAGCTCACTAGGCATCCTGATCTTTTTTTCTGTCCTTTTCGTTTACCGCCGTGCCCATCCCGCATCGCTGTGTTTCGAAATCTCCGAGTCCTATATTAGCCCGCTTTCTTCATTGTCATCAAACTCAATCACAGCACCTCGACCATAGTCCGCAACCACAAAATTCTCTCGAACAAGTGAAGGATCAGGGCACCTCAATGAAAGGTCCTGCTCGTCAGGAGGAAGCAAAATCATTTCCTTACCATTGTGCAGAAGCCATTCTTCGTCTCTAGAGATCCCCTTTTTCGAGAGATCGAAACAGGGATTGAACACAGGAGCAAGAGGGAACTGCCCACGTGATGTAAGAAGCCATTGTCCATCCTGTGAAAAGGAAAGGGTTTCATGCCAACTCTGATCTTGAACTTGCCGACATTTTGCACCGGTTTCTATATCCCACAGTATGAGCGAACTCCCTCCGGATGCAATGAATTTATTATCCGGAGAGAATGCGAGATCTCCATAGACGTGGTCGCCCAAAGTCTTGAATACCTCCCCTGAGTTAGCATTCCAGATATGGACACGGTTATCTTTAGATATCGAAGCAACAAGGCTCCCATCCGAGGACAATGCTAGATGTGAGAGTGGATAATCAAGCTCTCCGATAGCAAGAAATGAGTTTTCCACGGCTAGGTGCCACAGGCCAATAGTATATTTGATTCCGTCTCGAGCTTCCAGTGAATATACTGCTGTCATTGAGTCCAGTGATATCTGGAATGAATAACTTTCGCCCGGGGTATAGCCATCCGGAATTTTCAAGCGAAATGTTTGCAGGGGATCCCATGTACCAGAATCCCAGATGGTAATTAGGGGCCCCCTGTCAACTGTTATCAGTCTTTTGCCACCCACAGAAAAGCGAGCGCGGGGAAATTCCCAATGATATGGGGCTAAAGCTGGCTTCAGGATGGTCAAATTGGCATCTCGGACCTGCAGGACATCCCGGTTTATGAAAACCATCAATGTGCCGTCCGGGGATATAATGTGACACCTGGATTGCCCCTGATACTGGTCGATCGTCTGGTTCATGGGCGTAAGGCAATCCCAGATTTTGTTTCCGCAGGCAACCAGTTTTCCGTTTGGGGAAAAGGCGGGCCCCGCACCAAGAAAATCTGGTAAAAATAGTTCGACAATCGATTTCCCCGTGGCAGTGTCCCACACATAAAGACTACTAAATGTACTCGCAGTCACAGATTCACTGGATGGAGAGAGAAAGTCCACGCAAGGTTCATCGATGTTCTCATGAGAAGAAAAACCGGGAAGAATCCTCAACAACTTGGCTGCTGCGGGGTCCCAGACTCGAACTTGGTGATCCGTGGAAAGAGAAACAAGCTTGCTGACATCAGAAGAGAACGAAGCCGCGATGGAGGGACCGATATTCATTTTTTCTTGTAGACTGCCAGTAATTGAATCCCAAATCTGCACTCTTCCGTCAGTGGATGCAGACCACACCTGTTTGCCGTCCGGTGAGAATGACACGCCACCTCGAGCGGCAGACTCAAATGTTTGTAATCGAACCCCTTCAACGGCATTCCAGACTTCAGCACCACTGTGCCATCTGTCACTGCTGTGAAGAATGACGAAATAAAATAACAATAGCCTGTTATCTGGTGAAAAGGCTGATATAAACGGTCTCCACCTGTTCGGCGAGGCAGATGAAAAGAGTTGGAATGAAACCAGAACTCCCTTTTGATGTGGATTGCAGATGAGACCCCGCCCCTCTACAAACACTACTACAAGCCTTTCACCATCTGGCGAAAATTGCATATGGTAAGCCATTGTGTCATTCTCAGGAGTGTTATCCTCGTGCAGAATGCTTGAAAGACCCGTTGCCAAATGCCATATTCGGACTTTTGTGCCGGCGCTAGACGCTAGAGACTTGCAGTCTGGGGAAAAGGACATAGCATGGACGCTGCTTTCATGCTTCAATAGCTGAACACGTCTCCAAGTAGCCGTGTCCCACAAAGCTATTTCGTCATCGAGTCTAGAGTTTGATGCGAGCAGCTTATTATCCGGTGAAAATTCCATGAAACAAAAAGAAGGGCTATAGCGGTTTAGGCAATGAATCAGGGGATCCCAAGTCTCCTTAAAAATTCCACGTTTAGTTAAAAAGCTCGGGACTTCTTTTTCAAAATCTTGTCGGATAATGCTTTGCTGTGGAGCAAAAAAGAGAGAAGATGCATACAGTTGTAGAGGTGCCTGCTCAATGACTGATCGAAAGTAGACCGTGAACCGCTTAGCATCTTGAACAAACTCACTCAGGCTAGCATCAATGTGTGTCTATTGAGACTCGTTAGTATGCGTCTGGTGAAACCTGGATTTGACTCACTGAAAGTGTAGAGATGTAATTTAGTAAATCATTCAAAACCAGAATGCTTAGGGACACCTTCCTCATGAGACTCATGGCTTCGATCCAATGAGTAAAATGCTCTTTCAGAAATCCATGAAGCTTGTCAGTACTGGAAGATGTGAAATCGCTCTGCTGAAGATGATAAACCCAGTAGCAACACGCGTATTGTACGTGCTCTGGGAGATATAGACCCAATGTCTCACGCTTGACATCTTCAATTCGAACATTGATCCTTTCGAACTGGCAAACGTTCTTTTTTAGGGCACTGGACATAATCTCAATGCAGCGCTCGAAGAGCTCAAGGTTCGTTCTTTTTTCATCGATCCAGAATTCATCACCACATCTTTCTCGATTGACAAGAAAATCCCGAAACGACAAGTGAAGTAGCTCAATAGAACGCCCGCTCTCAGACATGGCTAGCACCGAATGCAAACATCGTACCATTTCTTCCACAGTGTTTGTCATGTCTCGAGACTCACTTGATACGAGGTTGCTAAGAACATGAATCGGAAGAGAGTCTGACAGAATAAGGATGTATCCAACAATCCGTTTGAATTCGGACGCCCTCTGCAACCTTTCCCTTTTAGTGACATTTCCAATAACTTCAGTTTTCAAAATCGTAATGTAGAGCCGGTCGAGGTCTTCCTGAGGTGAGCCATCATCGATCTTATTCTCTAAGATATCAGTGAGGCGCATATCTAGGTCAGCCTTGAGAGGTTCCATATAGCGATAGATTGTCGCGGCATAAATAAACAAGCCGTCTGCCTTCAATACAAGCTGAATGGTCTTTTCTGGGCCTGGCCAGTCTTCCTTCCTGGAGTGTATTTGTCTGATCCTATGCAATTTGTATCCGAGGAAGCGAGTTATATCGTCCTTTCTTGCATCGTCCATTCGTGGCAGAGGAACCTTCAAGAGTGTTTCACTTTTGTGATTGTCTGCAGGAAGCTGACCAAATCGGAAACCGATTTCATCTGTTGGTCGACTGGTGATAAATATCTTCACCCGTACATGCGATGTTTCCAGCTCGCGAACCTGGCCTAGAAGATTCACGATGATGTGAATATTATTTTCAGGTAGACTTTGACCGGCGCTCTTGGAGTCCCAAGATGTTTCGGGTAGGCATTCGTCGAGGGCATCAACGACCAAGATAACAGTTAGGGGTAGAAGAAGACGTTTTCCAAGATCCCGGAGAGGATGAAGAACTAAGTCACGCCATTGATTGAGCATAATTTCACTGGCGATATCATAGTTTTGTTCAATAACATCGCATATAGGTTGAGCGAGATCAGGCAGCGCCTCGACAAGCTGCCTTGCAAGCGTGCGAAACAATGCAGTGGCTTGGCCATGTCCGTGTTGTGTTCGGCGAAAGAAGAATGTACCTCCAAGGCAGATTTCATCAGGTAACGACCCTTTGCTATCTAAACGCTCTCTTCTGTCAAGCGCAGAAGCAACGGTTCGAGCGATAGTGGACTTTCCTGTTCCTGCCATCCCATGAAGCCAAAATATTGGTGGCGTTTGTGAATCATCAATCCAGGACTGGATTTGATTGAGAACAGCTTCTTGTGTACCTTTCAGGCACTGTCCATCTATTTCTGCCCGTGACCCGGAGTTATAGGCAGCGCTCATCAGAGGTCTGAGTCCGTTTAGTATGGTGAAATTGGCCATGCGCTTGATGGAGTGTCAGTGGTAATAAGAACCAGCCTTGGCTTGGAACTTGCCTTGACCCCCTTATTTGCCTCATCTAACAGACTTTGTGTTTCCTGGTAGAACTTCTGAACATTGTCATGTATGTCTTGAGTTGTCGCATTTGACTTTGCTTGCAGGTACTTGCTAACTGCATCATCGCTTTGTTCAATGTCCTTCCACATAGATTGCCAATCATCGACAGTAGCGAGATCCTTGAAGTATCGAGTGACTGAAGACTGAAAGTAGCGCTTTGCAAATCGGATCTGGTACCGGAAAACAAGAGTGTAGATTGAAACGACCTTCTTTTTCAACCAGATAGTCCCTTCACCTGCGCTGCAAGCTGTTAATACATATCAATCTCACGAGTAAACGCGTACCTTGAGCCATGACAGGCCTGTTCAGGCATATAGGACCGCTCTATCAGTTGATATCGTATCAAGAGGTCTGTAATAAAACACAGCCCACCTGCAGCATGCTCGCTTTGCTGAATAGATTTCAAGAAAAGCTACAAATCTGAGTTAATTTGACCGACTGGATGCCATGATCAATTCACCCACATTCAGTCCCACTAGAACTCCCGCCCATGCGAGTGAAGCATGGGGCTCTCCAGAGATGGCTGCTGAGATGACATCTTTTACTGCAATAATGCCATGAACAAGACGATCGACCTCCTCTTTCAGGACAACTTCCGTGTCCTTGAACCGCAGCTTAAATGGGGTAGCGTTTTCGATCCGCTTGAGATTGTAATGGGCGAGACTTTTCAGCTGCTCCTCTCTATCCTCTTGTTGCCGTGAGGCAACAAATGACTTTGTGTTGTCTGACTTCAAAAGAGCATCTCGATATGCGTCCATGAGGATTTTTTCCTTCTCGGAAAGCTGCTGATATGCTGCCTCCCAGAGCTTTCCCCATTCGTACTCGACAGAATCGTCGGTTTCATCTCGCTGTTCTTCGAGCTCATCGTGGTTTTCGTTGAGAGCATTCTGTGTAGATGAACCTGTGGCTTCGAGTTGGATTTCTGACTGACTGTCCTGCTGGGACTCTGCCCTGTTGACTAGGCTGTGACTAGGCTGAAGCGGAGTGGTCTGCGACACTGACTGCGTCTCTTTCCGTTTCCTGAAAGGCAGTTTGAAGAAATTCTTTAGGTCTTCCTTCTTGGGCTTAGACTTGGGCATAATGAAGACGCAGTGGGTAGACGTTCGAGAGAAGAATGGGGAATGGCAGGGCAGGTGTGTGACAGACTGAAAGACCTGGCCCAACTGAGATGGCTTAGCCAAGGTACTTGAGACGGGGCGCTTCCAAGACTCCCTGAATTTATCAAATACACCACTCGACCAACAGAAACTAATATTCGCTGGAGAGTTGGGTGACAGTGACTTGGTGGCTTGCAGGTGGGGTTGGGACAGAAAGAGGGGATGTCGGTAGGTCCTCGTTGCTTTTTCCTGACGTGTCAGGCAGGGTTCTTTTCAGCTAAACAGGGATTCCTCCTATTTCCACCGCGTCTTCGTGAATTGCCAACAATTCTAATGTTAAAAGGAATTCGAGCTATTATATTTCTTCGTTAACCCTAACGATACTCCCGGTCTCTCCGGCTCCAGAAATGATCTAGATGGTGTGCAATAGCTACCAGATCACCAACCGCCGTTTGGTGAACATTTTCACTAGGACATACCACGCGTAGATATGTCTTATTTCCACGGCTGGTACACTGTTTGCTTTATGTTGCTCAATACACCTTTTTCAACCTGGTCTTGGATAGGACAGATCCTACCACAACCGCGTCCGTGCTGTTGTTTGCCTCAGAACTCCTTCAAAATTTCTTGTTGACCAAGTCCAAATGAATGTCGCAGACTAGTAGAATCCGTTTATCGCCCGAAATGTTTATTATTAATGATATGGGAAAGGCATTGCCGAAATGCATCACTAAGTTATTATTACCAGGGCTTGGGTTCAGGTATTGTGGTGAACTAAAATGACTCCCAGGCGACGCGCATTCTAAGTCGTTTATTCTACTTCCAAAGTGTCTTAGATCAAACAATACTATTAGTGACAGTGTACACACTAAGGTAAGATCGTTAAAGATACTATCCTCTGCAACGACTGCATTCTAAGTGCTGTCATGACTTAAACCAAGAGATGTTAGAGCCGCCTGTCTGCTTAATTTATATGGCCTTCGCTTGGCTAATCTAGATTAGCGCACATGTGATATACAGTGAATAGTCTGCTGCCGTCTAGTTAGTTTTCTTACTGAATCTAAGCGCTTCTATCAAGATATAGTATAAAGTACTGTTTTACAGGCTTACTACACAAGCTTTCAAATATTTCGAAATTTGCAGGATATCCATGATAATTTCACACCTGCATCACGATGGGATACCTGGTCCTGGAATTCTACAAAAAGAAAAAGAAAAAGAAAAGGCTAATCCAGGAAATGGACCATGTAGTATAAACACTGGAATTTCTAAGCTTGTTGAGCATGATCTGCCCATGTGAATGTACATATTGACCGGCACGCATAGATTTAGTACACTTTTACATGTCACAGCGCAAAAGTAAATTCTAGCTTAACATCTACCAAAACACCTACAACCTCGCCCTAACCTTCGCCGAAACCTCCGCATCCCTTGCCAACGACTTCCAATAAGCATCTTTGTGCTGTAAAATTGCAAACCCCTTCTCAGCCCACGAGTCCTCCCACGGCAGCAGCTCGTACCCTGTACTCCCCTGCGCAGGAGGGCCCGCCAAATCCCTCAAGAAGTCAAAATAATCCTTGAAATCAGGTTTAATCTCATGGAACAACGCCGTCGGCCCTTTGTACTTCAAATGCTCCAGTTCCCAAAGATCCTGCTCTTTCTCACTCGGCAGGTCCTTCGCATTCGTGCCCGCGAAGTACCGCGCCACAGCGACGGCCTGGTACTCGTAGACTCGGAAGCTGATGGCCGCGCGGACCTGACCGACGAGAGCCAGCGAGGGGTCTCCGATCTTGAAGACATGTTTGTAGAAGCCCGCGACGCGGTTATTGGGCGTTACGGGGTCGGGAGTCAGGAATGGGTAGGAGAGCTTGTAGCCCGTCGCGAAGATGATCTTGTCGACGTCGGGGACGGTCGAGCCGTCGGAGAACTTGACGGTGATACTAGAGGGTGTGGCTTCGATTTTGGAGATAGTGGGCTTTTTCTCGACTCCGGGGATGTTCCACACGGACTCGAGAGCTTCGTTGTATCCTCGTTGTGAGAGATAGAGTGGGCCTTTGACGACGCGGTGCAGATCGGCCACGATGTCGGCAGATGAGATATTCCCGCCTACTACGACGACTTTCTTCTCGACGTAGTCGTTCTGAGAGCGGAAGGCTTTCGAGTGTTCGAAGTTACCCGGGTGCGCTTGGTATGCGGCATCGAGGCCTGGGATGTCGGGGATCAAGGGCACGTTGTAATGGCCTGATGCGACGACCACGGCGTCGAAATGCTCCTGCCACCAGTAATCGCGCGGAACTCCGCGGTAGAGCTGGTCGGATTTGCGCAGCGTGAGGGTCCATTTCGACCCTTGTTTCTCGACGCGCTCGACCGTCGTGTTGAAGGATACTAGCGGGAGATACTCGCGGAAGAGATCTTCTAGATAGCCCGCGACGACGCGGAACGGGCGCGAGGGGTTATTATGTCCGAATTGTTTGATTGAGAGAGCGGAATTGACCGGTGGGAATGCAGTATGCGTGAAAGCCATTGCGGCAGCACCGACATTGCTGTCCAGCGTGTCGTAGATCGCTGTGCGGGCGGTGGTATCTTCGGGCACCGGGCCAGTGAATTGGGGTAGTTTTGAGGGGATCTCATTGCGAATAGGGAGAGATGCTCTGGGATCGGGGAAAGGGTCAGGAGTAGGATCGTAGTGCCACAGTCCGCCGACTTGATCTCGTCGTTCGAAGACGCGGATTGTGTCGAAGACGTTCTCGTCGCTGAGGGCTTTCACAGCGGAGAGGCCGGACGGACCGGTGCCGATCACAGCGACGCGACGATATCGAGGGCCCATGATGTATGAGTTGGGAGAATGTAGGAAATGAGGAATCAATTGAAGAGAAAGCGGTATTCTGCAGCTTTGGTGTCTTTTAAAGCATCAAACACGTCATCAATTTATAAGCGCATCTTGCGCAAAGCTACCCCACCCTATCGACATGATCCAACTGACACTATCGCGAGACTCTACTCCAAGCGAAACAGGGGAGATATTGATCTGGACTGCGATTGGGAATGCGTGGTTGACGTGATCCGCGCTAGAATGAGCATTGCAGCCGGACGCTATCCGGGCCCACGTCTAGGGCAAGGAATCCTTTACTCACTGCTATCACTAACCGCAATTTCTCCATTGTCCCCGGAGAAATCTTTCAGATTTAATATGCTGTCAAGGTCATAAGGTGACTACGCTAGCTAATGTCCGAACCCTGTCTGGTCTTCTTCCGCACATCGTGCCGAGTAAGAACTGCGATAACGGCCACAACACCCAATTGCGCCACGGTCGTCACCAGATTCGAAATAAACCCTTTGCGGAAGTTGGGTGCCTCCACGGCAGGATACTGGAGGAGCTGCGTCCAAGCAGACATAGCCTGACCGATTGCGTTCATGCTGGCGGTTACAATGGCGCGTTCCTCGGCGTCGTTGGCCATGGTAAGGGTTGCCCAGCTCATGGTGAGAGGGCTCATTGCTATAAACATTAGCATCTTGTAACCCTTTGGACATCATAATAGAGAGAAAGACTTACCACCCTCAGCACCGGTGAGGATAAAACCCGCAAGCCGTCCAGCTTCTCCTACCTCCCAGACAACCAGCAGAATCAAACCCAGCATCACCGGAATCGAGACAACAATGCAAGGAAGCCAGATGTTCCTCGTCTTATCAGCAACAGTGCCCGCTATTAACGCAGCAACCACCGAAACGGCCGTAGCTATGGTCGGTAGAGTGTTCACTCTCGAGACGGAGTAGATTTCCGGCTTGGCCTTCAGATAAAGATTGAACGGAGTCGAGGAAGCGAGGAAATTCTGGTCGATGAGGATCCACTGCGCAACAAAGACGTACCAGTGCCAGCGACCGAGGACGCGTTTGAAGATATCGACAGAGACAGTTAGCTGGCTGGGAGCTGTGAGACCAACCAAGCGAGCATTGGCTAGCTCGTGCTCTTTCGGGGTGAGGAAGCGTGGCTTTGTGCGATGAGGGACGTCGAGAAATGCGACATAGCCTCTGTTCTTGTTAGAATATGCAGTCCGAAAGAGATAGTCGGGAACATACAAAATGCATATCGGTATGGTGATGATCGTGCAGACAATGAACAACCATCTAAATATATGGAATCAGCAATTGTTCCTTGCAGAAACGTAGAAAGTCATACCTCCACCCGGCCAATCCATGTGTATTATTCAAATTAGTATACGCCGCTGCCTGCAGATACCCAGCGAACATGGTCCCCAGCGGGGAGGCAATAAAGAACAAAGAAACTCGTCTCCCAATCTCCTGGGGCTTATACCACGACCCGATCACATAGATGACACCGGTAAATGAACAAGATTCGCAAATACCAATGAGAACACGCATAGCATAAATTGTGGTGAGGTTTTGAGCCCATGCACAGCCAAACGTGAATAGGCCCCATCCGGCCTCCAGAGTGGGCAGAACAATATTGATCCGACTGCGAGTGAGGAAGTAGCATGCTGGGATCATTGATACGCAGTATGCGACCCAGAAAGCGGTGGTAATGTAGTTGATTTCATTTCCTTGGAGTCCAAGGTCCTCTTTCATTCCCCTAGGTCTGCGATTAGCCAGATTTCGGACTGCAGGAGAATGTCACATACGATACATAGGCGTTGGTGATGGCTTGTTGATCGAGATATTTTGTGAAGAAAGACAAGCACCCAAAGGTTAAGATCAAGAGGTCTAGTTTGAGCACCAGCTGCTTTTCCAAATAGCTCATGTCAGTTGGATACCATCGCACGAGAGTCAAGAAGCGGATCCATGGTCCTTCGTTGGACTCGTCTGCGGGGAGTTCATGCGCATTGGTAGCGAGCTCTTTTGATTGATCCATACCGAACTACCGTAACCTTTTTGTGCAATTATTTCAACTCATAATTAGGTCGGAAGTTTGACATCCTCGGGTAGCCTTTTAAAAGTAAGGGTTTGTAAGACATCCCGTTCGGCACATGTCCGGCATGATCTTCACCGCGGAGGGAATCCCCGCTCAAAGAACAAGATAGATATCTAGAAAGGTAACGGGCATATAGACGAGCAGTATACCCCGACCTATAGAATTGTGGACCTGACTGCAGCGTGGATGGAGTGATTGCCGAGCGCGATGGTGTCATTCCGAAGTCACCTTCTCCCTGTAGCATGGCCGATGGTATCATAACAACTAATTATAGCCAATTTGCAAGCCAAGCCACCAAAGCCATCCTTTGATTAAATGCTCTGCATATGCCATGTTGGAAGGTCGGATTTGTGCTGCGATCAACGCTGCACCTAAGCGAGTATTGTATCATTGATCGTCGATATTGGCATTGCGCGCTGATAAGAGAACTAACAACCAACAGGTTGACCTGACAGGAGTAGCGTGAGTCTAGACCAAGGCACTTGAACTGGACTAATTCACTACATTCTTCCATAACAGTCGTAGCTATTGCGGGGTATATAATCGTCCCTGTGAAACTCTGGAGCAAGCGATACCACCACATACCTGAACCACCACCCGCATCATGGCCCACTTAGAATCTCGCAAAAATGTCTCTCCAGACTCAGGCTTCCCAGTAACTCTCCATCCAAAATTCAACGCCAAGATTAAAGATCATGTTCCTCCAGACCCTGTTCGCGAGGAATTTGCCCCGCCTAAAGATCGAGCTTTTTTTGCAGACAAGGAAAAGAAAAGCTTGTTCTCGGTCGCGAAGCGAGTTGATTTGACCGAGTCGATTGGAACTATCCTTGAGGATGTGCAGCTGTCGCAGTTGAATGGGAAGCAGCTAGATGAACTGGCCTTGCTCGTCAATGAACGTGGAGTGGTGTTTTTCCGGGACCAAGACCTCATGACTGAGAAACAGGTCGAGTTGTTTGAGCATTATGGTGGGATTAATTCCTTGATCGGAATGACAGAGCTAACGGATGGAAAGGCGTGCTGGACAAACATCCTGCACAGAAGGTAGTGTAACGTGGTAGTCCCTATTTGAAACAAGTCTAAATATGAAGCAGGATCAAAAAGTAAATCATCTCTGGGATTTCAAGAGATATGACTGACCAGTCAAGTTCGTGAATATCCACGGTAGCCGCGAAGACCACCGCGAGATCGCGAACTACACTCCTTGGGTAAGCACCTCATAGAAATATCGCTATGGTTTCTAACTCGACTAGCCGAGCGGCGAATTTCACGCAGACACATCATTCGAGATCAATCGTATGGTTTAAATACCCAGACCATCGAAAAGTCACTAATTCCGGGTAGCACCTTCATACTCTCTACTGAGAATGGAAGAACATCCCGAAGTAGGCGGAGACACAGCCTGGGTACATGAAAACAGCTACAGTCTCTGTTTAGTTCCTGCTAAGCTATCTATAGGTCTCGCAATACGGCCTCTACGACGCCCTCAGCACAGCATACAAGAGATTCCTCGACGGCCTGCACGCCGTGCATACCTCGAGACTCCAGTGTCAGATTTCCTCATATCTTGCGCACTAGTCAGAGCCTGACATGATACAGACGACACGATCCTCGATCTTTGGGGCGTGGGACCCAACCGGCCTCCGATTGACAGTCACCATCCAGCGGTCCGCACCCACCCGGTCACGGGACTGAAAGCCCTAAATGTGAACCCGGGATTCGTGACGGGATTCGCAGAACTCAAGAAGCTTGAGTCAGGTAGAAACTTCCACTTATTGGACCGAAAATCTCGTACTGATCGTGATAGATAAACTGCTGGACTTCCTATCGTATCACATTCACGCCGCTGACGATCACTATGTCCGATGGAAATGGGCGGTTGGGAGTGTTGCGATGTGGGATAATAGGTCTGTCTTTTGATTGTCATTGTAGAACCAAGACTAATCTTCATGACCTATCTAGATGTACCGTTCATCGAGTCATTCCTGGTACGTATAAAGGAGCTCGACGGGGTATTCGGACTACAGTGTTCGGTGAGAAGCGTAAGTAGAGCATGAAGCCTTGAGTGCCGGACCAAATACACTAACAGTCAACAGCATATTTAGATCCGGCAAGTGAGAGTCGATTGGAGCGTCAGGCTCGCGAGGAGAATAGAAACAATCAAGAACGAGAGAAGGAGAACGATGATGCCACGGATGGACCAAAGGTTCCAGCTTAAGTTAGAGTAGTATGCTGATGGGTTTATGAAACTTCATGCCTTCACATATAGTATCTTAAAACTTATAGTTATTTTGCTTTCCTGATTTACTGAGTGTTTAAGGTATTGCCCATGATTCGATATATTCTGGTTACACAATCCTCGGGTTATGATTCCGTCGCGGGATCGCTTCCCGAATGACTCTGAAATGAACCACTCCGTAGCAGATAGAGCAACTGAGTCTAAGTTTGAGATGACTATGCACTTTTTATTAATGGGATTTAATTAGAGCACCATTTAATTCAACTTTGAATGATTCATACTGACCAAGAGAAAGCTCGTGCTCCTCGAAGCCCTAAGAAGTAGTAGACATCGGCCCGATAAGGCATTCCTTCCATCGATTTGACCATAACCAATTATAAATCACGGAATTAAACAACCACTTGAGCTAACAAAAACCCACTCCAACGCGAGATAAATAGCCCTTCCCTCTCCCGCATACATGACCTACACTGCATATCACCCAACCCCACCATGCCCCTAAACATCCTCCTCTACGGCGTCGGCAGCGTCGGCGCCATATACCTGCACCAACTGCAGCGCGCCGGCTGCACCGTAACCGCCATCTGCCGGTCCAACCACGACGTCGTGGCGACATCCGGCTTCACCATGACCAGCGCCCTCTTCGGCACCGTCACCTACCGCCCCGACCACATCTACCGATCCGTCAGCGACATCCCCTCCGACCAAGTCTTCGACTACATCGTCGTCACGGCGAAATGCTTCCCAGACAGTAATCCCTCGCTCGCGGAGCAGCTCCGCCCCGCACTAACGAACCCGCCCCGCCGGACCACCGCCATCGTGCTCGCCCAGAACGGCATCGATATCGAAGCCCCCATTGCCGCTGCATATCCTGACAACCCGCTCATCAGCGCAGTGATCTACCTCCCCGCGACGCAGACCGCGCCGGGGATCATCACGCACCCGGAACCGCTGAATCATATCGAACTAGGCACGTACCCATCCTCCGCGCCGCAGGAGCACGTCGACTCCGCGACTCGATTCGCAGAGACGATGCGGTGGGGCGGCGGCGAGGCGACCGTGTTCGAGGACATTCAAGGCGCGCGATGGAGGAAGCTAATGGTGAACGCGGCGTGGAATCCGATCGGGGCGTTGTCTCTGTGCACGGACGGCGGGTTTCTAGTGACGTCGCCGTTTGCGAGGGACGTTGTTTGGGGTGTTATGATGGAGGTGGTGGCGTTGGCGAGGCGGGCGGGTGTGGAAGGGGTGGATGAGGAGGCGGCGGAGAAGTTGTTTCAGATTTCGAAGAGGCGCGCGGAGCTGGGGACGGGCAGGGCGTTGAGTATGCTGCAGGATGTGAGGATGGGGAGGCCGTTTGAGGTGGAGGCGATTGTGGGGAATGCGGTGCGGTTGGGGAGGAAGTTGGGGGTTGAGATGCCCAGGTTGGAGACTGTTTATGCGTTGGCGAAGGGGAGGTATGATGTTATGGTTGAGAGTGGGAAGTAGATGTCTGAAGGGGGGTAACTTTTTGTAGATAGAGTTATAGATCATTGATTGAGGATAGATGTACCTGAAACAACAGCTCCATGGTAAATGCCAACACATAAAAAAACATAGACTCTACTCAATGAGTGAAGGCCATGGATATCGAAAGAAAACAGCATGATATTAGCACACAGAAACCTAGAATAGAAAGAAGCCTATGGAACTGTCACGCATGCCTTCATCCAGTGTTGCAAACTCCTAATCTCTGCTATTGACCACTCCCCTCAACACGACCAAATACCCAATAAACAGCTACCTAGATACCTCCCACTCCCATCTAGTGGCTCTTCCAGACTAAGTAAAGGAAGCTCTTGCCTCTTCCGTCGTTAATGTCGTTGGTGAAGCCGTCGAATCCCAGAGACTTGACGGTCTCCCATTTAACCTCGTCGTCGCGACGAAGGAGTCGGACATCAGTGATCTTGTCGTGGCCATCGCGCTCCAGACGGAGGTATCGAAACTTGCCGCCTGCACCTTTGGCAAGATCTTTGTAGTTACCATCGGAATCGCCCTGGATGAGGATGCGGATGTTGCTGACGGCGTTGTCGGATTCGAAGCTCCATTTCGGGACGAGCCAGACGAACCTGGATGGTTAGCATATGAGGTGGTCAATGGTTGTTGGAGGTAGAAACAGATCAGACTTACTCTCCACCGTAGCCGGCGTTGATGTCGCCGTTGTTGGCATCCACGACGTGGATGGCATCAGAGGGCTCCCAGGACTTGTCGGTCCCGTAGACAACCTGATAGACCAGTCAGAATGGGGTGAAAGAGTGACGCTAGGAGGAGCATACATCGATATCGCTGAGATAGCTTGGCATTTTGATGGGATTCAAGGGATGCTTTTGTGGATGGATGGTTGATCGAGGTGGAGGAGAAAGATGTGATTTACTGAAGTAGTCTGGACTGTTGATGAAAAGAGTCACTGAGAAGGAGGAAGTCTTGCTTTATATACCTTGACTTTCACTACTCTATCCCCGTCATATGGGACCATGCAAAGTGTAAACCCCTAGAATATTCCATCAAGCAAGACGCACTGTGAGGCTCTGTTCCAGCAGAACAAAGTTGCCCGACGGTAAGCCGCCAGGACTTCATTGGGTAGTTTAACTACGGAGCCCATGTTCGAAATGCTGTATATGAAACGGGGCAAGGTGAATTCGTAAACAGACTTCATTCATATTGCGGCTGAATGTCGTTCTAGAAGGTTCATTGGAGAATGGACCGGTGCGTGACAGGCTCAAGCAGCCATGTCGAAGGATTCCTGGCAGCATACCAGTGCCCAGTAAGCCTAATGAGCCAAGCACCAATCGCCCGCAACTACTCAAAAAACACCATCACGCTTGGCATCAGGCCATTAAGAAAGATGAGGTAATTAATAAACCGCCTGGACCGGACACGGGACAGGATTAGGGTTTGTGGCGGGCCGAAGCGTGGTGGAGCTGATAATCTTATGGCAGATGGACATGCGCTAAATAGATTGAATGCAGGCTGTGCCCAGTCGGGGTGACCGATTAAGTGAGGTTGATTGAATTAAGAAACAGTCAGACTCGTAACGGTGTGGGGTATATGGCACGAGGCCATCAAGAAACTTTTGAGTTTCCTCTAATGCAGATATCCACGCAGTCCATCAAGGTGAGCCTAGACCGTCTGGAGACGAGGGGCCAGGGGAGTCGAGACACGGCTGGGAAATATGCACGTTTGTGGCAGGGCGCCGATACGAGCCCAAGAGTTTGGGCGTCAGCCTGTTGCAGGCCTTGGTCGCCTGGGTGACGATGTTTAGCCAACAAGGCTAAGCAGCGCTAGCCATAAGCCTAGAGTTGTCAAGAGTGTGCTAAGACCCGAGCGAAGGATACGCAACCCCTACAGTAAACCAAAATTCAGACATAGTGTCATGTAGAAGAGTTTGCCCTCGATTCTGACCAAAGAGGCCTGTGCTCTTTCACCCGTCGGTGCAATGCTGACAGGTCGAGAAGCCCATTGGAAATTCTATATAATAGTGCACGGAATGGGATAGTTTATCCCGAGAAGAAAACGCACACAAGCAGACCCATCAAAGAATCTAGACGCCCAAGCTGAACCCGCTATCCCGTACCTACGGTTACAATGGCAAAGTATCTATCAGATGTGACTGTAAGACCTTCCTACGACCATGGGAAATTAGAACTCAGAGAATGACTGTATATATCAGGTCATGTACGCGGATAACGAGTACGCCGCGCCAGATGAGGCGATTCCCGAAATCCAAGGCAAAACATCAGACATCAACGCCGGCTACGGAGGAAGGTTAGTGACCTGGTCCAACGGTGCGAGATAAAAGTGTTAACGCCACGAAGATTCGTATGGCTGAAACCGGACTGGACCCCCGACAAGCAAAATGCAATTTCCAACCTCTCTTTCACCAAATCCAATTCTGAACTCCGGAACTACAACGATATCACGGTTCGGGTCAGCGCCAAGGACGCATATCGGTACATTGTACCTGAGCGTGGAGGAGAATCCAAGATAACTAAAGTTGCTCTTTTCCGTACCTCCGAGAATTTGTCTTCCGATCAGATTCTGGCTCGTATCAAGGAAAGGGGGTTCTACCATTTCTCCTCTGATTTGAATCAGGGGCGTGGTGGTGATTATTTGTATTTGTTGTGGGCGAACGAGACGGAACAGAATTGATTCGCGAAGATTCATACAGGTCTCTGTATGATTTACAAGAAAATAAAACATGTCAATTGAGATGGTAATATATGCGGTCTCTTTCAAAATACAGAAAAAATAAGAAAAAAAGAAAAGAAAAGAAAACAAGACCAAGGCATGTCCACCAAGCGCTGGTACTATAATGCTCCACCAATATAGGAGTACACTGAAGAGGGACTCTATGGTGAAAAGAGGACCAAGTTACGTAAATGTGATAAACAAGCCTGAGCAAACTCAATTGTCTCTGCAATAATATGGTAGGATCAAAATGCAACCTCATGCGGCTTACGGGCAATATGAATGTAGACGGACCTGTTTCCAAGCCTTCTGGCGGCCATGGAGATACGTATGGGTTGCCCGACGGACATGACCGATGGCTGAGCACGGGAAGGCATGCGTGCGTTGGAAATCCGCTTGGCGACTGTCGCTATACCAGCCACCTGCAGGTGGATGAATCGAGGCCCGACACATGGAACGCCACATTCGAAAGAAGTTTAAACAGCCAAGGAACCGTGCCTAGTCGTAATCATACCCCTTCACCGATTTATCTTTTCTTAAAGCTTCCCAAAGGGCTCAGAAGCAGAAGACTTCATTAACAACGTCACAAGCGACAACATGGAACAAATCGACGGTAAGAGTCGGCTGCAAGCTGCGCTGCAATCCGAGTCTGTAGGCTCGGATAGCCCGAAATTGCGTTTTGAGAGCGATGGGACCTTTCAAATCACAGTTTTCTCGGATCTTCATCTCGGCGAAGGTAGGTTAGACGAACAAAGCTGTGCTTCAAATTGAAAGACGCTATGAGAGAAAAGGACATAAACTAATACAAAATTCAATGATAGCCCCGAATGGCGTCGGCCCGCTGAAAGACGCGCGAACGGCAGATGTTATACGCAAGGTTCTCCAAGCCGATCATACCCAACTAGTTGTACTGAACGGAGACCTTATCACCGGCGATGGCACCAGCCGTGAAAACTCAACGGACTACCTGGACCATGTTGTTGCCCCTATTGTGGAGGCGGATATACCGTGGGCGTCGACTTACGGCAATCACGATAACCAGCCCAATCTTCTGACAGATAATATTTACACCCGGGAAAAGACGTATAGAAACAGTCTAACACAGAGAATGGTGCAAAGCGACTCGGTTGAGACCGGTGTCACTAATTACTACCTACCTGTGTATGCCGCGGATGGATCAGATACACCCGAGCTTGTTCTGTGGTTCTTCGATAGTAGAGGCGGATATGTGTATGGACAGTGGCCAGTTAAAAAGCGACCCGATTGGGTCCACGAGACGGTAAGACTTACTATGTTTGAGTTATGATTTATGAAACGATGTTTACTGTTTGAACAGGTTGTCAAGTGGTTCGAAGAAACCAATCTTCATCTACGAGAGCAATATGGCAAGGCAATTCCATCGCTGGCATTCTTCCACATTCCTGTGAACTCGACGCGGACATTTCAAAGCACTCACGGAGTTGATTCCAGCAAACAACCTGGGATTAACGGAGAGCCTGTGATTTCGCAAGGATACCAGTATGATGAGTATTCTCAAGAATGGGATCTGCCATTCATGCGAGCATTGTTGAACACAGAAGGTCTTCTCGCAACGTTCAGTGGACATGACCATGACAATGACTGGTATGTTCTGGGCTTCATCCCCCTGTAAATCAGGTAATCGTTTTAATATTTCTACATAGGTGCTTCAAATGGACCGACACCGTTTCGGACACCACTCTTCCCGGGAACGGTCTCAATCTGTGCTATGGTCGCCATACAGGATATGGCAGTTATGGCAACCTGGCGCGAGGAGGACGACATATCTTTCTGAAGCAGGATACCCTCAAAGACGAGGTTATAACATGGATTCGATTGGAGAGTGGACTGGTGACGGAGAATGTGACGTTGAACGCAACGTATGGGCAGGATGACTATCATCCTCACTATTTCCTGCAGAAAAGAGGCGTGATTGTTGAGAATGCTGGTAATGGTCTTTCTTCGGATCCGAGTTCGCTCTTGTTGTTTTTCATTATGGCTGTTTATTTTTCTTTTGCCGTGTTTAGGTCGTAGCGGGAAGCTCGATGGCCTTGACCTTAAAATGCATGCATGAGGTGGGAACGCAGTTGACTCTTTCGAACCATAATCTCAAGATACAGTCAGCTACCAATAGAACTATGGCCTAAAAGCATCATCTAATTTCATGTATCGTGCTGAGAAATACTAGTCACTATAGTGGTCGGGTCCATTCTCCATTTTCTGGCGCTCTCGGCTTCCCCCGACAACTGACACCATCACAAAACTAAAGTATATTCAACAGTTGGCGTATCCAATGACTAAATATCAGTTTCTAATACTACTCAACCAGCTGCCCAGATCTACTATTATTTTGTGGTAGAACAATTCGTCGGGTCAATGCATTCCCGACCCCGGCGATTGGCATATCTCTGTGCAGCGCATCTTGCGCGCTTTGTTTTGCCTGCCCAATACCTTCAACAATGCAATCCCTCAAGAAATTCTTCAGGCGTCAACCACTTTGTATCACTGTCAGTGTACGACCGTTATCCATTGAATGCCGAGGTATCTGACCATCAATAATATGCTGTGATGATAGAAAACTAAGGATAGATAGGAAAGCCAATTTCCAGGGAAGACGTGTTCCAATATACAAATGGAAGATTTCTCCTGGATGAAGAGACTCAACTCTCAAAGCGATATGTTCGCTTCGACATTGACCGATTATGTGATGTGATCAGCAGTATCGGTGGAGCGGAGAAATCACCAGTTTCAAAGATAAACAAACTGGAAGGTGGCTTCAGTAAAGCGCTTCTTATGGCCACGGAAAATGGCTCCGAATATGTAGTCAAAATTCCATGTCCTAATGCAGGAAGGCCGAAGTACTGTACGGCATCGGAAGTCGCAGTACTAAATTTCGGTGAGACGATCCCTCGATTAAGCATACTGTCCGTCAAGCTGATCTATACCTACGGCTTAAGTGCGATCTCGTACATCAATTCCTGCTCCCAGAGCTATCTCCTGGAGCTCTGATGTGACCAATCCTGTTGGAGCGGAGTATATTGTCATGGAGAAAGTCCCTGGCGTTCAGATGTTCAAAAAGTGGGATGAAATGGGCGAAAGCAATCGCATACCTCTCATTAAGCGTCTAACACAATGGGAGTGCGAACTCTCAGCGATTAAGCTTCCGGCTTATGGTAGCTTATACTACGGGTCATCGTTGCCCGGCTCTGAAGCTATTTCGCTGGATCCATCGATGGATCCCGAAGGTGAATTCTGCATAGGGCCTGCTTGTGATTCGTCTTGGCTTAGTCCACCTGGGCATAAAGAGTTGCCAGAAGCGTATTATGGTCCTTGTAAGTATTTATTTCTGGGCGCGAAATGCCAGAACTGATTACGAACTACAGGGAAAACGCTTTCCGACATGGGCAAGTCTCTCATTGAGCGATCTATTTTTCGAGCCCGGGGACCCTCCAACACCCATTTGCCAGCGTATTTGCGTGACTCACCGGATAATCATCTTGTCCTGCTTGATATGGCAAAAAGGATAATGCCAATTATAGGACGCAATTCCAAACTGTTGGAAAAGTCTCAGCCGACATTATGGCATACAGATCTCCGCATGGGTAATATCTTTGTTTCCGAGAAGAAGCCGGACGAGGTGACAGGCTTCATTGACTGGCAGAATACTTCTGTCTATCCACGCTTTTTGCAGGCGCGGTTTCCTGTTTTCTTAGCGCCCCCTAAGGGCTATCAAGAGGGACTGGTTATGTCTAAGCTTCCCCCAGACTTTGAGCAGATGGACAGCCAACATAAAGAGCTTGCAATGTATAACAAGACGAAGGCGACTTGGACAAAAGCATACGAGGTTGCCACTTACTTGAATAATCGAGAATGCTAGAAAGCGACGAAGGCTCCGATGGAAATCAAAGAACTCTTCCGTCGTTGTGGTGAGACCTGGGAGGAGGGTTTAATACCACTAAGAGAAGTCATGATTGAGATTTTTCTTGGGCAAGAGGACTTAGAGTTCCCGACAAAAGCTTCTCCCGTCTCTTTCACAGACGAGGAGATAACGCAACATAAGGAGGCTCTTTCTATTTACACGGAGTGGCACGAGATGCGCTCATTTGCCAAAGAAGTGCTTGATACCGACGACGAAGGCTGGGTGGCACCGGAGCGAGATTTTGATGAAATCAGATCCCGGAACGAAATGTTGCCCGACTACTACATTTCCACCCAAGTCTCCACGAGAGCTCCAAACGAAGTTAAAAGGACGTGGCCATTTCCCACGCATGTCTAAAATGGCTGTTGGGAACAGATCATCGTGGAAGAGAGAAGTGAATTTTTGTAGCGCCGCGACGGAGTGGCTAACGTGAGCCACCAAATGGCCCACATCAGCCAGCCGAAGGGATACTTTCTTTGTCCCAATCCAAAAACCAACTCCGGACATCTTGTTCGAAAAGTCTTCTTGAAGTCCTACATCATTCTAACATCGACTCCAATCTTTATTTATCTAGGCAACAATGGTGAACTTCAAGACCGTTCAAGCCCACAATGCATCGCTCAAGTTACTAGGCCCCGGCCTGGTCGGAGTGTTCGGTAAGCATACATCTGCACCCCTTCTCAGAAACACCTAAATCACTAACATAACATTCATAGTCGGAGGCACATCAGGAATCTCTCTATCCACAGCCCTGGCTTTCGCACGGTACACTCTTTCGCCTAAGATCTACCTGATCGGCCGCAACCAGTCCGCTGCAGACCACGCCATAGCCTCAATAAGAACCCTCAACCCATCCGCCCAAGCTACCTTCCTGCAGTCTGACATCTCGCTTCTCAAGAATGTCGATCGTGTATGCGAGCAAATCACCGCTTCCGAACGAAAAGTGAACCTCCTCTTCATGACGCCGGGGTACATAACTCTTCAAGGCCGCAACGAGACAACCGAGGGACTAGACCGGAAGTTCGCACTGCATTATTACGCACGCATGCGCTTCGTCAACCGTCTCATGCCACTCCTAACAGCGGCGGCGGATTCCCCCGTTGAAACTGCGACTGCTAATGCGCGGATCTCGCGCGTCGTCTCCGTGCTGGATCCGCATGTCGCTGTCCGGCTCTGTGGGTCCGGTGCGCTCGATTACTCCGACTTGAGTTTGAAACATAGTTTCACGCTTAGTAGATGCGGCGCGCATGCGAGTCTGATGGGGGATTTCTTCCTTGAGGGAATGGCGAAGCGTTATGTGGGAACCTCGTTTGTGCATGCGTACCCGTCCGGTGTGGATACTGGTCTCATGCGTGAGATTCCGGCCGGAGAGGTACTAGCCACTGTGCTGAGACCGTTTCTAAGTCCGTTTTTGGTGCCGATTGAGGAGAGTGGAGAGAGGCATTTGTTTGCGGCCACGAGTGGGAGGTATCCACCAAAGGCTCGGGGTGAGATAGTGGAGCCGGGTGGTGATATGGCGAGTGGTAGTGATGGGCTTAGGGGGAGTGGTTGCTACTGGGTGAGTTGGGATGGAGAGGTGTTCCCTCAGAATAGTAAATTGGATAGGATGAGAGAGCAGGGCGCGGTCGAGAAGGTGGTGCAGCATACCGAGGAGGTGTTTAAGCGGGTATGTGAGGAGGGAGGAACATACCCCTGAATCAACCGTCCTAGTTGAATCTCAGATTATCCTGATTCACGAATAGTAGGGAGGTCTGTCGCCCGCACCAGGTAAGGGCATATTTATATTTCCGAGATGCTGACGAGCACATGTTATTCAAGAAGCATTTTCGATCCAATCACCGACCCGAACTTCTACCAATGTATTATTCTCATTACTGTCGATTGAAGGGTTTGATGCTGACTTTGTGGATAGCCGTGTATCATCACAAACAGCCCTTTCCACGTCCGAGTCATCGCCGTAAATACACTTTGCTATATAAATCGGCTCCGAGGGAGGTTTGCCTTCGCCATTTGCTAGTACCCATTCAAATACTGCAACTCCATTCTCTCGTTGATCTAGAGCGACATCTGATTATAGATCTCATTGAGACATATTCCGGCTCTCTGCCGAAGGCTTTTTACCACACCTCAACCCCTACCCGCCTCTGATATGACTTCGTTCAGCCTTGGTCAAAGGGATTATCAACAGAAGGCTTTTGGCGTACGAAGCCGCCGTCATTGCGGCAAATCCCTGCCATTCATCATTCTGGTGGGTATCCGCGTAGTCGCATATTCCACAGATCACAAGACATGGAAAATGGTTCATGAGTCCTGCTGCCTCCATTTTAAAACATAGAACATTCCGCTCGGTCGCAAACCTATCCCGAGTAGTAGCATCATCAATCAGTTGATTTCCGGAGCAAATTAAACCATAGTGAACAGCGGGGTTGTCGTCTTCTTCGGTCCGTTCCGCGCGCGGAATCAGTAAAGACGGATCATCAGTACAGGAGTCGGTACAAAGTGAGGAATGCACAATATCAGATCTGAAGAGTTTGTCCGCATCCGGTCCCGGGCGTTGAAATTTCTTCTGCAACCTTTGGTTGCGCGAAATGATATCATCAATGGCCTGTTCGAAACGATGCCCTTTTGCCTCGATATCCGCGCGCAGACCATTGACCGCGTTCCGTAGCAGCGTTGGTGGCTGGTTCAAGAACCCCGTCATTTCAAAATCTCTGTCTTGTATCTGTTTTCCGAAATCTGACTGGAATACTCCACCCTTTCCATTACCCGGAGAACTCACCACGATATCGCCCAGGCGAATATCATGCTGTTGGCTCGGAGCACCACTTGCGACGCCGACCGTGAGCCCAATTCTGATATTGGGAAAACTATGTAACATGTCTCGCGCGACAGCTGCTGCGGAAGATGTCCGGTCTTTCCCGTCTGTCAAGAGCACAATGACCACATTATGATCTCGCATCCTACCCAGGGCGTAGATATTGTTGTCGTGTACATCGACAGATTGAGGGATTCCGTGTTCCTCGTCTAGAAACTCTTGGGCAGCAACGTACTCGGTACGTATGGAACAGATCCACCCGACTGTATACTTGTCATTCGAAAAACGAGATTGACCCGGATATTCGCATCCGAGCTTCTCACCATTGTCATGACGAGTGCCAGGTAAAATATCTCCATTGTCACTAGGCTGTTCTTTGGCTTCTTGGTCGTTTGAATTGCTCTTTATACACCTGCTCCGGCTGGGTGCCAAAGGTTCCGAATGATTCAGAATGGGGTTGGTGCATAATACGCTGTCAACGGCATCGGGGGAAGCCGTACGCCGTGTCTTATGCTTCTTCCGAGGCCGAACCTCGGAGCTAGACTCCGACGTGGCGATGGAACAATCAAAAGCTTTTTCTGTAGCATCCTCTGAGACAGCTCCATCGTCGTTAGACGGCGCTGCACGTTTCCTCTCTCGCATCGCTGAACTTCTCAAGACCATCGTACCGACTCAGTGTTATGATAATTGTTGTTTGCATCAAATCATCCCCGGACTTAAAGGAGCCTCGTGGGGGATAGCACGTCAAGGGCAGATGGTAGGCGTATCGCGACACATGGCCGCCGAGCGAGGCTGAGAGCGGGGCATTGGACATCGACCATGAGGCTTTCTGTTGGTCGACTGAGTTGCGTGACGATTAAGAAATGAAACTTTGGCCTTGGCATTTAACGCTATTGACAGGCATATGATAAAATAGGATTATTTCAGGAGGGAAATGAACTGTCTTTTCTAGGTCATTGTAGCTCCAATATTTCTATATGACTTCCTCCACATATAAACAAACTCGGAAGACGAGTGGCCTGATCTTTGACTTCGTACTGCGTAGTGTCCCTCAGTGCATCATCATACCCCGGAGTAAGCGCTTGCTATTGACTAAATTTGGCCCCAACTACTGTATGGGGTTAAGGTGATTGGAAAGAGATCACCGGTCGAATCCTTCGTTCCCGCACGAAAAATAACCGGCCCCCATTTCTTTTCCCAGTATTTATGGCGCAAACGCCCACTAGTCGGTGGTTGCGATAAAGCTTCATTCCCACGAACCCTTGGGCTTCTTGTTATCTTAACAGACTTTCCAACCATGACTGACATCAGAGAAAAGCCGACCATTTTGCTCATTCCAGGTGCCTGGCACCTAGGCAGCACCTTTGAACCAGTCGCCAACATACTTCGAGCACAAGGATACCAAGCTGAGACAGTAACACTACCATCTGCCGGTGGTCCTTCGACAACCACAGCCTATGATGACGCCGATCATATCCGCAAAGCGTACTTGAATGACCTGATCGCCCAGGGCAAAGAGGTCATTCTAGTTCTGCACTCGTACGCCGGAGTTCCCGGCACAGAGAGCGTGAAGGGTCTCGCCCGGAAAGACCTTGCCGCACAGGGCAAAAAGGGCGGCGTGGTCGGGTTAATATATCAAGCTGCTTTCCTGGTTCCTGCGGGAGCAAGCGTCGAGTCGTTTCTACCCAGCGGATTGGACCCATTCATGACGTTAGAGGTGAGCACTTCACTATCACATCCTTTTTTCGAGGTGCAAAATAGCTAATCCATCGTCCAGGACAACAAAATGTATCCTAAGAATCCGAGGGAAAGCTTCTACAACGACATGGATGATGAGACTGCCGCGAAGCATCTCGCTGCATTGGTTCACCATGCGCCAGAGGCCATGCGCACTCCCATGACCTATGAGGCCTACCGTGATGTGCCGACTAGCTACATTCTGTGTAATCTGGATGCTTCATTTTCCCTTGCCGCGCAACAGATGGTAGCTGGGATCCCCGGGGAAGGTGTTGTGCGCACATACCCCGTTGACGGGGGACATTTTGCTATGCTGAGCCAGCCGCAGGCCGTGGCTGAAGTGATTCAGGAGATTGCCGGGACTGTGACTTATGTATGAGTTAGTGAATATTGAATGATAGAAGAAACTGAGAATCTCTGCTCTGCTTTTGCCACTTATGCGCTGTGTCTAAAGAAGCATTGGCCTTGAAGATAGTGCTACAACCGCTATGATAGACTCTGGTCCTTTGAAATTGAAATACTTCATTTGCCCAAGATTGATAGATTTAAATCTGGTCCATCAAAATACATCTCAAAGCGAAAGCACTCAGCCAAGGTGACCCTCTAAAGACAAGCCCTAACTCAACGCGCCACAACCAACTCACGTCTCCCTTTTCATCATCAACTGGATCATGTGCAACGCAGTGCCGCCAGATGGTGCACACCCGTAAATCAATTCGGCAAACAGCCTCATCTGCGTCGGCAGCGTCGGCATGCGATAATGTTCAATGATGAGTTCCGTATCAACTTTCTTCGCAAACGAACTCCACCCATCTTTCATCCCGTATTTCAAACACGCCTTCGAATTCTCCGCCGACCACCACATCGGCAACAGGGCTCGTGTTGATCGCTTTTTATCAATCCTTCGCAGGAACTTGACGAATCCCTCCCGAGCATTCTCAGCCCCGGCGTAGAGAGAGTAGGGCGTTCTTTTGTCCATGTATACGAGGTTGTCGTCCATGCGAAGCCGGTACACGTCGATGAGCAGCTTGTAGACGTCTTCTTTGGGGCGGTTGTAGAGCCACGTTCTTTTGTCGAGTTCGTGGAAGGGCATGGCGATCTGGACGTCGAGATTCGTGGGCGGCAGATAGACCTTCTTGCTCTTTTTGTCGTCGTCGGGATCTGGGGTACTGAGGGCGGCGATCTTACTGCAGATTCGCTTGTGGCTCTTCCAGTCGGCTTTTTGGCATTCTCGCGAGCAGTACCATTGGGTTCTGCATTTCGCGCAGCGTTTTAGAGGCCGGTCGTCGGAGGTTGTGGTGCAGATGTTGCAGGTGTTTGCCTCTTCGGTGTCGGACATTTTGGTAGAGGATGAGCCCAGTTGTGGTGAACTAGGAAGATGGCAGGAAGGAGAGGGATGGGCCTTATTTGAACTGGTTCTGGGAGTCGGGGCTTTTCTTTTTTCTTTTTTTGCGGGGAAACGGACTGTTTGTACTTGTACGACGACGACATCGAGGCGGTCTACAATGACTGTTCACATTTGCTGTCGATGGTTTGGACTCCTCATATCACTGCATCGGGGCTGTTCTATCCGTGATGTTCTATTGGACCTCATCCCGGTTGAGGGTGACGCTAGTGCGACACTATGCTTGTGCATACCCGCGTCGTACGCATATTCGGAGAGATCAAATCGGTCATTGGATAAATCAGAAGGCTGAGGGCAGATTTCAATCCAAACTGGTTGTGGTCATTTCAATTTTCCGGGTTTTTGCAGGTGTGGTTTGCTGGCTCGCTGTTTCAGCTGTTGGCCGGTGGCTAGCTGAAAGTTCGTTCGACATGGATTTGATGCCAATATCGCTGGTAAAGCTGTAACGACAATATCGTACCAGGGGCATAGAATGTCAATCAATCCAAGGGCTAGGTGTGTTTCATTTTGTTTATGGCGTTCGAACTACGGCCATCTCCGTCCACCTAAAAATGCAGCACGGCGGACTGCATATGCAGATTCAAACACACCAATAATTCCGGATACCTGTCAGAACAAGCCAATTGGGACCAGTTCGAAGTAAAAGATTCCAAGACATTTCCTCAGCCGCTGCCAGGCTTTTCACAACTGATTGAAACTGACTTCAACGCGGCATCTTAGTGGGATCGATTCAAAATGGCTACGAACGCGCTTTGGAGATTCAACATAAGTAAAGAATGGGAATAGCGCATGTCACCACATTTTAAAATATTATAACCATTTATCAAACCTCGTTTGAGTCAGAAATGCCATCTGGGGGTTACAACGTAAAGTTGCTTTTGCTTTTTCTTTTCTTCTTCTTTTTATTTTTAGATCGTTAAGTTGTCCAAGCTCGTATCATACCGTTATCTCGGAACTTTGGGCTAAGCGTTCGATATTAAGACGATGTCTATTGTTTGAATACCAGTTCATTGATAGGAGGTTCCCAAAGCATTGCAGTTGACACCATCCTATCCCGTAAGTCGTTCTAAACCTGGGGCAGGAAATGACAACCACAACTGTCAACCGTCAAAACCAAGTGCCATGGAATCCTAAACCGTATTAAACTTTCATTGTATTTCCCCAGAGTCAATGACGGGCTGCGGGCTCTCCGGAGGGAACATTGCATTGTCCCGATGGTCGAGCCATCCACGATTTCCGCATGCGGCCATCCCCACAAAACCCTAATTGCGACAGCATCCGCCGACTGCCCATTCGACGAGAAGGACAAAGACAACCTTAATATGACGCGTCTGGGACATTTGTCTCGATTTTTGGTGCCGACACATGATCGTGTTCTTGATACATGGTCTGTCTGACTATCCTTTTCGCGTGTGATGAGCTTGTCGGCGTTAGGAGTTCGATTAGGATAGCCTTTTGTCGCCCTATTCAAGTCGCGACAGATCTACCAGAAGTTCCGTTGAATCAACTCCAACTACCCGAATTGGTCAAAAAGGATATGCCATAACCTGTTCTAGCCCATTCCATGGGTGCATCGATCAAGATCTGGCCAAAGCTCAAGCTGCTCGACCAGTCCACGCCCGCCTGATGGATTGCTCATGAGTCAATCCGACCAATCTTATACGGGCGCATGTTCTCGACCATGGGTATTCATTTACAAGTTCGAATCATGATACCGTAGCAGTATTGTCTATGTATTGATCTTTACTGCACAACTAGGCTGTTGTGTGTGCACACGGAACGCCGCTATTTCCACCCATATTATTTCGCGTTGCTATGTCATTCATCGGTTTGATTGTCCTAAGGTGATAATCCGATACTACCTTTAAGTCTCTACCTGTCTTTATGTGAGAGGATAGATAACCATGTGGCTTTCTTCTAGGATGGCTCCTACGCTCCCTGCGAGATTGCTACTTGTGAATAGCTTCACTCAGAATTCAAGTTCTCTATTGGCACCCTGGTTTTGACTCATTTCTATGGACATATGAGCCCAAAGAACTGTCTTGTTATGATTCTATTTAAGTTGAAGCGTTAAATCTTGCAAGTGCCATCATTGGTTTTGCATGGCATTAGTTGACTTCATATTTTGATGAATCAGGATATTGCAATTATCACGTAATGGCATTATCGAGAACTTCTCAATCTTATCCCCAGCATGATGGTTTGGGACATCCATGACTGTAAGGAAAGAGATTTTCCCGTACTTTTGTGCACAAAGAAGGTAAAATCCCAGTCTCTCAACAAGTTGGCTTTAGTTTTTCATTGGCTGGGAGTAATTATCCGGGTGACCCTCGAAAGCCCTAATTCGCGATGCCCTCAATCTATCGGTGGCATCGACGGGTGGAAACCCAGTTAACCCACACCTGCCTGCTAACGCAGCTTCCGACTATCCTCTCCTTTCTTTGATTAGATCCCAGACGCGGAAGGCTTGCATCTGTGGTTACATCGCCCTAAATGCTGATGGCGCTGATCGCTCCCGCCATCCGCTGTGATTGGCGAGGAAGTGCAGCTACAGGAGCGGTCTAGGACGAATCCATAAACACACCCTTGTACAATATGTCTCCCACTAGTCTAGAGGCCCTGCGCATTGGTATTCCGCGGGATCCCATGATGTGTATTCCCAACGCATTAATTCCTGCTGCAACGCTGGCGACCGTGCCCAACAGAGGGGAGGATTTGTCCCTTTTCAGCATTATTTTCTTTCTGAACTTCACCACTCGGCTGGAGAGCGGCGGCAATGTTTTCTCCAAAGCTGAAGATCTTCTTGATTGCTAGCCATGTCTCGCTGTCTGGTCTCTGTTATGGTCTGGACACAGGTTCGTCGGTCTAAACAGCCTTGCAGTGGGATATTATGACAAAGAATCTAACGACCCTGCAAAATGCCCAGGCTCAATTGGTGTCATTACCCAGATGGAACAGTTCTCGCAGTATATCGGCCACCTAACCTCCATGCAACAGGGGATCTACGTCTCCTCGATTCTCCTCTCCTCGTCGGTATCCTCCCTCGCCAGCGGCCACATCTCCGACCGCATTTCGCGAAAATGGGGCATCTTCATCGGCAGTATTCTCTTCCTCATCGGAACGATCATCTCAGCGACTGCGCCTAACTTCGCAGCGCTGATTGTCGCCCGGCTCATCACCGGCATGGGCATGGGGCAGGCGATTTCCGTTGCCACAGTCTATCTGGTTGAGATTGCCACGACGGATATTCGAGGCGTCACGGCGTGTCTGTTGCAGCTGTTTGTGGTCATTGGGATCATGACGGGGTATTTTATCGCGTATGGATCGCACGATCTAGAAGGGAGTATGGCGTGGCGAGTTCCGTTTATCGTGCAGGCGGCTGTGGCTGTTGTCCTTACTCTTGGACTGCTCCTGGTACCCTTTTCGCCGCGGTGGCTGGTGCAAGTCAGTCGGAATGAAGATGCGAAGCGAGTCCTGGGGAAACTTCGTACGCCTTCGGTTGTGGATTCTGAACTGGCTGAGATTCAGCGGAGCCTGCAGTCTGATCGACACAAGGCACTTGCGACTTGGAGCGAGATCTTCAGTCGGAAGTATGTTGGTCGGACATCGCTGGGGATATTTTTGATGTCGTTTCAGCAGTTGACTGGTGTAAGTTGACGTTGCTGGGCTACCATCCATTCTATTAGACTGTGCAGAAAAATCCCTAACGACCATTAGATTGACGTGGTGCTATACTATGCCCCCATTCTTTTTCGACAAGCAGGCTTCACGTCCGAAAAGGCGTCCTTCCTTTCTTCCGGTGTCACTGGTATCGTGATGCTGGTGTGCACCATCCCAGCTCAGATCTGGATCGACCGATGGGGCCGTCGAATGCCACTCGTTATAGGAGGCTTGATCATGTCTATTTGCTTTATAGTCACTGGCTCCTTATATGCCAAGTTCGGCGAGATAACCGAAGACGCCGTCAGTCTTTCGTCCAAAGCCGCGCAATGGGTCGTTATTGTGTTGATTTACATATTTGTGGCCAATTTCTCTTGGTCCTGGGCTGTGGTAGGTGTCTCTTTCCTGGGATCGCTATTCTTAGACAATTCAATGACATACTAACATCATTCTAGGTTGGAAAGATCTACGCTTCCGAAATAATTCCCACTAGGCTGCGTGCAAAAGTATGCGCGTTGGAGCTGGTTGCGAACTGGATTATGAATTTCGTCGTGACCCTTACGGCGCCATTGTTTTTACGATCTTCACCTAGTGGTCCGTACTTCCTGTACGGATTCTCTACGATCGTGGCCGTCGTTGTTTGCTTTTTGATGCCGGAGACAAAGGGTCGGAGTCTTGAGAATATCGAGCATTTGTTCGAGAAAAGGAGAGATGGCGAGGAGGAGGTCAGCATGAATAGACCATAGAATTTGCCATTCTACAAATTATCGATAGCGGGAATAGACAATGCAAGACCGTGGCCATAACTCGCGGACCGGACAAATTCCAGATGTGCCTCTCCTCTGCTCTCCGTAAATTTAGTGTGACCTTTAGCAACTTGATAGATCCAGATCAGTCTTTCCTTCCTCCGAGACACGATTAACTGAATACAGCACGGTTCTTCCCCCTTCCCAACAATCAAAAGTTCAACCGAACGTCAAGTTGACAGAAGGACCAACGGTCCGGCCCGCCCACTAGCAGACAAAGTGGCAAAAGGATGACAGATCCCAATAGCCACCAGGGGCACAAGAAACTCATTTTCCTAAGACAGTATCGGGCCTGCACAAACCACCAGGGTACCAGATCTCGACCGATTCCAAGCCACACGTCCTGTGAAGAATCTTCACCTGGAAATTCACCGGAGATACTCTGCATCAGCCTGTTCTAGACTCTGCATTCGTCGGCGTGTCCGCGCACTAACAGCTCGGTTGAGAATATTAGATGCAGACGTAGTGGGGTACGGTAGGATCTCTGATCGACGGTTTTCCGTCTCTTCTCGGTGTTCATTCGCAGCTACTGCACGGAATTAGCTTCCGTGGGGGCCGGGTACAGTAGCGTGGCGCATAGGCGGGTTCTTCGGGCTCGGAGGAATTGAAATGAGATGCAGGCTTAGGGGAGTGTAGAGTTTGACGCGCGTGTCGAGCGAATTCGAAGGAATGGGATCCTAGGGTGAAGTAGTATTTTGAGTGAATGTGAAGCTGAAGAGTGGTACTCTTGTGTGCGTTAGCGATGGAAATGCTACTTCGGTGGGATGTAACAGAGACGTTGGCTATGACAGACTTGCCTAAGAGACAATTGATACCAATGAAGAAACGGTTCTATGTTGGTTCGATACGAGATCGGAGTTTCTTTGTGCTCGGAGCCCGACGGCTGAAGTTTCTGCTGAATTTCGAGGGCTGCAGAAATTGGCGATATGTAGATCTCTACTCTAATCATCTGCAATGTGAAGAGTTCTGCAGCCAACAGGGGGCACTCCCCTGGAGATCTTGAGTTGCAATTACGTGCAGTGCACGGATGTAAGCGCTGCAGGGATGCGAATATGCATGTCAATGACAAGTTATCTGATTGAAGTGAGTAATTTCGGTTTGTCAGGGACTCAGTCCTCACGCCAAAGACGGATATTCGGCATGTCTGCACGACATCAATCAATAGATCGATCTAGATGGCTGTGAATACTGCACATATTCTACCGTTCTTGGTAGGTGATGCGCCGGTAGCGTGTTTGGATATATTCTCCGGCCATCTGAAACCAATTAGGCCTCGAGGTCTATACTTCCCTGGATTCACATGCCCAGGATATTGAGGGATACCAAAGAAAGTTTGCTGGATGCGCTTTCATCACGCACTTCCATCCCGGCAGCGACAGAACCATGGCATCAACCGTTCCGCGGAACAAGACTACCCCTTTAGCTTCTTTTTCAGCACGTTCTAGGATTCTGAGTCAAGGCAAGGTGCGCTGAGAAGATCAACAAACTTTGAAGGGATAGATGGGAGAGAGTAGCGTGCATAAGACACTCTCAGATGGGCAAGTGATTGGATGTCGTGCGAGAGAACTAGGACCGAGGAAGAGATTGTGTTCAATAGTCGTAGACCCCTGTAGAAATCCAAAAGTACCATCTCCTTGAAGATGGCGACGCTCTTCATGGTGGCAATGGGTTAGAGCGATTGGAGGCCTGGCAACCACAGTATAAAAGGGTCGATGATTCCAGTCGTTGAAGGGAAGGAGTTCAGACACAAGCACTCTTTCCTTCTAATTCAAAATCATCCAATTGATTTCCTAGTCAGTACACGGCCAGCAATGGATGTCACAAAGTGCGGTTTGGGGCCACTGTGTATGTTGTAATCGCAGCTTCAAATAATCCGTGGAATCTAACATGTCAACAGCCCCGGAGTTCCACGAGCCTTCCGACATCGACGGAGTCAGGCAAGATCTGTTCACCAAAGGCATTGCCTTTATTGAAGGATGTGATGAAGATTCCCTTGTAGAAGTGGCCAACCAGCTCGGCGATATCAACCGGCCCCGGAATGAGAAGCTCCAGGGCAGTGGTGTCAGTCATATCCGCTTCGCACCCAACCTGACAGGGAAAGGATACAGCTCCGAAGGTATGCCGCGGATACTATATCCGGCTGAAACACGCTAATCAATGGTCTTAGAGTTGTTCTTCCACACCGACCGAAGTGGCTGGCAGAGTCCTCCCGGCATCTTGATGTCTACTCTGAAAAGTCGATCAGAATCCGGTGGTGAATCTCTGCTCGCAGATAGCCATCGCATTCTCGAGATCATCAAGCAAGAGGACGAAGAGCTGTACAAGCTTGTGACCAGCGCCAAGCACACTAGCTTCTACTCCGACGACGGCGTGTTCGTCCCGCGGGCGATCTTCGACACCGAAGACCAGATCTTCCGTTTCCGCTTTGACGACAGCATCCAGCTCTCGGCGTCCATGGTCTCCGGCTTTGCCAGGTTGCAGGAAACCATCTATAAGAACGCATTCGTGGTCTCGCTCCAACCCGGTCAGGGCTACATCCTGAACAACCACCGCTTTCTGCACGGCCGGGCCTCCTTCTCCGGTTCGAGAGAGCTGCTTCGCGTCCTCGTAACGCCTCACCCTCCTCGTCGCGAGATGGTCGTTCTCTTCGACATCGACGGCACCCTCTGCCGCTCGGAAGACCTCAGCATCGACGCTTACTTCTCCTGCGTCAGCGCCGTCGTAGGCAAGACCATCACCCACGCCAACACCCCCGTCAGCCTGCACGGCCGCACAGATCTCAGCCTCCTCCACGCCATCCTGGACTTCCACGCCGTCGAGGACAAAGCCCAAGCCACCGAGAGGTTCTTCTCCCTGCACCCGCAGTATCTCGAGGACTCCCACGCCAAGGGATTCCCCGTCCTGCCGTGTCCCGGCGTCAAGGAGATCCTCGGCTGGCTGACCGAGTACCAGCGAGACCGATGCGATCCGCCTCTCCGCATCGGCCTGTTGACAGGTAACTCGCGGCCCAACGCGCTGTTGAAGATCCGCGCGGCGGGCTTCGACACGAGTATCTTTGATCTGGAGATCTCGTCGTTCGGCGATGTCCATCCCGATCGGCAGTCGTTGTTCCAGGACTCGTTGCAGCGACTGCAGACTCGCTATGGTCGCGGCGTGGCGGCTCATGATATTGTTATTGTTGGCGATACGCCGCTGGATATCGAGTGTGCGAAGCAGACTGGGTGTTCTGTTGTTGCGGTCGCAACGGGAAGTTATAAGGTGGATGATTTGGCGCTGTTGGAGCCGGACTTTTGTTGCAGTTTGTTGACCGAGGCGAAGGATTATTTGGCTTTGAAGTGTGCCTGAGAGGTCACAGAGATGAAGATGTCCAGTTAAAATTAGTTTCAGTGTAGACAGACCAGCTTATGGTTCCCAGTTAAGACCTTTTTTTCTATAATCGGAATCTGATATATATTTTCTCAGCAACCAGGATTTCCTGAAACCGTAGCGGTAGGGCAAAAAAAAACAAAAAAAAAAGAACAAGACGAAAAACATCAGAAAGAAGTCCAAAAATTGATTGAATCTAGTTATCATCATCTAAATGGTTGTCTCGGTCTAATGATCCGAGAATGATTTCTCCTATCTCTCCGGAGGCCATTCCTGCAAGCACACCGACCCCAATAATTCCACCATCGCTGACCTCGCGAAGGAAAACACTTTTGCCTCCATCCTGCGGGCCCGCGCGTAAGATAAGCCGGTCGATATATCTCTGAACCGTCGCCTTATAGTTCGGGTAGTGCTGGATCACACCACCCGAGACTGCGACCGCCAGCTCCTCGGGTCCATTTTTCCAACCGGAACCAAGGGGGTGTTCGTTGCTGATGGGTTCTTGATTATCATTCGGAGAGCTAGAGGACTCGGGATTTTGAAGACGAATCTCGCGCGTACAGACCAGAAGCCCAACGACCGCAGAAGCCACCAAAGAGGCCGCGCGGTCCTGTATTGCCGCTGAAATGGCACGGAGATCACTTGCTGATTCAGGAGTCCATGTCCAGCTGCTCTTCTCCGGAGGAGGAAGATGCTTTGATAATGTGACTGCAAGTCTTCTTTTGCTGTGAGCAGACGCCACTTCCAAGGATAAAAAGTCGGTTTGAAGGGACCGTTCCTGGACGAGCTTCGGGGGAAGGTCAGAGGCCGCAACTCCGCAAACTCGATGAAACCAGTCAAACGTGATGATTCGAACTAGCTCGCCAACATGTGCTCCTCCAACCATATACTCAAACGGTTGAAACCCCGGTCGCTTCGATCGTTTGTCTAGTTCTTCGTCCCATGCGGTTATGATGCCTAGTTCATTTAAGGGAGCCGCCGCGCTCGACAATGTCCATTCTGTAGAGACAAGTGTTTCAACCGCATCCGGTTCCTGCAACCGAAGATCCCGAGTTTTAGACTCATGCAAGTCTGCTATTGGAAAAGGGACAGTCGCGTTGCAGCCCGCCCCGACAATCAAACCCATAACCACGCGGGTGTTAGGTAACGAAGGGATCGAGTATGCTAGCGACGCAAGGGTCGCGCCCGTATCGTTAGTCATAACAGCGATTTTCAAGGTAGGTAGACTGTAAAGCTTGCGCTTTTTGGCTGGACCTGGTCGGTCGCGGTCTTCATCAAAGCTACGCGTGTGGCGCTCATACCCACGCAGCAAGGCCTGGCGAAGGTTTAGATCTGAACTCAAGACAAAGCCTTTTCCCGTGGGCATCAGAATGGCTTCGTCGAGTGACTTTTGCCTGCTTGGTATTAGCTACAAGCACCTTATAATAAACGAATCAAAAGAATGGAGTAGAATATAAACATACTCAAGAGGCAAGCAAAATGAGATCCCTGTAGTTAGTTCGCTTGGCATTCTCTCTCGAGGATTATCGAGACTGTCGGCTACCACTTCGGCAATACAGTCTCCAATCCAGGTGAACAAATTGAACGCGTCATCTCGTCGCAGATGCTCTTCGATGGGCCACGCTTTCTCCAGGGTTCTCCTGACACGCGACTGTCCCTGGATGGGTTGGTCTTTCAGAAGATCAATGAAGGCCACCCTCAAATACGACAAACCAACATAGACCGCGAGATAGCGACCGGTTTCGTGGCCCGTCGGCAGCCGGGTGATGGCTGTAGGGAAAAACTGCTTGGAGGGGGTGGAGGCTATTTTCCGATATAAGGACGATAGGCGAGAAGACAACCGATAGAGCGTATCAACGTCTAGTAGGAGTTTGGCGAGGAATTCGCTCCGGTCCGGAATAGCTGTCGGGCTCTCCTGGCCGGCTGAGGTCGGCCTGGACATGCTGTCTTTCCGTCTTCGATTCTTGACGATGCATGATTCTCGGGCACGGTGATGTTGCATCTGACACAACCCAATGGCGGAGACGTGCGCCAAGGCTCTAATGCCTGCGCTTTCGACATAAGTGGTCGATGGCGTGTGGTCTGCGGTTTCAGCTAAACGGTAGTCGGTTAGCAGATGGCCGTTCATAACACGTCAGGAATAAGCTTGAATTGCACTCATGCCAAGATGGGGTGAGTAGTCATCAAGATGTCATCCCTGGAAGTCTCATCGAGGCATGGCTGAGACCGTGAAGCGTAGGATGGAAGGTGCGTGCAGATAAAGAGGAGGGAGAGTGTCGTTTGGACGATGGAGGCGCTGACTCAGCCGGCGTAACGAGCAAACCAAGCATTTCAGGCAAATGTAACAAACGTCTCCATCTCCAAACTCTCCCTCTCTCTTTCCTCCGCTCGAACTCTATCTATCGTCTCAATCCCATTCTGACTCGCCAATCCACGCGATCATACTTGCATTGAGTTGGTCGAGCCTAAAATCGTCGACCTCATATTGACGTCCCCGATTGTTTTCACGATGCCAGCTGAACACTTGGCGTGGGCCCGTCCTGATGCGGTGATGGCCATAAAAGGCTGGCTCTGGGTGTTGGACGAGACTTGAGTCCCTTGGATTTCGTTCCTTGGATTTCGTTAGTGAAATTCCTTTGAAACATTTGCTCAAATCAATGACACTAACGAGGGGTAGTCCATCTGGACAGAAGCCCTTCCTTCACTAAAAAGACAGTTTTAATCGCCTTTTATCGACATCAGCTACAAAACCATACTAATCAATACCAACCAATAAGATGGCCACATCTTTCCAACCCAACGTGCATTACACCTTTGGCTCGCCTCTCTCCCCAAATTCGCTGTTTGGTCCCCGACGTGTGTCAAGCATTCTCGAGCACCGTAATGGGTCCAACGGGGCAATCCAGTCTCCGCCCTCCCGAAGAGGCTCGAGGAAGTTTAGCTCTGGGGAGGCGTCGAACCTTGCAGAGGTTGTGAACTTTTTGACCCGCCAAACCACCGATGAAATGGATGCTGTTCTCTCAACCGAGCTCATGAATGCCACGTACCCCGTCCTCTTGGAATGGATTCGCTCCGAGAGAATGAGCAAACTCCCCCCTGAAGGGAGTAGCTACGATCGGGTCTTGGTATGGGCATCCTTGTTTGTGGAACGGCTGCATTCCTTTGAATTGGCCATCGAAGAGTTTGCAGGGGACAGCCCAATGGCTGCACAGCTTGCTTATGGACACTGTGCGGTTTTGTTGGAGGTAAGCTACATTACTTCAGTTAAGAGTTGGTCTCACTGGTTAACAATGAACTTAGCTTGGGGAGGAAAATGCTTCAGCTCTAATGCTCCTGTTTGGATTCTTCTGCAGCTGTTCAATGGGCTTGGTGAACTTAATGGACCGCGTGGAGTTGTTCTCCGTTTCTCAGGACATCAAGGACCAGCTCGTGCTTGCGTTAGCCGACTTAATCACATTGGTAGTGTCCGTTGCGACGCATTTCCACAGGTCGATGAGGGGTCTGACCTCGGAGTCTTTGTCTATTGATATTTATGGCACCTTCCCGGGCCCGATTGAAAACTTTCGTAGCCGTTGCCAGCACGCGTCGGAACTGATGTGGAGGCATCAGCTTACTCGCGAAGGTCTCGGGGATCAAGGTACAGACATTCTGACCTCTGACCGCTGTAAATAACGAAGACACTGCTAACGTTGATGTCGTAGTATCAGACGTCAAATTCATCAAGCTTTGGCTTGAACCGGAGGATCCGGTGCTCGCCAATATGGTGGAAACCACGACACATCTTGCCCAAGAACGGGAGGAACTGACCTGCCTGTGGTTGAAGCCGTACTTAACTCGATTCATGAAGGGCAATCAGAAGACCCTTGCGATTAGTGGCAAATCGGGATCTGGCAGGACCATTCTTTCCTCCGTCATTGCTGATAGTTTGCAGTATCCCATCGGAGGGGTCAGATACACACCACTCTATGTGCCAATCAGTAAGGTACCAAGCCACTTTTCAATACTCATATTCTAACGCCATCCAGATGGGCGGATTTCAGGCAGAACCTCATCCCGTGCCATTGTCGAAACAATCCTTTTTCAGATTTTCGACAAGCGTATTGGAAACGTGCGCCTATATCAGATCCTTGTGGAAGCGCAAGAACGTTGCGAGAAGACGACGGATGAAGGGACATATGACAATATTCTCTGGACGGCTCTAAACCATGCCCTTGAACCCGGTCTGAAAGGTGCCAAAGATTTGGTGCTAATTGTCGACGGCTTGGACGAAGCGTCCTGTGGGGAAGACGTCTTGTCTCAACATCTCACCGAAGCTACTGCAAACAATGTCAAACTAATTACGCTTGGCTCCCAGCAGCACCCTACAACTTCCGAGCAAATTGGACTGCGCATGACGTCAGACCTTGTGTTTGACGATGTTGCTGCAGTAGTCCGGAGTGTTCTCCAACATAGCCGAGCCTTTGCTGAAATGTCGGAGACCAAAAGAGAGATTAATGTGAATCGGATCACTCAAGCCGCCGATGGCTCATTCTTGTGGGCAAAGCTCGCTGCCAAGAGGGTCGTCGCAGAGATTCCTCACAATGCACAGGCATTTTCGAAGGCCGTCGACAGCTTTGCTAAGCCAGGACAGACCATCACCGACCTTGTGTCCCACAGTCTGTTGTCGAAATCGTTGGGCGAAGATGGAAAGAATGTTCTGAATTGGCTCGCCACTGCTGCTCGACCACTATCCCAGCAGGAGCTCTCGGCTCTTTTGGCCGTCCAAATCGACAAGGGAATTATCAAAGAGCAGGGCACTGATCTTTCTAAAATTCTCAACCCGGTCAACTCTTTGGTGTTCTTCCAGAATGATCTCGTTTATCTCCGACATGCCCAAATTAAATCGGCTGTTCTTGAGGTTCTGTCTCATGGCAAGCCTTCACAGGGTGTCAAAGACCGCAATCTTGACTTGGCACAAAGGTTATTGGTTTATATCAAGAACCAGGTAACCAAGGATCAAGAACCCTCTTTAACCCATCTAGATTCCCATTTCACTCGAAGTTTACTAGAAAAGAACTCCTTGCTTGATTTTGCCCTGCGCTACTGGGTAGATCACACAAAGAATGCGTTTGCTTGCACAACGCAGAACGAAATCACCACTGCTGCAAAGGAGCTTCGTAATGTTATCCCCACATGTACAGCTGTACCTCTATTGGAGATGACTGTTTGGGATTCGAAATCAACACCGGTTCTTATGTCCCTGCATGATGTCCAAACTCGCCTCTATCAGCAGATTCTGACACCCAACCACCCGACGACTTTGCAAGCAATTCTATGCCAGGCCCTCTTTTACCGGGAAATACATGAAGCTGCGCCGTCTAAAACCAGCTGGCTGTTCTACTACGCCACAAAAATCAGCCAAGATGTTCTGTCGGTCGGCCATCTTGTTACAATGCACATGGCGAAGAACTTCCTGGACATTACTGCCGGGCAGGTGACGGACTCCAAAACGGAGATCATGGTCAAACGGGTGGAGATCTTCCAAGTCTTGGTGGAGTGCTACAAGATCCACTACGGGTCCACCAGTGAAATCACCGTGACCACAATGAACCAGCTTGCAGAGCATTACCGGTACATCAAAGAAGAGCGCAAGTCCCAGGAGATCACAAGGTCGATCAAAAGCGCTACCACTGTAGCTGATTCCCACTGGGGCGGCAGCCGGCAGTCTGACGACTCTCTGCGTGTGCACCTGCATGGTCGAAATACCAAGCACACAGCCACAGGTGTAACACTTGACTTGGATGAGAGGGAAGAGGACGAGCTGATCGAGACGGCCGTGCAGTACAGCCTAGAATCTCGTATTTCCCATGCGGAGAGACAGGTTTCAGATGGCAATGTTCAAGCCGCAGAGCGGACATACGTCGAAGCATGGCAGCAGACTAGTACCCAGTACCGACTGAATCGCTCTGTCGAGTGGGAACTGAAGAACGCGAAAGCGGTCTTAGCGTTTTCCAAGTTCTTGCAGTCCCAGGGTAGAAACAATGAAGTTGCCTCAGTTCTCGGAGGGTTCTGGCAGGAGTATGACCGAACAACATCGGGCTCGGAGGCTGTTGTCTCGCAGTTTGTTGAGATTGCAAATATCATGAAGTCTGTCGGTCTATCAGTGTTGGCTCTCGATGTCTATAAGAAGTGCGCGAATTTCTATCAGAGTTCCGGAAACCATCAGAATGCCACCTACAAGAACATTCAACAGAATGTTCAGTCCACTTCAAAGGAAGTGATGCAACTGGCAAGCTCGAGCAAGTCAAACATCTCGGAGAAAACCCTCAAAGAGATTGTGTACAGCGACTCATTTGACCAGTCATCTGTATCGGCAGCCAACACCCTTGTGGAGACCTATATTTCTCAACATAGGTGGCAGGATGCTACGAAGACCTTGAAGAAAGTGCTACAGGGCGTCTGGCCGGTACTATTTGCTTCTTCTATGCAGGACGTTGTACTTCCGGCCACCCAGGCCGACCACTGCGTATCGCTGGCAGAGCGCTTAGGTGATTGCTATCGATCTAGACGCCGACCAGTAAAGGAAGAAGACATCCGACTTCGGCTTTACCGTGCCGTGCGACGCGACCGTCCAGCGGGCGATAGAATGCTTGAGCGAACGACGACTTCCTTGCTCCGCGTGTATGAGCGCACTTCACAGACGAAAAAGCAAGTCGAGCTACATGAAGAGATTCTTGAGGATTTTACCAAACGCTACGGTGGCGAACATCCGACGGTCATCAAGAAGCTCTGGACTTTGGCGGAGCTCAGCCCCAGTCCAGTTTCTGTAGATTATTATCGACGCATTGTGCAAGCGCTCAACAAGGACTCAGACACTTGCCATCCGGACGCTTTCGAACCGCTCCTTCTTGTATCCAACGAGCTGTGGAACCATGCACGATATTCAGAGGCAATACCGCACTTCAAGGTGATGTTCCATGCCTTGCATAATTCAAAGATTAGCCCGAAGCTTCAGGATCAAGTCTTTGTGAGAACCATGTTCAGTCGCTATATCCAGTGTCTTCGTGCAACACACGCCGATTCCAGCGTCCTTCATGATGTCACCTCACAGTATCAACATGCCTGCAAGTCCCTGTTTGGCTCGTCAGCCTCCATCACTGTTCAGGCTACTATGACGTTGGCTACCATTTGCCAAGAGTCCAAGCGATACGAGACTGAGGCTGTTCGTCTCTATGAGGAACTTCTCCAAGTCAAGTCTGACGAGGTGGACCGCCATGACGTTCGAGCGACGCTGGAAGCTATTTATGAGGAACAAGCAGCTGCTGTAGCTACAAAGCCCGAGAGTGTCAGCTCTGAGCAGATGGCTCGAACGGTCCGCATCCGAAACAGACGTCTGTCTTCGGTCCGTTCGAACTACGGATGGGCCCATGAAGAATCACTCGCTGAAATGCAGGACTTGGTTTCACTATATTCGAAGAGAGGGCAATCTCAAGCAGTTCTTTCCTTGCTGAGGGAGGGTACCGTCCAGACACTGTCCACTGAGAAATCGTCAACAAGATTGACTGACGCGGCAAAGAGTATTGCATCCAGCTACATTGCGGCCGGACAAGTTCGGTCGGCTCGGGAACTCACCCAGGAGCTCTATCAACAGATAATTGCCAAGGACACAAGCAATACAAAGTCTGTCAGCTTCAACTTGTCGTCTAAGCAACGCGAGAGCCTAGTTTTCCTTGCTCAAATGGAATACAGTCTGCGTGACGATTCTTCGGTCACGTTTAATGAGATATTCTCGTCGCTGGCAACAGAATATCTCTATTTCGAACAATTCCGCAGTGAACTATCTTCCAAGTCCAGCAGTGTGCAAAGCGTGCTCACCTGTGCATCTCGTCTCCATGGATTCCTTCTGTCCCGAGGCCGTCGGTGGAGCGCAACCCAAGTTGTTGACCAGTGCACATCGTACTTCCTGTCCACTGAGGCCATCAACTATGCCACTCCTCAGCAAGCGAATGCGTTCGTAACAGCCATTCTGACCCATTTCACCAAGCATTGGTCATACGATTTCATCCGCTCAGTCGCTATCGCCAGCTGTGACCAAGTCACTGAGCTTCTCGCGAAACAGGAATACCAGTCAGCCTGTGATCAAGCCCTCACTGCATTCCACTACATCAAATCTGAGAACGGTTTTGCCTCCCTGACGATGATCAGACTCGGGTTCAGGCTCGGTCTCGCCATCTCCGGCCGCGACATCTCATCGTCTATCGACAACCAAACTTCCCAAACCATGCTGAACACCTCGTCCACAATCATGCATGAAGTCATGTGTCTCTTCAAGCAGAAGCAGATAGACCTTACTAAACTCGACCTCACCAACCTGAACAACCTAATCGGACTCCTCGACGACCTTCACGACTACCAAAATCTGGCCTGGGTACTCACCTCCCTCTGGAACAACCGCGACACCCACAGCTCCTACCAGCCACAATACGTGCTCGCCCTGGGCCGCATGCTCATCATCACCCGCTACCTAGTAGGCGACTACTCCGGCGCGATCCGCCTCTCCGAAGACATCGTCTACAACTGCGCCCGCGTCCACGGGCCCCGGCACCCCGCGACCATCGAAATGACCGTGCTGCTGTCCCAGATGTACACCAGTGTCGCACAGGGGTACCAGAACCACAAGGAAAGCCGCGAGATGGCCTTCCGATACTACAAGAAGGCGGCATCGCTGCACGAGAACGCGCTACGGGTGTTTGTTGACCCAACCATCTCCGCGGACATGGACGAGGGATTCGAGTCAGGATTCGTGTCGCCGGGCCGCTCGCCGAGCCCGGGCAGCGACGACGCCGAGGGCAAGTACGTGCGCCAGCACCTGCATCTGCTGAAGCTTGCGGTGGAGCGGCTAGGCGAGTGGCCGAAGGAGTATTCGGAGTATGAACGGTTGAGCTCGGACGTGTTCAAGGCGTACAGGCAGGATCTGGACGGCGTCGAAGGCGTCGAGAAATGGAACTTGAAGAATTTCGGGTCGGGGCGCGCAGAGGCAGCGGACGACCTGATTATGGCGAGTAGCTCGGGGGCGAGCAAGGGGGTTCCGTCATATGAGGAGCAGCATGCGATTGCTGTTTGATTTGCCTGTGAACAGTTGTTGTTAGTGGGTGATGTTTTTGCTTGCGTTGGAAATATTTTTAGGTGCACTTGCAAAAGTATGTATCTTATTGCATAAATATAATCTTTAAATTGATTCTATGAACTATATCATCAACTGTGGGGGGGAAAAGAAAAGAAAAAAAACCAGAAAGAGCCATGCAACCACAATGACTGGACAAAGGGCCCAAAAGAAAAAAATATCGAAACCCGGATAAATGACGTCACCGACCCAGCCGACCAGCCCACCGACAAGTGAAGTTGCATCAAGCTCCAGCGATGAAAACATCGCGCGAACCAGTCTCCATTGTAACAGCTTCCCTGCCCAATCACATTCCAGACACAAGAGCAGCCAGTTTCACCTGGCCATATGACATCAAACCTTGAAGTCATTTGCCACCTGCTTCTTACATAGTTGGCTGGCCATTTAAACAGTACTTCTTTCCCTCGCGATCACCTCACAGCTCAAGTCTTCTAAAATCCTTGATACATATAATATCCTCTATAAAACCATTTACCAAACCATTTCCAAAAAAAAAAAAAAAAAAAACCCGAACAAAAGCCCAAAATGTCCGAATACTACTCCTCCACCTCCTCTTCCTCCTTCTACTCCTCGAGCTCGGGCTCGAACACGAACGGCCAGGAATCCGGCTACCGCACCGCGACATCCTCGCACACTGCACCGGACGGATCGACGGTCGTGCGCTCCGCTGAGCAGGATCTCGGCGGTCCGGCTGTCTTCGAAGAACGTCGGTTTGATGGCGATGGCCGGGAGCGTCTTGTTGGGGACTCTACTACCGGACATGGCGGTGCTGGGGCGAGGAGGATTGAGAATGTTGATGACGAGGAACAATAATCCATTGTTTTTGAGGGTGAGTGTTTTGGGGGGTTGAGTTGAGTGTGGAAGGGATGGTTTGCTAATGTTAGGTTTTTTATAGGTCGGTTAGTTGATTTTGAAAAGGTGGTTTAATGCTGGTTACATGGGAGATTGAGGTTGAGATGGGTTTCGTGTTGATCATGACTGAATGAATTTGTATAATAGCTGTGCTGATAGTATTATGAAACGAAGTCATGCTTTCGCTGATATATATACCCCTTCAACCATCAAAGTAGATCGCATATGCTCACTCCAACCGAACACTCCGTCTGCCCTGCCACCTCCTCTTCACCTCTTCAATAACCACCGGAATCTCATAGATCCAATGACACAGCATCCCCGCCAGGAACCCAATCGCATCGTTCCTGAACCCAACCAGCAACCCCACCGTCACCAACATGACCGTCCACCGTCGCTTACGATCCACGTCGCTCAGCATCGGCGAGACCTCCTGCATCGCCTCCCCGCCCAGCAGCCCATGGAACGTCTTGCCGATGTCCCGTGCGCCCGTCGTGTTCAGACTCTCGCCCACACTGGCCAACTCCAGTCCCGCAGCGATGACCATCACGCCCAGCATGGCCGACGGGAACTGCTTCAACAGATTGACCAGCGACTCGCCGAAGAAGACCCCGATGATGAGCTTCAAGGCGCCCAGGAACACGACGCTAGAGCCCGACCGCGCACCAAAGCGGTACTGCGCCGCCAAGCCCCCCGATCCGTGACAGACGGGCATCGCGCCGAACCAGCACCCGATCAGATTCATGACTGCGACGCTGAGTCCGACCGAGGTGATGGATGGCGTGTGCACGTTGGGCAGCAAGTCACCGGCCAGATGCACGACTGCCACGATGGAGTTCAACGTCGTCAGCGGGAGCTGGCCGATTCCGGCGTTGATAGCGCCGCGCGCCCATTCCGCGCCGGTGGGGGCCGAAACACCCGGATGCCAGAGCTCCAGGGAAGGGAGGTTGGCGGCCAACGCGCTGCGGATGATGGCGAAGATAAGACCGATGATGAAGACGATCAGGGCGTAGGGAACGGTGCGGTAGACGTTCGTCACGAGGAGGAAGATGAATGCGGCGATCGCCCAGATCAGGTTATCGGCCCACGACGGGTGGAGCCATGAGAGTGACGAGAGGAGACTGCTGCCCGAGGCGATGATCAGGGACAGTCCGGCGCCGACCTGGATGCCCTTGATGACGGGGATGGGGATGACGTCGGCGAACCAGCGCAGGAGACCGGTGATGCTGAAGACGAAAACGCAGGCGCCGACGAAGATGCCGCCGGCGGCGATGGATCCGTTATTGAAATGTTGGGCGAGTGCGACGGCGGCAATAGCCTTCATGGGCTGAACGGGAAGCGGAATGCCGAACAGCAAGCCCGTCAGGATGTTGAAGAGGCCGGAGAAGATCAGGGTGCTGGACAGCGAGATGGTGCCGTTGACGGCGAGAGCGATCGCGATCGGGAGGAAGGTTCCCAGATCGCCGAGGGAGCCGGATATCTCGGAGACATAATTTTGGCGGAAGGTGTTGAGGTTGTGCCGGGATATTTGTCGAAGGGAGTAAGTCATGGCGACCGATGGAGATGAAGGGAGGGAAGGGATGAAGTGAAGATGAAGCGGAAGAGAAGCGGTGGAAGAAGATCAACGGAACCCCGCATGTGAGGGAGAAGCCCTATCGCGCCTTGTTGCCTTAGTCTTGAGTCTCTTCCAGGGTCATGCCACGAGGATCGCTTGTCTTTTCCATCCAGCTGTTGCTCCATTCGACAGTCGTGCGAGATTAACTCTGCCCACAGTCTCTTAGCGCGCCATTCATGTCAGCAGTACGTCATTCCTGTTACCGCTCCTGGCCACTCCGCGATCTCCTCAGATTATGAGGTTCTGTTATAGAGTAGCATAACATTCTATTACAAGCTAGAGCTATCATTTGGTGACGAAGGTACTTATTGGGTATAATATACTTCAAGTAGCGAGGCTAAAAACTGAATGTATTCAGTCTGGGAATATAGATAGTAACATATAGTGGAAGAGCAGCGCAAACAAGACCAGTAGTATCAATTTAATAGCCATAACATAACTCTTTCCAGGTATGAAAATTAAGAAGATATTAAGAATAATAGACAGTAAATATACTCGGAGGTAGGAAGTTATTGGATGGCCAGCTTGCTGTCTATAAACGGCAACTTGACCTCGATTGACCGCGCTTGCTGCTCCATCTGGCTAATGGCAGTATGCTGATCATCATGGAGGTCTTTAGCCAGCCATGAAAGAGGAGTGGTAATAGCGATGATTTCCATAAGCTGGCCTGTCCTTTCTTGTTCAGAAACATGGTAGTGTAGAAGAATGCAAAACCGAGAACGAGGACAACAGCTGGTAAGGTCAGGAATGGCCAAATAACTGCAACGGAAGCTTCCGGGACGAACACAGTCCCATGAATGAAAGAGCTGTCATTCGTTGTCAAAGCATACTTGGTCCGATATGCTGCGATTCTCGTCAGCATGGTGTCTAATCCAACCGACACAGCCCTCACCAGAGCCGGCTCACCCACACCACGGCAGGATGGAACAGCTTTGGGATACCATAACGCACCTGTCGAGCTATAAACAAGCTGCTTATAGGGTGAACGGCTAGTCAGGAGACCTGTGAAGTATTGGGCGTCCCCAGGCTTAATGGGACAGACGGTGAGTTCGGTCGCGAAGAAACACCATTCGAGGTAGAGACATTGTAGGTGCGCGCGCACATGGACAGCACGCACGCCATGGCCTTTTTTACTTTCAGCTTCTGTTGAGGCGGTTTTATTGGATCCGAGGTACCCCATCCACTGGTGAAATCAAGTTTCTATCCTGCAAGCGGCATAAACGGACTGTGGACTCCAGGATGAGTTCGGTTGTGGAAAGAGGATATTATCATGCTGGGTATCTCCATCAAAGCAGATGGGTTCTCTCATAGATATCCTCGCCGACTGCCTACTCCAGGAAGACTCGATACAAATCATCAATCTCCGCGGTAAGAGAGCCATCACCCTGGTTGGCATCTAACAAGCTACCCAACATTTCATCCAGAAAGTTGGGATTATCCAGAATACGACTGGCGGCGGCGGCGGCGGCGGCGATGAAAAAGTCGCCCACTTCGTTCAATGAGTTTCTTCGCTCGCTCCTTCCCGGGTCAGACGCCAAGCGCCTTCTTCTCGGCGATTCCCGCTAATTCTCTCTTTCACGAAGGTGCGAATATCTCGTTTGGTGGTCGTTCGGAGGTTTCTGTCTCGATGCGGACGGAGAGGGTTGGGGTAAAGGTCGGGAGGACGCAGCTTTGTCCAAGATGTTAGCCTGGCCGAACTTGGTGGTTTGGCTCGAATATTTCTTCGTTGTATCGTCCAGAGCACTATCCCTTTCCTTCGAGCGATCGGGGCTGAAGGTGCCCTTTAAAACCTTGTAGCGGGCCATTCGGCGCAACGAGTGGGCAGCATGATGTGGAAGCTGAAAGTTTTCAAACGGAGGAGAGGGAGGGAGTAGAGGCAGTCAGAGGGAAGCTGGGCGCCTGGAAAAAGCAATCAAATTTGATTCCTGCCGTAATACCTATCAGTAATGATGGTGCGTTAGTACCGGAAGAAATACTTGAGGGTATGTCAGCCAGCTCACCGGTGGTAGTTGGTTAATCAGGCCATGTTCATTCACTGTGCTGTTGTGATTTTGCTATGAGATTGGCTCTACTCTTCACAGCTCAGAAACGCGAGTAGGAGGATCAGGAGATGGTAAGGCACACCTGGTGCTCTATTTGTCATACCTGGTCTAATATGTACATCATAACCAGTCTATGAAGTCAATCAAAGCCAACAAATTACATCATACCGAAAGATGGGGGCGAGTCTCGACTGTAGTGGGTATATATGTCAAGTATCGTTGGACAGGGACAAGGCACATCGGACCCAGCCCTGACACAACGATCAGAGCTCCGGTGGCGACTCCTGGTTGAACCCCTGGTCAGGTACCCTTGCCACCCTGTCTATGGAGCACACGCTGCAGAGATCCTGTCTTGATGTGTGCCAAGCCCAGGAGTATCACGCTTAATAAAATAGGTTGACTTGCCATTTCGACGCCGGGGCTGTGGTATCGTCTCCCGGCAAAAATTCCGCCACCATATCCTGGCCTTCGGGCGTTTCTCGGACAACATTGTCATCGACCAGGATGCGCAGGCCCGCTGCATTGACGTGAACCACCCGGATGATACTTTCTGGCGGGATATTCTTAATCGAAGAGAGTTGTTTGATGAATTCCGACAGGGTGCGTCGTACTAGGTATACGGCATGGTGGTAGGCCTCGTGCTGACCGTCGGTTCGTCGGATAACGTAAAAGCAGGCAACTATGAGAAGGGAACGTTAAGGCACCATTTCACAAACGGGTGCATCTACGGTACTCACCAGCGCGTTGATGGTTGCCTACACGGCTACGCATTGGTATATTGAGCGTCGTTAATGGTCGGTTGACAGCACTGGGTTTGCCGGTGTCTGGAATGATCGAAGTGGCCGCCCAAGGTGTCATGAGATGAGTATGGGTACCACCAGAAGCTTGAGGTTTCTTCTCTGCACTCTGCTGTAGTACCTCTCCCCACTGACCATCCGTGCCTAGCTCCGATGAAAAACTCGTGCCGACAAGAGAGCGCTCTGTTGGCAGAGGGTTTGAAAGTGGATTCGGAAATAAGAGAGGAAACCGATCAGGGTCGTCACGCTCGTCGCATGGCAGCGATAGCAGGCTGTATGGCTCGGAAGACGAAAGCATCGCCCGGAGAACAAACAATACTTTGTGAGGATCTTCATCAACGGCCAGAGTATCTGTCCCTGGAGGCCCTTGCGTATTGTGTAGATCTGTCGGGGCGAGCTGCTGTACGCTAGATTCAGAGCCCCGAGCGACCAGAGGAAGCTTTCCACGTTTCCGCTTACTGGTACTCCGGCCGTCGGTCGGAGAGTAGGCGATTGACTCCTCGACTCGCTGAATGGCTTTCTTAAGCTGGGTGATATCATTCGTTATCTTCCTTTCGGACCCGTGGTCTCGGAACAACTTCACTTTGCAGCAAGAAATCTCTGACACGGAGGATGACTGGTTTTGGAGACCTGGTTCTGAGGAGACCACTTCCGTCTTGGCACATAGACGGACAGGCGCGCCTTTGACTCCCTTGGATAGGCTGAAGTCGGTGGACAGAAAGTTGAAGACGACGTGCATCTCGCAGCCTAATCGACCTGACTGCGGATCACTGGTCCACGCAACGCAAAAACCGTCGACCGTGGAGCTCTCTAATTCAATGAAAGTCTCAGCAGCGTCTACAGAGTTCGGCTTGGTATCGACGAACTCTACGGCCGCAAGGTTGCCGCCTGTCTCGCGAGCCTCCGCTAGTCCGCGGCCATCCACCCAGAGCTTCCAGGCCATCAAAGGGTCAGCACGTTGCTTATCGTCATCAAAACATATCCGGATGTGCGTTCGATACCGGACCGTGGGAGACGAAGTTATAGGTGGTATGGTGTCGACGACCGAGATTTTGTACGCCTGGCGCCGGTTCAAATAGGTGACGGGAATTTCGCACTCCTTGTTGTAGGTGGCCGTCGGTGTGTGTAAGATCACCTGATACCGAAATGGCGAGGACTGGGTATGCCTGGAAGGTTATCATTAAAGTTTGCCTCACTCAGAATGGGAGTGGGATGGAATGTCATACAGTGCCGAGTGTTTGGCTTCTGTGAAAGGGGTCTCTTGGAGGGGCTCCAGAGGGTCGAGGTCGGGGTTGGGGCCATTCAGCATGAATGATCTGGGTGGGTGAGTGGGCGGTTGAAAAAATGGATTTGAGCTTCTCCAAGGGAACGTAGGGCGGCGGAAATATTCGAGCTGGTATGCATCGTTTGTGTGGAAGGCGGCATGGCCACTTTGCTGCCCATCAAACGCTGGGCCCCAGGGCGATGTTGGCCCAAGGGCAGAATCGCACTCGTGCATCGGAGTGTGTAAGTCGCCCGCAGGGCTATGAAGCACTGCACACATACGACTCTTGAACACGGTGCAAGAACAGCCCTGCCGACTTAACGGTGAGGACACAAAGGCGGGGTTGTGAGGGAACAGGGTCGGGTTGGGATCGAATGTGGGCAGGGCTGGCACGTTGGGATTGGGCGGGAGGATCTGCTCGGGTTGAATCCCCGTCTGAGGGTTATATGGAGTGGTGGCAACATCACCGAATTTGTTCTGGAAATCCCTAATTAACACTTCATCCGGTTTCTGGCCACTTCTGTTGATGGTGAAAGCCACAACCAAGTTAGCAGGCGGCTCCGGGCGTCTCGGAGTGACAACGGACAGATGGCGTTAGCTTGGAAATACCTTTTGCGAAACATCCTGTGCTGACAGGTCGCTGTCGTGCTGCTGTGTCCTTCTCCCCAGTCTTTCTTTTCTTCTTGTCCCGTTTATTTTATATCGGATGTGGCTAACATGAAAAAATAAATTGGAAAAAGGGGGGGAAAAGGTACCAGGAATTGGATCTCGATTACGGCAAATGTGAAACTGCCACATTCCTCAGGCAGACGACAGGACGTTCTCTCATAGCCTGGGAAGAACATCCGGTGGCACAAGCCCTATCCTATCCCGGCTTAGGTTAGAGACTAGTAAATGATTCTGATTGGGGCGGGCGTCTCAGTCGCCACCGGAGATCGAAGCAGGGAGCCGGCTCAGCCAGTGAGGGCTCGCTGGCAGACAATGTCAACCCGTCCTCCGTAAAATTGAAGATCACTAGTGTCCGTTGTGTGGAGTTTATCTGTGGACATGGTATCCGTCCTCTGTCAGTAATGTAACCCAAGTCATCCGCGATACGGCTAGAAAATGGGAGATTCCTTGTTGGGAAGGTCAGATGCGGCCAGGACCGTCTCATGGTCATGTCTGATTGCTGTATGATCTATGTAGCCCGAAATATCAACATTGCCACAGCTGTGAGGGCAGTTCGACCTGTCATTCCGTCCATTCCGTGCTCGCTTGTGTGATCGAAGTACCATCTAGAGGGTCATCGAGCTAGGCCATGTGCTATATACCTTTTGAAGACATTCTGATATCAATTCTTCATGAAATGCAATTTCGTATCAAAAGCGAGGAGTTGTCGTTGGGATAGGGCCGGTGGAACTCCAGCGGGCGGAGGCAGCCGGAGGAAACATTTCCCCCATCGAATCACCGATCGCAGGATTCGTGCAACGCTCAGGTGATCGCAAAACACGAACGCAATTGGAGCATCAGAATCAATACCGACGATGATGGCTGTGTTTAGCGCATCTCGGAAGAAAATTCTAGATGCCGGTCTGGGTGGCGACTGATATCATCGGCTCAAGTGATCAGACATCCGCCTTGCCTCTGGACACGCCCATTCGCCGAGATGCCGACAGAAATTCCAAATTGCATGTACCCCAGATGTGTTCGATCCCGTGGAATTATTTGTCATCGTGATATGGCGTGACAGGGTATTGCCACTGAGATTTGGCATATGATTCTAGACAAAATGCATGGTGTTTATTACTGGTAAATTTTGCCTCAAGGTGTGGGCGAGAACAATGACCTGGGAGAGCAGCGAGGAAAAATTGGAAAAAGGTAATCCAAACGAATGATGGCAACAAAAATGAGATTGTGATCACAAATCAAGGCATTGAATCAAGATTGATAAGATGGAACTTAATTGGCGTACAGAACCATGAACTCCCACGCGGACGCCACGAGCGCCGCGTTGATAATTTGCCACCTCATGCGCACTGCATAATTTTGACAGTATTGCCGGTAGACCTTTGATGGTAGTGCTGATTTTGATGATGGTCCAAATGATGAAAGGAGGTCAATTGGTTGAGGTGGTTGTGGAAGGAAGGAATCCAGAGCGTTCAGCAACGAGCAAACCCAACAAGACAAACAGCCTCACGTGCACAGTTTGCTGCCTGTGGCAGAATTGCTATGCATTCAGTGCAGTCCTATTACCTAGGTCAGTATCCCGAGATTTCCGAAATCTACAGATGGAAAGTTACCCACTATACTGAAAAATGAGTATATTCAACAGGGATGTCTATTGCATATATGCAGGTCTTTTGGGTATATACACTCATAACCAGGTCATATCACAGGTCAATCACTCTATCCAAGCCTGAACAACCAAAGACAGATGATCAGTCAACCACGGCTCGCTCAAGGGAGTCTCGAGATCGAACCCATGCCACCCATCCTGGACAGTGAGGATGATTTTATCCTCCACCGGCTTCCCGCGTGCCACCTGACGAGCCTTCTGCACAAACTTCTCCACGCCATCCAGGGGAACAATGGTATCCTGCGCACCATGCATGATGGCAATCCCGCCACGGGGGATCTTGACGTCCGGTTCATCCAGCTTTTCAAGAGGATAGAAGCGACCCCGCGGCTGGCCCTCTGTTCCGCGCTCGTATAGCCGTCCGAGGTCTCCGAAGTGAATGGCCGCAATCATGAGTTGAAACCGCTCCATCGAAAGTCCAGTCGAAAAGACATCTCCCGGTTGAATCTTGCTTTCATGATCACGCACCAGCGTCGCCGGGAGTGGTGGCTCTAGCGGCTCCGAGCTTGGCGTACCGAAATGATCCGAAGCCATGTCCAGCGCGGGATAACTGCCCGTGGCGGCTCGGATCTCGTCGGGATGCGACAGCGCAAGAAGGATGCTAAGGAGACCGCCAGCGGACTCCCCAGCAGAGAGAACTCGGGTGAAATCGATATCCGTCGGGTTCACGGAAGTGGACAGCAGATCTGCTACGGTGGAGGAGTGCAGCCAGGTCCAGTAGTCCTCGATGTCCTCTAAAATGTCTGTGGAGCTGGACTCGGGGAGGAGTCGATGGTTGGGCGTAGCAATGATTGCATTGTGCTTTGCCGCAAGCTCCAGTAGCCACGAGGGAAACCATTCCTTCATCAGGGAATCTCCAGTTATCTGGGTTTGTTAGTCGCGGATCCGCTCGACTCTCGACTAATAACCCGAGAAGATTGAACCTACCAAGCCACCGCCATGAAAGCGAACGATGAGCGGTCGCTTTCCTTCGAACTTTGACTTGGGGATCACAAAGTCGGCTCTGATCTCGTGGTCATTGACCTTTTTATACGTGGTGTAAATGATATTGAAATTGACGAATTTGTCCAAGTTCGCGTTCGAGGTATCCATGATGATTATGGTAGAAGAACTTAAACAAAGTATTGACGATTGCGGAAGAGAATAATGACAGGGAATTGGAGTCGACTTCGAGAGTCGAACGGGGTTGATTATAAGTTGCGATGAAGCTCAACGGGTCTTTGGAGTCTTCAGACCGAAGCCCGCCCCGGCCAATCACAGCGGACTTGAGCGGGTTTGCACTGTTTGGCAACAAATCAAACAAACACGACAAACCCGTCGGGGGCCAATCGTCGCCCGCCCTTCGCATTCCTCCGTTGGTGTTTGCAATCTATCGCGAGTTCACTCCACCTTCGACTGTTCCTTCTGACTCATTTTGCGGAGATCACTTGTGTTGAGACATCAGGAGTGAATGCAAACTCGCCAAGGGGCCCGAGCCGATCCACGGCCCGACTATATGTCTAAAACCAGGCCTCGTCTTCTCCGACCGAACATCGGCTTGACTAGGCAACAGTCCTTGCCCTCTTGTCCACATGATCTCTGCCTGTCCGATGTGGAATAAGGGCTCGCCATTAGACTATATCGAGCCAATCGACGGCTCATTCAATGCATTGGTTTCGGATATCATTTCCGGCCCAAGTTGTATCCCAGCAATTGGCCATAGAGCCGAACCACTTGCTTCCAATTGGACAGATGATGACATACAGCTGACAAACGCACATAGACAAGGCCTGGCCTTTGTAAGATCTTTTCGCAGGAGGTACTGGACTTTGTTCCTAGATCGAAGCTATAGAACGGCGCCATGACCCTTTTGTTGCGTGGGGCCTCGGGACCCCCTCCCGAGATCGCCCATATCATTCACGTCACTTTTGAGAGTCACCTCTCACGACTCTTACTGACATTATTCGGCCTTTCTATATCCCACTTTCAATGGCATTCAATATTGCCAGACCGATAGCACAGTTCCACGGCCGAAGCTTGGTCAACGGATCAGCATCTGCCGAGCTACTCTACTCCTCGGCTAGCCTCAGTTTCTGGGGCGGAGTAAATCCCCAAACGGGTGATGTTGTGGATCACCACCATCCCTTGCGAGGTAAATGTATGGCTAGTCGAATCCTTGCCATACCATGTGGCCGCGGATCATGTACCGGCAGCACCGTGATGCTCGAACTTCTGCTGAACGAGTGTGCTCCTGCGGGGTTGATATTCGAGCAGCCGGAAGAGATAGTGACACTAGGAGTCTTGGTGGGAAAGGTTCTTTTTCAGCGCTCGCTTCCGGTTATTGTTCTCGCTTCGGAGGACTTTCATCGAATCAAGGACTGGCCATTTGCCGCCATCGATGCGGGAAGGGTTCAACTCAGTGGCAGTCTTTTGGCAGCACCACCGCTGCAGCTCAATAGTCTAGCGAGTCAGGTTGAGCTCTCTCAATCCGATCAGAGTATACTTGCAGGGGCAAAAGGTACGGCTGCAAAGGTTGCCCTACAGACCATTCTTCATTTTGCTGCTATTCAGGAGGCAACGTGTCTTATCGATGTCTCACGCGCTCATATCGACGCCTGCATTTACACTGGCCCGGCTAGTCTCAAATTCGCACAGTCTTTCCAAGCTATGGGGGCTCGATTTGCGCTTCCAACGACGCTAAACTCCATATCTATCGATCAACGTCGATGGAAAGAGCTCGGGGTTGATCCTGAGCTGGCAGAACAGGCTGGCACACTCGCCAACATCTATCTATCCATGGGCGCGCAGCCCAGCTTCACATGTGCACCATACAATCTTGATTCCGCCCCGAAGGAGGGTGAAAATATCGGGTGGGCAGAGTCGAACGCGGTCGCATTTGCCAACAGTGTTCTTGGGGCACACACGCAGAAATACCCAGACTTTATCGACGTGTGTATTGCATTGACGGGACGAGCTCCTTCCGCCGGGTGTCATACAGTCGAAGGCCGTCGTCCCGGAATTTGCATCCAAGTACATAGCATTCCAGACTCCGTCGACGATGCATTCTACCCAGCTCTTGGATATGCTGTCGGTAAGATTGCCCAGCACCGCATTCCCCTAGTCTGTGGTATCGATCACCTCAACCCGCAACGGATGGATCTCAAATCGTTCAGCGCGGCCTTCGCTACAACTTCGTCTGCGGCCATGTTTCATATCAACGGAGTGACTCCGGAGTCTGCACGATTTGCCAGCCTCGAGGCCCGTCTACCCCACTTCCAAATCACGGCCCCCGATATCTTGGAATGCCGACGAGGCTTGAACTCCGCCCCTGACCCATCGGTTGGGTTAGTATCGCTCGGTAACCCGCATTTCGCCATGGAGGAATTTGAAAGCCTGTCTCGGCTTTGCGCGAGGCGGACGAAAAGCCCATCAGTTGAGCTCATCATCACCACAAGTCGCAGCACTTATGAGCTTGCGTTCACTGCTGGCATAATAACCACCCTCGAGGACTTTGGCGCGGTGATAATTACCGATACATGCTGGTGCATGCTTGGGGAGCCGGTTGTGCCGAAATCGGGTAGCAACATCATGACCAACTCAGGTAAATACGCACATTATGCGCCCGGAATGGTCCATCGGGGGGTTCATTTCGGGAGTCTGGCGCAGTGCGTCAATGCGGCTTGCACGGGGAAATTTTTAGATATCCTAGATGCTACAGACGAGAAGCAGTACTAGTAGACACTACATTGGAATCCTTTGTGATTAGAGATACTCCAAGATATTGAGAAAGTAGAGAGACTCATGATATATATCGTCAATCTTTCGTCCAGAGAGTTTAGTCTTCGTGTTCAATAAGAGTCTCGGTTCGTATCATTCGCTCCACTGACAGTTATTTCCAATTCAGAACACGCATGGTATCACCCAGAAATGAAATGGCTGATCAAAAGTGGGCGCAACCCGACCCAAGGATTTGACAGTCCACTTCTCCCCACAGAACCTTGGAAAGGCCATTTAAAGTGGGAACTCGGCATTCGTCCGGCTCTTTCTCGGTGACATGGCTACTCCATCAAATATAGTTTAGCTTCATAGTTGAGTGGATAAGCAGGGAGCTTAACTAGCCACGGGGCAGGCAGTTGAGCGGCCCTGAGATGTTATGGTACTAAAGCCATTTTCATGGAGATTTAGAAATATACACAATTTGTCCCATTTATCTCATCAGTACTCGGCCTATTGTCTGTCAAGTTGTCTACATCGGGTGTCAACAAAACAGTCCAAAAGGCTTAGCGTCTCAGATAGCGGGCGCACTTGCTATATGTCGTAGAGGTAAGTGTTTGACTGGCATTGAGTTATTATTCCGTGGCCAAAGTACGTGGACGTTGTGATTCATTGCTATTGAACTCTGATCCCTTATCGTGGCACTATACTATTGGTTCGTGACCCTTGGTACGACCGCGACTTTTATTATTTTCTCGTCCCTTCGCCGAGCCTCCACCTTGTCAGAGGTAACATTTCATCCTCTCCCTTGTCTCCAGCGAACGGCGCTTGTTTTCGCGGTCCCCGTACTTCCCAATCCACCGTACTATGGATCCATACGTAACCGAGCCAGAGGATATCCCCTCCACCGATTTGTATGCTGACATTCCCCTCTACGGACGATACCGCCCCAAACAAAGCGATTTTCATGTCAACCCAGAGCACATCGGCTCCCTCTCGTCGGACTCAATACGATACTGGGAATCGGTACTTGACTCCTGTGACGAATCTGTCAGGATCTACCCAGCCGATGAGGATGGGCGTGATGTATTTGCACTCGGCAGTGTCATTGTCAAATCCGCCCATCTGCATGAAACACGCGGGATTGATTATTCGTTCGCCGATGCCAATGAGGCTGCCGCTGTCTCTATTGCCAAAGGCGTCCTCGGGGATATTCGAGTGCCTGACATCTACTTCGTCGGCCAGGTATTCTCTCTGATTCCTTGGTTAGAGTAGTGGACATACTTATCAGTTCTCAGATTCATGACCGACCAGTGATCATCCAGGAAAGACTTCCAGGTGTTACGTTGGAAGTTGCATGGCCATATCTCTCACACGACCAAAGGCAGTCATTCAAAGACCAGGCGCGGGCGATCCTTCGACAGCTCCATACCATCAAGCCGAAAGATGATCTTCAAGCTCGATCTCACGTTGTCCCGGACCCGAATATTCTCCGCAACGGTCGGCTGAATCCTCTGGAGGAGGATATCCTTTTCGCAGAGACCAATACTGACCCAGACATGAGCTTCATGCATAATGACTTTACTCCGTCCAATTGCATCGTTGACAATGATAATATCGTGGGGCTGATTGATTGGGAAATGGCCGGGTTCTTCGGTTGGAAGACGGCGGGTGAAGTCCATCGCAGGATCCGGACGCCTCAGAGGGAACATCTTGTGAATGCATCTCTAAGCGAAGAAGAATTGCAATGCATGATGTTTTGGAACGACCTTTATGACGATTGAATTTCTTCCTCGGAAAGTCAGGAGATGCTTTCATCGCAGTCTTCACATCTTTGATACATGATACAAATGATCAGAGTCTTGTGCGTCTTCACGAGAGTTTCTCCATCATAATCCTTATGGGCTCGTGGCCGTCGGTGGTGATGAAGCACGTCGGATTTTGAATCATTGCCATTGATCGGACAGTCCGACGGACGAGAAACAGATAGGAGCAGGGATGCTTGGGTAGCATTTGTTATGGAGCCCAGCCGTTTACGAGCGCTGGCTTTGGTCTAGGAGACTTTACTGTGTGACCGGGGAAGTCTCCCGCGTCAAGGTGACACGAAATCGACGTCTTGGATTGGAGATGTTACATAAATTGACTAATCAGTGGAAATATCAATATCTTTCCCCCACTCATTCGATACTACCTTGACTGCATTGGTGTGTGCTGTTTACGCCCGGGGGCTGCGCCTCATTATGGGCGTTGTGCTCCCTGGATGAAAGAAGCAGCAGTTGGGCCGGATCATCCATTTTCTCTGTACCTTTGAGCGGCTCCCTGGACTTTTGCTTGCCTAGCAACAAAACCAGGATATTCCCTACCAGGCGCAGTACAATCAGGAAGCGCGGGAAATGGAAGAGAATGTCTAGAGCATCCTGGGCACTCTCCGAAAGCTTGCTAGGCTCCGATGGGGACTCTGCAGGAGCACGCGAGGATTTACCCGCAGTCGATCGGCTGTAAACTTCGTTGATTCTGTTTTCGCATCCCAGATTGATTGCAGGTTGCCGCAACGGAGTGCCTTCTCTGGTGCAGTTGGGGGGATCGCTCGATGACACGGGCGAGACCAAAGTAGGGGCGGAAGACAAATTTCGAGGTATGTGTAGAGGCGGGTAGAGTACTGGACTACCTCCGTGTCCTGGCCCTGTGACTAGATCCCCATTTTCATTCATGGTCTCCTGAAAAGACACGGGCATGGTGTTTGGCAACTGCATGGATGTTTGCAGCATGTTCTCCCGCTCCATAGCATGGGGTAAGCTCTGAGCAAGGCCGTCCAGCCGTCGAAGAAGACGGTGATCTCCGATATACGGCCGAACGAGAATTTCGCTCTGGCCCTGTGCCTTGTTGAAGGGGTCGGGGAATCTAAGCTGGCGGATCTTGTCTTTAACGCGATCCCGGCTTCGGTGCAGTCTGCCGTGAATCTCAATTTTCATCAGAAACGGATTCTTGCCATGATGGAAGGCGAATGCAGTGTGGAACATGTTCCGACGCATGGTCTGGTATTCGGGATCGCTCTCTTGAAGCTCCCACTTGAGCGTGCGGTATGTAGAACGCGGCGGTGTCGACAATAAACGACCGGTGAAGGTCCACCGGCTCTCATAGTTGAACTCCTTCTCTCTGTTCATCCCGATTCCTCCGCCACCACTACCCAGGACGTTCACTTCCGGTGTGATATTCAGCGCCCTTTTCACCGTCACAAGCGAGGGCTCGCCACTCAGGCTTTTGGGGCCGTAATGGTCCGTTATGCGAATGTCGGTTTGTTCCGGCTCATCTTCCCAATGCTGACGGCGCAATCGAGAAAGTCGAGGATAATCTCTCTCGCGACACCGGTCAGAGTTCTGCTCTTCGAGGGTTATGGTCACACTCGCGTTTGTCAAGCTGCACTGGAAGGGCTTATTGAAAGCCAGATCCATGTAGGCGATTCCCGCGCGAGTGGCTTCCTCTCCCAACTCCCCCCATTGTGATTTGGACACGCGCAGCCGACAATCTGCGAGCACTTTGCCGATTTTGCGATAGCAGACGTTCGGGTCCACCGCGTCCAGTCCGTGATAAGTGCGACCGAAGCGTCGAGAGTAAGTCGGAAGAGGCATCGCGCTGGCACTGACGGAGCCAGACATTTGGCCTTTGTCCTCGATGTTTGCGAGAGTCGATGGTTGCTACAGTAGACTGTTCCTGTGCTTGGCTTTTCAATGAGGACACAGATGAAAGAAGAAGAACAGAACGACCGGAAAACTGAGTGCACTCTGACATGTTAAGGGGAAAGCACGGCCACCGCCACTGGTGAAACCAGTTGATGCGTGGTTACATGGAGGTTGCCTTGCGCCAAAGCCTAATATCTTCGTCCTGTGTTACGTGAGTACATCAATTTCCGTGTGCCCCTCATTTCCACAGACACTGAAATTGCTCAAGCTGTCTTCCTGAGGTCGTCATCTTAATCGTTTCTCAGTCCCGAATGCCTGAATACCGCTACAGTGTAGACCCGGCGGTTCGAGATCCAGCCCAAAGTCGCCCCTTCGACTGGTCGAGTGCTGGGGAAACGACAGATCATGCACTCATCCCTCGACGCAATAACGGCAACAGCAGCAACAATAGCTGTAACCAGAGTCAACCCCTGCCCTCTCATGAGAGAGATTCGGAGCCGGAGGCGGTCTATACACAGCCGAATGACAATATAAACGTCGAGGATCTTCTCCCGACCAACGCTGAGACCCAATGGACTCCAAATTCAACAAAGGATGTAACAATCCATTCCGAAATGGATATCGTCGAAGATGTTGGCAGCCTGTTGGAAGAATTCGCTCGATTGAAGCGGCTTGGTCAGTTCACGGCTGCCAAGACCTTTTTCCAAGAGTCACTCGCCGAGTTCCATGCCTCGTTTCCGGTGGCGCTCGAATATGCAGATCTGTTGGCCGAGCAAGAAATGTACGAGCAGATTTGTCGATTGGAGTCTCCTCTAGGAGGGGAAGACTTTTCTCCGAAAGATTTCGATCCAGCGGACGACCCCTGCACGTTTCTTTATCGAGCGAACTGGGCTCTCATTCAGGCCTTGGCGGCGATTCATTGTCAAGGGCGCCTGAAAGAGGCATGCGAGAAGGTGCGATCTCTTGAGGGTCCGATGGACATGCTGCGTCGACATCGGCGAGAGGAACACCTTCTTTTGGATTCAGCAGAGGTATTGGCAATTATGCTCTTCGAATTCACGTCAACGCTGCGGCTAATTAATTCCTGCAGGTGCAGGTCTTCCGCTACGTCTTCAAAATCCTCACGCAAGTGGAGAGTGAGTCAAACTTGATCACTGAACGCGATTTCGACATTTGGTCTTGGACTCACCTGTACCAAATGATGATAGCGGACGGTCGGGTCTGGGATGCTCGCGATATCATAATAGCTTCAATGCGAGCCGACGGGGCAGCCAAAACATGGCTGTCGGTATTTGGTATAGAAATTACCTCTGAACACTCCTTCAATCGCTTCTTGGAGGACTGGAAAATGGATCAGTACGATGAAGCCACCTGCCTGGCGCTCCTCGATATTCTTGTGTCTGCCTGCCAGGAGCTCACCTCGCCCTCCATGTCTACTCTCAGTGACGAAGACCTTGTACTGGCTCAGCGGATTTTAGAAAATGCCGGATATTTGATTAGCCGGCTCGAAGGGAATCATGTCGAGCTAGTAAAGACGAGGTCTTATCTTCGATTCATAATCGCCAGGACCGAGGTAGAAAGAAAGCGTGCACCCCAGAGCATGGATATTGGGATGGCGAAGCATCTGTCAATGTTTCCAGGGTTAACTTTCTGGACGGGAGTCGTGCCTATCTATCTGCCCATTAAAACCGAGAATCCAGGATGGATACCTAGAGCAAGCACAATGACCTCTTCCCGTCCAGAACTCGAAACTATCGCGTCAATAACGCATGAGCTCGGCGACTACCCGACCCACATTCTCTGTCGAGCCGAATTGCTTCATCATTGCTCCGAGCCCGGTGCAGTCGAGCAGTTGACGCACATGGCCGACCTCCAAATTTGTACCCAGGGCGATCGCTTGAGATACCAGCACACCTGCCTCGCGAGGTTTCTCTGCATTCGCGCCTTGCCACACAGACAGGCTCTACTCGAGAGTCTGCGTGTCTCACAACGAGCTTGGTGCTCTTTCCCGGGATTGACTGCGTGGTGTGTCGCCACAGTTGAGCGTGCTCTAGTACTCCTGACAGCAGCGGAGGAAGGGAGTCCCGCGCCGCTGCATGAGCAAGGCCGCAATGATGACTTTTCGACCTCTCTGCCGCATGATATTCAGGATCGGCTCCTACGCAATGGACTGGACCGAATGTATCGCTTGGACCTCAGGAAAGAAAGACCTACCTCGACAACCATTATAACACGCACGACCACCATCAAATCAGCCCTCAAGTCGACACCGGCCCCTAGCGACGTATGTCGGTGCGAGGTTTGCAGCGACTCTCCTGCCCAACATACCTGCAGTGGGCACCATAATGCAATCGAGATATCCTCCTTAGACGGCAGTGTTAGCGATGAAGGTAGCAGCTCCACGAGTACCAGTCACGACAGCTTCCGCACGGCCCACGAATCCGATAGCCAGCCAAGTCCTCCGCGCCGAGCGTTGACATCAGTGACCGTGGAGGATGCTCCGGATACATCCGATGATGAACCTTCAACTATAATACACGAGAACTGATCCGTCCTTCGAGATAATCATCTGAATGGACGAGGATTGTGTTAGGGCAACGCCAAGCTTGGGATGGTTGTGGTTGACAAGGCGGGTTAGGGCTGGTATTTGGGGTCTTGCGAGTATTTGTAGGAATTACGAGGTAAGATGCTGTATCCGTCTTGAATAAAATGTTCAATTTTCTGATAATTAAGATGATGATAAAGGGAAGGTCTAGATATACCAGAGGACCCTATTTTATATCTTATAATCTTATTAGGGGTTCTTATTTAATTTAGGAGGTCTCTAGTAAATCACTACGGATAATCTTATCTTAGCGGGAATATTCCGGTATACCTATCTAGGATACCAGGAGTTTCCTATATACCCCCTTAAGATAATAGTCATCTTGAAGCTAAAACATTTTATCTAGATATTTTTATTTAATTATAATTATTTAATATTTATTAATTTAGTATACTGTTTAAATTTAACACGCAGAAGTATCTTTGTTGATATATCTGTGATTATTCTGTTTGTAATTAAGTGTTGAAGTTTAATATTACCGTGCTGAATTACCTCGCGAATCTAATAGATTTAAATATTAATATATTTATTTCAGGCATATATCTAGGTATTCTTTGTGAGTTTTAAAGCAGGTTTTAAGTTAATATAAATAATTATTAGCCTTATATTACTGAAGCTGATTAATTTAAATATCTAGATAATTTAAATTATTTTTCTGCCCGCTATACTAACTATAATATATTTAATTTTATAAGTAAATAAGCTTATTATAATCTGTAGCTTTGAGGTCCAGGAAATAAGTCCGCTAGCTAATATAAAGATAAAGCTAGTAATAAATTTTCTTATATTAAGATTGCTGGCGAAATCCGCATTTATATATTTTTTTATTATTTTTAATTATTCTATCACTTCTGCCTCTTTATCTTTAATTTATAAGCAAAAAATAATACTGTAATTGTCAGATGGGGTAGGTAGGTCACATGGGTTGAATAGAAATTTCAAATGGCTAGATAGAATAAGGAAAATCGATCAGTCAGATGAAGTAAACAGTTCACCTGGACCACCTAGATCTGATGATAGACCAGAGGTCCTACCATTTGTTATGCATGTAGATAGGTGAAATTGATTGAATGAATGAATGAAATTCAATTGAATGAATTAAGTGGGTAAATCAACTTGATAAAAAGAATGAATCTGTCAAATGGGGTCACCTGACATCACCTGATTCATCAGAATCACCTGATTTAGCCCCACAACCAAAATTATTCAAAATTCACTACAACTTTACTTTCACTTTATTGAACTCTCACTTCTACCACCAAATTGTATGGGAAAAGTGAGGTGAAACTAAGCTTAATGTGAGCGGAAAATGAAAAAAAAAATTTTTTGAAGAATTTCCTATTTTAGACTAGCTTATCTTTCTCTTTGGGAAATCACCGGTCGCTAGAATCCTATAGAAGTCAGAAAACATAATTTGATAAATTTCTTATTTAGGAAATTAAAAGTTTATTTTAACTACTGCAGTTAATGGCTTTGTTTAAATAATTAATATAAAGGGTCTAGAATGTCTTGCCTATTTATTTTATAAGTTATAAAGTGAATATTATTACCCTGGTTATTCTGATATTATTTAAATAATTTTATTATGATTTATATATTGAATCTTGATTGTTCTAATTATTCTGATTATAAAATCTTAATTATTTGATTATTTAAATTAATTTAATAATAATTTATAAGGTTAATCTTGAAGGCCTAGATTAATAATATAACTTATAAATAAAGGTTTAGAAGGATCTGATAATTTTATATTTGTAATATTTATTTAGGGCTAGATTAAATTAGCCCTGATTTAATTGTCTATAAATATATAGTTAATAACTTGTATTAATTTATTTTTTTTATTAAGTTAATTTACCCACTTAATTTATTTAATTGAATTTTATTTATTTATTTAATTAATTTCACCTATCTTCATGCATAACAAATAGTAGGACCTCTGGTCTATTTATTTCAGATCTAGGTGGTCCAGGTGAACTGTTTACTTTATCTGACTGATTGATTTCCTTTATTCTATCTAGTCATTTGGAATTTCTATTCAACCCACGTGACCTACCTACCCTATCTGACAGTTATAAGCCCGGGTTAGCATTTTATCTGACAGTTATAAGCCCGGGTTAGTATTTTATCAGATAGTTATGAGCCCGGTCTAGCCCTTTGTTCCTATTATTTATGTATACACGTGAATTAATTATTTACCTGTTTGATTGAATTTACATACATTTGATTAAATTTATATCTATACCTGAATTAATTATTTGTTTGTTTGATTAAATTCAACCCACACATAAATTAATTATTTAATTACTCACTATTATAGTAAATTATTTACTATTTATATTGATTTAATTTATTTAACCTGTGTACTTACTTCAAGTGTTTTATTTCACCTGTCTGAAGTATTTAATTGATTTAAATTATTTTATTGATTTATTAATTAAATTCATACATACACAAATTAATTAATTACTTGTCTATTTACTATTGTAGTAAATTATTTATTTATCTGATTTAATTAATCCTTACTTATCTAATTTACTTTTACTTTATTAAACTTTCACTTTTACTATTAATTTATATAGTAAAAGTAAGGTAAAAGTAAGGTAAAATAAAAGTCAAATAATTTAGATTATTTTATTAATTATTTAAGCTTATCACTATAAATATAAAGCTTAATTTTTAATTAAACCAGTCATATAATTAGATACACTAGTTTAACATAATTAAAATAATTGCTAAAAGCAAATATGTTTGGGAATTTATTAATCCCAGTCATATAATAATACCTGATTAATCTATACAGCCTAGTTACCCGGAACTATGTGACCTTAATAGGAATATTAGATTAATTATTAATTTAACCTAAAATAATTAAGTGCTTTATCAAGACCTTTTATATGATTATGAATTAGTGCTTCGAGAATACTGCTATATAGATGAGGGCTTAGCCCTAATTTTACTCCTGATTAAGAACTTGATATTATTAGCTAATAGGGTTTTAGTATTTAACAAAAAAACCCTATATTACATGCTATAGATCCTTTAAATAAAACTAGCTCCCACTAATGAATCAAGAAAATGCGATATTATTAAATAATATTATATACTTAAAAATCTGCAAAATAAATATTTAATTAATTTATATATTTTACTATAAGAAAACGTCTATACTGAAGTAAAATCGCTTAAAATAAGTGAAATAAATAATCTATACTAAATTTAATATAACTTTATTAAAGCTATTTATGGGTCTTATTTAATATTTGTAAATTATTAAAGCGAAAAATTAAATAATAAAATTAAATCATATAATAAAATATTATTATTTTTTAATATAACTAAGTAATTCAGAGATCACATAAAGATATTCTTAATATTTAAATATTCAAATTAACTGAGCCGAATCGCTCAGGCAACCTTTAAAGGAGATACCTTAGAAAATACCCCAAGCCCTAGGTTTAACCTTAAAACTCCTAAAAAGGAACAAAACTGCCCCTGTTAATTAGACCCTAATAGAGGCCATTATGAATTTAACTAATGTTTTTATATTAATAATTTATTAAAGAAACCAGAAAATTAGTCATGTGATCCTAAGACTATTTAATAATTTAATAGAGCCTTTAGGAACCCTAAATTTCGTGTAGCGCTTAAAGCCGCAAAAAATTGCTTAAAATTAATTAATTAAGTAATAAATTAAAATAATAAATTTTTAACTGATTTAATTGTAATAGCTTCAACTTTAATAGAATAAGAAAAATACGCTAGTCCTAATTAGACGTTTGATACTGCTGCAGATACCTATATCTATAATAATTAATTATTATTTAGTGATTATTATGAATCACCTACATTAATCTCTATAGGGAATACGCAGACATTAATTAAAAGTTTCGGAATAGTTAATTTAAAACCTTCAAACCCCTATAAAGATAAAATATCATTTGAATTATATTATTATACCTATATTCTACAATTTTATATTAATATTCTATCTGCCTTAAAGGCAAAACAATCAGATATTTACCTTAATTCTAGGGCTATATGCCTAAAAAGCCCTAATTACCGCCTAATTTATAAAATCCTCGAGATTACAGGCATTTATTTAATTAAATAGAGTACTAATAATTATATTTAATAATTACCTAAATTAACTCCTAAAGATAATCATATTTATTATCTGAATTTACTACAGAATTTACTACAGAATTTACTACTAAATACTAAAGTAAATAAATTAGAGGCCTATTTAGCAAGAAATTCGAATAAACTAGTCATTTCCTATAAAATAGTTAAACTATAGTATTTAAGATTAGGGCACCCGAGTTCTAAAGCCCTAAAACACCTTAATTCAGTAGTAAACAAAGTAAAAATTAATAATAAATTAACTAAAACTAAAGATTATTGCCTAATTTATTAATTATTAATTTTAAAATATTAAATTTCTCAAATTCTGATTTAATTAGGGACTAAACTATTTAAAACTATTTATTAGGACCTTATTCATTTAAATCAGGGAATCTACTAAAAACAATATATTAGCTATATATATTATCTCTATTTAAAATTCTATATAGCTAAGGCAATTTTATTAAAAGATCATATAAGTAATTTAATTATTAAAATAATCTAATTTATTAAATATTAATATCATATAATTATTAAACAATTTTATTTAGATTAAGATAGAAATCTAGCTTATTTTTATAATTACACGAGATCTGAAGGGATGATCTACAGTACTAGTCTAATTAAATAATCTAAATAAAATCTATTTATAGAGTGTTCAGGTACTTTAATCATGTAAAAAATATAAATTTTATTTATTAATTTAAGATTACTGCTATATTTATGGCCAGAATTATTAAATACAGTGATATATATATTAAATTGTACTCCCACTTATTTACTAAAGTGGAGTACCCCGCATGAAACCTTATTTAAACATCTTAATCAGCCTTTATTATATATAATACTACTGCCAAACC